TGTGTGTGTGTGCGTGCGTGCGCGTGCGCGTGTTTACAGGGCAAAAGTGATCGTGGCAGAGCAGAGATGTAGCGGCGGAGCTTAATGGGACTCCGAAGCCAGCCGTCTGTCACTTTTACCAGTAATCATCTGGCTGACATTAGCGCTCCACGGGAGAGATTGAGTGTTATTTTCGGTACTATAGAAAACTGCACGAACGTGGCGCGCAATGCGACCGAAAACGGCAGCCTCTGGGGGGATATTTTTCTTTTTCGGGACAGGGTTGCTGGAATAGCTTGTGCTAGCGCCGGGCTAGCGACTGTGCTGGCCACTTAGAGCCATTCTGCGAAGATGCTGCGGTGGATACGACAGCAGCTGGTAAAACTGTTCTCCTACGTCTTCTTTCAACGTTAGCTTCCTTTAATTCGACTTATGTAACATGAGCTTTAGCGCACGGAAAGCGGAATGAACTTTATTCGGCTAAATGGAAGCAGCTAACCTAGCCTTTTAGCTGTTGCTGATGTGTTCAAAACATTGCTGCCTGTCACGTCTTGGTGACAGTCAGGTATACGTTACGTTAGCTAATAGTTACCTCCCCAGCTAGCTGGTAGTTGGTAGTATCGGCAACTAGTTTAAGCCTTTAAAAACGAACAGAATACGAGTGAAGACTTTTGTTTGGAGTTCGATCTGAAGTTTGCTTGTATCGAATCGCAATTGTACTGTTTCCTGATGTAAATGTACCTGGAAGTTCGTGCACTCTGCACCAAAGATGGCTAACAGTGTAAAAGTAGCTATGGGGAATTTAAACAGGGTTTTCTGGTTGAATATTTAGTCGTAACAAATAAAACCAACTATGGATGTTTATGTTTATATATGTCGTTTTTTCTAAGAGAGCCAGTCTGACATTTATGTGAACTAATCTCAACTTGCGTTAACTACCGTTGAATCGGCTCAATGATGAAAACGATACGTCATTTGATTTTGTTCGGTCACTTCTGCTATGATAATGTCCTGAGAACATCCTGTTTTTGTTTCTTTTAAACATGACTGTGTGACAGAGCATCTGACAGGGTTAGTCATGAAAAAACAGCTATTTTGGACCCTCCCAGGATTCATATAAAATGCACAAATTGTCAATGTAATCAGTCAGCTGATCTTTTCTGTTTTGTTTTTTTATGATGGTACGTTCAGGAACAGCTCAAGTTTGTTTCAGTAAATGAACACACTGTGCAATCTACCCAAACCTAGCACCTAGAAGTTAAAGATAACACTGATTCTATCATTCAAGACTAAGGAAGTATCATTCAGTTCCTATTTTAAATCATTTTGAGTTTGCATGAGTTACATAGACCCTGTGGTTTGAATCAAGTTGATGTTGTATGGGCACAGTGGTTATGATGTGTTTTATTTCTAGTCCTCGGTGAGATTGTGCCTTCAAATGGAACCACTCTGACATTCAGTGTCCAATAAATGAGTGTTTTGACTGGCAAAGTTAGTGTATAAGCCTATTTCATTGGATGAGTTACTCAGTGATAAAGCACTGAAGTCAGTGTAGCTGCTTTTTAATCAATGTTACAGTGGTTTTATACCTCTCAAATCTGAACCATTGTGAGTTCCGTCTATATTTGAGGTTTCTACAGTTCTTCTAGTTTATCTGACTGTTGTTGAATCTTAGTCCAAAAGTGTTTTGATGCTTTGAGATATTAATTGAGGCCATTACCCTTTAGGGCTTTAACAGAAGTTGTCTGTTAAGAAATCGTGGCATCCTCCTAGAATGTTACCACTTGATTTATTTGACCCATCCCGTATAATTGACCTTCCAAGTAATTAAAGTGTAATTAAAGTGCATTTTAATACACCTGTCCTAATGCACGAGCTCGTCGGAGGGCATATGTCTGCCTCGATGTGTGTGTAATTTAGCGCCTCTCTGGAACATAGGAAGTCTGAGAGCTGTGTGGGAGTGGCAGTTTGACAGACTTTTAATGTGAGTTTGCTATCATTTGCATTTTTGACGTCATGCTGGAACGTCTGCCTTTAAACCACCAACACCTTCTCTAATTATAGCGTATGTAACTAGCAATAGGCAACCTCACTGACATATTTTTCTGGTAGCTTATAATTTTGTTTTAAATCTGCTGCAAAGCTTTGTATTGGATTTGCAATATAGTTTTCATAGCTCCTGACAGTCTCGTTGGAGTGGATCTATAGCTGCATATAAGCTGAAAAAGCAGGCTCTCTTGTGGACATCACTGCAGTATCCCAGAAACACCAACTCTAGCAAAATACTAGCACATCAGATTACTAACTATTTGCTTTTTATGAGAAAAATCTCTTCCTCTATTTAGCTCTGGGTGTTTTTGCATTGCCACATATTGCTTTGGTATACCTGCAATCATATTGTAGATTTTGTCAGCCATGCAGTCAAAAACAGCAATGACATCATCCGTCTTTATTACTCTTTGTGATGCAGTCTCCCTGTCCTGCTACATGCCCTGTATGCCTTTGCTGTTTCCAGTGAGCATATTGCCTTCTATTGAAAGTCTTTAATACAACTCAGTCTGTTGCGTTGGTTGTGTTTCATTCCATTGTTTAGGGGCAGTCATTCCACATGAGCACTGTGGGACTTGTAGGCTATATGCAGGGAGTAATTACCTGCCTGCTTTCAGATTGATGTGGGCATTAGAGCCAGTGGACAAAATGAAAGATCTTATTTCAGCCACACAGTGATTTAACAAGTTAGAAACACCACAGCCACTGCTCATGTGTGTTTGACTTTTATTTTCATTGTTGTGCAGCTTATTTCTGTAGATTATGACCAGCATGAACCGAATAGGTAAAACGTAAGCAGTAAAAAAAAAAAAAAACACAATTAAAAATACAAGGCAATTCAGTGTCTTCTTATTTACATAATTTTATTGGTTTGCAAGCTCTGATATCCCACCACCAAGTGATTACTACAAATTGAGTTAATGAAATCCAAATCTGACTGCTGTTCTTAATTAGTCAGATAAGGGCTCTTTCAATTGTTAGTCAAACATCTATCTGACCTGAAATCTTACCGGCCAGCCAAGCGTGACATCAGTCTTATGTCGTTTTGAAAGGCTTGCGTCAAGTTCTTAGCTCAGCATCAGCTACTTCTCAAGTGCATTGACTCTTCTTTTTCTTTTTCAATATCTCTCAATATTCACACAATTTTCTGCATGATATATCTTAACAAACTCCACTGGATCAAATAAGTTTTATTGGAAGTGTTTTAATGACTGAACATTCTTTTTATTCATTTTATGCATGAACTTCAAACCTCTTTGGTTTCAGATTCTCTAATGTACAAATGCTTTTCTGTTGTATCTGACATCAACTTCCTGTGGATTGTAGACTCTGGACAAAGATGTGGAGTGAATCAGCATTAAAAATCAGCCAGCTACCCGTTAAAAGTAAACCGAGCCTAGTGCTTTTTCTGTGACTGTCTTTTCATTCACATTACATGAGGTGTAAATCATTAGCTTTACACATTCAATCCAGTGGAAGGGTTGGGGTGGTATGGTTAATCTTTGAAATGGTGCAAAGATATTTAAGGATAACAAATGAAGTACTGTTACATCCTGAGTTTGTGACTCAGAGATGGATTTGTAAAGCTGAGCTTTGGGTCGTTGCTCTATTGGAGCGTAACTGTTAATTCAAGCTTGATGTCTTGCACACCTATAACAAAGTGTTCTATTGATGGGACAATAAAAAACTGTGCCCATACTGTGCGTTCATGTGTTCAATGAAGCTCAAAGGATGTAGCTGTCTCCAAATAAAGTTTTAAAAAATAACTAAAAACATTTAGTTCATTTGACACTGCTGGCTACTTTGAGCACATTGGTAATAATAATAAAATAAACGATTTTAGACAGTTTTCTGTAGCAAAATGTGGATTCTCATCCATTTTTGTTACAATTATATCAATGATATTTTAATATTTGATTTTGTGTTATAGAATAGGTAATTAAGATGTTTCTGATTGTCCCACAAAGCCTCATCTTCTTTACACTTACAAAAGAGAGTTTTTGTGTACTCTGGCTTTTTATGGGTTAGTCTGACTGAAGACTGTTTAGAGAATGAGTTTGATTTCTGTGATGGTGAGGTCATGCTTTGTGAATGTGTACAGACTTTTAATCCAACATCACTCTGAGACTTGTGAGAGGATGTAATGGCCCATTGTTATGTGCCACATGTCAGATTTTTTTCTTTGTACCACATGGCTTACCTCCAGGTCTATCTGTAAATACATCTTTTTGTTTTCAAAGGCAGTTTTACTTCATTTTGTGTTCAGTTGTACCAGGTTTATTGTGATCTCTGTTAAAATTTGTTTAAACGTGTTTATGCATCATTGTGCAGTTTTAACCAGAGCTCATTCATTTACTGTAAATTTGTGAGAACTTCCTTCTTGGCCTGAGGGAAACTTGTGGGACATCTGTCGTGAACTGATGGTTGTTCACTACATGCTGCTGCTGGAAACATTGGCTTGGCTTAACTTTTAAACAGTTAGCCATAAAAGAGACGATACCAAACATCCCCTCAAATTTATTAGGCCATTATCGATGCAGCTTATCAGTCTGGTTCTTTATCAGTTCTTTATCCATCAACACACTGCTTCCTACATGAAATCCCACTCTGCTCTTGAGAAAGTGCACATGGATTTCACACCAACTTTTGTGACACCTCAGTGTCACTTTTTCACCCCTTCCCTCACACTTCCCTTTCGCTGCCGGAGCTGCAGTGTGAGTGAGTTCAGCCAAGTCCTCATTAGCCAGAGAGCTCATGTGAGCTGTAGCGTTAGCCTTTAGGTCGACATCTTAATCAAATAACATGAGAAAATGTTGTTTTTGTTCTTAAGCTTTCTCGTTTAAAGGAAAACATGCCAAGCATGCTGGTAATGTGAAAATGCAGGATGATTACTATCCAATGGGTTGGTCTGTTTAGCTGTGGAAACAGTTGTGTGAAATCCTGTGTTGTGTTTCAGTGTCCTGCTCACATTTTCTACTTTTATATGGAGCAATTTGTTTAAGTCCATACTCCTTCCTATTATCCAAAGATGTACATCAGAAACATGTAAGATGACGATTTGCAGTCTGTATTATTTGCCTCAGAAGTGTAGGATTCCTCTGCTTAAGAAAATATGATACCAGTTTGCAGTTCCCATCCAATTTTATGTTTATATTTACTAGCAAAAAATCTTATCCTTGTCGTTGCTCTGCATTAACTAAGTGGATAAGATGGGACCTAAGATTGCTTTATTGTCTGCATTTGTAGCATAGACCAAATGTTTTTGGTAAAAAACGAACATTCATGAACACATGACTTGGTGTGTATGTAACCCGTTTCTTCTCTCATCTTTTTCTGTTCCTTTTCTCAACATTCCATCTCCTCTCATGTGTCCTCTTCTCTCAGGGCGTTGACCCCCCTCACCAGAGTGATACCAGAACGGTTTATGTAGCAAATCGTTTCCCACAGCATGGCCACTACATACCTCAACGCTTTGCCGACAACAGAATCATCTCATCTAAGGTAACGTGGTTGAAGACGGTGCTGGGATGGGTTTTACGTTAAGCGGAGGCCGATTGCTTTAATTGGTTTAACAGATTAGCTGGTGTGAAAGTGACTCATTACCAGAAAGAAAATGACTTTAAAGCTGGTGGCTGTGCTGCCTCTTCAGTCTAAAGCAGTGATAGACAGACACACTGCTGCTTTGAATAGGGCCGTAAACTCAACGTGTACCTTTGAGGAGCTTCTGGTTAGAGATAAGAACTAAAGCACTGACTTGAACTATGGCAGACAGAGATGAGTTACCACGTGATTTCTGGCACCATCTTTGCTTTAGTAAAACAAATATAATTTTTGTATTTAGGTGGAATATGAACCAAAGACGCTGCTCTCTGCTAAAATCAACAGTGACTGTGATTGATTTGACTGTAGATTATACAATTAACCTAAGTACTTGAGATCTTGTATTTATGTTTGGTCCTATAAAATAATATTAAGATTGTTTTTACTCTTTCATTTTCAGTACACAATTTGGAACTTTGTCCCCAAGAATCTGTTTGAACAATTCAGGAGAATAGCAAACTTCTACTTTCTCATCATCTTTCTTGTACAGGTAATGCAACACACATTCACAAAAAGCGCACATTCTCCTCAGCTAGATGGTGATGAGTCATGTGTGACTTCAGCTTTCCTGCGCCAGGCACGAGTGCGCATGCATTTATTTCTTCATGAGTGAGTGACTCATTAAATTCTAGGGACCAGAAGAGAGACAGGTCTGCCTCAGTGGTAAAACATTACACCCACACACTTAGTAACATGTGTGCCTTTGCAGCCAGCCCAAAGCGCTGAGCCTTCTCTGAGAATCATTTCTGCCGCTCTGACGCTTGATATGTTTTTCAGATTTTCATCGGCCACGTGATGCATTCAGGACAGTGTAGTGAAGCCAAAGCGATTGACTTAACTTTGTTTGAAAAGGCTACCTTTTCACCCACTCAAGTTGTCAGTGCAGTTGATGTCAGCTTGTTCTGAAATGAAAGAAAAGTGGGCCTTTTTCATATCTACATCGTGAACCTGACATTTTCTTAGAAGGACAGTTTGACCTTTTCAAAATGACTTCAGATGGATTTCTAAAAATCAGTTTCCAAATGTTATTTGCATAGACAATAAAACATTCATCTTTCATTATGGTTTAGGCAGATTCTTGTATTGTTTTATTATTTTTTTATCCAGTGAGTTCTTTTTTAAAATCATCCCTCATTTATCTTTTCTTTTATCAGCTGTAAATTGACCAAAATAGAATATGTTCGATTTGGGGAAGCTATACTTTGATAACATTGTGGAACTTTTAACAAAATGTTTTTTATTGAATAGCTTAAGGTTAAACTTGTGAACTTTGTGCTGGAAGTATTGAATATAAAGATTTTAAATGTTTCCTTTGTTCATACTTTCATATGCATATCATATCATCAACAAGATTGATTTAGGTCAGGATAAAAGTTAGTCCTCTGTTGTTGAGGTGTGCACTGAAGAACAAGGTAAACATTCTTGACCTAGAAAAAAGTGATCTCCATCTGACAGTTGATTGTTGTAGGAAGTTGTAGGGATTTCCTGTATTACACAAAAACCACAACTTCTCTCTTTGTCTTACTCGTTCACTTGGGTTCGGAAAATTTGGTATGACTGGCTTGTATTGAACCCTGTGTTATTTCTTGGTTGTTTTTTGTACCTCGCCTCAGACTGACGCTTTTGTACCCTGATAATTTGTATTTTCAGTTAATGATAGACACCCCAACTTCCCCAGTCACCAGCGGACTCCCTTTGTTCTTTGTGATCACAGTAACTGCTATAAAACAGGTGAGAACACGAGCACATGAATGCTTCCTCTTACTTGATATAGAGATTTGAAACAAATCTACTATTTTTATGATGCTTTCATTAAAAACTAAATATGAAACCCATTTAATTGAGTATTCAGCTGAAGATTTCAAATATGAGTATCTCGATGAGTATGAAGTAGAATAAAAAAATACTTTGTACCTTGTTTTCCAAACTAGAAAGGGATCTGACAATAGTGAAGTGCCTTAGCGTAACATCTTGAATAATAACTTGATGTAATCAGTGAATTGTCAGTTATTGTCGTAAATAAAGGAGCTGTCATTTGCAGTCTTTCACAGAATACTGAATTGGTTTACAGGGCTATGAGGATTGGCTGAGACACAAAGCAGACAATGAAGTGAATGGAGCTCCAGTGTTTGTGGTCCGCAGTGGAAGTCTGGTCCAGACAAGATCTAAAAACATCAGGGTAAGACGGCAAGATTTCTGTGAGATTCCTGTTCCCAAGCGAAGAATCTCTAGGTTGAAGTGTAAAAAGTACATCACCCTGTATCTTTTCAAAGAAAGCTTTGTGCAAATCAAATTTTTTCTTAATTTCCATTTTGAGATAAAGTTCTAATATTGTCAATTAAATTAACCGAGTAGTTTAGGGAGCATGGTTTTCCTGCAGTCCTGTTTGTACTTAGTTCAGTTTCAAATGAGCAGCTTATATTTTAGCATGAAAAGGTGTTTTATACCTGCCAAAGATGCAACGTCTCTGATACATGATATGCCTGTAGCTCTGGACGTTAGCGGGCACACACATTGTCAGAGATAAGGGTCCTCACAGACACAGTAACAAATGTTTCTGGAGTTAATGCTGCCGTAAAAAAAAGCAACAACTAATGCATCTCTCAAGCTTGGAAAGCATTTGGGATCCTGTTGATATAGTGCCAGCCTGAAGTGTCACTGTCAACAAGGCTAAAATAACTTAAGCCGAGGGCACAGAGACGTCCCCGGTGAGTGTGTCAGTGGTAATGTTAAATGGCAGTAGATTCAAGTTATAATGTTTCATCCATTAAACGTATTATTCATGGAATCCATTACCCATCTTCCAATTCATTTCTATTACAATTCATTTTTATTAAATTTCTGATTATCAATTAATACAAATTCTTCAACTCTTTTGACCAGCACAGTGTAGATAGTCCTCTAAACTGAAAGTGGTTCATGCTAAATGTGGACACCCTGTTTCTGCTCGTCCGTGTAGGTGGGGGACATTGTCCGTGTGGCTAAAGATGAGACGTTTCCAGTTGATCTGGTGTTGCTGTCATCTGATCGTGCCGATGGCACATGTCACATCACCACTGCCAGCCTCGATGGAGAGACTAATCTTAAGGTCTGTGTGCATGATGTTGGTCACGTTTACATCCGTAGTTGCATGCAATGTTTATACTTCATGCTGAACACTCACTCATGGAAAACCAGCAGTCTACAATTTCACCAGGAGCCATTTCATCTTGATCAGACAACTTGTATCTATTTTGGACCACATCAAAGAAGGGTTTTAGGGTTGGATGGGTAGGTGACTTACTGATTACCTGGCAGTTGCGGCCAGTAGAGCTAATAATACAAATATGCATAAAAATATCCTGTTTTACTCAAACCAGAGGGAAATTGTGCACTTTTATTGATTTATTTAAAAGTTTAGCAGAATTCTGCCGTGAATTTGTCACAATTAAACAGCATTTTATTGTTTTATGCAGCATCTTGCTTTTAGCAGCTTATAGATATGTCAGTACTTTGAGTTTAAATATAAAAAATTCTGTCTGTTATTGATTTTGAAACACATTTTTAACTTTCTTACTTTAAGACTTTTAAAGCATCCACGACCATACACTACCTTTTTTCCTTGTCCTTTCTCCTGACGAATACATTTACAAAGTACAGTTAAAGGCTTTTTCATCTGATTGTATGTGTTTCTTTGTGTGTTTGCACTTTCTTTTGGATTGAAACATTCTCCCTGTTAACTGAAGAGCATCTTGCCCCATTTAAAACCAGACTTGGTCTCATTAGTTTTTAACTGTGTGCTTAATTTTTAGACCCATTTCTCTGTGCCAGAAACATCAGTGTGTCAGTCAGTGTCCCAACTGGAGACTCTTTTGGCTGTGGTGGAGTGCCAGCAGCCAGAAGCTGATCTGTATAGGTAATCTGCACACGTGTACGCACACACATTTTTAGGATAAGAGTACAAAGTCCTCATGTGAGTTCCATTGGAGTCATACATTAGATGCATACAATAATGAGGACTTGCTTTTTTATTTCCTAACTACCAGTGAATGTGAATCAGTTTTGAAACAAGATAACATGGCCGATTTTCTAATACATGACAGATATGTCTCACCAAACATTTAGAAGATGGATGACAATGTGAAAAGATTACATCACCTCAACTACCGCCTCTCTTCCTCATATCACTTAGTGGTCGTGTCTGGGATCGATCAAGCTGCTTGTCTGCAGCAGTACCCATGTTTCAACCTATTTCCCACACGGGAATAGAATGGAGAAACTACTCCCGCGTTAGAGGTGTTAATCTAAATGATTAGGAACATTTTTCACAGTGTTATCCGAGTGCATCTAATGCCTTCCTCAGGTCATTGTGTAAAGAACTGGCTTCAGTAAAAGACATATTGATGGTCTAATTCAATTCTCTGAACTAAAACATTTGTGGTGTCTCGCAGATTTGTCGGTCGTATTACTGTGACTCAACATGGGGAAGAAATTGTTAGGTAAGTGCAGATTTAATTAGCATGTAATTAAAAAAAATGTTTTATTTTTTCACTTAGTGTTGAGGGACCATGATACCCCTCTCATATACACCAGAAACGTTTTTTTTCTTACTCTGTTTTATATTTCACTTGCTGTGGGCATTAATGTTAGAAGTTAAATAGAATTTTTAAATCTCTGTTTTAATTATAACACCAATCACTATGATATATGTGTTTGTTATTTTTCTCTCAGACCGCTGGGACCAGAAAACCTGCTGCTCAGAGGGGCCAGGCTCAAAAATACCAAAGAGATTTTTGGTGAGTCAACATTTTACCATGAGTCACAGTGTAAAAAAGCTCAAACACGATGACCATTAACTGTTCAGTGGCACTGGTATTACAAAAAGTTAACGGAATAATCACATCAAAGCTGTGACATGAACAAGCTGAGCTCAGTGGCTTTCAGGTTATCATTAGCATAGTGCTGAGGTATGATTATAAAGGACTGCTTCTCTAGTCCAAATCTTGAATGGCATATCTCAGCAGGTTTTAAAAAAGACCCAATTATGAACTCATAAAGATGTTTTTTAAGGAATAATTGTCCAGCAGTAGATTGGAGCAGCCCACAGCTCTGATGTGATGCCAAAGCGACTGTGCTGTTACAGGTGTGGCAGTTTACACAGGGATGGAATCCAAGATGGCTCTCAACTACAAGTGCAAGTCCCAGAAACGCTCTGCTGTCGAGAAGTAAGGAATTTTTCATCTGAAGCAGGCAAAACATAACAGTCCATGCTTGTGCTTATTGGAAGCTGCTATTTTAACCCTTTTTTTGTGATGTCAGGTCAATGAATACCTTCTTAATCATCTACCTGGTCATCCTGCTGTTCGAGGCCATCCTCAGCACCATCCTGAAATACGCCTGGCAGGCGGAGGACAAATGGGACGAGCCCTTTTACAACCAAAAGACTGAACAAGAGAGGAACAGCAGTCCGGTCAGTTTGCTTTGTGCATCTGAGTAATGCATTCTAAATGTTTTTTCTTTAGTTGGGGATTCAGAAACACGGATAAGAGTTGCAGATTTTTAAATTCCGCTTCCACTACTCATGTATTTTTCTTAAAACAACCAATTTTTTCTGTTAATTGTCCTTCCTAACAAAGTGATAATGATCATGTTTTCCCAAGTGCAGATGGGAATTAATGTTTTAAAACCTATGCAAAAGACATGTTTCAAAACATGTGCACATAAGTACAGAGAGACAGTTGTGCTGTCTGTAAACTCTGCTATAAGGTAAGATCATGGAGTTCCCATCACCAGACAAATCTATTGGCACAGCGGCCTGCTAGCCAGCACTAATCAGTCAGTAAGACCAGCAGTTTCTGTGCTTTAAGCAAACATAGCTGCGCTTGAGTGTTCTCGAGCCCCGGAGACGGTTTTGGAATACCAGCAATAAATTTAGAGCCCTTTTTTTTTTTACCCTTTTTTCTTAGCTCTAGTTTAATCGGTGCTCTAGAAACCTAAAGCACAGATTCTATTTAAGTATAGCAGTGACAGTTTCTCAACATCAGTTTTGTTCATGTTCCAGTTGAATCACGGTCTTTCAAAAGTCAGAACTCTTTTATGATCAGAGTTTTTTTCTATCAAAGCACAGTTTACTTATAATTTCAAACATTTTTTTCCCATTTATTTGGGTCCGTTTTTTTTAGCTCAAAGTGGAACATGTTATGAGGACATTTTGTGGAAGTGATACTCTGTACACCCGTGTTCAGTCTCCTTCTCTGTCACCTGCAGTAATGAACTCTTTAATAGGAATGAATCACCCTGCCTGATTTGATTTAGATGTATACGTGTTGAAGCTCCATCATTCTCTGTGTGGCTCAGTTTTACATACAGTATTGACCAGCAGCCTTCATTTTTACTCTTCATCAAACTGCTCTTTAATTAAAATAAAGCTTTTCTTGTTTGTTACACTTGAGGTTATCAGTCACCTTTAAATAGTTTATCTTTCATATCATTCTAAAACCCTGCTTTTTCATTCCTAATGTCTCCCAGTTTAATATAATTTCTTTTCTGTATCTAATTTATCTGCAGATCTTAAAGTTCATCTCAGACTTCTTGGCCTTTTTGGTCCTCTATAACTTCATCATCCCCATCTCTCTTTACGTTACCGTGGAGATGCAGAAGTTCCTGGGTTCATTTTTCATAGGCTGGGATTTGGACCTGTATCACGAGGAAACCGATCAGAAAGCTCAGGTCAACACATCTGACCTCAATGAAGAGTTGGGGCAGGTAGAGATGGTTACTTTTTTTTTTTTTTTGTATAATATATCAAATGTACATGGACTCTGTGTGTATATATAACATACTAAAATCGTGTGTATTGAAATAAATGATTAAGATAAATCTGAGCTTCCTGAATATAGTCAGTAACAATGCGCTTGTTTATCTAAAGTACTCTGACTCAAATGTATGAGTTTCTGTGTGTTTCGGTTTCCTAGGTGGAGTATGTGTTCACTGATAAGACAGGTACGCTAACAGAAAATGAAATGCACTTTCGTGAGTGTTCAATAAATGGAACAAAGTACCGGGAAGTTAATGGGAAGTTGGTACCAGAAGGGATGACAGACGACTCTCCAGATGGTTCTACAGCTCACCTGGTAAGTAGCATGTACACTATATATGTTTGCTTATATGAACAAATCAACGTTTTTTTGGTTGTTGTTTTTAAAAAAATATATATATTTTTTTAAATCTCTGTGAGCTATGTAACAATGTGTCAAAACTGATCAATTTCAGCAGCGCATTGCTTTATCAGTAAAAACACTGTAGTAATGGAACCAGAAAAGGGCAGATGTATTAATCATATGAAAATCGATTTCTATTTTAAAAAAGAAAACGACTTTGCGGCTGTTGTGGTTTTCTGGGTTTCCTGAGTTTTACAAGGTGCAGTTAATCTAACTTTGGCCAACTAGTTCAGCCAGTTATGTTAGTGGGTGTGGCTTCCACGAAACATGAAAAACTACTTGGATGTGGATGAGTTGGATTATCCAATGCCCCCACCGCACAGAAACCAGCAAGATACCATCCAGACAGTGTGATGAGACTGAAAGATTAAAGCTCTGAAGGGAGGCCATCCATTATCCTGCAGCTCAGTGCATGTACCTCTGTGCAGGAAGATTTTACAGGTCCTCTGGGATATCTGAATTTAGCACAGATTGATTTAACGTGAATCTTTTAAGTGTCCAAATGATTTGGTTAGGTCATTTTTTTAGTATGTTGAGGACATTTATTTGATCAGATGAATGTGCAAATGTACTTGTGTCAGATGAAAATTGATTAATTTTATGATTCTTTGCATTTTTTAAATCTTTTTAAAAATTTCGTGTCACCTCATATTGTAATTTTTTTCAGAACATTTAGATTTTGAAATCTACACTGTACATCTTTTGTACCTTCAGGTATCACAAATAACAGTTTGATTTCGTTTTTTCTTCTGCTTTGTCTGTCCATTCAGATGGGAGAGGAGTTGTTATTTTTGAAGGCGGTATCATTGTGTCACACTGTTCAGATCAGCTATGATCAGCCAGACGGCCTGGCTGGAGGAGGAGATCCGTTTTCACATGCCAATGGTTTTTCCTCCAGTCACATGGAATACTATGCTTCCTCACCAGACGAGAAAGCTTTAGTAGAGGCAGCAAAGAGGTAAAGTTATCTTACTTTAGAACTTCCTGGAGAGACTCTTTTTCTTCACTTTTTAGATGTGCTTTAAATGAAAAAAATCTAAACTTGTGTTTGAGTTTTCATTCTATTTTTGGTTGGGCAGTAAGAAAATGACTTGTTTGCAGGCTTTAGTGTTTAGACATCCTTAAGTTTAAAAAAGAATTAGCTTCAGGTAAATAACACCTGTGAGAGTGTCATTATGATTTATGTGCAGTCTTTGCTTTTGGCATGATGTTAAATTCTGCTCGCTGTGCAACCTTTGCTGTGGGAGGGCATTAAAACATTTATGGAGGTTGGACTGCCAGTTCTCCTTTTCTCTTAGTGTCACTGAAATTTAGCACTAGCAGCAGTTCAGTATCCTGGGAGTGCATGGCAGACTAGCGCAGAACTGTGTAGAGTGGCTTGAAAGGGGAGAAAAATATATCAATGACGTTTAAGTAACTTCTGGTGAGATTTTTATCCTAGCTGCAAAAGTCGACAGTTAATAGGGAAAAGAAAATGGTCCTGCACTAATAAATATGAGGACAGGTGATGACCAATGGTAGAATCTATATATTAACACATGTTAATCAATGTAAATTTCTGTTTCAATTAGTTTTTAATGATTTTGGTGGAGACTTGTAAACTTTTGTCGATGATGCGTTGTCACGCAGATAACCAATATGATCTTTGAATAATACGTACACTTTGTTTGGGACTATTTAGGCGCAACTTCCTAAAACATGAACAATCCTACAGAAATTCTTCTGATTAAGTCATACCATTAAATTACTTTTATTCTTCTGTGTGGCCATCTTGTCAAAGTACAAAACACAAAAATCAAGCAGCAACCTTCAATGACTGCAGAGGATCAATAATAGAATGAATTAGTGATTAGTGGTACTTTGGGAAATACTACGACAACAGTACAACCTGTTCGTTTCCTGATTGGATACCCACCAATTATTTAAAAGTCAATATTTTTTTTCCTTGTATAATTGTATCTTTTACTGTGGTCTTGGTATTTGTCCAGGATTGGAGTTGCCTTCACTAGGAGCAATGGAGACACCATGGAGATAAAATCATTTGGCAAGTTTGAAAAGTATGTGTGTTTCTCTTATATCATAAATACCTACATTTGCCAATACTGTTTCTTTGCAATCGATCAAGTAAGACTTAATATTTTCTGTAATTGATGATAACGACTGTACAAACACATAAACAGGAGTAGATAATGCTTTTAAACGCAAGAATATGCAGTCAGCATGGCAAAACAAAACAACAGAAGAAAGTCATGTCAAAAATATTTGCCCCTTTTTGTCAGTGTAACAGGTCTGTTTGTGTTCCCTGCAGGTATAAACTGCTCCATGTGTTAGAGTTTGATGCTGACCGTAGGAGGATGAGCGTCATTCTGCAGACTCCCTCAGGTAACATTGTCTGCTCCGAACGCACTGAGTGTTTTTTAGCTTGAACAATGAAAGTTAAGGATAAGTAGATTATACAAGCCAATGTAAGACAAGAGAAAAAACATTTTTAAATTTTAAAAGTATTCTTGATATATTTATTTGGATATATATTTGCCATTTTTAAGGAGGACAAGTGCTATTTACCAAGGGTGCTGAGTCGGCCATCTTGCCTTTCACCACCAGTGGGGAGATTGAAAAAACAAGACTTCACGTTGATGAATTTGCACTGGTAAGAGAAGCTTTGTCATGCTTTCACAGTTTTTGGGCAGTTTTACATTGTTACAGTGATTACTTTTCGCTCTGTTGCCCATGAGGCTACAAATTCTTACCGTAATAGCCACACCCATATAATGCACTTGCATCCAGTCATCAGACACCCATAACCAGAACGATGTTCTCTGGACCCACTGCATTTGAAATCCTCGTCCCCTCTGGCTTGTTCTGTGAATTAAAAGCAAGCTGTTTCTTTTTTTTTTGCTTTTTCATCGGCCTTTCTCACAGCACATCTGTGATGTCTCATTTTATCCTTAATCATCTGGCACCCTCACATTTCTCAAACATTTTCCTCTTTTTTCATCTGCACACCCTTCTTTTTCATTCTGTTACAGAAAGGTTTAAGAACCCTGGTGGTGGCATGTCGCCACTTCAGTCCAGAGGAGTACATTGATGTGGACAGACGCATGACAGCTGCTCGAACTGCGTTGCAGCAGAGGGAGGAGCGACTACACGAAGCCTTCGATTACATTGAAAGGGACCTGCAGCTCCTGGGAGCAACTGGGGTGGAAGACAGGTAGGGAGACATAATGCAAATCAGGACATCCATGCTTTCTCTCCTATAACAATGCAGTTCTAATAATGCTCATGATAAAACTCTTTTGGGTATGTCAATGCTCTGCAAGTGTAGAAGAAGCCAAATCAAAACACTTCGGTAACATGATTAAAGAAGAATGTGCTTTCAACACAATTCTGCTTGTGTAATCTAAAATTCCTCATGAGGAAGGTGTAGCATATGTATTTTTAATCAAGTTGCTGAGTAACCACAAAATAGAATTTGAATAGTGCCGGCATTTGGCTGTCGGCTTTCACTAATATGAACCAGCAACTGCTTAAAGTAATGAACAAATGTGAAGCTCCTGTCTGATATATAGTAATATTTAGCACATAGTCTGAAGTAAAATGCATGTTTTTAATTGGCTTTTAAAAACTTTTGTTGTCAATAGTGTGATCTTATTATCATATATTGATCCACTCAGGTGTAGCCTCATTATTTTAAAAATATTGAGTTATAATTATATAAAAAAATTTTTATTATACTTTTTTCTTCTCTTTTGTTTTTTTTTCTTCATTTTTTAGTCTAATTGACTGATTGAATATGTATTTTGCTGAATCATTTGCCATAGTAATCTCAATTAATCGACATACACAGGCGGCACATGGCCAGTACAGGCCCACATAGCAGAGGGAGCCTCCAACAAATAAACAATTCATAGTCGGAAGGGAGATGCACACGTCTTTTCACTGAGAAAACGAATGTTGCAATGTGCTTGCATCCACTCACCATCTGCTCCTCACATAAGCCTCGGTTTCCCTCACTTTGTTTATCTCTGCTCTCTCACTGCTCTATTTCTGTGTCTGAACTGAATTGCTTGCGGGGCACACATGGTCACGATCAAAAGATCGCCTTCATTATGGAAGGGATGACTATCATTTTCCTCAGTCTAATATAAAGAATGCATGGCTGATAGGCAAATATGTTTTACATAATAACAACTGACTGTTAATCCCCTGTGGAGCATAGGCTGTTTTAAGGCACACTTCCCAGGGATTGAGTTGATGCAATTATATAGGAATCATTTGACCTTTCACACAGAAGGCGTGGTTCAGGTGTGCTCTTATGTATTACCCCCCCCCCCTTGTTTCTCTTAGACTTCAAGACAAGGTCCAGGAAACCATTGAGGCTTTACGGCTAGCAGGCATCAAAGTGTGGGTGTTGACCGGAGACAAACATGAGACAGCGGTCAGTGTCAGCTTGTCGTGTGGCCACTTCCACAGAACCATGAACATTTTGGAGCTTCTGCAACAGCGCTCTGACAGCGAATGTGCGGAGCAGCTCCGCAGACTGGCCAGAAGGTGGGTTTGTGTTGGTGTTTGTATTTGAAAGAGAAAAATTCTCCTTTTTAAAATGCGCATATTTAGAAAGCATTTGAGTTGATGAGCTCTTTAAGATTTTCAATTAGTATTTGATTAAGATTGTGGCCTCATGCTATATTTCAGAGAACGCCCTCCCACGGTGTTGATCCTTAGAAAAATCAAGCAGAGACTGAAAAAAAACACAATAATGTTGCTTAAGATAATATGTTTATATTCTGATCTTTTTGTGATTTTTCAGGATAAAAGAGGACCACGTTATTCAGCACGGTTTGGTTGTCGATGGAGCCAGTTTGTCTTTGGCATTGAGGGAACATGAGAAGCTCTTTATGGAAGTTTGTAAAAACTGCTCAGCTGTTCTGTGCTGCCGCATGGCTCCGCTGCAGAAAGCCAAGGTTAGAACCTGCTGCCAGCCACACACAACCTTCAACAGCTCTGAAACTTGGAACTGAAGACTTTGCTGAAAAACAATAACCCTATCTAAATGCTGTTTAATATATCAGTTGTCCTTTTTTTATGTTTAGGTTGTGCGTCTTTTAAAGACATCTCCAGAAAAACCAATCACTTTGGCTATTGGGGACGGAGCCAATGATGTCAGTATGATACAGGAAGCCCATGTGGGCATAGGTAAAGCATCCTGTACATACACTGACAATACGAATATAAACACTTTCTTTAGTCTTCAGAAGGGTGATGCTGGTGTTTATGTACATCTACAGGTATCATGGGAAAGGAAGGCCGTCAGGCTGTGAGAAACAGTGACTATGCAATCGCCAGGTTCAAGTTTCTGGCAAAACTACTCCTGGTTCATGGTCACTTTTACTACATACGAATAGCTACGCTTGTACAGTACTTTTTCTACAAGGTAAAAATGTGACTGCAAATTGAGATTATAATCTTTTATCACAACTGTACTTGGCTATGTCTGCATGTTTTTAATGTGTCCTTCCTTCACTCTGTCTTTTCTAGAATGTGTGTTTTATCACGCCCCAGTTTTTATACCAGTTCTTCTGTTTGTTTTCACAACAAGTAAGTCTCTCTAAATCTCCATTTCACTTACTTCCCATCTCTCATTGTCATTTCTGTCCCCCACATATTGTTCTGTTGAAGTCGTACTTTGGGAAAAACATTGTTGATTTTCCTCCCAAAACATTCCAGTTTAATTTCTGTCTTATATTTGATATACATTTGAACAAATACCATCCTTTTGACTTGCTAAGTGATTTCTGTTAAATACCCTAAATTTTACCAATTGCAGGCAATTATTTGACTCAAAAAGTTGAACAACAGTTAAACCATCCTGAATATTTGAGTTACTCCTGAATTAAACGCAGCCTGTGTGTTGAGTGAGTTGAAGATATCACTTTAATTACTGGTGTTGATTGAATTGCTGTTTTTGTCCAACCTAGACTCTGTATGACAGTGTTTACCTGACACTGTACAACATCTGCTTCACCTCACTTCCCATCCTGGTGTACAGTCTGTTTGAGCAGCTGGTCCATCCTCATGTACTGCAGAGTAAACCTGCCCTGTACAGGTAAGGTCACCGTTAGCCGAAAACAGCTAAGTAACTTCCCATGTTGTTGTGCTATATGTGCCACTTACTGACTTGGGAGATGATGCATGTTTTTTTTATGTTATCAATCAATAAATTGCCTATTAAAGTGTTATTATGTACTTTATCTTTAACGTGAACATGTGGTTTGATAGACCATTTTGATGTAGAAATGATGATAAAGTTTGTTTCATCAACAGAGACATCAGCAAGAACTCGCTGCTGTCCTTTCGGACGTTCTTGTACTGGACTCTGTTGGGCTTCTGCCACGCATTTGTTTTCTTCTTTGGATCCTACATTCTGATGGGGGAGGACACAACCCTCATGGGCAATGGGCAGGTCTGTGTCTGACAGCATGAATATGTTGTGTTCCTAACTAATTTTACTGAGGCAAAAAATGTTAAAATTCCTATATCAGAATTGTTTAGCACATAAATGGTAAGCGGTTGTGTTCTACGGGTTATCTCAAAGAACGCATTTTATGATGATTCGATGGTACTGATTACTGGCTGGTATTTGTGATTTCTTGCTTTAAGCTTCCTTTTTATCCGTTTCTCATTCTTTCTGTTAAGATAACAAATGTTCTCTTTCTTTCTGTTTTCTTTCCTGCTTTGTTGCCATCTCTCTTACTGAAGCTTACCATTTCTGAATGCCCTATTATTACTCTGTTGGTTGTCTTTTTCTTCCATCTTCTGTTGATTGTGAATTTTCCCTTCTGCCTTCACGCTGTGCATGACTTCAGATCTTGCGAGCTAACAGGCAGCTGGTAAGAGTATGTTCTACAGTCGAATGCATGTCTCCCTAGGAGGTTAATGAGAGGACTCGAGAAGATTCATAACATGTTTTCTGTTGATTAAAAACTTTATTATATTATTAATTATTATATTATTTACTCATTCATTTATTCATCCTAAACACAGCTTACACTACTTGCTATTAAGCTTAAGGTTTCGACTCTAGCAGGTTTCTGAATTGGTTGTCAACAGTACGCTGGCTTCTGCAACTGTCTTTGTGTAAGTAGCTTTGGAGCTGCTGGGGGTTGTCTCACAGGCCTCAGCAGGGACGACACAACACCAGCTCCTTAACTAGTGACCACTTTCTAGTCTTTTCCCTTCCACCATATTTGAAACTAAATTATGGGGTTGTTTTTCCAACAGTTATATAAAAAACGTATTGAATAACTAAAGAAAAATAAATCTTAAAATGACTTCATGGCGTGATTTTTGCCATCCATTGGACCAGTGGAAGTAATCCCAAGTTGTTGGAAATGTTCAAGAGAGGCAGTGATCAGTTATTCTGCTACTAAAAGTGCATGCAGATGTAAACAAGGCTTCTTTTTCTCTGTGGCCGTAACTGTAAACTGTTGCGCGACACCTTAGATGGCTAATAAGTGCAACACATTTCTTTTATAGATGTTTGGGAACTGGACTTTTGGAACGCTTGTCTTCACCGTTATGGTCATCACTGTCACTTTAAAGGTAAATTACACTGGATTTTAAGTCTCTGTAATCAACCAATTTATTGCACAAAACCTCAGGCATTATATGTGTGCTTTAGATGTATTATTAAATATGCAACATACTGCACATCTCTGAAAACCAGAATACTCGGCGTAGATCTAAATGAACCTAAAACATGTTCTCAGGTGACTACAAAAAATTATTTTTACTGCAGTTCAGCAGGCGTGTAACTCTGTTGCTGTTTGCAGTACTAAAAGCTGAGCAACATGTTAATGTACACTCAGCCACCCTTGGTTGTCACACCCACAGTGTGAAATACAGAATGCTGTGAAAAGGATGATGTCAGTGTGCATTAACTGCAGAGGATTATTAGTTACAGGTGGAGAGTCAATGTCTCTTTTATGGCACCGAGATTGCTGAGGTTTATTGTTGCACCACCTGTTATTATTTCAATTTTTTACATGTACTCCATTGTGTGTCTGTGTGTGTTTATTCAATGTCAGCTGGCTCTGGAGACTCATTTTTGGACATGGATGAACCATTTTGTGACGTGGGGCTCAATTGCTTTCTATTTCATCTTCTCACTCTTCTATGGAGGAATTATTTGGTAAGGAAAAATATTGTCTCTCTTTTGTGCATTTATTACATTTATGAAAAATAATTGACAATTAATTGAATTTGTTCCCATCTAAGCAGTGCAGAGCTCATCCGAACAGTTCTGAAGTTGGGCACTTAATTTCAAAACTATTAAGTGAAATTAACAGAGATTTTAAGGATTTCCTAATGTTTTTGTCTGCCTGCACAACCAGTTTTGTTATTGCAGCAACATGTCTGAAGAGTGTCAGACAGGTCTGATCAGTCTTAGCCACTTTATCCAGTCGAGTCATCCTCCAGACTTGTGGGAGCCATCCTACTGATATTGGGCTATAATTGATATTTGCAGTCTGACATCTGCACCAGTCGTTAAATTCTGTTGTCAGGGAGTAATAAAATCATTGTGAGAGCACAACTCAAAATGCCAGTGACACTTGGATTCACAGTGAACAGAGCAAAGTGCGTCACATCTGGTTGTCCAGCTTTTTTGTTGTTGTTTTTTAAGGTTTTATTAAATGTCACATTTGCTTTTGTATGAAATAACTTATACACCTCTGATGACAAGTATTTTCCTTTCCCTACATAACTGTTGTGTTGTTTTTCTTTTCCATAGGCCATTTCTGCATACCCAGGACATGTACTTTGTCTTTGTGCAACTCCTGTCCAGCGGTTCCGCCTGGTTCGCCATCATCATCATTGTCATCACTTGCCTCTTTCCTGATGTTGTGAAGAAGGTCCTCTACAGACATCTGCAGCCTACCAGCACACAAAAAAGCCAGGTAACAATTGGACGGGGTGGAAACGCCAAAAAAAACAAAAGAAGAAAGAGATGCCTTCAGGAAACATTTGTGATGAGGCTGATTCAAGTAACTCTGTGATGAATTTTTTTTTTTTTTGCCGGGCCACTGCAGGCTAAAGATTTCCATGAATCAGGCCTTTAATCTGTGAGGCAAATACCTCTTTGCATTTCAGCTGGGGGGCTTTTATCCTCAGCATAGTTGTTTAAGTGCAGTCATTCAGACGTACATAGATGTGAACTTGGGCCTTTAAGCTGTCATAGAGCCACAATTAAGAACCAATACAGCATGAACATAATCTAGATAATATGTGAGAGGTGTCATAATTTTGTAGCCATCTAACTCATAATGATACACTCAAAGCTCTAAGCTACGGTTAACAAATGTATGATATCTAAAATAACCCGATTGCACCACAGATTACTTACAGATCTCACTTCACTTTGGGTTTTTTTACAACATTTGACACTAAATGAGGCTCCTGATTAGGGAGGAGCTGTACTATTTAGGTGATAAGCTGTAAAAAAGGTCAAATTATTCCTCTTTGAATAGTATTTTCACCTGAAATGCACCTGTCTGTTCCTTATTGTGTTCATGTTAGTTCTGCATGTTTCAGCAGGCGCATACATGGAAGTGGAAATTAGTTAGTGAAATACTGAGAGTGGAATCAGAAGTATTTTTAACATCTAACATAACTAAAAACAATAGATTGAAAAGACCTTTCCTATTTTATAAGCAGAACTCTTTAGATATTCGTCATTGTTTCCCCCAAGCCAGTAGGAAAAATCTAAATTAAAATGCCACACAGGGCGTTAAATGAATTTAAAGGTATTGGATTGGCAGGAAGGAGCGGCCACTCCTCAGTGCTTTTCTGTATCCATGAAAAGAGCCTGGAGGTAGAAAGAAATGAGAATGTCAAAGAAAACTCAAATCTAGACTTCAACAGAAAAGAGACTGTGGGTTGAGTTTCAGTGGCTCACTATTTTAAGCTTCAGTGATCACGGGTAAATCACTTAACATGGTGTTCATATTTGCACCGCATGACTGCCCCCTGATCAGCACACCAAGAAAGAAAACAACATATCACCAATGATTTGTCCAGCTGGAAATGATCCAGGTTTACTTTTATTCTTTCCTTTTGAAAATGAGTTTGTCTTTCAGAGAAACCCTCCCAATGCTTAGTGGTGTTTATAGGTTCTGTTCTCACTTTTTTCCTGCTTTGTGTGTGTGAGAGGATGTAGCCTCAGTATGAAATGTGTCTTTGAATCAGCCAATGTCTGTGTGTGAAAGAATTGGATTTCTAACCTCTCTGTGTGTCTATGTGTTCTTCGTCCTACTTTTCGTCTGAACTCTCCCGGCGTAGATGTATTCCAACAGAGTGGTGATAGGTGATGACTTCATCGCTCTGCAGCCTTTGTCCAGAGCCAAGACCCAGCTGGGCAAAATTAGGTAGAGGATTTATTCAGACCTGGGCTAAACCTCCATCAAAAAAATTAGAGTGGAAAAAACAAATAACAGGAGTGCTTTATTCAGAGACAATATTTCAATACTAAAAACATTTATTTGATTTTCAGACTAATCTATTTTCTCTTCTCAGGAAACAGATTGTAACTGCAACGTATTTCAGAAGTCCTTTTTTTTGCTAAATTAAATGTGTGTAAGTAACTAACTCAATTGGATTTAATTCAGCTTTTTTCATACTTTTTGTGATATTTACTAAGGACAAAATGTCCTGAATTTCAATGTTGCGTACATCTTACATATTCCCATTTGTATCAGCTTTCATTTTGTGATACAAATGTCTTTAAAATCTTAAACGTAACAATGCAGTTGCACAAATTGTTTCACATGCAAAGCGCTCCTGTTTGTGTTTATTCATTGAATTTCAGATTTTCTTCACTCCCGGGTCTGGACTTGCCGTAGTCCTCCAAAGGCCTTTTTCCCACACTAGCAGCAAATCTGAGTCGTGTGCTGCTGGTGTTGGAGCCAAGATTGTGCTTTTCTTTCTTTTTTTTTTGTCTGTGACTGCATGTTATTGACAGCAAATCAGCATTCTCTGTGGTCAGATTGGGAAAATGTAAATGAGCTGTGGTCCTTGTGGGGTTGGAGATCAAGCAGAAGAATGTGATGAGTCTTTTAACTGCTGCATGTGCTGAATATTGGTGAGAAACCTCCTTCTCACTGCATGCTGCATTCATTCCACTCCATCCACCCACTGCATGCGCAAGCTTATAAGTGACTGAGTGATCGAATGTGTACCTACCCACTGCATTTAAACACCAAAATACAGAACAATGTTGGAATGTGGGGAGCAAATATTGTTTCTTAAACAGTCCTACATACAATCTGACATCAGTCAGATGCATGGTGCAGCCTTTGAAACCACTTTTTTGTCTTCACATCATGATGCACACTTTTGAGGTTTGCGCATCCAGAAGTCTCCAGTTTGTTTGGTTTCTTTACCACGTTAGACTGCCTTCTCACATCAGAGTGCCTTACCTGCATGGGTTCAGCAGCTCCACAGACTGATGCATGAGTGGCTCTTCAGTGGTTCTGGGCCATCTTCACCAGCAGCAGTAGGCTGCCCCGCATGACGTGCTGGGTCGTTTAGAATGGGGACTTTCGGTATTTGAAAATGGTGACCAAATATATTTAACAGTTTTCTTACATGTGATTTGAAAGGTTATTATGGTGCATGCTCTGTAGCATGGTAGTCAGGCACTTGCATGGAAATGAATATTCATGCTGATTTAAAAAAAGAAAAAGAAAAAAAAAAGCTTTAATGGCTGTTTTAATAGAGCTTTAAAACTTTGCCAGTTTATTCTCCACATTAACTGACGTCCTGTCAGCCATGTTCAGATTTATGGTCATGTTGTCATCAGTGAGTTGGTTGAGTTGCACCACGCTGCACAGAGAGGGGCCTTAAATCAATCCTCACCCAAAAAAAGATGTGACGAAATATTCCAATTATCTCTGTATGAAACGCTTTTAACAAAAACTAAGCAAATGCCAACAGAGGTATTTGCATTGCTATTAAATTTTATTGTGTGCGTTTGATAAACTGTTGTTATTACAGACGAAGCAGATCATTCCTCAGACTCCATCTCAATGAGGATGTGCAAACTACGAATTTCAGAACGTCATCGTTCTGAATGCGGTGTTAAAAGCATTATGCTTATTATTATGCTTCATTATAAGAGATCCTATGTCTTCAGTTTAATTTATTTGCTAAGACCTGTATTTATTTGAAATCCACTACATTCCTTACAGTGTGCTGCGTGATGCCATTAATTCAGCTACATGCTTTCAGTAACTTTCAGGGTTTTTTTCCTTGGAACATGAGGTTATCACAGCAGAATCCAGAGGACTCTCCTGGGTTTGGAAGTTGTCAGCCCACTCTGTAGCTCTGATAAAGTCAGCAGTAGGTTAATTGGCTCACAGACTAATTGATTTGCTCTTCCCTGCACTTCCCTTGAGAAACTCTCTGTACACCTGAAGCTTCTCTTTGTTCATTATTTTCTTGGTTTAACATCTTCGTCTGAGCTTACCGGCTGCTAAGTCGAGAAGTTCGTTTCGGTCTCTCTTCTGCTTTTGAGGGTAATTAAAGACCTCCTTTGGTGACCTCATCAACCCAATTAAATATACTGAAAGACCCCCTTAAACTTGTGACACTAGATTGCCCCCTCGTTGTGAAGAGGAATGATGTTGTAATCTTCTGGCTGGGACCTTTCTCCAGTTAACATCTTTATACAGAGACCAGGAAGTAGATCATTTGTTTTGATAAGGTTGATGAGGTCATTTTCAAAGGGCTTTGACATCGGACCAAAGTGCCATTGGTCTGTGTATACTCAATGCATACATCTGTTTGAGATTGTTCCCAATCGACCGGCCTCTTGCAGAACCTCCTAATAGACACACTGACTGAGTGAACACTAGCCTACTTACCAAATAATTTGCGAGTCATTCAGTTAGCTGCACTGAAAAATTTATCCACTTTACCCACAGTTAAGTCTTTGTAGATTTCATCTAGATAATGGAAAACATAGCCAGATGCTTTTGGCTCAAAATAAGGACTTCACATGGATTGATTTTAGAAGGTTCCAAAAGAAAAAAAATCTAACAGGGAACTTGACATTTAAATTGTCAGCCTGTTTTACTAAATATTTAAAGAACAAAAAACAAGACTGAATGGCAAAGATGGATATTTTTTGCAGTGTGATTGGTTATGTTGCTGTGTCGTTGTCCGGCCTGCCAACAGTCTTGACTTGCGGTTGACTGATGGATAAGCTGTTTGATTGGCCAGCAGGGCTCACTGTAAGCATCTTGTGTTCTTCAGATGGAAGAGGGTGAGGGTTCAGTCGGCCCAGAATATGACCCTGTTAAAGCCCAGCGGAGCCCAGGGGAGGACAATTGGCACCTGCTAGCTGCTTATCCTCCCCCTGCTGCCCCCGGCCCAGACCCATGCTCCCCTAGGTAGTACCATACATGTACTCCACTCCCATCGCCCTCATCCTACTATCACTGTCCCGGATTCACCCCAAAACCAACCGACCCTCTGCACCCCCTCACAGCTGCAGAAACCTGCACATGCCCTTACGTTTGGTTACAACGACCTGCACCTTCAATCATTACCTCTGTTGTATGCTACAGCTGCTCCACTCTGCCCTTTTATTTTAAAAGATAATACTTCCTTTGTATGTCTTTCTCTCACTATCACTTTGTCTATGTATGACGCCATAATGTCCCGCCCAGTCATGATTTAACTCCCCCCTCCCTGCCCATCTATGAAAAACCTCATCCTTCTATGCCCAGATGTGACTCTCAACTGTCCTCCCTTACCCAACCATGACTGTGCCTGACTTTCCTTAACCCCTCACTGTTATTGACCAGGTATGCGTTCAGACCCAAGACAGAGAGAATGCTGTTAGCATGCTGGCTTCATTGTCACTCACTGTCTGCTCCCATGTGACTCAGTAAAACCTTACTGTTTAGTGGATCATCGTATGCATTTTAAAGTTTCATTTGAGCTGTGTTGCTTGTTTGTTCTGATATTTAACAGTGTTTTTCTTTCTCCACATAGTGAGGGTGTATGTCATACTGCAAGTCAGTGATAGCTACTTAGTTTTGTCCAGACCAAAATTTGCTACATGTTAGAGCCTTCAAAATAGCAGCGACTGTCCCTATGGCTTTGCAAACCAGCCGAATGATCAGATGTGCTGAGAAATAAATAATAACTCAGTCAGGGGATGATGCTACCTGTAAAACTGTCCCTGAGGCACTTAATGACAAAGCCAAGACTTCTTGTGTGTGTTTCTTAGGAAACCTTATGTTTCCTGAGAGCTGTTAATCACATTATGTGGTTCAGCTAGGGGCAGGATGGCGCCTCTGTTTCATTCAGAAAACGGCACCTTTATGAGATGGTCATTGAAGCTGATATTTCCCTTAGGTGTTAATGGTTTTGATTTACAAGCCCTGCTCCGATTTCTGTTTTAGCAGTTGATGTAGTGGCAGGCAGAAACAGCGTCGACACTGTGGCACTCCAGTAAAGGACTTTCTACAAACAGGTCAACACTACTCCAGCATCTTTCACAGACGGTGGATACAGCTCTGGCTTGTTTTCCACCTCTTTATTCTGCCAGAATAATTCATATCCAGGCTATGACCAGCTATGAAAGGGAGGGTTGGTTTCATGCCAATGGTGTCTCAGATTTCTACAGCAGCTGCAGAGATGAAAGGTGGTCTCTTCACTTTCAATAGTCCCTGAACGATGTGTGTTTCCGAGCCCCATGAGTCATGTAGCTCGTTGATGAAAACCAGTGGCTGATCTGTCTCTTCCCTGTTTGTCTTTCTGAACTGTTATTTGTCCAGTCCACAAAATGTGTTCACCAGCAAGCTACTATCACACAAGCAAATCTGAAATTATGTTAGCCTTACTGATTAGACAGTTAAGGGTTTCCAATCACTTCTAGACAGCTTCTATATTCATCCAGATATTGTTTTTGTATTACGGGTATTTATTTATTTATTTGGGGGATGGGTGTGGTTTGTCACTCACTTTAGACTCGCTTTACACTTTTGTTTAAGCTCATATATTGTCGTGATATACTGTTATCAACAACAACTCTGAAGATTAATTAAAAAAAAGAATCAAGTGCAAGGATTTCAAAGAAAAGGAGCTTGGCGTCTATTGCTGCCCATGAATCATTTGCAGCTGGCCTTGGTTGAGGTTGGTTGGCTGAATGATGCAGATTGATGTGGATGAGATGCAGAGTGATCCATCACTGATTTGACAGCCAGCCAGAGAGACCTTAGCTGAGTAATGGAGGCTTAACAACAGAGAGAGGGGTTGTCTTGTCTTGAAGGATCACTCTGAAATCACCAATTGGTTTCTCAGAAGCAGGAAGGAAAGACACACATAGTAGACCAAGACCAAAAAGGGAAAAAAAGGTTGGTTTTAAGGTGCCTTCCTGCGAAGAGGAGCACAGTTCAAACCCAGCAGAAATCAGATGTGTGAGGTTGAATTGCTGGATAGTTGCATCATCCGTTAGTGCCGTGTTATTTGAAGGACGCCATAGACGAGCGTTTAGTTCACCAGAATAACCTCCAGGTAGTTTTTTATTCACCAATTTCAGCCTCATGGTGTGTTTTCCGTGTGTTTAAAGTTGGAACAGTTTGTTTTTATTTGCAACATTTCATTCCCCAGTGAAGCATGTTGAATGTGGTCCCTGTTCTCCATCGTTACGGTAACAGCATGCAGTATGTCATCCTCATCCTTTCACTGGATGATGAGACACTCATCAGACAATGACATGTCAAAGATTTTCATGTTTTAATTACTTTTTTCCTTCTCTTTCTCTATTTACTTCTATTATTCTTTCCATCTGTTTCCCTCTGCTCACGTTTCCTCCTATCCTTCACACTGCCATTTTACTCATCTTCTTTGGCTCTTTTTCTGCGCTGTCACCATCTCTGCCCTCCGACAGTCTCTATCAGCCTCCCAGGCGCAGGCCCTCAGCTGTGTGGAGTCCCTGTGCTGCTACCAGCATGGGCAGAGCGGCTGTTCCCGCCTGGCCCACCTCCTGGAGCAAATGACCGGACAGTGCAAGGCCAGCGCAAGCAGTTGCCACGCATCCAGCCGCAGCAACAGGTGGGGAGGATAGAGCCCTTAACAAACACTGATTATGAGTCCTAATGAGCCCTGGCCTTCTCTTGGTGTCAAAGATTTGGCCTACAGTGCTGACCGTGAGCACACCTCAGCTGTAAGTCTTCTCTTGATCAGATCTTAGCAGGCCAGCTCTCAGATGGTGGTTTAGTGCAGAGTTAATCTGCAGAAACACGGATTATGTCATCATGGACTTAACTGTTGAGTTTGTCAGTGTTGGAAAAGCTTGGAAAACAAAATCCCAACAACAAACAACTGATTGTGATGGCCGTAATGCCTTGTATGGCGTCTGAGGCGTGTAAACAGTTATGTTTTACCCCTTCCTTTTTTTTTTTTTATTGAATTGAATTTTTTTGTAAATTGTTGTCCTGTCATCAGTTGACGCACACCCAGCAGATATCAATCTCATCCTATGTCCTGTCTGCAGATGATACGTGTTAGCTGACATGTGACCTGTTGTCTGTCTGCCTGTTTGTCTTCTCTGTCCTCTTCTGTGATGCTTCCATATATTCAAAGTTTGGTTTCCGAAGAAGAATTTAGTCTTTTTGTCCAGTTTTCTTTGTTAATCTGCAATGTAACTTTAACAGACAACACCTCAACTGCATCAACCTGACATGTTTTATTTTGGGTCACTCTGCTTTGTGTTGTCATTCCTTGATTTGGAGTCCAGACAGTTGTTCAATGGCCAAATCAAAGCGACACAAAAACTAATTGTGTAATAATAAGGTGACCAGTGTTAAGTTGACACTAAGGTTGTGGCCCTAAATTACACTGACTGTCAGTTTACAGACCAAACTTTGACAGCTGGACTCAAAGGCAGGAAGCTGAGCACACAGTTTGTGGGTCTGCTCCGTCTGCACTTTCCGTGCCATTGTGTCTTTACCTGAATCCCAGTGACTCCGAGGTCATCGATTCATTGACCTGATCAGCTCTTTATGCTGAGCAGTCAGTAACCCCCGAACATCGTGGGACTCTCGTATTGATTAGACTGGTGATGAGAAGGTACTGTTTTGGACAACAAGCATTTTATAGTGTAGCTCGCACAGATTCAGGTGGTGTTAGCACGCATGCTCGTTTGGTCTTGTGTGTTTGAGACCGTGAGCATGCGGGGAAAATAAGAGATCCATTGTTCTCGTTTGTGCCCTCTGCCTCTCTGGAGCATGAGCTGCAGACTCTCTGGTCAGGCAGACAACTGTGTCACCACAGAAAATCTCTCAGTAACTAGTTTGGTATGTTGGTTCCAAGTGAAAATAATACAATCTATTTCAATTTGAATCCTCCAGCAGGCAGCATAAAGTGAAGGGTTTTCTTCGACATGTCCTCCCGGACATTGGTCGTGAAACGTTCTGTTTCTGCTGCTGTCAGGTTCAGTTCACTGAGAGAAATACAAACCTTCAGGGTGAAATTGCCTCCTAAAGCATGATTCAATTTATATTAATTCCTTCCTGTGGGGATGATTGATCTGTTTTCTGACCTTGGCAAAAGCAGCCAGTTGGTTTCCTCCAAGTGGGGACACGGCGGCCGATGTATCCCTCACGGGGTAAAAATAAACAGCGAATATAACGTAAAATGCATAGGTCTGCTTTTTACTGTGAGTACAACACAGTCAAAGAATAGAAATACAGCTGAGTCAGCAGGTGTAACTTTTATCCCTTCTTACCTTTTTGTCTATCCCCTACTCGTCTTTCCTCACGCACTCTTTAAACCTCATAAATTCTTTATTTTGAATTCAAAGAAAGAAGCAGTCGACTACTATGAACTGAATGAGTTATGAGACTCCACACAATTTTGGCCTTAATGCTAGGATACTGCCATAGGTGGAAGGGTATTTACCCATTCTTTATTCTAATGACTGGACAGAATATATAGCAAGCATATTTAAAACTTATATCATGCACTCAGTATTTATTCAGTATTTATTGGGAGGTCAGCTAATGGTCAGCTGCTTGTCTTCGCCTGTTACTGCTGTGTTGAATGCTGGCCATAGCTGAACGATGGCCGGGGGCAGCGGAGCACCACGCACGCACGGATGTCAGGAGATGAAATGTTTTTCAGTATAACTAACATAAAGTGTATGCCTGCGTGTAACCGTCACACCCCATGCAGCTGATTCTCCCTCCACCTGCCAGACAAAGGGGGTTCGACACATCAGTGCAAAATGACTAACGGGAAACGCATCTTATGTTGTTTAAAGTAAAGCAAATATTTACTTTGACAAATGCAAACCTTTCATTTTTTTCTCAAAGAATGGATGGAGATTCAGCTGCTGGTGTTCCTTCTTATTTCGACTCAAAGAGCCCCGTTGTGGTTCGTTTAGGGTCTGCATCTTAAACCAGAGGCTGCTGGGACATGTAGTCTCATAATCTTTTACCCTACTATTTCCTATATCTGCTAACCTTTTTCTACTGGATCCTGAAGCCTTATATATACTTCTGAGAAGAGGCCAGCACTGAGGGTGTGCTTGTTTTGTATCTGCTGGTGTTCCAGTTGGGTGGGGTTCTGGACAGGTTTGACTTTCCGGAACTCTGTCGTCCTCTAGAAGCTACAGAACCAGATTGTCTGGACTCTGTCCTGTTGCATGAGGGCTGCTGCAGCCTTTTGTATTTTGTATACAGTGTTAGCCTGTACATGTTTGTGCCCCTCACACACTTTGTGTCTGTGTCCTTCTGTGTCTGCATAAGGCTGTCTGACCTGTCAGATCAATATTGTATGTGCTGTTAACATTTCCTGTGAGTCTAAAATCGTACTGTTCTGTTCCAAGTTCATGTTTCCAAAGATATGTTGGGTGCTGCTGTCCTTAAACTCCCTTACAACCCAGAGTACAGATGTTTGGCTTTCACCCTTGCCCCGGCAGACAAGCTGAGCAGGTGACTCATCACGTGAGGGCGCCTGCAGAGAAACCCACAATTTGAGTCATGAGCCTATTTAGAGTCTCTGCGTGGCCTCGTTTTCGCCGTTTACCAGGTCTTAAAACGGTTGTCTTGGTCTGAAAACAGTCGTGAATTAAAGGGGATTCGGAGCAGAGAAGCTGACACTTAACAATAAGAGGAAAAGAGAAGGTGGAGCATAGCTTAATTCAGCAAAGGGTCAAGTTAGACAATGTGTTTTAGTTCTGAAACAGTTCGGCCCCTGAAAGCAGCACTGCAGGCGTCAGGTGAAGATCAGCTGCAGCAGTCAGAGCGCAGACCCTGCTGACGCTCTGAGGTAGAGGCCCATCATCGTCATGTTTGTGAGTCAGCGCAGTGGAGGTTGGTTTGCTGTGACCTCAAACAGTAGCAAGCTGTGGCGTTTGTGTTGTGTTCTTATTTTTTTTTTGTCTGGCTCAAATTTGAAGCATTCAGTTTGAACACTATGAACATTTTCATAAATAGATCCAGCTGGGGAAGCTGATAAGTAAAAAGGACTTTGCCTCTGTCACTTTATACTTTATGTGTATGTATGTAAAGTGATGGTGAGATATTTAGGGAATCTAATATTTGGGCTGTTTATTCCAGAAGAAAAGAAGTGTATGTATATTTTGGAGTGGATAAATGCTGCCAATGCTTGTTAACCATGAGTTATTTTCCCTTTTCTTAATTATCTTCATTTATGTGTTGAGTATCTTAAGTCTCATGTCAAATCCTCAAAGAACACACTTAAAGAAAGACCCAATAAGATAATATGTAAAGCAGTTTTAGAGATGGATATAAGCTTCAGAAATATGATGCATAAAATGTATTCCATTTGTCAGCTTTCTATTAATGTTTTCACAGCATAAAGTCAGCAAACTGGGGTTGAGCAAAACAGCCTGGAAATAGATGAAAAAATATTGTTTTCCGACTTGATTGAGTTTGTGAAGCAGCAGGTGGGATGAAAGCGCAGAGATCCGCTGGGGACCAAACACAGGATTAACATAAAAAACCCTTATGTAAACAGGTGAAAGCGCTGTGTGGGTTTCAGTGCTGGGCAGCACCTTCCGTGGCCCTGTTGAAAGTCCAAAGGTGTTTTTACTAGTCTGCATGAGATTTTTTCATTTGCCTGTGCCCCCACAGGGAACATTTGTGTGAAAATGGTTCCCTGTGGAGCAGTGATGGAGGCGTTAGCAGTGAGGAACCTCATTTAGAGACGCTATCCTCAGGACGCTCATTCAGAGAGGCGTTCAGCCGCCATAAAATGCATGGAAATCAGTGATAGGCAGGGTAAATTATGGCCTTTTCGTCTCAAACAGGTCGCCTGCTGCAACTAAACCATGATGGAAAGGTCATCTACCTTTTCTGTGTGGTTTTATCCACAAAAGGAACGTCTTTATTCACCAGTTTCCCATCTTACTGAATGGAATGACTGCAAGCCCTTTCTCATGTTTTATAACCAATAATGCTGTAATTTTAGCAAATTAAACCTGTGTTCCCGTTCATTAATTTGGACCACAGATGACAAAACCATCAGTGCTTGTTCATGAGGAGAGACTTTAGATACTCATCACACTCTACACTCATCCATCCCTCCATCTTCTCTGCTGCTTCCAGCTTGGTTCAGGAGACTAAAATCTCCCTTTTTTTTTTAATTTATTCTAACCTATCAAAAGCTCAGCCCCACCATACAAACACACACTCACACACACGCATCGTTAGTCTCTAACTATCAGTCACTGCTGCCTGTTTTCAGGTCTTGGAGCGACACAGAGAACTTCTCCAATGATCGCAGCATCCTGACGCTGTCGCCCATCGAGGCCACCCACTGCTGACTCCCACGGCCTCTGACTAACACGCAACTGAGCGGGGGCGGGGGGGCCGCTACCGCTCACTTCTCAGTCATAAGGACACCCCTCACCCCCACCACCATTTTACGAGCCCCCCCTCTGTTTGAACCCGTCACGCACACGATAAGGAGCCGAGGGACTCGGGCTGCCTTACGCGTCAACTTCCCCCCCCGAGTGAATCGATTCTTAAAAAAGGCTGAGAGTAACGTGGGGAGGGAGCTGCAACGTTATAGGAAATGAAAGCCTTCAGCCAGACCCCGACTTTTCCGGAGCCACAGAAGATTTATTCAGTACATAGGCAGGAAGAATCTCTCCCCGGTGCCTGGAGTGCGTTCACAGGTCCTGCAAAATAATCAGAACCGCACTCGCCGCCTCCTCAATGGTCAAGTTTAGTCCTTACCTCACACAGCTGTTTGTTTCCCTTCAGCTCATCAGCTGTCAAACCTTTTTCAGGCTCAATCTACGCATGCAGGGAATGGGGATTTCAGACTGCCTGTGCTTTTTTTTGTTTAGTTTTTTCCTGCTAAAGTCAGTCATCGGCCCCGCTCCAAGCGTGGCACTGCAGTGTAACATGGCTGACCAATCACATCGCGGGATGAATCCACAAACTGGGATGGCTCACGTAGCACCAGGAGCTCAGAAGAAAAGCGTCTGAGGTGTCTGTGAGCAGCTAAACTGCAGCCTCTGAGCTGTCTGCTCCACACTGAAAGGGGGAACCCCCCCCCCCAACGCCGCGCAGCACCCCAGGTTCTGCTGGTGCGTTCTAAGCTGCTTCCCTGAGCTTCATCTCATGTGCGGTACCAAAGACCAAAGGATCTAGACTGGAGTTTATAAGGAAAAAGTGTTTATTTTTGTGCCTGATTGTACAGAAGCTTATATTCTTAAGAAGACTTTTCTTTTGTTTGTGCTGCTTTGTCGTCCGACTGTCCAGGCCTTTGTCTCCCCGGCGCGCCGCTCAGAAAGAGGCCGGATGTTTAAAAAAGCCATACGTTTTGAAGAGGTTACATTATTCGAATAGTTAGGTAAAGGTACTGTGGATGGATTCAACCTGTTGTTTCTTTGTACATATTCCCCTAGAATGCCTTCTCTCCATCAGCCCGTTGACCACAGCTGTCTCAGCATTACAGTCCATTATGTCCAGGGATTATTCCTGAGCTGAAAAAGTCTGTGTATTCAGTTTATTTTCCAATCAAAAGATTGTCCACAAATGGAATGGGGAGGTAGAAGCGTCTGCCTTGGTTTGCTTAAAAGTAATCCCAAAAGTATCAGAAAAAAAAAGAGATGGCTGACTGGGACAGAGATGGCTGTAATGGTGGGCAGCTGAGGGGAATCGTGGCCGGTGCGTTAACCCAGACAGCAGAATGTTTCCACGTCCTGAGGATTAATCTTTCACTTTCAGAAAGGTAAAGCAGAGCGTTTGCACACGTCACATATCACTTTTATTTTTTTCTTTGAAAAAAAAAAAAACATCTCGTCACCCATTTCCACTAAAACCACATTAACCATGTTTTTCCCGTGACACTGCTTTGCCAGGCCTGCGTGCGCTGTTAAGGCGTGTGTGTGTGTGTGTGTGTCTGTCTGTGTGTGTGTGTTGGCTCCTCCGTGTGGCAGCCATGTTGTCCGAGGGCTCGTAGCGAGCTCCGAGAGCGCGTGGTCCAGCCTCCCTGAAACACAACCGTTTTAAACTTGACACCGACGACCACACAGCTCTGACCTGTACCTGCCTCAGCAAACGCAGGGAGGAAACAGTCATAGGATGCCTCTCAGCAGCTCCCACACCATTCAGGCACGTTATCAGTCCTCTGTCGAATATTTCTGTATGGTGCAACCCAGTGGGAGGGTGTATTTATTATTGCTGTACTCTTGTTTTGTGTTCGACTTCTCCCACATGTCATTGTATCTGTAATCCTGTTATTACGCCACCTGATATTTGAGATAAAGGGTGCTTCACTCCATCCAGCAGAAGTAATCCCACTGTCCTTTTAGGTGTCATCAGCAAATGAGTTTTGAACCAGATGTGATGAATCACCCATAATGCACCTGTGTTCTGTCTCTGCATGAAGCCGAGTAACACTGTCCAAACGAGCAGCTCGCATCTGTGAAAGAAGTCGACCGAAGTTCGACTTCGACTTCTCGTTATCGGGGAAAATGTTCACTCTGAAAAGGGAGCTTCCACTTAAAGAGGAAGTTTAAAACTCAGCTTTTACAGCCGGTGTAACGCCCCCCCGGGCAGCACACAGATGGGCTGACCAGTGGCGTCCCGACGGCGCCGGGCGGAATAGGTTTGCATGCCAGGCAGTGTCTGTCCACCACCAGCAGCCGTCATATCGATCAGGCTGTGTGGAGCTGAGAGCCTCTCAGCAGCTGCCGGTTATCCTTCACGTTTATCAGATCTGATTCTTGGTAGGTGCGTATTAACTCCCTGTAACACTGCAACAGCTAAAGCAGCGCAGATGAAGAAATAACATGCTGGAACCTGAATTTATTTTGACAGTGGAGTCAGGTGTCCTTCACGCATCTCAACAGCTTCTTTTCTACCCGAGCCTCGTCCTGTTACAAAGTCTCTCCATTAAAGAACGGGTCTTCTCCTCCCCCTCTAGTTTATTTAAAGCATGACTCTTTAATATGGCCTCCATCAGGTGGAGGATCACTGTGATGACCCCCGCTGTCCATTCTTTGACGGAGATTAAACGGCTTTAAACGCTAAATGCATCTGTCCCAGCTTCAGCAGCCAGACTGCAAAACTTACTTTTCAAAGTTCTTTCTGCCTTTTAACGATTTCTCATTTGGGTGGTATGTGGCTTTGTTTATGAGTAGAGCTGTACAAATGGAGCGTTGTGTTGGGGTTTTACCTGCACGTTAGTCAGTGTCTCAGTGTGATGGCGCTCCACACTCGCCTCAGTCATCAGGACGGTACAGACATCAGTCAGACATCCGCTAATCCCAGCATTTAGGATCAGTCTGTGCTGGGACACTGCAGAGTCTGGCTTTAATTCCAGCAGATGGAAGACGGTTCATTCTTGCCCAACAGAGAGCAGGTGCAGATTTGATGCCCCTCGTGCTTAATGGGGACACATTTTATGCACAGAATAATGGGAAGCAAAAAGGTGAATGTTTTAGGATTCTTTCAGCTCAAAATGCTCAGCGATGGGTAACGTAGACAGAGCCAAAACGTTAGTTCTCCATACAAATACCACAGACAGAGAGCCCTCGTGTGGCACTTTAATGTTTTGGGGGGGTTTTTTTGTGCAACTTTTCTGTTCCGGCCCAAACCGCCATCATAGCAGGTGTAGGAACCAGATCCGGATTCTCTGATGTCATCTGATCTCTGTTTAGATACGAGGCCTCTGGGGTATTTCTGGAAGAGGAGATTAATCAACCACATAATTCAAAAATGGTTGTTTTAATATTTCATCAGCCCCCCTGACTATCATCATATCAGCCGTCAGCGGCACCATCCAGATTTAATCACACACCTTGTGAAGAGACACTCACTGTCCACTGCCCCCCGCTGTTAGACGCACTGACCATTTAGTACCAGTCCGCTGTGTCCTGGCTTCAGCATGGCTGAGAGCAATCTGATTACAATCTGGGCAAATATCAGCCACACACTAGATCTTTTGGACAGATCCTGAATCAAGATACAGCTGCAGGGAGCTAAAGAAGAGAGGCGTAAGAGACAGATGACATCAGTGCAAAGAAAAAGCATAAGAAAATGAAAGTTTGTAAAATGTCACCCAACCCGATTGTCCAATGAGACACCAGAACCATCAACAGTTTGTCATCATTCTTCCCTCCTCACCGGTAAATTGTACCAAACCGAACCCGACAAGACACCACCATATCTTTTTTGGGTGACTGCTACCCGATGCTGTCCGTCTGTCCTCCTGTCTGTAACTCTGTGTTATAGCTAAAGAGTCTATTTACTAAATAAATACATTTTTACATATCTGGTGTTTGGATGCATTCATTTTGATGCTGTGTGAAGAAAACATTACCAAAGATAATGCACACCCTTTTTTCCTTATATATGGCGCATTGTTTAAAAAAATAATAAAATGGAAGAGCCAGCTGCTGTCGACCAAGATAAAGCACAAATGTGACTACTCTGGAAATGTAACTATGGTTAAAGGCACAGAGAACGCTGCAGCCAAAGCCAGAAGACAAGAGAAGAGGTTTAATATTGATGACCCATCAGTCTGTCTCTGTGAAAGAGCCTCAGGAAGTAAAGAACATCACTAACCAGTGAAGAGCTTTGACCTGCTAGTATGAAGTCAGTGGCAGGCAGTTGAAACATCTTTTACCCCAGCTCATTAGGACTTTAAAGGCCTTTCACAATATTTGACATCAAGCATTTTTAGAATGTTGAAAGCTGAATTTATTTTTCCAATTTGACAAAGATGGCTTCCTTTCCTCCACCCTCAAAACATCTGTCATGGTGTGGTTTTCCATTTTGCTAATGAGGTGATAGAGGAGGCTTTGAAGCTCTTGTCTTTGGCTTTTTCCATGGCCTAAAATCTAATCTTCTGGGTCCTATCACTCAGGAAAACTTCCTGGTGCTGACATTCATTTTCCCCAAACCCAGCCAAATGTAGCTACCTACTTGACGAGGATATTTAGGTCTTCCGCCAAACACTTTGCTCAGCCACTCGGCCGTTTTCAGTGAGTCATTTCACCTGCGGGTGGAAGTGGCCACGCACCACAAGCTTTGGAACAGGAAACTGATTTAGCATTCATTCAAACCAATCAACCATGACATGGGGCTGTGTTTACTTTAAAAACATTTATTACAGTATTTCACAAATTTCTGCATCTTTTTCTTCAGATTCGCTACAAGAAAAATCCAGGTAACAAACAAACAAACAAACGGTTTAGTCTACAAGGCCTCTGAACGCACCGTTAGTAAGAAGAGTGATCTGCACAAAGCCCTCACGTGTCATCTGTGTGGTGATCATTTGTCAGACGGATTTAAGCAGAAGCAAACATCTGTCCTCTAAAAGCTCCCTGTGGCCGACTTTTCATCCTGCAGGGGTCATTATGGAGCCAAAGCCTCATCGGCTCACAAAAACAATGCACATGTGACTAGTACTTGTTAGAATCATCTGTGCCAACAATACTCAGGAGTGTTTTTCTAATGCCACATCAGCCCCCCCCACCCTCCCCTCCCCGCTCGAACATCATGATTGGTTCACATTTCAGAAGTACAGCACAGTTTGAAATCAGTCTGGAATTTTAGGATAAAAATACTTTTCCATCAGATAGAAAAAAGGACTTTGAATTAAAGTATATACAAGCTCTCCTGCAGTTTCATACTTTTTCCATTCGATCGGTGTGGTTTTCATGGTTCCCAAAAAAGTCATTCTGTGTGTGTAAATATGACAATGATGTAAATACAGCTTTCTCTCAAAGTTCCTCCCCCACAAGAGGAAAGTCTCAGGCATTTCTAGAAGAAAAACATCTCTAGTTTGTGTTAAATAGCATACAGAGAGAAGAAATTGAGGCCATCAAATGAAGGCAAACATTTGATAAAATCCAAATGCAAATTAAGCCAAAGAACAAAAGGTTTAGTCTCCCATAAACTCATTAGGAGATAACATGTGAGGGGGCTTAATGAAAAGCGCTCACAGCCGGAGAACACGGCGCAGGAAGAGCCGCTAAACTAAAGCAAAACTTCAAGGAGCAGAAATGGACTTTTGTTCAGAAATCGACAAACGGCAGCACTCCTCGGTGGAAAAAGCCCATCAGAGCGTGTCCATTTGTCTTTTCCATCACTGTGGTGCTTCCAGCTGTGATCCCTTTCATCTGTTCCAGACTGACCCAAACCCCTCCAAAACAAACCGCTTCGGTCCCGAAAGTCAGAAATACCTCCCAATATTTCCACTCCCTCCACTCTGTCGGTGTGTGCGTGCATTTGTGTGTGTGTGAGTGTGCAGGAGTTGGGTTTTACTGGCTGCTCCCCTCCCCCTCCTCCGCCTCCTCCTCCAGTTCCACCAGGGCGGCGTGGCGGTTGGCCTGCGAGCCCTCGCTGAAGAACACCTTCTTGATCACGCCCGACTTCGGCGCCCGGATCATGTGCTGCAGAAACAGCAGGAAGGGAGGACAAAAGTCAGCAACCAGAGTGTGTGTGTGCGTGTGTGTGTGTGGGGGGGGGGGATGAAGTCAGCAGGGGTCCCTCACCTCCATCTTCATGGCATTCATGACCATCAGCGGGTCTCCAACAGACACCTTGTCTCCAACTTTCACCAGCACCTGAACACAAACAGCGGGTTGAAGCTCTCTGAGAATCAAAATGGTCTTCACTCATTCGGCCAGATGAAAACTTTCCAGACAGAGAGTTCATGGTAATTTACCTTCTCGATGGTTCCAGTCATGGGGGCCACGGCTCCGCCCTGAGCTCCCGACCCGCTAACGGCTGCCAGATACTTTGGCACAGGAACGGACACCTGGGAGCCTCCCTCCTGCAGGAGAGAGTTCCAGGTGTCAGAAGGTGAGGCGGCAGCCTGGCCAGCTTTATTTTTACACTAATTGAGTTTAACTTACAGAATTTAATGAGGAAAGTTGGATGGAAAGGGCTTAAATAAAAAAAGTCATTAGTAAAAAGTTTTCAATCATTTCTTCTTCCAGAGTATCTGTTGCATTTTCTTTCTGTTGGAACATGTCCGCATCTGAACGGAGCTACAATAAACACACTGCCACTCCCTGGAAGCACCTCTCAGCCTTTTCTTTACCTGCTCCTACTTGCAATTTTACAGAGTCGCAGACTTTGAATGGAGAGGACTCATAGTGGTTGTTACATGTGATATTCCGTGAATATCATCAGATTGTGCTGATGCTTTAGCGAGCTGCGGCGACAGAGGGACGTACCGTGGAGAAGAGGTGCACCGTGTTGTCCAGGATCACCAGTTTGGGACGAGACTTCACTCCGTTGACCGAGCAGTGCAGGAAGGAAGCTCCGTCCTCCTCCTCCAGCTCCCCCGTCACGTGGTAAACCTCCTCACCCACCTGGCAGAGCATGGGGAACCCATCAGAGCAGCATCATCCACCGACCGGCAGGAAAATGCCAGAAACGCCTCAATAGTCTCCAATCAGACAGTTCAACGCTCCGTTTTTGGCTTACTTAGCACATTTAAGGTGCAAGTGTTGAGAATTGATTAAAATGATTCCAGATAATGTTTTCAGACATCGTAATACAGAGCAGATAAGAGAATGCCTGCTGCCTCTCACCTGCATGCTGTAGTTTCCATCTTCCTTATAGGTGACGACCACATGGACTTCTATAGATAAAGGTGAGAAGATGTCAAAAAGAGTCGTAGATTCCACGTGGAGTAGATGGAAAAATCATCACATATGTAGAGCAGCTGGCCAAGGACTTATTTTTGGTCTTTGGGACTTGTTAACAGATAAACTGAATAATGAATGAGCTCATTAACAGTCACGCACTGAATCAGCCTGTAACCTCAATACATATCTTCCACTTTTGAATCTACTCCAACATCAATTATTTCTATCCAGGTCCATATGTCTTACAGTAAAGTAAACCATTTCAAACAAACAAAAACAATAACAAATACATTAATCGTGTGGGTCAAGGTTTTAATGTTCTTCTTGTATTAAATTTAAACGGAGTTATTTTTGCTTCAATAAAATGTCACCTTCAGGCTTTTTTAACTGAACTGTGTTTTAGTCTCTTTTAACAGTAGATGCAGACGTCAGTGTGTATTAAATTTGGCAGAAATTGAAACCCAGGACATTTATGGTCACCATACAGACACCTGACTCCACATCTGGTTGCTTTCCTCCTACTTACTCTTGTCCCCCAGCTGTAGCGTCATGTTTCTGTTGAAGTGGGTGTTGTTTCTCCAGCCGCTGCTGGACCCAAAAGGGGAGTAAGGATCTGGGAATAAAAGAGAAAGGTTCAGTTTTTTTTTCTAACTTAAACATGCTCTCACGCAGAGTGCCATCCCGCCCCCCCACCTGTGGAGGTGTGTGTGAACTCCTCCGTGTGTCCTTTCTCCTGGAGAACCAGGCCCAGGGCTGCCTGGCAGATCGTTGCCTGGGACGGAGCTCTCGGGGCGGGGAAGAGGTCGGCATAGTGCTGAGGGATGAAACTGGTAGTCACGTTTCCGGCCTCGAACTCCGGGTGGCCCGAGAGGCTCAACAAAAAGTCGATGTTGGTGTTCAGTCCTACGATCTGCAGACACAAGCCAGGAGAAGGCAACACAGTCAGGTTTTTTTACCCTGACACACAGGTCAACATCATAGAGCATCATAAAGGGGGTCTCACATTGTACTGACGCAGACAGTACCGCAGCTTCTTTAAGGCAGCGGATCGGTCCTCTCCCCACACCACAAGCTTGGCAATCATTGGGTCATAATGTGCCGATACCTCGTCCCCTGTAACCAAACACACCTGTAAAGTTTCATAGTGACTTCTGCTGTTTTATGTTTTTCTTTTTCTGCGGCATGTGTTTTTTGGGGTCGTTTGCAAACGAGATGAAAACCTCTCGTAGTTTTCTACCCACCCTCTCTGACTCCGGTCTCTATGCGTGTTTGTTGGTCTGCTGGAGGCGTGGACAGATGCAGCAGAGGCCCCGCCCCCGGGAGGAAGTCATTGTTCGGGTCTTCTGCGTAGATACGCGCCTCAAAAGAGTGGCCCCTTAGGATGATGTCATCCTGAAGGAGGGGGAGACGCTCTCCTGCTGCCACCTGGAGGAGAGTTTCACGCGGCATGATGCGGGAAAAGTCCAGGTTTCAGGTACTATTTCTGCTCTTTCAGCTCACGCCGCTGGTCTCACCCTGAGCTGCCACTCCACCAGGTCAGTCCCAGTGATCATCTCAGAGACGGGATGCTCCACCTGCAGCCTGGTGTTCATTTCCATGAAGTAGAAGTTGTGCTGGGCGTCCATTATGAACTCCACCGTACCTGCAGGAAGAGAAGCAACGTGAGTGGACTGCACTGGGAGTAAAGGAGCACATCTCTGTGGTGAGATGAGCGTGTGCCACACCTGCCCCGACATAGCTGACAGCTTTGGCCGCTCTGACGGCCGCCTCTCCCAGCTTCCTCCGGACCTCAGGGCTTATTCCCGGCTGAAAAAAAAGACAAGAAAATAAGGTGAGAGAGGTCTGGAAACACAAACAGGTGCTCCAAGTGTGAGGACTGAACTTCCAAAAAGACATGAGCTTATATTCAGAGTATATTGGCCTTACAGATTTACACGTATATTTCTTAGAAAAACAGTTCAAACTAGGAACCTTTTCATTAAAAGGAATTCTAAAGTGACACATATAAAAAACTGAAAAGCATAATATCTGGTCTGACTGGAGGGGTTTCGATTCAACACTTTACCCCGGGTGCTTCTTCTATGATCTTCTGATGTCTCCTCTGGACGCTGCAGTCCCTCTCAAACAGATAGACAGCGTTCCCGTGCATGTCCCCAAACACCTGAACCTCCACGTGTCTGCAGAGGTTAAGAGTGACATTTATGTAACAAATCTACCTAAAACCATCAGTTCCAGCTGCCTGGTGGGTATGGTCATACCTGGGGTCCTCTACAAACTTTTCGACCAGCATGACGTCATCATTGAAGGACTTCCTGGCTTCTCGTCTCGCGGACTCCAGCTGCTCGAGGAAGTCTGCGTCAGACCGTGAGATGCGCATTCCCTAAAAACAAAGTAATTTGTTTAGAGGATGCCAGTTGAAATGTCAAAGCTACTCCCGCATTTCCAGTTCCTCCCACCTTCCCTCCTCCGCCACGAACAGCTTTAATCATCACTGGGTAACCAATCCGAGCAGCCTCTGCCTGCAACTTCTCATTTGATTGGTCCTCTCCGTGGTAACCGCCAATTATTGGCACCCCAGCTGCTGACATAATGTGCTTAGAAGTGCTGAGAAAGGACACAGATGGATACAAGTGAGACATTAGCTGTGAAGACATCCGCTCCTAAGCAGGAAGTGTGCATCACCTCTTAATGCCCATATCTCGGATCGCAGAGGAAGGAGGCCCAATGAAGATGATTCCTTCCTTTTTACAAGCCTCTGCAAACTCTGTATTTTCTGACAGAAATCCATATCCAGGGTGAACTGCCTGCACACACAAAAAAAACAACATTTGGACATATTAAGAAAAAATAAGAGGATATTTTGTGAAAAAAAATGTATTCCCCTTGAAGCAGAATGACTCACATGTGATCCTGACCTCTTGGCTACTTCCAAAACTTTCTCCATGGACAGGTAACTCTGCTGTGAAGGGGGAGGGCCGATGTGGTAGGCTTCATCTGCCTACAGGAAAAAAAAATTAAAGGAAGTGTACAACTGTCGGCTGGAAAATTTCCCCCGAGCTGGTAAAACGGAACATAGACAAACGCTAACACCATGTGTCTCACCATGGCCACGTGCATAGAGTGCCTGTCTGCATCGCTGTACACCGCCACAGAGCGCACGCCCATCTTCTTAGCCGTACGCATCACGCGGCAAGCGATCTCTCCTCGATTGGCGATCAGCACCTTTTCGATCCTTCCTATCCCTGCAGAGTAAAGTTCGTCTTTTAATGTCTCTAAATAACATTTAGTAAACAAGAGAATTGTGTCACGCATTAAATATTTAGACTTCTAAAAATGAAAACCAATACAAGACAGATATTGAGCTTTTGTTAATTTTGGCTATGAAACTTTTGGGTCATACCCCAAAAATTAAATATCCTCCAACTTGAGTTTACAGTTTTGTTTTTAATATATTCATATTTGTATACAAGTTTAAGAGTAATCCTACCTTTATTAATTAATCTGTTTAGTACAAATGAATCATGTGTGGATCAATCATGTGTTAATCATCTAGCAATCATGCTCAGAAGAAGGGTTAAATAGTATTAGTGATTTTTAGTGATTTTCTCAAAGAAAATCACTAATACCTGTGCATGCATATTTTCCATGTTTATTTTATTTTATGTTTATTGTTTTGGCAGTAATTAGATAAAGCAACATGTGTTTCCAATGGACAAAAGTTCCTCTGAATTTCAGTGACAAGCCACTCAAATACTGTTGTCAATAACTCCAAATACATAAAAGGAAAACAACCATAAAAGATAAGAATAACAGCAGACAGGTCTCTTTTGTAGCATTTCTTTTAGAATGTCCCCTCACCTCCAGAAACGAACCTCACGCCTCTTTTGGTCCATGACAGTTTTCTGGAGAGAGGGCGACAACAACAAAAAACACAGAAGAAAACAACCTTTTAAATATGTGATCACATGTTAAATGGGGTAGGGGCGCTAAACCAGAATATCTATTGGGCCAAACCCGAGCCAAATAACCTTCCACTGGCAGATGTACACAACTTGTGGCAGCCACGCTACCTTTATTTAACCTTGCTCACATCATATTTCATTTGTTTAGCCCGCACAATGAGGAATGTTCATACAGTGTCAGGATGCTGCATAGAGATATATAAACAATTTGAGGTGGTCAAGAAGCATGCCCTATTGTAAATTATTGACAGTGTTAAACAGAGGAATTGTGAGCTCTGATGGAGGATAAACACAGGGTTGCAAACTTTGACAAGCTAACGTTAAATTAAGCTAGCAAACAAGCGAAATAGTAGAGAAATTAACTCCCGAGGAAAGCTGTTTTCAGACAAAATAGCCCCCAAACGTGTTTGTATACTCACTGTGTGAATATCCTCAAACCATGTAAAGTTGGAAAACTTAGAATAACTGCAGCCATAGCTACTAGCTGCTGAGGCTAGCTGTAGGTACCAGCTAAGTGTCTGAATGACCACTGGAGGAGAAAAAAGCGAAGTGTTAATTCAAAATACAGTCCAAAAGCGGTTCGGTTATATTTTTTCTCTCTTACAAAACGGCTGGAACTAATAAAGAAATTATGTAAGAAATAAAAGTCATGATCGAATGAAAAAGCATAAACTTATTTAGTTTGATTAATATATCCATTTATTTTTCTATTTTTTACCTAAATGAGGACTCGTAGTGGTGACAGCCAATGAGAAACAGGAATATAGAGGCGGGGACGAAGCTGTCGTTACTAAATACTGCCAGCAGGAGGCAGTGTTTCTCCTTCAAACTTGCCTTGAACAATGACAGAAAAATTTTAATAATGAAATTGTCATTCACAATTTTTCTATTAATATATATTTTATCAATTTGACTAAAGTGTAATTTAAGGCAGTAACCAAAAAATATAAAGCTATACAAAAGCTACATACAAAAGATTTGTTTATGTAACATTTAATCGTATACATTTATATTTTTTAGGATTACCTCACAGTTTTAGACATATTTTTATTAATCTATTTAAGAGAAAATGTGAAACTGGTCTTGGCTTCTATAAAAAATCAGGTAAGAATTTCTGGTAGACAAACTTTATAGCAGATTAATCAGCAGCTGAAAAGGAATTTCTGTTTTATGATGTTTATTCATTCATTTATTATTTTAGACTGTGTTAGACAGACCTGAATACAGACTATAGGGCCCTGTGATACTGAACTGGATTAAGCAGATTTAGAAGATGGATGGACAGAGTACAACGAATGGGTCATGGATGGACGCGTTTAAGCAGGATCGATCACATCTATTAAACCATCAGGTCTCTCTCATTCTTAGTCTAATTGATTCTGTTAATGTGGTCCCATTGTGGTGATGGTGGAGGAGCAAAGAGCTGGTTCATGAGTGGGAGGGAGGTAGATTGGAGCTTTGTTTTAAAAAATAACACAAGATCCTACCATAGCAGGACATCCAGCAAAGTTACAATGAAACATTCTATTATTGGCCCTAAAGCAAATATTCAGGTCCAGCTAAAATGAGGGTGATACAGATTCAAAAGATGACAAGGGACTGCTAACATAGAAAACCAAAAAGCATTTCTCCTGAATACACTTGGAATGTCAGGTGGAAGCTCACAAATACATTTTCATCATACCTCCTTACTTTAATCAAATAATGTATGTATATGCAGCTAACTTAAAATAACCCAACACTGAGGTACAGCTCCCAATACATGATTCTGAATATTAATAACAAAACTCAATAACAATGAGAGAATATACAGAACAAATATGTACTGCATTAAAAAAAATAGTTTGACTACAAATATGTCAAATCAGTATCTGTTACATGGGGGTTTTTATGATGCTGTAGAAGTCTTTCAGATGGAGTAAATCTCCAACCAATTTCACAACAAGATCAAAGTCTTTCATATCCTCGTGTGCGGCGATCTCTAATAAACAAGAAGCTCAGCACAATGATCAAGATGATCCCGACCACAACGGCCCCGATGATGATAGGAATGGTTCGCTTGTTAAAATCTGCCCAACATTCCACCTCTGAAAGACAGGAGGTCACAAAAACCACATGTTCAATGCAGGTATCACAGACAAGTTGTATTTTCTAGACTGAATTTATCCATTACATGTTTTAATACTTTCATCACTGATCACATCATAGGTGAACCAACTGCTTTGAGACTTTGTATCTTGATTAATCTTACACTAGAATGTGATTATTTTTCTTAATATGCATCATTCTCTAAGCTCTCATTTTGAAAAGAAAAAAGTAAACCAAATGATAAAACAAAAAGGATGTTTTCGTCCAAAAATTAGTACTTTATTTGTTGTACTAGGTTCTTATTTGCTTCGTATGCCAACACAGAGCATATCTCTTCTCTTTCCGGTTCTCCTTCTCATCTCACGACAAATGTGAAGCTCAGGTACCTTTTCCATACTGTCCTTTGGGCACACTGAAGGCCTGCATCTGCAGTGGATACAGCTTGATCCTGAGCTCAGACGAGGCCAAAAGCAAATGCTCTGATTGACACTTGAAGCTTTTACCATTAGCTGTCTTGAAAAGCTTCTCATGGTCCAGCAAACCAGAATAAGTCTTATCTGTGAGGAGGGTCATAAAAGTTACAATATTTTCAGGACTTTTCCAGGTAAAATGTTATGTATTTCTTAAGTCTGTCTATGCGCTCTTACTAAGACATCCTTTGCAGACCGGGTGAGGAATCAAATGGGCTGTTAGCCTGGTGACATAGAAATGTTTCTTCTCCTGGAGACAAAAATACAAAAGAGGGAGCAGATTAGTGTTACCCGATGTTAATCAGGAATACAATGAAGCTAATTGTCTTGATTTCCTATTTGGTTCTTGTGGATGTTGGTTTATCTGTAGATTTCTGAAATAATGAAACACCTCAACAATCTTTCTATTTCTTATCACAGAGACAAATGCCATTTGACATATTCCATACTTGATAAGTTGGAAGCTAAATTCTGGATCACACATCACACCCATGGATATATTACCCTTTTGAAGGTGAACTGTAGACTGGCAGCGTTGTTGGGCATAGTGAGGGACAGAACAGCAACGTCTTTGACACAATAACCACTGATCCTAACTCGAGATGGGTCCAAGCTGAAGTACCACGTCTTCTAAAAGTGTGAGGAGAGATGGATTATTTTAGTCACTAATTCATTTGTGCACTGCTTCTACTCAAACATGCCTCATAGTGTGCTCTAACAGATACTTTCTCTCTAAATTGGAGCAGAAGTCCGATATTTACAGTTTAACCATGAAACCAAACTTCTCACACCTTGAAAAGAGATGCTGATGCAAACTACAGAAAAAGCCCTGACCAGTAAGAATATTACTCTGATGCTAAAACACTGTAGCCACACACTTTGCAAATAAACAACTCTGACGGATGCAAATGCGCACAGATTGCTGAGTCAGTCGCAGCCTCTGACCTTCTTTTCGATGACAATGTACTCTGCCCCCATGGTGGCTTTGATGCAGGGAGTCCCAAGCAGGCTCTTCAACATGTAGGTTCCTGCACGGACAGAAAACGCCCACAGCCAGCAAATAGGATAGAAGTGTTTAATGATCAATCAAACCTAAAATGTGTGAGTGGGTATCATTACTTTTATCGCTTTAACACTTAAAGCTTTTCTAACCCTAAACAAGAAACAAGTGAACCCTTTCAGATAGCATGTAAATTAGTTTATTATTTTTTTGGAAATGTCAAACAAGATTTTGTGGTTTGTGTTTGGTGCGTCTTCATTGAAGGACATCATCATCACATTGTGGGTATTTAGGAAATTAACAAAAGACAAATGTGTCCCTTGTGCAATGCCAAGGCTGAGATAAACTCAATTATATGCTCCATAGACTTCCTACAGCTTTGATACGGTGGAGTTTCTGACACTGCGATTGCTTTCTAACCTCAAACGATCTCTGGAGTTCATGTTTCTGTCAATGCCTCTAAACTTTATTTTTATTATGAAGGCAATGATGGGTGAGTTACAGATAAAATAAGCCAAACCCTTTTAGCCTGAATGAACAAATCTCACCCTCATGGAGTTCTCAAAGAGGTTTTGATTAAAAAGCCAGATATTTTCTCCCAGTTTCGGAATCTTTTGGATTCCAAAACTACAAAACTGCATTGGTACATTTGTCATTGATGTGGATTTGTGTTTGTGTGTACCTGGTGTGGGAATGGCCTCAGAGGGTTGCAGGACAGGCCGGTAGATCTGACTCTCAGACGGCTTCTCGGGAGCCGAGACAAAGTGGACAGAGCCGTCATTTTTCTGCAGATGGACACCTGGTGGAGGGTGAGACCCGACACTCTCACCGCTTAGTTTTTGTGTTACCGCAAAAAAAGTGTGCATGTAAATATTTGGGGATTTGGGGTTGTGTTCATTCAGAGCTGATGTAAATTTTACATCTTGGGAGAACTCCTAGTGGGCTCTCCTCATTTACTCTGCCTTTTTTAGGGCTTGCAGGACACTGTACAGCTCATCTAGTTTCTTCACCCACTGACCCAGATGCACATTGTTCAACGAGCATTTTATGAGAATAGTCCTGAAATGATTACACACAAAATTAGATCAGTCTACATACTAAACACACCTTTGTTTCCTTTTTTAGCACACTCTGCTATCATCAATGGGTTTTTGAAAAGACTGAAATTTGTTTTCTGAGACTTTAAAAGGTAAAGATTTAAAAGACTTTACTGAACTTTAACTATTTCACTGAAGAAAATGAGACTCAATTTACTCAATTTTGTTTTTTGAAGAATTCATTAGGTATTCAGTCCCCCAGCATCCGTACATTTGAAATCCAAAAACCAAGCCAGCTCTTTAACTCTCAATGTTGACAAAGAGTCTTTCACTCGGAGTACAAAGCAGAGCTCTGACACAGAGTCAGCACCAGAAGCCTTTCGGCTTTCGGGGCCTTTCGGTAGGTTTGATGATGCAGCCAAAGCCTCAACACAACTTTGAAATGGGAAATGTTCCTAATTTGCAAATAGAGAATTTGACCAGACTTCTGTCGTTTGTTGAAGTAACAGTGAACAAGAGCACAAGCACAAAAGAACAAGAGCACCTCTGTCAAACCACTGAAGCCCACTTAACCAAAATGTGAGAACGGAAACCAGAGCACCTTCATATACGACATTTATGGTGCTTACCAGATAATGGCTCATCACTCTTGCATAAATGTTAGACAAAAGGAACTTATAATAAAGATCTATAAGCCCATATCATATAAAAACGTATTGTTTTCAAGGGCTTTGTGTACATCTGCGGTATGACTTATCTATTACAAGATGGAAACCGAGAGCTGGATCCACTGGTTGTTCTTTAGAGACGTGAACACTGGCTGATGAGGGTGTCAGACTGCTCTGAAAGAAGTCTGACTTTTTGTCACAAGGTTTGATGGTGATTTGTTTTCACAGTTTAAAGTCTGTGCGGTTTAGTAGAATCTGATGAACTCACCTTGAAAAAAAGCAGCCAGCAGGAAGAGAGACCACCGACTCCTGTGACCGCTGAGCACCATAGTTAGAGATGATTCTATCATGGAGGATGCTATCAAGCTCTCAGAAAGGAAGTGCAGTTTGAGATAGCAGTCGCGGTTTGACTACAAAATGTGAGAGCAAATAAATACATTGCATTCAGAGGAAGTGGCAGAGGCTGAGCTACTACCGTCAGCACTCACACCTCAGATGCTAAAAAGTCCGTTTAACAGCGAGACCAAAGTGCCTCTCAGCTGCTGAGTCATGTGTGAATAATGAATATTTTACTAGTATATGTAAGTAATAGTGAGTTCAACTTTTTTTGTGATGTTTTAAAAAAGATCTGTCAAAAATCCTTTAAAATTTGCAGAAATACTTAAAATGTTTTCTTTCAGATCTGATCTTGTTGTTGGTGAGAGCACTGAGTGCTCAAGTGTCTGAACCTAAAAACAAAGAACTCTAACCACTTTAAAGACGATGCCAGAGTTATTTGGGGTTTTTTTGGATAGTCTGCTCTCATACACCCACCCACTCACCCACTGGTGGTGTCTGAAGTTGAGCAAAGTTCTGATCTTCAATTGTTTCCATTTAAAAGTGAACACCGCGTTCAGAGAGGAATACTGTTATTTTTACAGAACAAAATGTATTCAGTTGCTTTTTTTGCTTTAACAAAACAGTAGCTCTAAAGATAAAACCAGCGATTGGTCTGATATATTAGTAACACGGCTTTGACATGTTTTTTTGGGAATTACGAGAGAACAAGTCATAATATTATGAGAATTAAGTGATGAAATTAGGTTTATGAGAGCAAAGTCACAATATCACGAGAAAAAGACTCATAATGTTATCAGAGAAACGGCTATTATTGCAGAACATTTTCATTTCAGGAAGTTCCTCCTTCCTCTGTGATGCACACAAGTATGTAATCACTGTACACCATCATGTGTTGTTGTTGCTATAGAAGGTCATTGCAATATGTTGCAGTTACTTGTAATTATCGTGACCAAACAAAAGTCTAAGCGTAGCAGAGAAAATGAACAAATAAGGAGCCCGGGGATGTCATTGTTTTTGTGTCACATCTGACCACATTTCACCTTGTTTGACAGATGTGCTGTGAGGAAATCTGAGTAGCCGAGGCTAAAGTTCAGCAGGGCAAAGTACTAAGTGTGTGTACCTAAAGCACACACACTTAAAAATTCTAATCAAACACAATGGGCCTTTAAAAATGCACAGAGGGGTATTTGTGTTGCTGCAATTATTGCAAACCAATTATGCGTTTGTGTTTTGATGCGTTAATGAGTTAATGAGTGTCTGTGGTCACTGGAAATAATGAAGACTTTTCTCCATTTTATTCCTTGTTTTCATTGCTCCTCTGACTGTCGTATTGACTGTGTAGGTAGGAGAACAAACAAAAGAGCAAACATTTACTCTCCTTTTACCGACTGAGCATGCAGAGCACTGTGCGTGCGTGTGTGTCCTTTGTGCCCTCCTGTCCTCTGTGGATGTGCCACTCAGTGTGTCATTGTCTCTGTCCATCTCGTTCTTTGCATAGTGGAGAGACGTCAAGTTTTCCTTCTCTGAAGCCAACAGGACTGACGGCAGGCCTCCACCCTCACAAACAGTAAGCTGCTGCTCTTTAGAAAATTAGAACATTGTAAGTACGGTTGTTTTTCACGCATGGATGAGGGAAATTGGAGCTACAGATAAGACAGCAGTTAGAGATGATATGCACTCTGCCTGTTATCTGTGGCTGAAGGTATTTCTCAGTCGGGGCGCCATTTGTGGTTTATTTGTTGCAGATCAGAGCCTCCTTTAGGTCCGGACGATGAGGGGCAGAGTGGAGCTGTGTGTGCTGGGCCTGCTGTGCCTCCATAGCTTTGCATTCGGGCAGGTAAGGAAAGAAATCCTGCTTTTTCCAACTGCATTTCTGACTTTTTGACCACGACTGCACATAATACAGATGGTCAGTGTGGCTGCAGGGGGTGGAAAGATATGTTGAATAATTGATTTAAAGATATATTTCAATTAAAGAGTAAAGGTCTTTGTTTGGAACTAATATACAAGCAAACAGATATAGGAAATTGTAAGAAAACTGTTAATGTCTCTGGAGATGGGGAGGACATGTGACCTTTTTATTTTGTTCTAGTTGACTTTTATCATCTTACTCAGATATGAGACTTGTGCTGATAATGATGTAAAAGCAAACAATCACCAGCTTCATGTGCTCTTAGTTCCGCCAATAATCTGATGTGCACATACCTCTGAGGCTTGTTGGTAAAGGCTGTTGTAGCTACAGGAATACACCACTCGGAAAGTCATACAGTGGACTGCTGATTTAGATTTTTGGGAGGCTTTTACAGGAAATATGAAACTAAGTGATACCTTTTAAACTTTAGAACAGTCATTTTCATCAGACTGCAAAAGAACATTGTGTGCCTCATAAAATGCCGGTGCTCATCATTTGCATTTGTTGCAAAAGCTTTGAGAATCCACATTTCTTTCCCTCTGAAAGCCCTTCAGGAATCCTTATCATCGGGTCGGTTGTTTACAGTCTGGCGTTCTTCTGTTTTTCCCTACACAGGAGGCAGTGGAGGACCAGTCTGGTGTCCTGATCTTTTGCGATGACTCCTTTGTGGACATGGCCGTCACCACTGCCATTCGTCAGTTCAACGAGGGGCTGAGTTCTGGTCACAAGCTGGCTCTGTTTCAAATCCTGTCAGCCAGGAAGGTACCGGCGTTACAAAACAAAACCACTCGACGTGCTCACCTGAGCTGCGTGTTGAACAGATAAAGCCCAATGTTGGATTGATTTGGTCTTTATGAGTTTGCTTGAGTTTGAGTTGAGCTTTGTTTGGGATCATTGTTTCATTTGCAGCGTGACAGAGACACTGAAGTGTGAACTGGATTATATGTGATGGAATTCTGCTGTTGTTCTTTTTTTTCTAAATTTAAATTGTGGGCACTGTGTTAAGTTAAAGATACTTGTGTAACCATTCTAATGTTTCAGTTTTAAAAACCTATTCACACAGATTATTCAATACCCCGAGGGACTATGACAAACACATTCTTGGAAAACCTGTTCTGATCCATTGATCTTTGGCACATGGATTGTGTGTGTGTGTGTGTATGTGTGCAGTCAGAAAATGGCTCCGACTCGGTGTATTCGCTGGAGTTCACCAGCAGGAGGACTGACTGTCTCGTAGGGAACAGCAAACCCTGGACAGACTGTGACTATTTGCCACATGGACGAAGGGTAAAGAAAAAAAAGTTGTTTTTTACTGGTAAATCAGTTATGTCCACTTTTTTTTTTTTTAACCTAAATACCATGATTTAACCTTAATCCTAAAGAGTAAGATAACATGTTTTTTTAACAATCTGCTGTTCCTCCAGAAGCCTATGTCATGCAACGCTACAGTCTACATGACAGAGACAGAAATTGACACCAAACAGGTGGACTGCCAGCTTGGTGAGTGACTGAATAAACAGGGTGATCTTATCATCTGGTTGAATGACCTGACTTTTAATACTACCTTCAAATAATCTGTCATTCATTTGTGAAACTGTGGCAAACATCTGGTCTCTGCTCCTTGTTTAAAAAATCACCAGAACAATGTATTTATTCATGTGCTTTACAATTAAATAATTTGGTTAAAAATATCCAGATCAAGTGGTCGTTGACTTACATAAATGGGGAATTTTTACTGTAAATAATATATGGAAAAACATTTTTAAATATGAACATTTGCAATATCATTATCACAAATAAGTTTATAAACAAAAAATGTGTAAACCTTTTATACTGAAAATAACTGTTTTATAATTCCTTCAAAAAACACCATTCATCTTTTTTTACATTAGATTTGGTTCTATAACAACCAGTACATGATATCCTAAAAATATTATCGAATGATTTATGAATTTATTTTCCAGCCTGTGCAGTAAATTCTTTTAAGATGCAAAAGTGTATTTTGGCATCTTTTTAACTTGAAATTTGAAGATATTCCTCTTCATTTCCTCGATCATCTCAATGGGAATGGGAAAAAAAAGACCATTTGTCATTAAAACATTCAGATCCGCTTGGAAATAAATAATTTCCACTGTTTAATGGTGAAATACAGATTCTCTCAGTCTTCTTCGTGACCTTGTTTATTCGTGGAACACAGGGGAAAATGAGTCAGGGAGGGAAATGTGTGTTGGACGGTGCATAGGAAACAAAGACTATGCATCATAACAATATCTGCAAATAAGGTAAAACCCAATATCAGTCAATCCCTTCATAGGCAGTAGCACTGTGTAGACTTTAATCTCTTTACCTGATCAACTGTACCGCAAAGAGTCACTATTTCACAACTATCACTATTTTTTACAGATTCAAATAAACAGTTGAGATGTTGTTTATCTCCTCAGTTATCATTATTATTTTTTATCATTAATAACACAAGTTAGAGGTTATTGGATGTGAGTACTAAAAGCGTGAAGAGGATTTACATGACAACATTACTAGACCCAGTCAGAGTTACAATTGTGATGGTTTTGATTCTCTTTCAACTGTTTGGTGATCAGGTGCCTCTAGGGGCTTTTTTGAAAAACTACTCTAACATTTAAGAGGCCTCTGTCACATTTTTTATAGCAGTAATTGCACACAGTTCTTGTAATTTTTCCCAAAAGATTATAAAATCAATATATGTGTCCATTCCTGCTTAAGGCTAATAAAGAATAAAGACAGAAAAATATGCAAATATATAAACAATAGGGTTCAAAGAGGGTTTAAAAACAGATTTTAGTCAGAGGAGACAGGAAAGTGGCTTAAAGCAAATACCCACAGACTAGGACTCAGATTTGGGCTGTGATAGGGCGTCTCTTCATGTTAGATCTTGTGGCATTCGGGTTGCGTAACTCACACAGGGTTAAATACTGAAAGTATTTTTCTTTATGCACCTCTTTCATTACACTACCCAATTAACTTAATTTGAGCTTGAGTTTGCTTTCTTCACCTTTGTTTTCCTTCTTCCTTCTCTCTTTCTCAGATGATTTCATTGTTCCAGAGAGGGCTCCGTGTTTGGGCTGCCCTGAGGAAATTGATGAGAACTCGGAGGACCTCAAAGTTCCGATTTTGGCCTCCATCTCCAAGTACAACTCCAACTCCAACTCCACTCACCTCTTCACCCTGCATGATGTCGGCCACGCCACCAGACAGGTAGAGCCGGAGCTGGGTTTGAGGCGTGATGTCAAAAGGTTTTCCCTCTGCTCTGCATCCTGTGTATTTGTGTCTCTGCAGGTGGTTGCAGGGTTCAGGTTCAAGCTGCAATTTGACATGAGGAAGACAACCTGTGCCAAGGCCGAGCACAAAGAACTGAACGCGCTCTGTGTCGCCGATGAGGAGAACGTGGTAGGAAAGATTATCCAGGTTCCAGAAAACAGACCGAATCCGGTTTTGCTGAACTTGATGAACTTCACACTCTTGTTTTGTACATTGCAGGAGTTTGTCAACTGTAACTCTACGGTGGATTTAGCGCCATGGAGATTTGAGCAGCCAGAGGCCCACATAGAGTGTGAACAAGGGGCACTACTCAATACCATGGTGAGTGACTTTTCACATAATGTCCAAACATGAAGGGATGCTTTGCTGTTTCCTGTGTTTGTGGTGTCACCGTGATGCTCATGAACCCTCCATGAAATCCATGTCGGGAATTACTAATGTTTGTAATCACCACCCAGTTTAAAGACTCCACACACTGTGAGGGGCAGTCACAATCATTTCGAGTAGTTTCCAGCTCTAAAGATAAATACAAATTTGAGTTTACGTTTTTATTCTACATAAGATGTATAATACTATGAGGTGACTTTAGTAGCTAGGCATTAATTACATCAGCTTTTTAATCCACTGAAATGTCAGGGTAGAAAATAAGGAAAGTTACTGTATTTCTTCCTCCAACATGCACAACCTACAAGTAAACAAGTCACCAGTTCAATCCACTTGCAATGACATTTTAAACAGACATAAACAGAAAAGCTTTATGCAACATAATTCTTGCTTTCAGTCCTCAAACATTAGTAGAGTCGGACTCAAGTTTTGGATAAAAGTGACCACAAAAGGCATTTTATTCATATTATTTTCAAGTTGAGTCATAGGCAACCTTGAAATTCAGACATCATTAGCAGAGCCATTCTGAACGTGTAATTCTGGTGGTTGAAGTCAGGTTGTTTGTCCCTCGACCCGTTCACCCTCATATTGGACTTTTCTTTAGGTGTTCTCGAGGCGCCGACCTGCCGGATGGTCTCCTCTCAGAACCTTTTTGTTAAGAGGTCCTTCGACTGATGCAGGTCCAACGCCATCGCTACCTACACAATCCCCCTCCCCAACTTTAGCCAAAGAGGAGTCCTCTGAGGAGGACAGCACAGCTTCCAAAGGCTCCGTTCAGCCGGATGTGAATGACAAACCCTTCCACTGCCCCTCTAAGTTCTGGAAACCTTTCCAGCCACTTAATTCTGTCCCTCCCACAGCTGTGACACCCTCACAGCCGCCTGTACAGGGAGCGTTCAGTGATAAAGATCTGCTGTCTTAAGTTTTCCCTCCAGGGGGCAACATTTGTATGGAAAAGCGCATCTCCAAACAGGTTTTTATTTTATCATTTGTCATGTTGACTAAATCTCCAGTGTTTTAGAGATTTTTCAGCCCAGCCTCAATAGAAAGCATGTAACTGCTTCATTTGTCCACTTCTCTTGAACCTAAAAGTGTGGCAGTCCATGGTTAGAAATCGTGACGTGTTTAGAAAGCAAACGTACAATGCTTGAGCTGCTATGTGTTGCACTATAGACCAAACGTAGCTGTTACATGTTGTGATGTGAAAATGGGTTCTTGAGTTTTTTGGTGGAAATTTATTCATGAATGTTATAAAATAATTACAAAAATTGCTAGAAAAGTCATTTTTGCAAGAGGGGGGAAGAGGAAAGAAAATTAAATTGTGTATTAAAAAGTACCAACTTTGAACCCTGAATTAAAATTTCTTCTTGCTTGTTTTGCATAAAAGCTGTTTAGTATGAGTTTAAAAAAAACAATAAACAATCAAATCATTGAGTAAGGAGTTTAAGCACTGTAACTGAACGTAATCTCATGTTGGAAATAACGTGTGCTTTACTTTTAATTTTGGATTTTTGATATTCACCCATTTCAACTGAGAAAAAACAAAACTAAGATTCAGAGTTCACACCATTTTTATCCAATAGTGTTCACAATCTCTTAGCACAAAATCACAGCACTAATCTTGTGACTTGAAAGTTAAACATTCCTCTACAGGAAATTACATTCCCAGCATCTATTTATTAAGGTATTGGCATTTAAAAAGTTATATACTCTGCAGAATATGAAAAATGGCTAAATACGACAAAATCACCAACTGCTGGTAATACATTTGGAGAAGAAGGCTCTTTCATCCACTCCACAGTCATTAATAAAGATTTTGTAACGAGGCTTGAGGGGTATAATGCAAGTGGAGACACGGGAAAAGTCAATGTTTAACAAGTTTATTTGTACATTTTCATGGAACACTCAAATTACCAGTCAGTCAGGGTACAAACCTCAACTCTGTGACCAGTGAGCCAAAACAAAATACATTCATAAATAAAAATACAGGTTACTGCAAGTCAGAGTAAACTTTTCCTACAAACTACAGGGAGCAAACTTAAGGCATTATTTTAGAAACATTTGTATGGCTGCATAAAAATAAGAAAAATAACAAATGTAGCAAAAGGAATATGCAATCTCATGCAGGTAAGCTGCGACAAATAATACATTGGCCCGTTGTACATTCATTCATAGTATACAGTAAGGTTCTGAGAGCATGGCAAACTGTGAGAACATGTTTGTGAAGTAGTCTAGTTCAGAGAACTGCACACAGGAAATAACATCAATCCAAAGGCCACTTTGTCCGCGCTTCAGGGAATCTGTGATACAAGATGATACATGTCCTGATTTGCTTTCATCTTTCTCTTTTCTTTATCTCAGGCTGAATTTGTTTTTAACTATAAGTTTTTCAAAACCATCAACAATTTATCCTTCTGGCAGCATTTTCAGAGGCTCATTTAAAGCACAGCACAGTACAGACAGAACAAAACAGATTAGAAAACAACCTCGGAGTCTGTTTTCCGTTTCATGCCGGGGAGGGGGAATACCTGCCCTTCATGTGAATAAACATTCACAGACGCCAAAAACCCCACACTGAGCTTCAGTCGCATCTCCTGAATGGGTATTGCACCGTTCATCTCCTCATGTCCGGATGGTCCAGACACAGGCCGAACAACAGATTTCCCTCCCCAATTACCAACTAACAGCATTTCAACAAGCAACTGCATCCAGCTTCAGTATAGAGAAGATGCAGCATGTGGCCTGTCTCCTGGAGACTGAGAGCTGGATCTGGAAATGCATGCCTGCCTTATCACAGCTGAGCCGTACGATGATTAGGAGGGGAAACAGATCACCTTGTCAGCGAGAAAAATCTTCCTCTCCAGCCGCCATGTTAGAAGTCGGGGACACTTCGAAACCAACATGCTTTAAAACAATGTGAGAGCTATTTCAAAAGGCTCACAATAATATATTATCACATTAATTCATTTCTATGAGATACTCTTGTCAGAACTGCCATGTCGCCTGATCCTAAAGGTCTGGACAAGCTTAACTTTAGTCCTTCATTAGTCCACTGAGTAGACTTCACTCTGAAGTGTCAGACTATGGCGTCCATAACATTCATCATGGGAATCAGGCACGCAGCCTGTACGCAAAGCTTCAGCAACACACACAGACTCACACACATTTTCCACTCAGTGCCAGTGTCTGCTCCAAACCAACAGAATACAGCGGTGGTTCTGGCTCTTAAAATTTCAAGTAAAACATACACAAACCATGTATGAAAACAGTTTCTCAGTTTGCCCTACGCAAAAAACTTTTTTCTTCCCTTCTCTGGCACAAATCTGCCAGTTGGGGGGGAGGGGAAATTTTTATAAAACATTTAAAGACGCCAGGGTTATCACACACATGAACGGGCAATGTGGGTTTTTCATTGGGACCTGCCAATGAAGCTCTGCAGCCTGCACAGAAAGAGATGCACATGGGCGCGCAAACACACTCACATCAAATGGAGAATCAATGGAAAAGGGCATACAAGATAGCACAACACATCCATCATATGATAAGCCATCTACAGAAAAGAGATTAGACCGTAACTGTACGTACATACTGCTTAATGCTGCTTCAAAATGTACATGTGGTTATGCTTTCCACAAACATGCACATTAGCCTAACCTGCTCTCTTCTTCTGGACATAAAAGGCAAAGATCTCTTTTTAATTTTTTTTTTTTAAGGAAAGCTCGTCATTTTCCCCTTTTTTCTTTCTAAAGTCTGGAAACAAACACTTTACAGCAGGACCCAGTTCCAGCTTGAACCTTTAGGACTCAGTGATGCCTGTTCTGACACAATGAGGAAAAGAAGAGAAAAAGCAAAGAGCTCGTAACATATGTTGAGTTTAGCCACACTGCGTCAAATTTGAGAAAAATCACAAACAGATGAGTCCATCTGAGGTCCGCACTAGCAATCAAATACATTCCGGCCAATGATGATGCACAAATAAGATTTTACACGTGGGCTTTGTGAGAACAGGCCAAAACTTTGGCTTTAACACAATCGCTTTCTTTTCCAGTGGCAGACCTACTTACATGATGTATATCCACATGGCTGTCCACATAAGGTGTCCATGAAGCCACTCTGAAGCACCATTTTCATGTAAAATATTACTTTATCTCCAACACAGAGTGTGCCATATGAGAAGTCTCTACTATTTTATACCACAAACAGCTGGCAGACATTTTCAAGCTGTACCCTTGTGTTAACTGTTAGTTAGCACTTAGTTTATGCCAAATACATATAAAAATACTCATTTTATATCAAAATTCCCTTTTCTCCTTCCTGTACAACACTGATAATTTAGACTCGGGTTGTATGGTAATTACTGATGATTGTGCTGCCCCAGACAAATGGAAAATGTTTACCAATCCAACTAATGCAGTGGTGTCCTACATGGCTTGTTTCACTTTTTTCCCCTAACACAACAACACTGATGATGGAGGTTAAATGAAGCATGATCCCACACAGAGCTCACTTGAGGGTTGCCCCATCGAATTTGATCGAATAACTCCACTCAGTTTCCTAAATGCTTTTTTTGAGTGCAAAGAGGAAGACTTTTGTCCTCCTAAAATCCGACTAAGTGGCACGCATCTTTTTTCATTTCTTAAAAAAGAAACCACAATATATCTGCTAAACAAATGAAAATGCACTTTGATCATGAGTCAGACACTACACAAGAAGAGGAAGTAATCATGAACGCCAACAGCGTCAGAAGCACTGCTGACAAACAATGATGGTTAACTCTACATTTTCCTGAACACTGCCATGCTATTTGGCTTAATAGTGCCATTATGGTTTGCTTCCAACAATTTGCTTAGACCAGAATTTGCGGGGCTTAGTTTTCCGGGTTGTGCTGTGATGCCAAGGCATTTCATTAAGAGGAAGACATGACTTTCCCTTGGGCCTCTGCCAGCCGACAAAAAGAGACGACCAGAGGCTTATTGTGGGTCCCATTTTTCATTAAATGTGAGACTGGCACTCTCACTCTTCCTGTATTGCATCCCAAAACAAATGGTTCTGCGTAGGGCTGCCGGGAAACCATAAAGAGCTAAACTAGGCTACTGATAAGGCCAAATTAGACGCTTAACTTAAAAGTGACAAAGCTAAAAAAAAAAAAGCATCAGCAGTCTTGATTTAGGAGTGTGAGCTTTGCTCTAATGCAGAAAGGGGAGTAAGCTGTGGTAGTCAAGCTGTAAATAACACAAATACACAAAACTCCAAACGTGTTCACACAAACAATCATTTGTGAAGTCAGCGTTTTTTCTTTGTTCAAACTGAAATAAACTAAATACATTAATAAATTAAAAACGTCATAACAAATCTGTATATTATTCTAATACTCTTAAGTGCTGTTTTCGATGGAGAGGCATCATCACCCTGAAATATATGCAAGAGTCTAACACTGCACTGCTATTGTTCCCGAAGTTGGAGTGCTGTTCCACTGAGGCCGTGCAGCCTGTCTGGCTGTGCACAGCAGCCCAAACACTTCTCTGCCAGTCATGTGTGAAGGGCAGCTTAACAATGATGGTGGAAGACATCATAGAAGCTCCCGTTCATCAGAAATGCTCCGCTGTACAACAAATACAACACGTGTATTACGTGAAATGATTAAGTCAGTTCCTCGTCTCCGCCGTCGTCTCAGCAGTGATGAAACTGAGTCAAAGTGCTGCCCCAACATGGCCAAAGAGTTGCGAGTCCTACTTCCTGCGGGGCTACATTAATATCTTGGCAGATGCAGCTTCTTTTAGCCGTGTTGTCAAATGTATGGTTTTCTTTTAGGAGCGTCAAAGAATCGGGGAAGAATTTTTGTTGGTGGTAAAATTGTTCCTGTGTTTTAGGAAATACAACAAAAAAAAGCACAAAAAAAAAGTCAATGCACTGTGCCATAGATAGAAGCATCATCCAGGTTAGACCAATCCTAACGGGGCCTTGTGGAAAATGCTCTCCAGAACCCTGATGCAATCAGTGCAAATGCATTGTCAAGACCACACAGGAAGGAAGAAAGAAGAATCCCAGGAAAAGACAGAAAACCAGGAACCCTGTGAACGAAAAGGTGCTTCAAAGGAAGAGGAAAAAGGTGGAATCTCCCGTCATATTTGAGCCATTAGTGTTTATGCTCTAAAGGGCACATCTAATTTTTTGAACAAATATTCTGTTCCCGAAAGAAACAAATACTCCATGGTGGGAACGGTAGAGTCAGTCTATGTGCGAGGTATCAGTTTAGTGCATGCTGTCTAATCGTGTGGAATATCCAGTCCATCTTGGTGGTCCACCCTCCATGGTGAGCGTCGTTCATCTGTTTCATAAAATAGTCCAACGCCTCCTGATCAATACAGGAAATACATTACATGTTTGTTTAAATGGACTTGGGCATTTTATAAAACAAAGAGTGTCAGGAAAGACTGAGCCCACTCACTTGCTCACTTTTCTCCAGGGCCAGTGTCTTCCTGATGTAAGCGATATCATCAAATGACTGCAGCTCAGGCATGCCGGAGCCCAGCATCATGGAGAACAGGTTGATGAAGAGGTTGGCATGTTGTCGGATGGCTAAGTAAGCTTTGTAGCACATCTCCTGGAACCTGGATTGAGAACAATAAAAACAATTATATAATTTCAAATCGTAGTCACTAATTGGACGAGTTTTTGTTAGAAGACTGCAGAAACACTTGGAAATGTGCACATGTCACCTGAAGAAAATTTAGTCAAGAAAGAGTGACAGGTCTTTTTTGTTTTTTGTGAAAGTGAAACAGGTGCAGATAGCATCTGCGGGTTAAGAATACATTTTATTTACAGAGCAACTCTAAAAAGCTATCTAAGGAACATTACAAGTGTAACTGAACCATTCAGTTCAAGAAAAAAATACCTCATCCAACTTAAAACACAGATTCAATACTCTTCATGTGAATCACCACAGAATCACTTTGCATTCAAGTATAACCTTTAACAAAGTGCTTTGTTGTGTCTAAAGTCAGTAAATTCAGAAGTGTTGTTCTCGACATGTATGTTCTTTACAGTGCCATAAAGGTGTTAGCTTTCCATTTATATTCACTATAGACAACTCAATTTGTAGGTTTTTCCCTTTACTCCTTTAACTTAACTTCCAACCTTTTCTTAACAGAGCAGGAAAAAGAAAATGACATGGTTAAATAAAAGTGACATATGTGTGGTTTTGAGTTGACAGAGAGACAGTTTTTGTACCTTTCAAACTCTTTGGTCTTTGTGCATTCCTGGGATCCTTTGCTGATGACAATGAGGAAGTCCTGGGTCAGAACAAAGGGAACACGCTCCCTTTTGTAGCCAAATTTTTTCTTTTTATGATCCAGAAAATGACCAAAATCTATATGAAACAACTGAAAGAGAGAAGAACAGAAGTGACAAAGAGAATTCTGCTGTAAAAAGCTATTTAAAACATGGTACCTGTTTACACATGGTCATTTTATATATTTATTTATTGACAGATAGAACTTATAACAGATTGCTAAAAAAGGAACATATCCTGAATGAGACATGCTCCCTAAACATCTCTTTTATGGTTTCTGTAAGCATGACATCTTTCATTGAAGCAGCCTACCGGTGACCCCATCATTAGTTGGCCGGTATGCTGGGATATGAACATAATCTAACTTCTACAACTGAAACTAGGCAAAGAAAAGAACACAAAGAACTGCCTTAGAACATAAATGCAAATGACTCTGGAACTGAAACATTGCAGGTTAGCATGGTTATGCATGAACATGTAGTTACCTGCCCATCATCTTTGACCATAATGTTGCTGTTGTGTCTGTCTCCTATCCCCAGGATAAACGTAGCTACACAGTAGCCAGCGCAGGACCTTGTGAATAAATCCACAGCCATGTCATACCTGCACACAGAATGAAACGCATAAAAAGAACACTTAAAGGCCAGTGGGAAATATTCACCACATGAGGACAAAGGTAAATCGGCAGTGGCTGAAATGTTACTTGGGACACCACAGGCGCAGTCACTCACATCTCCCCTTTGTTTTTATCCTTGAGCCACTGATGCAGGGTGTTGGAGTTAAACTGGAGGGCTCCTTTCAGGCCTCCTTTACACTGGATCTGCATGATTGTGTGAGAGCTGCGAACCACCTCAATGAGACCTACACAGTCCCCTAATGACAGACAGCCATAGGGCAACATCCTGGAGAAAATGAAAAAGGCATATTCTGTTCACTTTATGTGGTGCAAAAGTGTGACCATGCAAAGAAATAGAAATGCACAAATATACAAGGAAAGAAAAAAACATCAGTACCGCAGATCCAGTCCCTGATTCTGCCAAATATTCTCCATAATTTTAATAATCTGTAACGTCAGCATGTCCTGGCGTAGATCTACATAGTAAAAACAACACACATTCACAGATTAAACAGATGTACAATATAAAGATAATACATTAGAATAGATGACTAATCTCAACAAAAAAATTCTAGAGGCTCTGAAAAGCACTTTGTGCCATTATGTAAGATCATTCAATTGACAACGGAGTAAATCAAGAAGGAATGAAGAGTTCTTTCTGAGCAAGCAACGCCAATACTTTCACAGTTTCTTACAATCTCAATCAAAGATGGAAAACACCTTATACAGACGATCCAAATCTGTGAAAATGCATGTTGTTGATGAAACATTCTCACATATTAAAGCAAACAGATGTTATAAACAGGGTTGTAGTGGGAGTATTACCGTCTCCATTTTTGAAGATGATCTCATTGTTCTGAAAAAGCAGCTCTGACATGATGTCAGGATTCTCCCAGTTCAGCCACAGGGGCCTCTTTGCTGATGACATGATTCTGCATTCGTCTAACCTGTGCAAAGATTAAAGTTGTACCATGTCAACAGGAAATCAAAGTGTCTTTTCACTCTCTTTATTCATGCAAACATACCCTACAGAGTACAAACAATCCCAATAGTGTCTGACCTCAGGTTTCCCAGCTGATGAGCAGGGTTGAGAGGAGAGGTGAAGTTCTGCAGAGCATCCATGTAGTCTGGTCTTTTCATCTGATCCACAAGGAACCGCATTTGGACCTGCCCAACACACACACATACAACCAGAACAATTAAAAGTTTTGCATGTATCTGCAAAACCTGAACATGTGTGATAGCAGAGCAGTTAAACATGTTGTATTTCAGCAAGGCAACACTGATGGAGCCCAGATTTCACTTCAGTAAGCTTTGAGTCATAAAGAACCATTTTTCTCTGAAGTAGTGAGGCTTACCTTTTGTGTCTCATCCTTCTTTTCCTGCTTGAGGATGTCAGTGAGGTTGATGAGCTTCTCCATGGCCTCGACCTGCCTACTCAGGTGTTTCAGGTACATGCCACAAGCTCTGCAGTAAGCTTCCAACAGCAGCCCAAACCTCTGACTCACAGTTTTGTTGTGCATTTCCGATCTGTTAGGAACACGAGGAAAAGACGGTGACTGAAGATACAAGGAGTGACAAGTTTTAAGCCTCATCTGAAGACTAGGAGGCACACTGGATGACTCACTTGAGATGCCAAAAGAAGAAATGTCCTATCTTTTGATTGGTCAGAGCTTTTTTGAGGAGAAAGCGAGCCAGTGGATTGTCAAGATACTGCTCATATTTTAATACCTAGAGAGGACAAAAAAAGGACAAGATTATACTGGAAGTTTCACTAACTAATAATTTAAGATGCCTCCCACCACAAAGCATAAAATCAGCTTCAACGACTTGCAACTTTACAGATTGAAAGCCTTTTTAAAAACACCTCAAAAGAGTTCCTATAAATGTTGGAGGAAGTGCCCACACCACAACAACTGAGAGCTAAAAGGGTTCTTAGGATCCAGTTTCTAGCCTTTTTTTTTTTTTGCTTTAATGAATACAACAGTGCTAGCATCGAGTAACAGATTGAAAGCCTAGATTTTATTAGATATGCAACTTAGTGGAACTTACCTGAACAAGCTGGATCAGGTACTGGGAAAGTTTATCATCAGTCAAATATTTGTCAAGGCAACGCACAGCAAAGTGCCGGACCATGGGGTCCGGATAGTTACAGTCCAACAGCTCCATGGCCTGCTCGGGACGGGTCGATGGCCATTCTTTCAACAGGCAGTACATCTGGGGAATGATTGAGGTGAAAAACTCACAAAACTTGGAAATGTACAACTTTGTGAACTTCAACTACATTTTTAGGGATATGAGAATGTTGTGGAATAAATGCTAAAAATAACAAAATCTTCATACAATATTAATGTGATCTGAATGACAATGGCAATGATGGCGATACCTGAGCTACTTCATCTCTGGAGTTCCACTTGACAGCAAGAAGGATTTTGGGAAGAATTTCAGGTATGTTCATGCAGTAGTGTCTGGAGAGGGAAAAAGAGGATAAGTGAAATGTGCTTCATGAGTTATTTCCTCTCATCTGCCTGTTTATAGATTACTATCTTACAAGGGCTCAAGGTCTTTATTTCCTGAGTGTTTAAAATGCATGCTGTATTTGTTAGTGACTACATAAACATTTAAGCCGTGTCTTATTTGCCAACCTGTGTCTCCACAGAAAATCTTTCTCTTGCTCAGTGATTTCTGACAGAGGGTCCCTGTTACTCAGCTGTCTCAGCTGCTCAGTGTCGCTTTCCGTAAGGGCATGATCTCTGGCCACACGATTGCTCTGAAACACAGCAGAAATCAAAATTAATTAAACAGCTAAGAAACACTTAAGCTCCAGTCACGCATTTTTTTTCACAGCATTCATAAGACAAACATAAAATCTGTATGAGTCTTTTACCCTCTGCAATAGCAGCTACTCTAAAAAAAAAACAAATCTGATATCTGACTACATCCAAAATGCTATTTCAGATTTAATTATGATCAGAAAGGGATTTGATTTTCAAAAGTATCAAATCATCCTCTGTAAAGGCACCTTATATCATCATCACTCTACATAGTTAAAGACGCCTCTTCCCCACATTTGTGTCCGACACATTATCTCACACCAGTCACACTGTCTCAACTGGTAAAGTATCTGCAACCACAAGTCACATTAAAACACCAAGTCATGGTTCTCAAACCACACATCAAGTAGAAATTTGATAAGACAGAGCATCATCCACACCATCATGAATAACTGAACACAGTAAGCAACACTGGCACAACAGAGTCACGAGCCAAGTGCAGAAAGTAACTCACTTAACAAAGTTAAAGTCAGTCTGACAGGAGACCACACTACTGATCCCCCGATTGCAATTATTTCAGTGCCAGAAATAAACTGTAAAGAGCTTCAATCTTCCGTTAATTTAAGTTATTCCTGATGGGCAAAGTTGGCCAGCGACAGCCAAACTAAACCACTCTCATCCTGTTACTGCTGCTCTGCGCAGAAAGAAGACGCTAACGTAGACCACCAATGCAAGCTCCAGAAATCTGTGCTTCTCTCTTACACTCTCCCAACTTCAGCAGGGCCACCCTGAAAGTCTGTAGTTTGGATTTTTAATGGTGTTTTCCAATAACGAGGAATTAGTGAAGCTTCATTAGAGGCTAGCTTGATTGCAGCAGTTCACAGCAGACTAATTGAAATGGCTCTGATATGCACTGAATCTTTATGTTGCTATTAATGATTAATGTGACCACACTTCCACTGAAAGTAAGAGAATGTTGTGATTAAACATATCCAATTTAAAACACTAATACAAGACACCAGAGATGCAAGCACACTTAACTATAATTACATGGGAGTGGATATCATGCACAACACAAATATCTGTGCTTACACTGCACCATGTGAGAGGTTGTAAATAGTATGAGATGATGTGGTAAGTTATTCACGTTGTCTTAATGTGTCAAATGATGGGAGTGCCATCCTCATGCTATGTGGGCTGGTAATAATATCATAGCCTTACTATAACAACTAATTTAGCAAGACTCTTAATCTGCCTGTAATGTCTTCAACACTTTGTAGTACACAAAGTTTAGTTTCTGAACAGGTCTACTTAAAAAGGAAAATTCAAAAGTTATCAATCTTTTTTAAGTCAAAATAATTCTATATAGTTTTTCATTCTTCAGAAAACCGGTGTACCACCATTTCATAAAACTCGTACCTGTCCTGAGAGGTTGTAGTTAAAACCAAGTTCTCTGGAGATCGTCCAGTTTGCATGATCTTCCACAGCATTCATGTCTGGGTATTTGACAGGACTGCTAAAGTGGTCAAACTCCAGCTCCAGACATGGTGTTTCCTGGTCAACATAGATTTTTAAAAATCCTTCTGTTTTACACAATATCTCACAAAGAGTTAAACTCAACGTTATTCAATCATTTAATGTTGGGGACAAGATAGTGATTTTGAATACCTTATTAGGGTTAGATCCAGTGACTCCTATGGGATTGAGGAGATCTTCAAGGCCATGAGGGACAGGCCAAAGGTTCAGAGCCATCTTGTTGGCCACAAGAGTGTGAGTGTAATCAAACAGGTTAATATTACCCCAAGCTAGTGGACAGTGCTCCTGAGAAACAAGAACACACACAAACACAGGGTAAATTACTATATATCACACAGACCTTCTTAGAAAATATTCGGTTTACACAAAATAAAGCATGATGCAATCCTCCGTATACTCAAAGCAGCGAGATGAGCAAATTAAACAGTAAATTAAACATACACAAAAACAGGTAGTTCCAAAAACTGATACATTACTGTCCAAAAAGCTTGGAGGATTCGGGGCTATTACTTCCCAGGTCCCCCAAGTTAGGCTTCCTTTTCCAATATTTCATTGTGTTGTACTGGTACAAAGCAACAAAATAACTTTATTTAGGAAAAGGCTTTTGTAGTCCTGACAAAACGTGTGTAACTTGTATAACATGACTGCTATAACAGACCCTGAAAGGTTGATGTATGTAAATATGGCTGTTTATCCATTTGGCTACCATAACTTTAATAGTCTTAACAATTCAAAAGCAAGATTATCATGCAAACTTTCACTTAAACTTAGAAACTTTTCATGTTTCAATTTAGGCGGTGAGGAAAACAGATGTCAGGGGGCATGAGGCCAATAGACAGAGTTACAGGCTGGTGGCTAGTCACAAAACACCTGATTATATCTGTTTATTGTTACTCTGGAACAAAAGGCTGCTAAAGAATACCGTTTATTTTTAATTCAGACGGGGCAAGAAAGAGCATCCGCTAACCTGACATCAATCTAGCATCACGCTGCAGAAAACAGGGCTCACCTCAGGTGTCTGTTACAATATCCATGTCTGGCACTCACTAATACACACACACACACACGCACACATACACCTACACACACCTTTAATAGCTTTTCAAGTTGATGTAACTGACAGTCAAAAAACTACTACGGTTGTCTGTTTCAAGCATTAAACTAAATGCATGGAAACACACATTCAGATTTCTTTTTATGGGCATTGTTGATTTACTATAACTGCTTTGAGACAAAGCACATAACTTCCTTCTTAACCAGCCCCCCACGTGGCTCAAGTGGAAAAGTCCATCCTCCTGTCTGTGTCCCTGTTGATGTATTGTGCCACCCCAGTGCCCATGACTGATTAGTAATTAAACAGAGCCAAAGATGACACCATAGCTCCATTCACCTCAGACACAAATACTCAGTCTGACGCACAGAGTGAAGTGCTTTCATTTGCTACACCCAGGCAGACACAAGGAACACCTAGATGTGCTGGCCCCGTCCTTTGGTGAGACATTATATGCAATCTTTTACCCTCAGTTTGTGATAACCATAGCCAAACATTCCCATAAGGCTTTATCGTTATTTTTTGTATAACAATTCCAACATACTTCAAGATAAATTGTGGTTTATTTAAAAATAAAAATAAATCTTCACAAGTATTCCAAACTACTTTATTCAATGGTTTTGCTATAGAATCAGTCAAATCCTGCAAAGAAAACTGAAAGAAAAGAATATATCTGTTTGTGCAAGCCAGTTTCCTGTAAACAAAGGTCACATGAGGGTATTTTTTCGTTCACTGTACTCTGTCCTACCTCCTTGGCTCCCTTTCTGCCCTTGACAGAGCAGATGGAGAGGCAGAGTCTGGCAGCCCGGGGAATGTCGGGGATGTACATGTCATAGGTGAGCCACTCATTCCACCTAAAAAAGAATGATGTATTTGGAATAAATTGATCGAAATGGCAGTTTTTTGTTTTATTGTTCAGGAGATAGTTCTACATTAAATATCTGTAGACAAGATTTCTATGCACTAAAGTGTAAGTGACAGTAAAGAAAGTGACAATTCAATACTGAAGTTTAGTGTTTCCATCAGCAGTAACCTGTAACCTAACGTCAAGTGAAATCAGAAGAAAAAAAAAACTGTTGGTCTGTTATTAGACACTATGAGAGATTTTACCCTCATTTGAATTTTAATAAATATTATTAAAGATCAGATTTGGTGTTTTTTTTATTGAGAATGAATTACCTGGGATTAGAGCAGGGAACTCTCTGAGTGTTGACGTTGTCACACATTTGTTCACCTCCATGGTATATGCCTGTTCTCACATATATCTAAAGGCAGAGAGGAGATATCAAAAATAATCCAATCTCAGAGGAACAACAAAACAATCAAAATATGATATCTTTAGAAATCATCTGTCTTTCCTGACACCAGTCCATATCCGTGATTGTAACAGCTGTCACACTACATTCTTAGCTATTTTAAGGTAAGGGCAGTTCCCCAACATTTGAAAAAAGAATACCGAAAACAAACCAGTGTAAAGTACCAGAGCTGCTTCCCTTTGGTTAAGCTGTTCACATGAAATCTTAACAATGACTGCTTGTTTCAACAGGATGTAAGCATGGGGGAAGATGGGATATGGTGAACAACTGAAAAAACATTCAACTGATAACTTCCTAAACAAAAACTAGCAAACACACTTATGGAAACACGTATCTATTTACAGGTTTTAACTTTTAGAGACTCACAAATTAAACAATTAGTATTTAGAACTTATTGATATCTACAAGAAATTTACTGTGATATGTGCAGATGTTGTCTCCTACAATCTATATCAGTACATTATGATTTACAATGGCTCGTGGGGTCGACATGTCATTTCCAAGTGTTAAAGTAAACAGTTTTTCCCACCTTGTCTATGTCCCGTATATTCACATTTACATAGGTGGCACAGAGGATTCGTATTCGTAGAGTTCCATTGATGGTCCAGAGTGACTTAGAAGATGCCTCGCCATTCATATATGATGTTGCCGTGGAGATACGTCGAGAGTATGACGGCATGACAAAATTATCTGTAGGCAACTGGGTGTACAGGCTGTCTTTGGCCATAAGCATCAGGTTAGGCATCCTACCCAGCATGATGCAACTACGGATATACTAGAAGGAGAGACACAGAGAGAAACATTTGGTGCAAAGACAGGGATGATTGAGTTACACTCTCCATAACCAGTAACTAATGATGTCAACTGGTAATTCGCTAGCAGCTGTGATTGTAAAGTAGACAGAGCTACATGAGTAGGTGTTTGATTTTGATGTGGTTCTTGGCCCACAAGTAACTGTGTTAAAAGCTTTAAAGAAGGAAATGGAAATTAGACAATCTGAAATAATCTAAGCATCTGAAATGAATCTCTAGACATATGCATTTTACATAGTCTAGAATCACATACCCAACTCCAATTTTATAGAATTGCAGCATTTGATCACAGCAGACATATTTATGGATCCCAGAGGAATGTCTGTCTCTGAGGGTTTTTTTTGTGTTTTTTTAAGACTCTGCCCTTTTCATTAATCTGATCACTCAGTATTGAGTCATTAAGATTCAAGATTGAGTAAATCAACACATATTACCTTATACTGGCTGATGGGATACTTTTCCAGCAGGTATTCATCACAGCCACAAACTTTGAGGATGTATTTGCCCTGATACTCCTGAACACACATCTTTAGCTGCTCTGGGGACAGAAGCATGCTGCGTGTCTTCTTACGAATGGCCTCTGCAATCACCTTTAGGACATTTAACATGCACACACCCAACATTATAGAGTGGAAAGGAAGTCGTCGCCGCGGATTAAAAACAATTCATTTGTAGGCAGTGCATTTACAGAAATGCCTCTAAAAGATTCAAATTCTGATTAAAAATGCAATACAAAAATTAATCCCACCTGTTCAGGCACACAGTCATGGTTGATCTTCAGTGTATATTTTTGCTTGTCATTGTTTGGGGAAACAATCACCCATATTACAACAATTATTTGACCTGCAAAAACAGTTAGAGAACCAAACATAAAAGATGAGCAGTCAATCACATTCGTTTTCTAGAACAATTAGTCAAGAAACTTAATAAAACATTATTTACTCTACAAATTCAGTCAATTGAGTACACGGCAGTGCTTATCTACTATGATATTTGTACAACAGCTTCATGCTACTGGCAATTCAACTGATCAACTGAACCTCATTAGTCGATATTCTTAGCTGGGAATAAAGCTGTTGCCTACCTTTGTCAAGTTTGCTATAGATGTGTTTGGGAAGTTCCTGTGTCGATTCTACATTGGGTGGGTAAACATACAGCGCCCTGCTGTGGGGCCCGCTGGCATCTCTCAGCTCCACAGAGTCTTTACAAACATTTAGGATGTTTCTCCTGAAATCCTGAACTTCAGGATCTTTTACAAGATCAAACTCACATACAGGCATACCAATGGCAAAGCCTGAAAAAACATTTAGAACACCTATCAAATTTAGGCACTTAATTCACAACACATCCAATATAGTCGTTTTACCAGCTAAACATAACTTTCAGAAACACAAAAGGTTCTGCCTTACTTCCTCTAATCCAAAAATAAACATTTTTGGGGGATATTGGCCATTCTTGGCAATGACTAAAAGAAAATAAGTCAAATTTCCGGTCAATGTAACAATAACCATTCCCATTTGGAATGAACTACTTTGCTCCAGTGAAACTCCCATCAAATTCACAGAAGTATCTTAAACAGCCTTGTTATGGTGACATTATTAGAGGAGAATTCCCTCTCACCAATCTCTCTGTTGAGGATCTTTTCCTCCCTGTTACCAACGGGTTCAATAACTTTTAGAAACGGTTGAAAGAGTCGGAGGTCACATAGCCTGCGGGTCTCATCATAAAACTCCTCCCGTTCTGCTTCCTGGAGGGAAAAAAAAGGAAAAAAATGTGGTGTGGTCAATATTTTTCATATTTTTATTCATGAAGGCCAATGATTACATCACAGAGGGAGCTGAAACTCTTCCTGCTGGGGCATAAAAAAAAGCTGGAGGAATAAAAAATATCACATCTTTTCAAACAATTGTAGTGCTATTTTTTCTTTCAGTTTTATAATGACCTTCAGCTGTTTTAAACATGTAATGTTAAAAAAACAAGAACCATAATGCTGTGTAAAAACAGCATGTGATTGGAGCTTATTTAATTTTACTGGCAGTTTAGGCCGAATATATTCTGCTGTCGTATCAAAATATCTGTGGGACCCTGTCTAGAGTTCGTACCTGTGTAACACTGACGAAAATATAGGACGTCTCCTCCTGTAAGAGGTGATGAAGAGGATATTTTCTTGCCTCCTTGAACAGCTCATGTTTGATGGTAATCAGTGTGGCCTCACGAAGACACTCCAGGGTTAGAATCATGCCGTTGGGCAGCAGGCAGTCCACCAGGATCCTGCAGACACAACAATTCTAATCACATTAAAGACAAGCTGACGTTGGATTTGTTCTTTGCGCTGATGGAAAATGGTCGAGCTAATCAAGTGCTTATGTTCACAGAAAAACAAACACAGCCATTTACAAGAGACTCAAGCCTGACGTACCTGGGAGGCATCAAGTGGATGCCCCACAGCTCCCCTGAGGACGGCCTGGGAGGCATCTTTGTCTCAGTCTCTCAGCTCAGTTACACAATTGAGCTGCAGAGCACCACCTGAAAGACATCAAGACAAAGAGATAGTTTTTCCTCTTTCTGCATAGTACACAGGCTGCAAACTTGGTTTAAGGTCAGACCCTGTGGTGATCCTGATTTTAAAACTCTTCACAAGAGGTTTGGTTGTTAAACAAGGTTACCTCATGCTTATATTGAGACCAGGTATGCTGTTTTGAACTCAGCCACTCTTAAAGAGGAATAGATCAAATGATGCACAATGCTCAAAATGTAAATGCAACATATTGTGCCAAACGTGAGCTTACTACACACCATCTGTGCCTTCAATAAATTAATATGTGTATACATATATTTAGGAAGCTGAAATAAAAAGAATACATAAAATTTATAAATTACTTCTTCATTTGGCAGAAATTGCTGGACCAACATCATTAGCTTTTAGTTACAGTCCTCACTGGACTGTTCATGAGAACAACCATATTTGGTGAACCACACTTTAAGAGAAGCAAAACATGCTCAGTGACTGTCTGCAAAGCTTACAAAGCAAATGTACAACGGTCACTGTTTTGCGGTTTTTGGATTTATATGTATGGTCAAAGCCTTATGTTTCTCTGGAATAACATGCTATTTAAAAAAAACAGTTGACACACCCATCACGGATATGTTCTATCTAAAGTGTGTCAAATTAATCTGTACTACGGAGCTTTGTATCAGGCTTTCAATTATTTCAACAGTCATATGTTGTAAAATTTTATTATATTCGCTGTCATGTAACATCTGTCTTAGATAACTTTGTACTCTTTATGGAGATAGTATAGAGGTAAGTCAGCAAACCATATCTGAGAAAGGCTCCTTCTGAGGGACCAAGAGACATAAAGGAAAATGGTTTCACAACACATATAGGTTGATTATTACATTTACAATTCTTGACACATTTATCAACTCTACATACAGACAGAAAAAAACAACTTCCTGCTTGGCTGAAAACTGACAAAAACTGAGCACTCAAATCCATCATGACCCTGAAACATATCCAAACTAAAAATCTATTTCGATATTTTAAAAAAGAGGTCCCAAAATGTACGGCAGGAAAGTTTCTTTTTTTTTTTTAGCAATGTTGACCAACCAGATGTATTGAGACTAACCAAAAACACATGGTCTGTTGTGCATCGCATCTGCATGTAGTTCCAAAAGTGAATATTAAAGCATAGACTCCTCACTACCTATTACAAATACCAGTTGACATGTTTTATAGGTGATATATCAGTAAAGATGACAACTTATTGTCAGTTTATCTAGACTGTGCATGGAGCAAGGATTCTGTACTGTAAAGAGGAGGAGTAAGGGCTCTACCTCAGGAGACATGAATTTAAATTGAGAAATTTAGTAGTGGAAGATGGAAGAAATTTATTTTTTGTTTTTTTAATATCTCAGGCTTTAAAAAATAATGAATGCTTAATGATTCCTCACTTCTGACATTCTGCAGACATGCATGTTGTTATTGTTCAGGTCAGCTGTGCTTTAACTTTCCATATCTGGACACCAGCTGCACTGGTGTAGATATCAGCTATCCTCCTATCTCTCCTCAAACAAATGTCCCTAGTGTTCTTCTGTTTTTCTTTTAGTCTTTTCTTTTTCTGAATGGTATCTGACCCAGCACTGTGTTTTGCTGATGCACTCCAACTCGACGCACTACAAATGTGAACAAAATTTAACTCTTGGGGTCTGGTGAGGATGACAACATACTGACGTACACAAAGGAAACCCGTACTGGAGGAAGTGGTGTTTTGCTTGGTTGCAGCTTACTGACGCTAAAAAGATGCCCTTGATAACCTGCCACAGTGTCTTTTCGCTAATTCACACATCTCAGACAGCAGAAACTCAGCTCCACGTCGGAGTCTATTTACACATATCATGCTGGCATAGCTTATCAGCTGCGTGTTGACAGCATCGTTGGTTGGTAGAGTAAAATCTCATCTCTGGCGTGCCCTTACACGTACAACCCAACACAACTGGTACCACCTCACTAGGCAGCTCAAATGCCAAAACATTTGCCGATAAACTTAGAACCCCCAGGTCACCTCTGTATACGGCCACGGCACTTCAGTCCCGCTTTGAAAGGCACGTGTGAAAAGTCCTTCCGACAGATGTACAGCTTGTTTCATATTGAGACATCCAGTTGGCGGGGAGCTGATGAGTGAGGACATACAGCCAATGAAAATGCCAAATACAGGATCACAGAACACAACACGGGAAGTCTGAGCAGGGAACTAGGTAGAAAATGGCTAAACAATGGTCAGAATAGGTACCTCTTTTTTTGTCAGACTAAGAACATAGAAAGACACTGACACCTCTCCTAAAATAATTGCAGGTATTTGTAGCTTGCGTTTAAGCTTCTGACAATGGAGAGAAAATCTGCATTAGAGTGAGAACTGATCAAGTAAGACTAGATCGGCCTAGGGCATAAGCTTGGTGAAACTTCTTGACATGGGTGATCCCCAGCAGCAGATCACTCACTCAATGTGAACTTCAAATCCAAATTCAAAAGAAAAGCTATTCCTGCAAACTGAGGAATTTAATGATGTGACACGACTGACAACTGATGTAGTTAGGACTTTGCTTCATGAAGGAGTCAAAGAACACAGCAGAGAGTCAGCAGAGATCACCAAATCTCTAAATATCTGATGGTCTCTGATTGCATGTGCCAATCCAAAAAGACCCCACCCCACAACCCGCAACACTGAAAATTAAACCAAAAAACATTTGGCTTTCTCTCAGCACATAGAAATTAAAAGTCTTTGGGGTCCTCAGTGATGGCATAACACTAGACGGTCCAACTCTCATAAGACACAACAACACAGTGACTTAGCTGAAGAGTGGGTAACAGAAATTGTTAAATATGTGTTTGGACAAGTTCTTATAATACTCTGTCTTCATTTCAGTCTAATTTACAACGACTGTTAACAACTGTCAAGGGAGACTGTCCGAAAAAGCTCTTTTCTTGTGTTAGAGTATCTGTTTTTCTCCTCTGTACGTTGTTGTTGATTGGCTTTAAAATGTTAGTGTACTGTGTTAAAATCCAGAAACTACTCTGCTGAAATACTTAACAGTTACCTTTAGTATTATGCAAAAACTGACGATAGTTACCATATCATTCCAAAAGATCTAGAGGAAAACACGCCTCTTACAAGAATTCATGACATTCACAGCATCTGTTTCAATTGCACTGATAACAGTTTTATGACAGGATCCAAAAACCATAAACATGTTTCAAAAAGTCATTCATTCAGTTGTAAGGAGGATACAAGGTAGGCAGCTAATGTTCATTTCACAGAGAAACATCTCTGAAGTATTCTTAGGATATTGTGACAATACACCATTTAAGATTTCTTATGAAGCAGAAACAGAAATAACCTCTAAAACTTACCAGTAAAATCACCTGAATTAAGGGACACATCTACTCATATTTTACCGTGCCAGTAAAACATTCACATCCCCTTTCTGCATTAAACAAGCGTCCACACATGCTAAAACATTGCCCAAAGGGTCTTAAATCATATAGACAGGTTAAAGTGCGTAGCAAGATGTCAATGTGCGCTCGACTTCCAAGCAAGAAATCTTTAGGGAGTATAATGAGTTGCAATGATCCCCTAAGAGGTACCCACGACATGCAAGAATGTTTTTATGTATGTTGTAGAATTTTAAACCAGGAAGTCACTGCCATTACATCTCTCCTCTTAATATAGGCCTAAAGGGTGCAGTTCTCAACTGAGGGCAGTTTCTAAAAAAAAAAGTGAAAAAACTCTTTCTTCCGCTTAGAGCCAAAAGAAGATTTGAGAAATCTTAACAAATAACAAATACTGGTAATGACAACCCTACATATAAACAACCCAACAAAAAAAAGCTTGAACAAACCCCCCATGGAGGAGTTGTACGATCTGTGGTCCTGATCAGGATGCAGCTAAGCACTTTAGGACAAAAGAGGAAGCTTCCTCAAAACACAGGATGTGGGGAGTGGGGAAACACTGACCCTCACACAGGCTTGCTTTGGGTATTGACACACAACTGCACAATAGTTCTGTGGGCAGGCTTGTGAGTTCAAACATATGCTCAATCAATACAACACATAGCTAAATTTCATTGTGGCAAGCACTTGGTGTAGTCAGTTGCATTACACAGCACAATAAATAGGTTTGAATCGAAATACTTTTTTCCACAACAAATTGTGTTAAACGGGGAATGAGACCAGCTTGGCACACTGAAGGTATTGGATAAACAGTGTTGGATGACAAATGTTGGACAGTCAACAAAAATATGTGTGATAGAAGCAGAGATTATGTCGAGCATACCTTTTAGAGACACCCTCCTATTTGGATGAAGGGACAGTTTCTGTCTTCATGTTTCAATCCATCTTCACGCTCTCACTGAAATATGTTTTTGAGAGGAAATTAAAACCCAAACAACCCCACGCACAGCCTCAACAGCAGCAGGGTGATTCACACTGGCTAGCAGGTTAGCTAACGATGGGTGTTTGGAAATGACAGCTGGGAGATGACAACAAAAATGTAATTCATAAAAACGTTAAATCCTCCAGATAACAGCTTCACGAGCACTTTAATCGTGGCTCCTATATCGTTTACAAATATAAAAATGGATCAACATCAACCAGTTTAAGAATATATATACGAGCTAATGCTAAGCCTGTCATCCCTCTGTTGGAAAGCACATTCCCAACAAACAAAACAGGGCATGCGCCGAACAGAAAGCTGTATGTATAGCTCATTTTGAGAAATAACTTACTCATACGACCTGGTGACAAGGCTGTTTGAGGACGCTGGACTGAAAAGGGTATTCCTGGCTAGTGCCAGCTAGCTCCCGGCTAGCCGAGCCCTCCTGTCCCCAGCGGCCGGTTGGTGGCTCCCGGCGCCGGGCGAAGCAAGCTGTTATGTGTCCGTCAGCTCCCTGCGTCAGCTCCCCGCCGGAGGAGCCGCTCCTCCACGCCGACAGCAAACCCCGCTGTGCCGCGGGGGTTTACAGTTACAGTGGATAAAAACAGACGAGCATGTCCGGTCAGCGTGATTCAACCGGAGGATGTTGCGAGCAGCTGAGAAGCTGGACGACTGGACGAGTTGTTACTGCGACAATGCAGCCACGCTGTCTGTCTGGGGCCCTCCTCCCTTCCTCTGAAAACACACACAAACACACACCGAGAATGAAAGTGCGAGGACTCCCTCTGACTGACATGTTTGCGGGAGATATGTCTTCTACGCTGTGGTTTCAACCACAAATTTAAATGAGGAGATTTCCACTGCACGACACCGCGGCAAACGTAGAAAAAATGGTCCGAAATAAGCACAATGTTTCACTCTATCCGGGCTTTTTCCTTTACATGTTTTCACAAAAACTCCACCCATTGAAACGGCACTATTAACAGCACCACCAAAAAAAACTCTAACTGATTAAAATAGATGGTGATAAAGATAAAAAGATTTAAAAATAGACATTGACATTTCTCATACATGTGTAACCCACTGTGCTGTACAAGGATGTATATATATATATATATATTATATATATATATATATATATATATTATATATATATCCTATTATTATATATAATATATATATATATGCACTCACCAGACCCGACCACTATCAAATCCATCATTCTGAAGGAAACAGCAGATAACTAGTCTGATTTTAGTTGTCTGAATTAGCTGAGTTGTGCAGTAAGTATTACTGAATTTATTTTTAGAAGATCAGGAAAAAGCATTAAAGTAATGCAACCTTCCTGTGAAAAAATAAAAATAACAAAAATAAAATGATTATTCTCTCTGTGGGCTCAAGAGAAAACTGGTTTTCCGGAAATGTTTTTCAACTGATGAATGCACTCATTGTAACAGATCTATTCTGGGGCTAAAAACTGAGATATTGTTCCAAAACTATTCCTGAGTTTGTTTGTTTTTCTGTGTGATTAATAGGCTTTGGCTCCAAAGTTTGCAGCTTTATTTTCACCGTCTCTCCCTGAGCTTAATAAAAGATTACTATGATCAGACAGCAGTGACATCATTTGACACCTCAAAGAAATTTAGATCACAAAGACACAGCCTCATGAAACTGTGCTGTTTGCATATCCCTGGAAATGAAGGCATGGCCTCCTGATGATATTTTTATCAGAAAGTGGAGATTTTAAAGTGCGGTACAAATAGCTAATTCTGATCAATACCACAACTGTTTTTTTACTTTTTAGATGTGCATTGATTCATAACATCATGCTGAATTATCTGTTCATAAGATATGACTTGAGTCCGTTATCAGTTGCAGAGCAGCGAAAGATGCAAATCAACTATTGTGACTAGAAATATTGCGCAAACAGAAGTCAAGCAAAACAAGTAAGCCTTTGCAAGCACTTACTTGTGACTGCACAATACTTGAATGTGAATGTGAATACATCAAAGACACACAAACTAAACAAGATTTTAAATTAAGTATATGAGTGAGGGATAAAAATAGAACACAAAACAAACAGTGATACACAGAATTGATTTAAGATACACCGCATTACACACCAAATAGAAGTCACAAAATGTATTTATTACATGTCAGGATGAATATTGATTGTTGCAAAAGTACTATTCCAAAGAAAGACTTGTGTTTATAGTTGTTGGTCCTCTGAAGTTTGGCTGTAAAGATCTTGGGTTTATATAGAATGATTTCTTATGTTAACTTCATAACCTCTGAATTATTTCAGTTTGTCTTTGAGGTGACCAAAGACCATTCTTAAGGCATTTACAGCTGAAACATATGGGGCTGAATATAAGGGGAAACAACTGATCTGAGATGTGGAATTACACATTGAAACTATGTAACAATGCAAAAAAGATTAATGAAAATAATAAAATAAGGGGAGAAAATTATTTTAAAAGAAACAATCAGAAAATGTCCATATATCCACATGAAATATGTAAAAGGTCCATTAGATACAAAGGTTGAGACACAACATGACAACCAAACAGTTTACTTCGATTTTATTCAGTTTTTTAACGTGTCTGCACAAAGGAGTCCCTAAAACCTCTCAACAGGAGGTAATGCATGGGAGAAACTAAATTAATCTCAAGCCTTTTCCCTTCTGAATCTTTTAATTCATTAACATTAAATATGACATGTATACAATCTGAATGTATCATATATAACTGAAAACAGCATATTTAATTGCTGCTATGATGCTGATGACAATATTAATAACAGCAAGAAGGAAAGGATTGTGATTCTTGACTGTTTTTTCTCTGACTGTAACGTAGTATTTGTTACATTCTATTCTTAACTCATCAGCTGTTTCATAAACAGATGGGAGACTCACAAAGTGCCAGCTCGAGTGATCTTGTACCATGGAGTTGTAACATATTCATACAATGTGCCATCATTGCCACCCATGCAAAGAAGCAGCAGTGGCATCGGAAATGGACTGTACCAAAGAGGAAAGGGACGCTGTGGGAACCCTTACAGCATTCAAGTGTTAAAAAACGTCCTTTCTGGAATGTCACAATCTTTGCCGATATTTCTTGTGAGAACAAAAATATAGTGCTCTTAAAGGTTCGTGATTAAACAGCATTCCTGATGCCTCTCAGCTCGTGGATCTCGCTCTCCTCCGCAGGTTTCCCCTCCGCTGAACGCCTGGATGTATGAGCCCTGGTAGGGACTGTCATCCTGCCTGACCGCCCGGTTTTTTGGAGAGAAGAAGTTGGCAGAGGGATGTTCCTGCGATGATGGCGTTGCAGCTCAGGACCGGCGATGCAGCATACTACCAGAGTGCAGAGTACTGCAGAAACTACAGTTCCCCTCCTGTCAGATACGGTGACAGCAGCCATTATCTTGCTCGTTTGCCAGGTAAGGAGAGGGTTGCCAGACGGGTTGCTCCCCTTTGACTGTCAGGACTGTCATGCTCCTAATGTGCGATGTTTAGGAAAAACTGACGTTTGCAGATGGCACAGAGAAGGCTTGGTGTTTCGAGGGGATTGCCCTGGTGCTGGTGACATGCTGTGGTGTCAGGTCGAGGGGTGCACCAGCCATGTCTCTGCTCAGAGAGCATGGATGCAGCGATGCAAAATCTGAGGGTCTCGATAGTCTGGTGGTCTCCTGTACCGCAGGAGAGCTCTGTACATCATGCCCGAACCATAGTTTTAGGTTTTGTGTCTCACTCCTGACATGGAAAAGCTTCAATGCAATGTTTTCCTTTCGTCCCAAACACTAGAGTCAGTCAAATGGTCCGAAAATCGCTGTTGCGCTGCTTGATTTGCACCAGCTGATGATGACATGAGGCAGTTTTACAGAAAGTGTTCCCTCTTGCACCTGCGAGGTCGCTGCCAGAACGCTTTCCGAGGATTTCAGGAATATGGGATCTGTACAGCTACATCCTACGAATTTACAGCTAGAGTGTGATCAATTGTCTTCATAAGTTGGATTTAAAAGAATAGTTGTTTGGCATATTCATTCGGAATTATCTGTCATCTTGAAAAAGGCTCATTACTGTGTCTGATTAATGAGACAATCAACGGAAAATGACGATCACATTCGTTGCCATAATTGCTGAAGGAGTCTAACATATCTTGGCTCAAACGTTTCAAATCTTAGTCTATTATCAGTTCAGTCTATTGGCCTATTCTATTAGTTTAAACATTAAATCAGTTCTAAGAATATCATACATGGATGATTTAGGCACTGAATATGTTTGCTGTGCTTGTTTTTTCAGCATCTGTTGGTTTAGAAGGTAGATGGCAAGAGCTGTTTCCTTTTAAGTGGGGGGTGGATAATAATCAATATAGTAATAGCAGCATAAAGCAAAGGCCAAGTGACTAGTGCAGTCCTTAAAGGAGAATAACTCTTATTTCCAGTGTGAGTTAGTCTCTCCTGAAAAGCTTTAATAACAGGATCTGTTCTCCAGTTGATTATATAAATGAAAGATAAAAGAGCAATTTAGGTACAGAAGTGGAAGCTGTGCGCCTGGGATCAGTGAAACAGCGAGAGACGTACAAAGAGGGATATTCTTGCTTTTTGCTGTGAACTGTTCTTGTCCAGCGAAGCAGATGGAATAAGTGCAGGAGGCATGTGCTTCTCATCGCTCCATAATTGATGTGACACAACACAGAATGGCAAGAGGAACTCGAGAGAAAACGAACACTTGGCCTATTTAAAAATCCTCAGTGGAGGCCACGAAATTAAAAGGTTTTCAATATGAGTGTGTTTTGTTCCCGTGTTCTCAAGCAGCAAATTGCACAAACTCTTGAGTCAAACTCACAAAATATCTGCTGACTGAGTGATTCACAAATAACCCTTGCACGAGCTTTGAGTTTGACTTGATTTTTTTCAAGCTGTGATAGACCTTTAAATCTTTGAGAACATCATCGATACAAAACTGTGAGTGAAAAATGTGCTGATGAGTTGCTGCCTTTGGCTTTGGGGTAATGTTATGTAAGCCTGATTTTGACTTGCAAAGTTGATTATGTTTGTCTTAATCTTTTAATTAAAAAACAAAAAAAAGTGTATTAATTAATTCAATTCTGACTTTTCGGTGCTGCCATCCTGTGAGTTTGTTCTGCAGCTTTGTAGACTGCACAACGTGACCACAGATATGGGTCTCTGAGCAGAGGAGGAAGCTAACCTTGACCTATCTAGCAAGCATTAAACATTGTGGAGGCCAAATGATGCAACAGTAATGAAATTATAAGATTTCTATTAAATTATATGGTGAAAAAGGAAACACAAAACATGTTTTGAAATAGAATAAAAAGGAAGACACTTTCTGTTCAACAACATGTGCTGGTGCCAGTGCTACTGTACTTATCAGTGACATCAGCTTCACTTTTATAGGTTCTGCAGACTCATACTTAAAGATTACAGCACATCTCATTTGCGTTGCTGATTCAAGGTTTCCTGCTGATAGCCATTTATGCTGGTTCCAGGCCACCAATGCAAGACTCTCTTTAGTATATTGAAAATTCTTTGAAAAAGTTCACAAAATTGTAGACAATGTTGATTATGCTGGGAAGGATTTGTAATCCATAACTAAACTAAAAATCAAGAAGCTTGTGATTTTCTTTGCCTAATTAAACCCATAAAGCAAACTTTCATCAAGGACTTATGAAATGACATCAGTGTGGGATTTCAGACTGACAATAAGAGCTGCAACATGCAAAAATGAGTTTATCAATGCTTTATTGGAATGGTGAACACTTATTTTAATAATGTGGGGAATGAGATCTTGATGGTCCTGTAGTTTGCTCCAGCAGTGTCTGAACTATCAAGAAATGGACATTGTAGGTAACAATTAATGTCAATTACTTGATATTTAAAACAGATGTGTGACACTAGCTAACTGAAATCGAGCCGTAAGATGTGATTGAATTACTTCATTACCTCATTGAAAAACTCTGTTTTGGGCTTGTTTTGCTAGTCAAAAGAGCTCTGATTGGAAGGTTTGCCTGTTGATGTTGTTTTCCATTAGAATTTGGAAATCTAAAACATTTGACGCACAAAATGTAACTTTACAACGGAAAGTCCTCGTCCATTGATTGAATGTTTTCCATTTATTGCGACAACCAAACTGCACATTTCTCTTTCCTCGATTTTCCATCTTATGTCTGCCATTAGTTTGATGTTTCTGCTGTGCAGTCTCGGTTAATGAAGCCTGATGAACTGTTGGAGCCGCTTTTCTTTCACTATCCACTCACTCATACTTCCCTCCTTTCTGGTGTTTGCTACACAGAAATCACTATTGTTGCCCACAAGGACTGGGAATTTCTCCTATTAAGGGACTTGGAGCACAGGAATGCGAAAGCATCCATGTGTGAGACATAAAAACAAAACTATAATGCCAGAAAGTAGAGAAATGTAGTTGAATGTCGATTTGCATGCTCTATATTAGGGTTATGTTGCTGAAAATATGACTAATAGTAATGTCAGTGTTGTCCAGCATACCTTTCAACTGAGGTCACATAGGCCAGGTGACAGACAGACAGCCGGACAGATTGGACAGACAGTCTGACAGCAAGCAGCAGTCGGAAACACAAACACCTCAGGGTGTTATTTTGGGTCCATGATTCACCGCCATTGGGCGCCCGATTGGATACCAGATGAAAGCTTCCAGCACAGTATGTTTTGACACAGCTGTTAGCCTTCTACTGACCTGACAATATAACTGGTTATAGACACAAACACACACATGCATGCACTTACATACCCTGGATCATAGGAACCACCAGACATGCACTTACGATTGCAGTGATATTTTTAATTTCACGCTTTGCCTTCCTGTTTGTCCTATAGGCTACAGCACGTACTCACACACAGTGTCAACTTATCCAAAAAGTCTTACTCAGGGCTGTCCTGATTTCATTGTCACTACCCCTATGTGTGTGTATATGCGATGTCCTGCATGCATAACTGCAGGCACTGCAGGCTCAGCTAGGTCTTGATGATGCCCATTGGAGTGTAAACCCCTCTGTCCGAGAATGTGTTTCTATTCGCCCACTTCTTTATATCTCCCCTGCCTCCAGACTTGAAGGAATCTGTGGCGTCCTTAATCACTGTACATCTGTCAACAGGCAATATCAACTTAATAAGTATTGTTTTTTTATAGAATAGGTCATCTCTAAGTTAGATTCCCCCAGTTGCATGGCTGTTTGTTTTCAGTTCCTGACAATTCTTTCCAATATCACAACTAATTACATTACACATTGGCTGAGCCTTAAAAATGTCTGTTGTTTTACATTAAACAAACTTTTTTCCTCTGGGGATTTTATGCTGAACCAGATTAGGATCTCAGCCACTCTGGCTGCTCTGCAAGGCTGTATGTATTCTCAGCTGTGCTAAGAGCTCAATGATAACATGACGGCATTAAGATGATAATGATAGTAATGTGCTAGTATGTAATAGAGAATGACGTTTACATTGTTTAAGCATTTTAGTTTAAAGTTAACTCTAATGTTTGCTATAAAAAAAAACGAGTGCAGTCACATTCATGTTTGTCTTTATATGAATGCAACCTCATGGTACTGCTTAAAGAACTCCCAAATAATCATCAATAGAAGAAATGTTATCCGGGAACTTTGAATTACATAAGAGCATGTTTACAGAAAATTCAGATATGTTGTTATATTAAAGGTAATCTCTTAATGCTGGTCTCTATTTACCCTGCAAAATAAACACAAGTATTTAAAAATACATCAAGCATGGGAACTTGTAAATGCTGGTCATTCCAAATGACTTTAAAATCTCACCCTGGGTTTGATGCCCACAGGTCCAGAAACAATGCTGAAACCTCCTCTGAGTCTCTTCAGCCATCCTCAGCAGCCTTTCCAACACATGGACTCTCTGCACCACTTGGGACCTCCACCAATGGTACCTACACAGACTCTGGGGCCACCACCTGCTCAGACAATTGGGCCACTGACTCTGGCCCCTCCTCAAAATCTGGGACATTCTCACCTATCTGCTACGCATACATTAAGGCCTCCACCCATTACCCCATCTCACACTTTAGCCCCTCCACCATTGAACCCAGCTCAACCACTGGGGCCTCCACCAATGACACACACTTTGGGACCCCCACCTGTACATCCTACACAAGCAATAGTACCTCCTACCATGGACCTCACACAACCACTGGGGCCTCCACATCTGAACCTTGCCCAAACAATGGTGCCCCGACCAGTAGTGGCACCTTCAGCGGGTCAGTTCTCCCTCCCTCCCAGTCCTTTGTCCTCACCCCCTGTTCCAAGCCCTGATCCTTCACAAATGCCCCCAAGACCCCCAGGACCAGGGATCATCCCAGCCCCTGTGTCCAACCACATTTGTGGTCCCCTCCCAGGTCAGGCAGCTCCAGCCAGTAAACAGCCCCAGGATGAGGGCTCCTCTCTGGGGATGGAGGAGCAAGAGGACTCTCTTGGGCTGGAAGAACTGTGCAAACCCCTGTACTGTAAACTCTGCAACGTTACACTCAACTCTGCTCAGCAGGCTCAGGCTCACTACCAGGTCAGCTGAAATGTACCTTCACATACGTGGCGCTTACGCGAAATGTAACGATCTATAACCACCTTTTACCCCTCTTTCTATTAAGGGAAAGAATCATAGTAAAAAGTTAAGGAATTTCTATGCTGGCAGTCAACAGCCGCCAGCCATCAGGATCCCAGAAGTCCTTGAGGGCGCTGGCCAGACAGGTGTCATTTCAGGATCTGGTGAGGGCGATGCGGGCAGGCAGGTGAGGCCCAACTCAGCACTGACTTACCTGAATGCTAGCTGAGAAGGTGGGTGTACTGCTGCTGTACTGTTTCCTGTGTGGAGGAGGCAGGGAACTGCAGAGTCACTCAGCTGTGAACACTCACATCCCTCTTTTAGCAATGGAAAGTTCAGCGTTTTTTAAATCTTTGGAATTTTAAACCATCGTTAATGTGTCTGTACTGTACATGAGTACAGCTTTTTCTACATTTAGAATTTTTTCTGTCCAATGTAATCCCTTATACACATCGTCACTGACTGAATTAATGCCTTTATTTAGACATTATCTAGATCAGTCAGAGGATTTCTTTAGTGATTCACTAATAAGGAGGCATTTTCTCTCTCCTCTCTCTTAGTTTACTTCCTAACTAACAAACACTGTGCGGTTTTGTTTGGTGTCTGCAGGCTCTGTATAAGGGGGCGCCCCGGGTCATCTTGGCTACAGAGAATGACTATTGTAAATTGTGCGATGCCTCCTTCAGCTCCCTAGCAGTTGCTCAGGCTCACTACCAAGGCAAGAACCATGCCAAGAAGCTGCGACTGGCCGAGGCCCAACAGAACTCCAATAACATGTGGGTCTGGGAAGGGAAATATTTGCTGTATTGGCAGCTGACTTTGTCCTTATTCAGCACTATTTAGTCTTGCAAATGTTCTCACTGACAACATCTAAGTTCATGACAGTGATTTTTACAGTGATTCGAAGTATGTTAGGGCCAAGCTTTTGAGCATTTGCTTTTATCATCTTCATCAAGTTATCAATTAACAGAATACTTGTAAGTGATTATCTTGTAAGATAATTATTCTGTTCACCATTAAAGCCATTTTGTTTCTTGCCTGTTTACAGGGAAAACAATAATGAAGTAGCTCCAAGAAGAAACCGTAAAGATGGGAGTGAATACCGACTGGTGAAAAACCGTCGCAGTCCACAGATACCTACTACCATGACAGGTGAAAATCTGTCAAAATTGAAAAATAACTTAAAGGAATTCATATTATTGTATGATCAATTAGCAGCCATCAGTGGTTGTGTTTAGAAACCATCATCATCATAAAGATAGGAGGAATTATTTATGCTTATTCATGTTTGATTTTGTTGACATTGCTGACTTAGCCTTAGCGAACGTCCTTGGGACACTGAGAGAAAGACCTTTTTTTGTTTTTTTTCGCTGATGGCAGTCAGTAGCAAGAAAAAAGCACGTCTTACATGTGGAAAATTTGTGTTCAGATCTCTTCATGAGTGGCATAAAAACCCAGCTTACAGGACTGTTTGTGTCTGCCACGTCATCAGAAGTTATTTTTAACAGCCTTTGATTGCTGCATTTGTTTGTAACAAGAATGGCAGGAAGAGAAAAACATCATTATGTTAATATAGTACTTTTTCACATTCATATTCAACCTCTGATTTTATTTTCAACTCTAATTCCCTTTGAGTTTTTGGAAACTGGATGCCAAGATGCCCTTTTGTATTACTTACAGTAACATGGTTGCATACGTTTAGCAGGGCTACATGGCCACGGTCTATTTACAGCTTTTTGAAAATAAATTCACTTTAGGCAACGTCAGACCTTTTGCTTATGTCAATCTGCTCTTCCTGGCCACCAACAAAAACATTACCACCAACTCTCAAGATTAAAAGGATAAAACGCACAGAGAAGCAAATTATCTCTCCTCTCTTGGACTCCCTCTATCAGCCGCTCTCTTTCTCCCACCACAACATTCTGCTGATTTCATGGGTTTTTGATGGACAAGCCCTGAAATAGTTGACCTCCTGCCAGCGGTTGCTTTTTTACTGTCTATTTTATTTCTGTAGCTCTTATTTTCCTGCAATCTGTGAACACAAACAAACAACTCTCCAAATTCTCCAGACCACCCAGATGTAATCCCATACTATTTTATGATTGTCGTTTTATACATTTCACTTCCTTTCTTTATTTCAACATCATTATTTCAACATCTCATCTAACATCTAACATTTCTAAATAATGTCATTTCTTAATCAGTTTCAGATATGTCTCAGAGGTATTCAATATCAGCGGCTGATCAGGACATATGAACTGTAGTCCATCTACTTGTTAATTTTTCCTCAGTGTTTTACTTAAGTTTGTTTTGTTTAAAAAATGCATTTATTCTCAATCACAATTTACATTAAACTGAGGTCCCCTGTTTGCACACCATGTTTTGCTACTATTATTTCTCTCCTTCCAAAAAAGTCAATTTTGATAAAAAGCTATTCCTTAAATAGAAAGCAGCCAAACATTCGACACTTGAGATACTTTGTGCAAAATTCCTTTAACTTGCATTTTACCTTAAGAACTGTAGGCAGACTGCTGCCATGAGTTTTTTTTAATGTAAATTTAATTCCACTCAATGCCAACTCTTTTCATTATGTCCCCATTTGCATTTAGACATGAAGCTGATTGAGGGTGACCATATGTCATGATAACACGCAGCGGCCCGGGGAGAGTTAATGCTCACTGACATCCGCCACTCACATGTCAAACACGCAAGATAGCGATGCTCAGTGGTAAAGATGAAGTAAATTAAACTAATTGATGAAGCCGTTGCAAGTTCAGCTGACCATTCCATCTCTTGGCATTTTGGAGATAACTATGCATTTCTGAAAAAAAGTGGTCTTACGCAGTATGAATTGCACATAATTTTACGTTGATTAATGCAACAATGGGAATGTTATTAGTTTTGTGGGTGTTATTGACTAAAACATTAAACTCAGAGGATCACGAGTGCATCCAGGATCCTTTTCTGAACTACTGCCAACTATTTTGGTAAAGACAGGTTAAAAAAACAGACAAAAACATCATATTGGAGGAAAAGCATTTACAAATAGGTTTTTCAGTGGCGAATGATATAAAATATGCACTTTCTACGAATGCTTGCTAAAAAAGATATTAGAATTACCCATCGTTTGTAGCAGAAAGTGTACATGGAGATTTGCATACAGTTTAATACATCTTATAGTTTATAAAAGGAAAGGCTAATTGAGGTAGAGCAACCAAAATGATTTATGTGAAGTAGACAGGCTTCAGCGGAATGTCTGGCTGGATGGACAGATAGAAGAAGGGAGGGCTTAGGATGGGACCCTGAAGCTTTAGTGCTGGTGGTGGATGAGCTGAGCTGGGGAGGAGGTGAATAGCACAAAACCTGTTCTGGAGGAAGAATGACAGAGCGAGATTGATCCTTCAAGGAATCAGGTCTGACTGATTAGTTAGGAAAGCAGCATGTTAGAAGATCACTGTGCAAGTACAGTGACATCCAAATTAAGCATGACGTGTGTTAAAAGTAATGGGAGGGAATCCTGGACAGCAAGGAATAATGACAGGCAGGGAGAATAGATCATCCTTAGTGGAAGAGCTGCACTGCAGAGACCTCTCAGTCAAAATCATGTGATAAGTGAGGGAGTGAACAGAAAAATTGCATCTGTCTCACACTTGATGGCTCAGGTTACCTCAAAAAAGAATTTAGAATTAAAAAATGCTTGGAGAAATCTAAAGAAATCAGAGTTTTATTGCAATATTCATTTGACTGAGATAATTGGATTAACAAATGCACATAAAGGAAGTAAAATGCTTATTTTCAGCCTTTTGCCTCATCTCTTTGTCCTTACGGCTGTCATGGCGGATAAATCTCAAGTGACTCACCCTCTTCATTTGCAGTACTGACTTCTCCTTTATTTTCTCTTATTTTTCCTCATGCAGGGCCATACTACAACCCCAGACCGAGGCAACGCATCCCCAGGGACTTGGCCATGTGCGTGACTCCCAGCGGACAGTTCTACTGCTCCATGTGCAACTCTGGAGCTGAGCAGGAGACAGATTTCAGGCAGCATCTAGAGAGCAAACAGCACAAAGCCAAAGTGTCAGAGTTAAGATACCGCCACGAAATGGAGAACCTCGGCTACAGCTAAGAGACGCAAGAGGTTAGGGAGGGAATAGAGGTCTGGCGTGGGGCAGAACAGATAGACAGTGAGAGCAAACACGCGGGGCAGTGACTGAACACTCGCTCCTTATTGAGAGAGGTGAGAGCCTGACCAGCCACAAGACCTTGTTACAGATCAGATTATATAAAAAAACAAACCTTAAATCTTGACAGGAGCAGATATAAACGGATGGCTTACGTCCAAGTAGTATGCCAGGTTGTCTACTAATTTCATAGTGGACAGTTTGATCTCCAACCCTCTTCTGTCTTGAATATCAAAGTGTCCTTGGACAAAACCCTGAACCCCTAAATTGCCGCCTAATGACACACAAACTCTGCCCATCCCATGTGCTCCAACACAGGAAGCTTGAATTGGATTTAAACTTAGTGTTATTCCTTGAATTAAGCCTGTTTATTGAATATGGTGCAACACGTAGGAAACATATTAACACATGGCTCATAAAGAAAAGGGAAAAAAACTATTTTATTGTCTCTGATGCTTTCTCCTTAACAGCTTTGAGTAGGTACCATTCTGACTCAGGGTAAAATTACAATTACATATATATATATATATATATATATATATATGTATATATGGACAACATCGAGTGATAAATATATTGGGAAACTGGTAGAAGTATAAACAGGAGGAAGTATTTGGTCAGAGAATATTGGGAAAGCAATCAGTTTCAGTTTCAGGATGAGGATGAGGATATTTGTGAGTACTTGTGTATCAATCATCACTACAGGTATGTTGTGGAGCCCCTGCAGCAGGGCCAGCTGTTGACAGCTGTGCCACACTGGGCGATAGGGGCATGTTTAGTGTCTTTGCAACACAGCAAAGCTGATCAAATTCAATGCACTACTTGATGATAAAAAAGAAAGCACAATAAATGACATGTATAACAAAGTTATACAAATCTGTGGATCTTTACTGAAGATTCACAGTATTTTGGTGAAATATAGGCTAAAGGCCAATCACTTGCTTGCCTTGTTAATGCCTTTAGAGGGGATTAGACTAAGTCTGGCAAGCCTTTGTGACAATATGGTGACAAACCAATCTGTGGTGTTTTAGGTACTTTTTATATTTTGTCCTACATATCTTATATTCAGCCTCACATAAATTATGTATTTATTCTTAGATTACATATAAGATGTTAATAATTAGTAATTTACAGAAATCCTATTGATTTCTTTTAGTTCATATTAGACTACAAAAACCTTGTAAACTCCCAAGATTTCAGAAATATCAGGAATCTTGTACCATGTGAGCACTGACTGAATGTTTATTTATCCGCATCTATGTGTGGATTTTTCTGTGGCCGTTCACACCACTTGTGTTCATCAGTGAAGAAATTTCCTCTGTTACCATCAGCAGTTGACAAGCTTTATCTTGAGTGCTTTTCATAGAAGAAAAAGTGGCATGAGAGGTTTCTTTTGATGCTGGTTTTTAGGAGTAATGTCTGGAGAAATAGCTACACTTCAAAGCTTAAGTTAGACGCATCATATTAAGTCTATTAACCAACCTGGATTCCCAAAAGGGACATAACCTTTTTTTTGCCTTGTGAAATGGCAGCACCGGGTCTTGATTTGCAGACAAATCTGTTTTGTTGATGCTGACATCCTCTTATGACCCAGGCCCAGCTGATGTTCTCCTTTAGCCTTAAATACCAGTTATACAATTGGATTTAAATTTGATTTTGTTTCTGCTAGTTTTTTCCAGTTCAGTGGAACTCAGTGGGCTACATTCTTAAGGTTTTTTCTGGTTCCCAGTAATTCTAATTGACAAAACATAAGCAAGGCGGCTCAAATCTTGGTTATGATCTCCACAGAATTTGAAGATGACAGGGACAGCGTAACAGTGTACATATTGTTTTCTTTGAGAAATGATTATTATTATTGACAGAAACATTTTTCACTGTGGTGAAAAAAATCATTTGAGGGTCTATTACACTGCAGAACATGAAAACAAGGTGGATTTAAAAGACTAAAGAGTCGATTCTTAATTGGGTTCTCCACTCTTCTCTGCAAAACAACAATTCTTCATCATCCAATGACTCAAAGTCTCATCACTTACATAATTAGACGTGTTGGAAAGTGAAATGAAAGCCTCTTTGTCTTTGCTCAGTTGAGTTAGCTTTGGGGAGCAGCTGCTCACATCTTTTTTTTGGTCTCTGGAGCACAAACACGCTCATACCTGACCACACATGTGAGAACACACAGGAGGACAGTTCTTTGAGGACAAAGTACTGTGGGGTCAAGGGAATTAAAATAGAAAGGCAGAGACAAAGTAAGCCCCCAAAAGATAAAATGGTCGGCTGTTTATCAGCCCACGGGCTGTGCAGTTTAATCAAAAAGGAACAATGGGAAGCTGATGAAAGAATAACTGCAACCAAAGCTGTGGGTGAGACACAGCTAGTCAACGAGTTTTTACATTAGACAGAGTTGCAGTCTGTTAGTAGCGGTCCTCCCCCTCCTTATGGAAATAACGGGCTTTTGTCTTTCACAAAAGCACTGGTAGCATAACGTTTTATTGTGTTGACAGAATCCTGGATTGGAAATTAGAGTCACACTTCACAGCAGCCACTGAACACCCCCAGTAAATGTAGGAAATAATAAACTGTGGAGGAAAGGTGTGGATGGGGGCATCATAGGGAAACTAACTAGCCCTCCACATGAAACAGTGCTCTTAAAGATCCCTGTTGTTCTACTTACATCCTCTTCAGTATCTTGCATTATAATAAGTTTCTTCTCCTTTTTATTGGCTTTTGACCATTTAAAATGGCTAAAAACAGTATGTAATTTACCCACTTGTGGCAAGTGGTTATATGTGGTTATATGCAGTTTCACAGAATATATCTTTTTGCCAGATTTATCTCAATAGTTTGACTTTTCAGGCAAAATGGGCATTCAGTGCACAATATAGACCCTCTTTGATTTACCTTCAGAAAGGATGAAAAATGTCTAACTTTATTTGTGTTTTTAAAATAAATGAAAATCTTCTCTTTTTTGGAGAATAATCACAACTCAGCAACATTGACAACGAAATTACCAGGGCTTCAAAAATACTCTTCACCTTTTTGCTTTGGGGCAAAAAAAACGCCAAAGTTTCCATGGCAGTCTCATTGCAACAGGGCATACACATGAATAATATTCACATTAAATAGATTCCTTAAAAAAACAGAGTTAAAAAATAAAGGTATATTCATTACTCATGAACAGGATTGAGACTCTGGCCTTTTATTTCATGTGCAGTCTCTAAAATTGATTACTGTATAGATCCTTATACAATATGATTTATTTGTTGTTTTGTCTATCTTGAAATAGTTGAAGTACAGGAAGTACCTCTGTTCAATTCTATGTTCTCTTGTTGTAGCTTTTAGGCACCAAGAACTGTAACATACAAAACCTAAAGGCTGATGTTTAATAGCAGATGTAGTTAGAGGTTTAAATTAATTGTTTTGTTTCAAATTATAGAGAAGCGGTCCATGTTGCCACATATAAATTGTATCAGGTTTATTCCATGCATAAGTAAAATCACGTAACTGTTGCAAAGCCTTTGCTACTGAGTGAAAATATGAGAGTGCTCACATGGGTTTTATAAGACTGGATGGTCGTTTGTGTGCAGTAGCAAATATACAGAGAAGTGCTGGAAGAATACACAATATTTGCACTGAATATAATGTTTATAAAGAAAGCATTCTACCATATATTGTTAACTTCATATGAATACTGTCTTAATGTTTACAAAGTGAGAAGTTAATGCACGATTGTGCATCATATTTGGGATTGTGTGTGTTGATTCTCATGCTCTACTGTTGGACTGAGCAGGGTAGATGGGCAATGCTGTAAGGTTGAAAAAAAATGATATGACCTCAGAAACAGCTTTATAATGTGCAAATGTCTTTATCATTCTGCAGTGGAAAGAGAAAGTCTGATATTACTCAAACAAAAAGATGACAGTTCTTCCCTCATCTCTAAGACACACAATCTATTAATCTGTATAGTGTCAGGCAAACATATTGTATCAAAAAAAGTATTGGGTTATAGCTTCCACAGTCTATGTATCAGATTTAATAAACCTCCAAACTTGATAATCTCATAATGAAAAGAGGGCATGACATCATCATCACATAATCAGTGAGAGCTTTCTGAACCAAAATTAGGGGCCTGTAATCAAAACTGTACTCCAACCAGTCTACTTCTTTGATTAATGCAGAAACTTTGTCACAGATTATCTAGCATTTCATGGACATAATTAGCATTTTATGTGTTTTAGTTTAGATTAATAAAATGATGAGCATTAACATTCTCAAAGCTCAGAAAAACAGTTACTTGAACACATCAAAACCTCCCAAGGGATATTTAAGTTTTTCCTTTGGCCTATTTATCCCCTTGTAGTTTCTAGAAGGAATTATGTGATGCAACTAACTTCTTGGCTGTCTCCACCATCCCAGAGCTTTTCCATTAAAAGATGCAAAATTTCTCCCAGAAAATCCATAAAGAGTTATGGTTCTTTCTATTCCCTCAGCAAGTTACATAAAGCTTTAGGTCAACAGCTTTTGGAAAATCTATTTTATGGAAACATAAAATTGCAACACAAAACCACATGGTTGTTGATAAAAAAAACTTTTTACCTCTTCTCAAGAAACGTATGATTTATTCTTTGAGTGAATATATTTTGCCCGTTGACCACTGGGATAGGCTCCAGTTCCCCCCGCGACCCCATCAGGGAATAAGCGGTATTGATAATGGATGGATGGATGGATAATATTATTCAGTATCTTTGAAGACAATGTGTACAAATAGGAATAAAAATGTCAATGTGTCAAAAATAGTATCCCAACTTTTTAAGTAACTGTATTTTCATAGAAACGTCCGGTGAAAATAAAAAAACTACCCACCCTAAGCTTCTCTGAGATATACCCAGCTCCCTGCTTTAAGAGCTTGTAAACTGACTTAACAGTTTTGATTACAAATTTTGATTTGGTTTATGTAGTGTAAGTAAAACATATTTAGTGCTTATTACTTTAGACCAGCTGCCTAAAGCTGCCACTTTTAAGAAGAAGGGGGGTACGTAGACAAACTTAATTTCTGTACATTCAGATATATGAATCATCTCCTCATTTCAGATTCAGCATGCATAGAAATGTCAAACAAAGAGATAAAATGCCCCAAAATGTATGTTTTGATCAAAATCATTTATGTTTGCTATATTAATTTCTAGTTTGACTAATAGAAAAAGGGTTTATCATTCTTGCTTCACATGATAACACATTTTCTGGCCAACAGTCTTACGCACTGACAGAATTCAGTTTCTCCCTCCTCCTTTTACCGCCAGGGGCCCTGAATCTTGTAGCAGGGCCCCTGCAGGATAACATCTCTTCCTTTAATCCCTGAGAAAAACCTCAGCACACTTTCAGTGCCTCTGAACAATGTTGCCAACACACCACTGACTGAATGGATCAATGGATGACAGGTGCTCTGGTTTCTGAGGCTGTATGTGTGTTTTCTGAGAGATTAATAAATGTGCAGATGAAACTCGGCTGTGTTGATGATTATTACAGTCAATCAGCTTCTCAGTTGTGATGCTCCCTTACTTTGCTCAGACTGCTTGCGGGAAAATCTGCGCCTTGTTTGCTTATTATAGACCCACATAATGACCTCTTCTCGTTGCTGTGTTGAAGCGTCCTTAATTCACTACATTATTTACTGTCTATCATTCTTTTTCATAATTCCTTTACCCTGCAGTTTCAAGCTTGATTGATGGCCTCATATGTCAGAATCTGTGCTCTGTTTTTTGATGTAATTAATTTTATGTCCAAGTTCTTTTGCATTTGTGTAATCCATAAAGAAGATTGTCAAAGACAAATACTATTCCAGCCTTGGTAACCATCCCTTGGGGTTCGTTAAGGCACCATGGGTCAAACAGTTGTTTAGACATTTTTGAGGAAGTGATGACCCCTGTGTGGAAACTGGATCTTTCCTGGAAGAGACACAGGGACATAAGCTGGCGGACATCACACGAGACAGCTGTGGACTTCTGATCATGTCTCAGACAGCCTGGGGACATATAGCTGGGATCTTTGTTCCACTGTTTTCACAGAACAGTGGAGGAAGGGAGGGGTATAAAAACAGGAAGTCAGTATGTGGGCAGACACTGAGCACCCAATAGCCACCTGTAAGTAAAGGGAACTTTGTAAACACTGTTTAATAATCTAATGCATTTTCATATATTTTGACATATATTTTCTATATGTGATCATATGTGATATGTGATGATGGTTGTAAAATAGTTCTATTTTTGTTGTTATTTAGTGCCATCTGCAGATCATAATTAAGAATAACATATAGTTTTCATATGTGACTCAGGGATTCATCTCAAAGTCTAAAAACTGTCTGTTTAAAGTTACATAGAAGTTACATAGAAGATTTTTTAAAACACATTCCCTTCTGATTAAATGGTACAGTAGATTATTCAGAAAAAGACGATGCCATATTTAATGTATGTGTGGTGAGGTTGCCAAAAAATGAAAAGCTAGATAGGATTATTTATTATACTATACATTTAAAACGATATAACCTGGAAAGTACAGTGCTAGGCCTGGTCTAATAGCTCTTGCCACAACTCTGTTGGGACATGTATTGAATCCACACATACACACGGTGAACATGCAAACTCCACACAGAAAGATAGAAATAGGACAGGTGTGGTGGTCTCCCACCACACCTGTCCTCACTTCACGAGAATCCTTTCAAATAGTGTACCTGTCAAAGATGTACCATCAAGTATCTCAGTATCTTTAAAAATCAATGTTTGAGTTCCATTCATGATTTAGAGCACATATGGAATAAAAGCATAGCCTAGCCTAGTAGAGGTGACATAAAATCATCCATTATCATTACCGCTTATTCCCTAATGGGGTCACAGGAAGAACTGGAGCCTATCCCAGTGGTCAATCCGCCACTTCATCACAGGGCCACACACAAAGAGAATTTAGAACATCCAATCAACCTAACGTGCAGGTTTTTGGACAGTGGAAGGAAGCCGGAGAACCCAGAGAGAACCCACGCAGGCACAGGAAGAACAAGCAAACTCCACACAGAAAGGTCCTGGGTCCCCTGGGACTCATACCCAGAACCTTTTTGGTGTGAAGCGACGGTGCTAACCATCACACCACCATAGCTGGGTTTAAAAGTAGCAGAAAGATTAGGTAAACAAGGTCTGAGTGCAGTATATGATGAAAGTCTGGAGTCAGGCCCAGAGGAATGAATGATTACAATGAGTACAACGCATGTGGTTACATCCGCCGTCCTTCTGCAACACAAAGCAAAGGGTCAAGTGTACACACTGAGACAAACAGGTGAAATGAGAAATATGAACAATTTTCCTGGTGAAAATGAATACCTCTATTGGGCAGAAGCAGTCAGGACAGGCCTTGGTATTGATAGCCTTCCACTTGTTACTCAGAACTGAATCTAAACTTGATTTTAACGTTTTGCGGCCATATCTGCTCTCCAGAAGGCGTCTCCTTTGTTTACTGCCGGTATTATAGTCATCCAGAAGAGCCCTGATCCCCTCTAATTCACACAACAAAATAAACAAAAACAAAATAAATATTATAATCTATATATCATATGATCCATCCATTTTCCACCGCTTCTCCGGGGTCGGGTCGTGGGGGCAGCAGCCAAGGCAGGCAAACCCAGACTTCCCTCTCCCCCCGCGACTTCTGCCAGCTCCTCAGGGGGATCACAAGGCATCCGCTTATTCCTTAATGGGGGTCACGGGGGGACGGGCGCCTATCCCAGTGGTCAGTCGGCAAGAGGCGGGGTACACCCTGGAGGGTCTGCCAGTCGCAAGGCCACACAGAAACACACAGAGACAAACAACCATGCACACTCACACTCAAACTCACTCCTAAGGGCAATTTGGAATGTCCAATCAACTTAACATGCAGGTTTTTCGACAGTGGAAGGAAGCTGGAGAACCCGGAGAGAACCCACGCAGACACAGGGAGAACATGCAAACTACAAACAGAAAGGTCATGGGTCCCTAGAACCCTCTTGCTATGAGGCAATAGTGCTAACCACCACACCACCATGCCGCCCTTAGATACTTTGGATACTTAGACAGAAACTTTGTAAATGAATTTCTTTTGTCCATACAGGACATTTAAAGGATGCTCATTCGTACCGTCTGACAGTGGGACTTGCAGTGCACCTTGACTAATCTGCTCGTTAGTTAGATCCATCTCTTCATCACACTTGTTTGTTCCATGGTAGGTCTTTTTACAGTTGACACAGAAGGCGAAGCTGCACACAGAACATAAAGCTGCTCTGCTGGACTGGTCCCCAATCACAACCGAACCACAAGAAGTCCGAGGACAATACGTAACATCTGAGATGAGAGGAGAACATTTCAACCAAACATCAGTGCTCCAACGTTTTTTTTTTCTATGAATAGGATGGAGATACATGTACAACATGTAAAACAGAAGCTCACCAGACATGCTGTCAAGTGTAGACTGAAGAAGAAGACGATCATATCGGCTAAATAGCTTCTCTCCAACAAGGTTTTTCACCTAGAAAATAATCAATCATAATTCTATATGTCTACTCCACCAAATTTCAGATAGTGATGTCATAACTTCGCTAGTACCTGTGAAGGTGTCGGGGTCGCTGTGCAGTCTGCCTGAGGACAGGTGACACCTTTTACGTTTCCCTCTGTTATCTGGACGTGACAGAACTCCCTGAGACAGGCCCGGCAGAAGATGTGACCACACCCATACAGCTGCACACAGTCTGACCCAAGCCAACTCATAAAACAGACACCACACTCAAACACCGTAGTGTCAAACACTTTCTGCTTCTGTGCCGCGTCATGGATTAAAATCTGGGACAGCAGAAGTTGTGATGGAGTTAAAGACAGACCAGATAGGTTTAAGGCTTTTTTTGGAGATGAATCTGAAAGGGGGGGTGATAAAGAGGCTACTGCCTGATTACATGGATGCAGTTGGTTTGAGGAAGTTGAAGGAGCCAACGCTGAATCTGAAAGATTCCCTTCGTTTAAGACATCCTCCTCACTAATTCTGTCAGACTGGAGAAATGGAATGAGTTCAGATTTGCCAACAGCTAAGAAGGGATCATCCTGGCAGTCAACCTTAAATTCAGAACATTGGAAAGCTTTCAAATCTGGTGCATGAGCAGCGACAGTCTCCAAAGAAAGAGTTTTTGGATAATCTGAGTTTAAGCTGATCTGACTGACGTAGGAAGTGAAATCATGTTGGTCAGCCTCGCAGGAGTCCAGCCCTGAAGCTCCCTGGGAAGAATTCTGCTGAATTTCTCCAGATGGCAGCAGCTGGTCTGCTCCACAAAGATGTGGCTTTGGAGTGTGTTCATCATTATTAGCCTCTGAGGGCTTTTTGCATTGAGTAATCTGCAGAGAACTGCGTTCATCAGAAGGTAGCTCCAGCAAAGCGTAGATGTCCAGGAGTTTCAGGACATCTTCTTTCAGAAAATGTATCCAGGAGAACAGCACCACAGCGCCCCCAGTGGCCTGGTAGAGCTCGACAAGCTGGGCACTGAGAGAAGTCAGCTGAGGGGACAAGTCAAGCAAACTGCTGTTTACAGAGTTTATGTAATCTGTGCCAGTGTAATTGTGTCTACTCATTACCTGAGTGGAACTGAGCCAGCTGCAGGTGAGGTTGAAGGAGGGAGGGGAAGTGGAAGGGTAGTCCTCAGGAAATTCAAAGGTCAGAAACAGAGGAGGGAGGAAAGCAATGTTATACTGCCTGGGTGTGGTACCTTATGTAAATAGAGAAATAAAAATAGAGCAACCACAGTTAATCATTTGGGTTTCATTTGTGTTTAAGAAGCAGCAAATCAGTGTATAGGTGGCCTAATTATGTTGATGTCATTATTTTTCTTTTATGGTCTACTATAACTTTGGTTATTATTTTATGTTTTAAATTTAAAACCAATGAAACACTGATAGTTGATTTAACTTTTTTTTTTCTTTACAGTGGTTGAACCTTTTTTTCCTATTCACTTGAATATGTTTGCTACCTAATAAAATCCATACTGTAATTAAGCATATTTAGCTCAGGATAAAAAATCATGGTCTATATTATGTTATTTATTGACATATTTACCGTCTTTCAGAGAGACAATGAAATCTGCTGGTATCTCCGCAGACACTCGGATTTCTCCGGCAGGTTTTGACTCATCCCGGACAAACTCATCCGAACTAAAAATACTCTGTAGTGCAAGCAGCTCGTCTTCCTGCTCCTCCAAGTTCGTACTCATCCCCCCAGCGCAAGATGACACCTGTAAAACACTAATAGCTTTATTCTAACAATTTCCCCACAAAAGCCAATTGATAAATCTCTTTGAAAATGCTAAATCGTTCCGTCACAGCGTTGGCTCGTTTAAATGTCCATGTCAACTGTCTACGGCCAGCTTCCTGGTAGATGAGAGTCCATCCCACCGGTGACTCACTGAAGTATAAGGCTGTAGCTGAGCATGATGCAAGGAGCCAAGTACCGCAGCAACCCATGTTACACCACTAACCCTAATTTTATATTTCAAGCACAGAAGATAAAACATGAACATTTATAAAGAAAAATTGAAAAAAAAATGTTTAAGTTAGTAGTCCAATTTAAACACTGCTCTGTGCATCAATCTAAAATCAAGCACTCATACTCACCATACTGTAGACATTTAATTAGAGTTGTATTGTCTCTGTAAATAAAGTGAAGCATGTCTAATAACTGAGGCAGAACATGCAAGTGTTTAGTGTTTACAGAAAACATGACTCAGACATAAAATCGTCTACAGTCCCTTGAAGACTCAATCATTGCAATGGGCAATAAATCAGGGCTAAGTAGAAAGAATGACTGTGTTTTCCAGCATTTGTCCAGAGTGTGGTGCCAGAGGAAGGGGGATTACAGCTGAGTCATTTCACCTAAATAACCAGGTTTGCCTTTTTCCCGTAGGGGGCGTCACAGTTAGTCAAGTAAATATGCTCTTGATTCAGTGTGTGCTTCTAGTGGTGTGCTGGAAGCACAAACAGCAAATGTCATTAGTTTAACCTGTGGTTGTTATGATATACAGTAGATCTGCGTTGGAGCAAAGCATCTGACAGGCTCAGAATTAAGCAACCATGTAACATAAGCAGATGAAGATTTGGGTTTATTTATATTTTTGCAACACATCATGTCACATAAAGATATTCAGCTTAGATATGTGGAATACTATATTTGTGTCTGCTCTACTAAATGCAGTGAACACAAGAGAATACAGACATTTATTACCAGTCCACAACTCATACACAGGGGAACACAAGAGGGAAACGGAAGTGCAATATTGTGGTAAATAGATAAAACCAGCCTATTTAAAGCATGATGATTTTTCGAGTCGTCAGTTGTAGCTGTAGTTTTCCTTTAGGTTGACTTGGATTTCCAAGAACTTATCTGTTTTGCCCAAAGGCCTGGGTCCCCTTTGAGATTTGAATGCAGCACTTAATAGCGGAGGCAAGGTTTTTGGTTTCATGATAGTCAAGGGCCTGTGGGTTTGTTTGGAAATGTACGCAACTTTCTTCGGGATGTCATCAGCAGGTGCTGCATTGAAAAGGACAGATAGACAAAGTATTCATACATCATCTACAAAAGCTTAAAAAACATGAATATTTTAATACAATCTTTTTGTAAATGCAGAACTCTATTAAACAACTGTATCCCATAGATAATTACTACAGATAAAAATAACACCAAAAAAACGTACACATTGCATTTTACATCAAGTTTATTAGAGGAATTTCTGGTCTAACCTTCAGGGTTAAGCTTTGGGGGCTGGTGCTGTTTTGGCTTGTTGGGTAGTGGCTGTGGTAGAGAAAAGTTCTGTTTTCCACTTAAAACTCGAAAACACTCTTCCTTGTGTCTCTCTTCCCATGCTTTGCGTTTGCAGGCCTTGGAGCAGTATGAAACCTTGTGGCAACGGCTACAAGGGGTCAGCTTCACAAACACCGAGCGACCACAGTGGTAGCAGAATTGAAACTCCTCTGTCCTACAAAAAAAATGCACACACAGTTGAAAAAGTCAGGGAGATAGAAATGCATGCAGAGAAAAGAAAAGAAAATTAAAGTAAATGTGTTTGCATACATGTTATTTTCTGTTTGTTCTGACAATCCATCACAGCTAGGGAAAGGCCCATTTGCAGAATTGGCCCCAGCACCTGTGTGTTCAAACATCTCTGAGTTCCTGTTATCTGTTACTTTCTTGATTTTACAAATATCAACAAAAAAAAAGCAAGAAATTGATAAGTATGTTGCACTTACTTTTCCTTGTCAGATGCTGCTGTCTCTCTAAATTCTCTTTCGCCTTCTGGCCATGGGTCCGTCTCAGCAGGTCTCCCATCATGCTCAGCAACTGCCGCCGTGTTTCTTTCTCTCTCTTGATCGAAGCATGAGCGTTGGCCATGCAAAAGTCCTAATCCATAACATGAAGCAGTTACACATATGTATGTGATTAAAATAAGTACCACCTGTGTCTGTGTAAAATTGATTCAGGAGGCCAACACCACTCTTCCAAAAGGACAAATGCATTTGATCCATATAGGTTTAGATTTAGAAAATTCACATAAGAACAAAAACAAATATTGATTTATTGATAATTATTCAGTTATTACCCTGAAATAAATGCAGTTTGTGTTCACTGAGGGAGGATTTTACCTGACTGAAAGAGTAGTGTGCATAGTCAACCACACTTCCAGCAACGCTGCCCACTGTAACTGGCATTGAGACATCTGCACCAGCCTTATCTAGCATGTCCAACTGCATCACAGTAACACAAATCCACCTCACCTGTCTGTCCAGTAGTACTACAGCAAATATTTTCAACAGCATATTCTGCTTTGAATGTGTATCTTTGTGTGTGTACCATTCTAATTCTGTCTGCACCGGAGCAATAGTTGATGTTGACCAGGGCGCAGAGGGCGTTGTGCACCCTGGCGCCCAGCTGGATGTTGGGATCAGCGCCTCCATTCAACAGCTCTTCCACCGCCTTCAAAAAACATGATGCAGCTTCAGGACAGGGTGAGTTTAGTACTCATCTGAACTGATTAATTGGTGTGTGCACGGGAGGTGGCTGTACAAGTTCATTGCCACTTGCTATAGCCAGGGACAGAGGTGAATGTCCACTCCAGAGGAGGTCTGTGCTGGCTCTGTGGGAGAGCAAGAGGGCCACCACTTTACTGGCATTCTGGAAAGAAAACAACACAATGGAGTCTAGTGACTGCTTGATAAGTCACTGGTGCTGCATAACTAAGCTAACTTAGCTGGTAAAATTTCATCAGAATCTAAAAACATTTCCCTTTATCAGGCATCAACTAAAAGAATGCCATGAATGCTTTAGATTACACAGTTGTGTAACAACTATTTTCACTGTTATGTACCACACCTCTAAGCATGAATTGTGTTGTCAGAAAATTAACATTTCTGTAAATGTTCAATTTCTTGTCATCAATTTTTAAAATTACTATTAAAACTGCTGGTTTTGTGGGGTTAATGAAAGTTAATGAAAGTTTTAAGTATCATGCTAGTGGTCCTTTAAATAAGTATTTTAACATATTTTTTATAACATATTTTGCTAAACGGTCAGTTTCGGCAAATAAAGACACTGACAGTAGCCCCAGAATGCTGAAGTCTAGGTTTGACATGGCAACTCCTGAAGATGAATAATTCCTCATTGTGACATGGTTAGATAAACTAACCAATCATATCAGCTGCCACAGATTCAGTCTTTTAGCATGATGTTTAACATAGTTGACGGTGTGTACAGCTGTGACTTTGAACGAAGTGCAATGTGACCTGATGGTCATGGTCTCTCCGGCAGGCCACATGCAGAGCTGTCTGACCTCCCTCTTTAAGATTTATCCTCTTACTGTTGCTTAGAGTTTCTTTTCCCGTGATGGAAATCTGTGAAAGATAAAAACAGCTCCTTTACCAACTTCATCCGTCCCAATATATTCCCTATTATGGGTTCTAATAGAGTATAATGTTTAAGCATGAACAGACCTTATCTGGCTCATAAATCTCATCCTGATCACATGCCCGTACGTCTGGATCAGTGGCACAGTGCAATAGCAGCTCTGTGATTCTTGGACCTGCTGGACCTGGAAGATCTGCAGCCACATGCAGAGGGTACAAGCCTCTTTTCTACAAAAAGAAGGACATTCTGAAGAGAATTTTATGGTTGATATAAATCATGCACAGAGGTTTTGAGACAGAGAGAGGAACAGATAATCCATAAAACAATAAAATGGACATGATAATAATTTTCTAGGGGTAAGGATGGTAATCTCTACCTTTGCTGGAAGGGGGATGTCAGTGCGAGCTCCAGACAGAAGAAGCCTCTGGACAGCTGGAGCGTCAGCAGCCATGATGGCAAAAAAGAGGACAGGCATGGGGATCCTGGCCATGTTGGGGTCAGCTCCCCGATCGAGTAAAAGTTTCAGTGTTTTCAAACGCACACTGGTCAGAGAGCAAGCACACGGAATGTACACAGAAAAAGGAATACTAGTATAAATTTAACCAGAAAAAAGAACACAGCAAATAAAAAAGGAAATAATAAGAGCACTGACTCAGTTTTCACAGCAATCACTTTGCTCTCCTGATGAGCGGTTTCTGTGCCACTCGGTGCTTCTGATGAGTGCTGCATGGCTTCCTCTGAGACCTGAATCTTATAACTGCTGGCTGAGCAGGTAGAATCAAAGTTCTGTTTTGGGTTCGCTCCTTTTTCTTCTCCCTGCCACACAGGGTTAATTAAATCAGGAGAAGTTCTGTGGATTACCAGGTTGTGTGATTCCTCTTCTCTTCCTGTTGCCTTTACTCCAATTTCCTTCAACTGTGCACCGTGGCCATCCAGTGTTTCAATGGAGTGCTCCAAACAAGGAATTTCCAAAGTTCCACTTCTATCCTCTCTCTTGTTTGTGCTCTTCATATTTTCCTCAAATTGCTCCTCACCCACCATTTGGTCTTTTGTTGACTCTATTCTGTTTTTTTCAACAGACTCAGCATCCTCCCCATTACTTTCCGCCTTTTCGCTTTTCATGTCTTTGTCTCCACGTTCTTCCCTTTGCACTGCTTGAGCATATCTGCTGCCCTCTTTTCTTTCATTGCATTTGCTCTCCCTCTCATCCTCTCCTTGTACTATGTTTGAATCATCTATTTCAGAGGGGATCTCAAACGCTTTACTGTCGTGATTTATGATGTGCTCGGTTAGTTCTTTAGAAGACCTGATAAACACAGTTAATTTAAAGAAAGTACATAAATGCTTCAGCTTGTTTTAGAGGCAGACTTCATATCTAAAGCATAACAAATATTGTAGGAAGTGACAAATGTAACATTTTAAAGAACATTTTTCTCTTTCAAATGTTTTTTGTTGTTTTTCTACATATTTAATAGTAAATATTAAAATTCATTCACAATAGGATATACTGTATGTGTTTTTTATACCTTTTGATTACTTGACAGAACAGAATTCTTGTACTTTTGAGCCGTAGTCCTCTTAAATAAAGCATGTGTAGTATTCTTGCTACTTACTCTGACTGGATGCTGACGTTTGATTGGGCTTTCACAGATGTGACTGAGGTTTGAAGTTCAGTGTCAGGTAAAGGTGTGATGGAGATTAAATCAACTTTGCTGATCTGTGGACTGTCCTCACATGAAGATGGAGGCGTCAAAGCCTGACAACACGCAGCAGTAAAATAATAATAATCAAAACATACATAAAAGAATGATTGTAAAACATTTCATTACAATCCGGCTGAAAGGGGTTCTTATCCTTTGGTCTCAACAGGTAGAGAAACTTTCCATTTTACAAATAACTATCAACTATTTTAAACACTGACTTACTCGACTTTTGGAAGGCGGTTCAAACAAAGTTGTGTGAAGAGACTGAAAAGGGTAGTAGAGAACATGGCATATAGCCAGGGCAGACATGCCTTCACTGCTCAACTTGTCAATGTCAGCACCTCTATCCAACAACATATGGATCACATCATCATGGCAGTTCACCTGACAGAGGAAGAAACAGAACCAGAATAAAATATTTAGAGGAGATTCATGTAAATGTCAACAAAGATTTAGCCTAAAAACTCAAACTTTCATCAGAGGAACTATTTTTCTGTTAAACAATAAAATATTTTAAATGATAACAACTCAGTTAAGGGAGTTAGAAAATAAAAATGATCCAACTTTACGGTGGCAGCGATAATTGCAGTGTTTCCTCGTGAATCTGCCACATCAGGGTGGACTAAACCAGTCTGGAGGATTTGTGCCACAGCCTGAAGCTCCCCGAGTGAGCTGTGCTGGATCATCAGCTCTGAACTGACTTCCAAAGGCCCTTTAGGACCAAAGCGTTCCCTGTTCAGAGAGAGAACAGCTGCCACATCCCAATCCACAGTTTCAGCCTGCAGTCTGAGACAAAAACACAAACACACAATTATTAAAGGGTTTTTTTGTATTTCTCTCAATACACTGTTCCCGTTTTCCTTTTAACGTATTGCTAACCTATTGTTATGTATATGAGCCTGCATTCTGGCCTGCAAGGGAAGAGCTGAGAGTGGGTCCCTCTCATAACCTTGGTGTGAATGAGAGTCTGGATCCCACAGCTCGCCATAAAAATGTTGGTCCAATTCTCTTCTTCGACCAGGAGGGAGCGGCAAGTGGTCGCCATCTGTGGAGTAACTCTCCATGCCGGGGGGAATGATAAAGCTCTCATCTGACAGCAGATCGCCATCTATAGGCATCTGAGGGAAATAAAAAGATGTACACTTAGTAAAGCCCCAAAAGCTGACGGTATAACTATTGTTATTGAGCAGTAATTTACCTTAATGCTTGTCTTGTTTTTTGTATGTAGACCACTCGAGAGAGACTGAGGCTGATACAGAGTAGGAAGAGAAAATCAATAAATACGAGCAGTGTAGATATATTTTGTGACGTAACTTTTTTCTTTAAAAAAAACGATATATTTAACACAAGTCAAAAGGCTTTCACCAATTTTTGGTCTTTTAACTGATTCATTAAGATATTTTTTTAGGGTTACAGGGGTGAGCAAATGGATACAACTGTGATAAACAGTGATCATGTTGAGTATTTTTGGCTGAGCCCTACAATAGCATGATCAATTACAAATTATATTAAACAGACTTATAGTGAGTTTTGATTGTAATTTAAGTGTATCAATAGAACCTAAATGTCATATTTATGCAGTCTGGAAAGGTAAATGTTCCTGCTCTTTGTCGATGGGTGTGCATAGTGACCGACAATCACATACCTGATCCAGGAAATCTGTACTGACAGATGGCTCTATGTAGGCATCGTACTCAGGAAAGTTGTTCACACTAAAGCCTACTTCTACAGGCGTACAGAGCCTTAGCAAGCGCTCCTTGAGCCACAGACCCACATCCTGTCGCCCATCTGGATAAGTAACCACACCTGGACCAAACCTCTGGTTAGTGTGGTACAAACCCTGAAACAATGACATTGCCAATAACAGTCATTCATATACAAATCACAAACCCATTAATTGATCCATCAAGTTTACCTGAAAGGTGGCTCCATCAGGGAACATTTGTTGGCCATATCCCTCCTTTCTGTTGAGGTAGAACTTGCCAATGAACTTGTGACCTGTGGGCCAGCAGTACAACCCGTCCCCATGCTTGTAGTCTTTGTAGAAATAGCCTTCATAATACTACATAAAGAAGAACTTAGGTGACTTGCTTTATCTCACACAGCCTACAATTTTGCATATGTAAATTCTAAAATGTTAGACCAATGTCAGAATAATCACATTACCTCTCCATTTTTCCATCTGTACCTCCCTTTGCCGTGTTTTAGGCCGTTTACAAGCTCTCCCTCGTATCTTGATCCGTCGGGCCACTCCTGAACACCGACCACAGCGCCATGGTGTCCGGTGCTCCGGCCCTCTGAGCCCGGCTCCAGGCCTCCCCTGAGCCGCACAGCTGCCCGAACACCTTCGCAGGTGCTCGTCAACATTGTGACCGAAGGGTATTCTCTCTCAATATGATTAAACCGACTCTGTTCGATAATACTTTTTAGAGTCACAATAACAGTTTAATGAGAGAGATAGTTAGAGAAGGAAACTTTTACTATCATAGGTTAGTTTTTGTACGGTTTAGTTTTTACCTGGCTGTCAACACTGGTTGACATGGCAACAGTCGAGCACGCAACCGGCCAGACTAGAGTGTGCGTCTCACGCATGCGCAGAATGATGAAAAATGTGCAGATTTGTTTATTTTAGAGTATTGTTAATTTGTATTGTGAAGAATTTCATGAATGTTCAGTGTTAAAATCAGATGTGAATGTTGAATCAAACATTTTTTGGGGTTAAAAACGAATTCCAATGTAATTCAAACATTCGCTTATGCATTGAACTTTTCTAAGTTCAAACAAATGTGCAGTCACTTTAATGTCTTTACAGAATAGTGTAACCCCTAAAGAGTTTCACTACTTTGTTTTTTTTAATCTTTTTACATTTTGAATTTATCATGGGCCAGTGTTAACCACTCTCTTGAGTCAAAATAACATGGATGCACCCCTTTTATGTTAAAGTGGGTTAAATACAAACAGAACTGCAAAAAATAAAGTGGGTCAATATGAAAAGTTTATTATTGGTAGTTGTCTCTTTATGTTAGAGTGGTAAAGCACTGCCACTAAAGTTTTTGTGTTACTGTTACCTGAACCTTTTTTTGTAACTGACACTGCTGTACAGTGTTGTGTTTACAGTGCCAGTGTTGTGAAAGTTAAGTGGTCGATGACATAGTTACTGCATAATGCATGATTTGGATTATTTTAGCAATCTTCTTGATATAAATATATATATATAAATATGTATATGTATTTGACTTTCTGTAGCACATGGATATCTGATTGAGCTGCAATGCCCTGATGCAAGAGAATATAAAAGAACTTTAAGGAATAATTAGAAGAGTAGTTTACTCTCACAATTCGGCTAGTACTTATTCAGCAAGGTAGCAACGCATTTTTATCAAATGTCTTTAATTAACTCTTCAAATTTTTAAGACAGCTGATTAAATAAAATGTAGCATGCCATCTCACCAATCATTTGTTGTTGGGTTCAAGCCTAACCTAGCAATAGGATATAAAGCTTTGTTTCTTCTTAGAGGGGTTTCCTCCCCTCTTCCATTTCTCTTTTTGAATGCAGAGGCACTATGTATTATCTTCTGTATTGTGTGCAATCATGTCATTAACCATCTAAATGGCACGTAACTGGAGAATAACAAATGTATGAAAATAAGGCCAGATGTGATCTACACCACAAAGGCCTCATTATATCATCTTTTTAAGCTCACCTTTTGTGCATTTAACGGCTACATGTGCACCGTGTTCTCTTAACTCTTATCTGGAAACAGCCAGTTTACCTTTTTGAGTCCTTGAATAACTGAATTTGTTTTCAGTTTTGTTAGCTTTATTTATCAAATTTTATGTTTATACTATCTCCATTTCAGTAAAAAATGATGTAATATTAACATCAAAACAGAAAGACTAAATTTGAACCACTTCATTCATTTATTTGTCAGTCGTTCAAATAAAGAAACATGTAAATACCTTGTTAAAAACACTTTTCAAATTATGTTAAGTGTTTATACACAGTAGTGAACAGAAAAGACACAATCCATAGCTGGGACTCAGTGCATACATACAGTATATACATCAGCTTTGTGCTTTTGCCAATTCCCACACTGTCTCTGACTCATTCCCAGAGGCCACTCACCTAAGCTATACATTTATCAGCAAAGTTTAATAAGGTTAAACACTAACACAAATGTTAGAAATTGTCATTTGACATCATGTGATTTAGATCATCAACTCCCAAAGCAATATATGTCATAAGCAGACCACATTCTTAAGAAGAGAAAATTCTGCTATGTAAATGATCAAGTTAATAGAAGACGTGTCCTCATACCTTTTTCTATAAATGTGCATCAGGTATGAAGACATGAATATAAAGACGCTTAAGGTAAATTCCCTTCAATATTCCATTTAGGAAGTTGAACTGAGTGCACTGTGCTGAATGATACGATGTAGGAAACGGGGAGTTTGAGGAGATGTTAAATTGGGGGGGAAGCTGGTTGACATTTCTCAGGCGTTGTTCCTTTCCTCTATTGTAAAGGTTTCCATTGGGCCTTTGCTCAAGACTTTGATGTCCTCCAGAAGACTGGTGGGGGTCAGAATGTGGGAAGACCCTGCAATAAAGAGGGTAGATCAAAAATCATTTTTTAAAAATCTGAGTAGCTCCAGCAGGGGGCGAAAAAAATCCATTAATAAAGAAGCCGAAAGAAAACATAACACACAATTCATAATAAAGAATCAAAGCTATTGTTATTGCAACAGAATGACAAAAATAGAGTCATGTCAAGAAGAAGTATTCAACTATATTAATGCTCACCTATGATGACCTCACAGGATTTCACTGCTTGGGTGACTTCATAGGCACAGCGCATCTCAGAATAACTCATTCCTCCAATAATAAAGACGATGAGACGGGAGCCAGACCGGCGTTCGTCCTGAGCGCTGGTTTTATGCTTCTGACGAGCACTGTCCATCAAAAAAAATATTGAGATTAAATTAAATGGAATTAGAAGAAAAACAGCGTTACATTAAAAAACATATCTTAAAAGCAGCATCCTGATAAATCTAGATATATATATGGTACAGAAGGGTACAAACACACCACATCCATACAGCTGTCCAAAGATTATTGTTATGATGACATTGTGTAGTTTAGTGGAAACTTGTTTGCGCATCAGAAAAAAATGAAGTGATAGCATTTTGACATTGTTCAAATGACATGGAGGAATAAAGGGTCTAGTTGAAGCATTTTTTTTAAAAAGTTGAATAATTTTACCAAGAAATTGGTTTGCAAAGCTCACCTGACAGCCCCAGATCCATTCCAGGCAGCAGGACACTCCGACTGGTGCGGCCATTCCTTGGTGTCCAGTTTGTTCTCCACAGCATCCTGAAGGTTACAGAGATTAATGCTCTTTGATCTGCTAGGAGATCTGTTTAAACATAGACTTTTTGGAAAAATAAAAAGCAGAATTTTTTTTCGAAAATCAATTCAGCTATCGTGTCTTAAGGGGAATTCTTTATCTACTGCAAATGAGCAATTAGCAAAGGAAAGAGTATGACTTGGCACCATTCTGTTCAAACGTTACAAAGTTTTGACTTGAAACTTGGTGAAATTTCTGAAATGGGAACAGCACTGAACCACTGCACATGAATATTAGCTGCTGTACATAACAAAATTAATCCACAATATCGAAATTGAGGAATGAGGAAACTGGTTTGGGTTCTTTTTTGACTCAGTGAGTTTTCATATATGGTGATCAACTCATACGGCTCCTTATTTTCTCATTTTGCAACCTCTTACAGCCGCATTTAGAAAGAGACAGAGGAAGTGGTTTGGTTTCATAATGCAATACATCAAAAACTTCAATGTTTTCTGCTAGAAAAGGATATCCCATTTCTTAAAAACATTCTCAGTTTAAATGTCACACAGCTTTTTCTTAATTTAATCATCTTTATAACATGACGATCAAATACACTTTCAGGAGCGAGGGAATTCCACATTCTTACTTCTCAGTGCCCATCCAATTCCGGGAAATGGACTGATATTCTATTTGATAAACAATTTCTTCAATACTTTATAGCTGCCAGCTATGACTTACCAGACTCGAAAAGGAAAACAAAAGATATGCATTCTGAACTAATACATTTTCGTTTTATAGCACAAATGTTGACAGCACTGTGACATCCTACTTTAGTTTTTACGCCTTATTGTACGAAACACCTTTTCAACACAATGAAAACAATTGAGCACAGGCTCTCTGGGACTTCTGAATGGAACAGAGGATCTTCCAAAGGGATCTATAGAAAAGTGATGCCTTGCGTTGACCCATAAATGCAATTGGTACAGAGTAACATATACACAAATACGACACTGCTTATCAGATGACCTAAATATGACAATCTCCTTTGGTTTCTCTGTCACAGTTCTGCTTAAGAGCTGTCCCATGAGTACCATTTAGAGTCCTGTGGTAGCACACTGACCTGAAACAGCAGACTTAAGTTGAATAAATATTTAGATCACAAAGTAACTGGCAGATATTGCTACAATGCACTTACTGACCTCCATCACATCTTTTATAACTGGAGTCCATCTGGAAAGGTTGTACTTCTCCTCCTGGGAACGATCCTTTCGGCTTGCTTTTCGAGAGAAGAAACTTGCCTGCAACCAAAAGCAAAACAAAGCTATTCAACAAGCTGACATAAAAAAGAAATGATGGCGTAAAACCCCAGCCCTCAGCTATGAGTGATTTTCTCCTCGTACCGATGTGATGATGGAGACGCCCAGTTCTTTCCAGTTCAGGATAAACTCTCGTTCATTCTCAATCTTAACATGTTGAATAAGTTTGCTTAAGTTCTCGTCTGTTGTTCCTGTTGACACACCACACAAACAACGCGGAGTCAAAATCATTTATCAAATATCAACAAGTAATAAAGGAAGGAATAACTATAAATCCTGTCAACAGTGTATGACCAATCCATTTTTTGATGTATTTTGGGGTAAATGTGAGTAAATACTGAAGAAGAATGTATGACTTTTCTTAAAGATAATGTGACTACGTTAAGTAAAAGAAAAGTGAAAGAAAAGTCCGCTTTTCTTTAACAGACGTTGAGCCGTCTTGTTTTTTACCGTTGAGGCTGAAGATATAGAGCAGCACAGCTCTGATCTTGTCGTGGGTGCTGTATGGGTGCAGAAGCACAGGCAGCAGAGTCCTCATTGGATCTTTCACCTTCACTCCGTCCACATCTGAGCCGACCGCCAGGTCCTTCACAGGAAGCACAGATGGTTGATTACTTTCATGGCTGTAACATTTCTCCTCAAGGTTTGAAGGTCAGTGCTACAGAAAGGTGCTCATCAAGGCGGTATGCTCCCAGAGGAGCTGACATTTCAGCCTATTCCGTAATATCTGATAGGGCAACGGACAGGTCACAGTGGTCTCTCCTAGCTTAGCATGTAAATAAGGTTGATTTGGGCAATCACAGGACATCTTTTCACATCTTTAGCATTTCTTTTCACTTCTGGAAACTCATAACAAACCAATCGCTGTTGATGGAGATGCGCTCATTAATGAGAGATCATCTTAAATACATTTCACATAAGAGAGGGTTGGAAATGGGCCACAATAGGAAAGTCTGTACCACAAATCAGGTGTACCATTAACATGCTGCAAAAGGCAAGGAGGCTCTCTGCCCAGAGTGAACTAATCAAACATTCACTGACTTCTTCAAGCAGTAGTGAAAATGAAATAATAGAGACAGACCTGTTCAGCTTTGCAGAGTTTCTCCACGTTGTTGGAATATTGTTTCATGCAATCTTCAGCCAACTGCAGATGAATAGTTTTCTACATTTAATGCAGAGAGATCGGACCAGTTAAAATCCTTCTCAGGAAGTGGGGGAACATTACTCATGATGATAGGTTTTTTCCTTAAAGACAGATATTATATTCTTCTTTTTTCGGAAGACTATATACACATCTGTCCCCCCGCTGCCAAGATAATCACTAAGTCACTGCACATGATAACAGGCTGTGGAGGCACCACGCCCGGCCACCAAAAAATAACATTGATTTCAGCTCCTGCACTAAAGTTACTTTAACTGGTGCGTCTTACCTCTGTCACCTGTTTACGGAAAGAAGGCATCTTCTTCATCATAAGGGCCAAGTTGCTTATAGTTGTCTGAGGAAAAGGTCAAATTCAAGTTTAATTAAGACATCATTTTGATTCAGAAGTAGATATTTAGGGATAGAGCAGCACCCAATCAGAAGCCCCTCCACTTTACCATCTCATCTGGCTTTTTCTTGCTAGCTGCTATTTCCTTCAACATCTTGGGGATTTGTCTATTGTGGAAAAACAACAAATTTAAGCTCTGAGTGAGGGCAAAACAACAGGACAGAGAACTCATCTGAATGTTGCAAACATACTCTGAAACCTCAGCGATGTGTTTGTGCCTGAGCTTCACCCAGAGCATGTCATCCTCATTTAGCAGAGCCTGCTTCTCTGAGCCATCTTTGGACTTGTACCTGACCACAACAACACCAAGAAAAGGAGTTTTAACCATGAGAGTACAGTGCAGCAAGGTGACTGTTTTTAAGTCTGAGTACAAGAACAGGCAGAACAAGCTTTACTTGTAGGTATCATTTTGGATGTCAATCAGGTCGTAAGCCATGGCCTGGTAGGTGAGCTCATGCAGGATAGGGCTCACGGGGTCAAAACCTCTTTCTACTATCAACAGCTGGGCTTGGGTCTTTCCCTTTAGAAATAAAGAAAACCCCCAAAGAATTATACAATTTCCCACAGAATTTTAAAAACGTCTCATAATGACATAACTGTCTTCTTATTTTCTGTGATCATGCTTTACTGGTAACTTTGTCCTTTACAAATTCCTGGTGGAGAAATAATTTAATCTGTTTCATAAAAAAAGGAGATTTCTTTTATTTTTCCTTCAAATAATACCTTTTGTTAAACAGAAAGAGAAAAATGACACCATACCTTTAGGTTTCTATTTCCTCCCAAGGCTAAGACTGTTTTTCCTGTCAACATTCTTTGTTCAGCAGGCATCTCACCTTCTTCTTACCACTGTCATCCAGCTCATAGTGTTTGGCCAGCTTATTGTCAACCAGCTCGGCGAGAGCTTTGGCATTCTCCATGTTGTTGTCTCTAGTTGTGACACAAAATAGCTTTTTAGTACACACAATTCTTTACGTGAAGAATGCTTATGTGTTTCTCACATTTTAATCTCATGTGTTTAAATTTGTGAGTGTAAGTAAAATCACACATTCGATTCCTTCTTTAAGCCTGACCTCAGTCTAAATCTCATTTTCGACCACAGTTTTGTAACGCTTTCTAAGTTCCTTGTGCTTTAGGACCGTGATGTGTCGTAACTTTGGAAACTGTATCTTCTTCTTTGACTTACTTCTTGTATCTGACCCCTGGGTATTCTTCCAATGTGGCGCAGAGTGTGACGAGCTGGTCTGCCAGCGTCTCCAGTGTCTTTGCCTTGTCCTGACTGTGAGGACTGTAGAGGCTTTGGAAAGCTCTTGGATAATCACATGAGAATGCCTGAAAAAACAGGAAATAATTGCTGTGTAAGAATAAAGTAAAAAGTTTTAAATCTTTAAAACTAAACCCAAAATCAAGGACTAAATGCCTGAATCATGATTCGCTGACCATATTTTTATGTTGTCAAAACAGTAAGGAGTGAACAAACAGATTGCTACATAACTTAAAGCAGCCAACACTTATGAATGCTTTAGAATTAGGCTTCCTTATGTCTATACCGGTGACTCAGAACCAACTAAACCTATCCATTAGTCAACACTTCATGACTGGATTTGGATTACAAGAAGGACGTAAAACCCTCTGAACTAAAAAGAACGTTGGCAGCTGTATCCACTCACTTGTGCTTCCTGTGGCAGGAAAGAGATGTTAATTTCTTTGCAGACGCGTATGAACTTCGCACAGTGCATCTTCATGTTGTTGAACAGGTCATCAGGGCAGTCTGTTGAACCAAAATAATTTTCAGTGTGCATTTGGTTACGTTAGTTATCTTTTTCTCAGATATTTTGCAATCAAAGTTGATTTATAGATGATTATAAGTCACTTACAGTCTGTAAAGTAAACATATGCTGCTTTGTATTTGGGTTTGGACTTGAAGTCAGCTATAAAGGCTTCAACACACTAGAAAAGAGTTTAGACACCAAGAAATATATGAATGTATATTTGTCATTAATATGTAAAAAGTATCAGACCATTGCAGCGTTGCAAACCTTTGAGGTTGGCGTCATGAAGTAGATGGCCTTCATTTCAGGAACAGGCTCTCTGCTTTTGTACAGGTCCTCCACAACTAAAGAAACAAAATAAGTGCTTTAAGAGGGGTGGCTGCAAAATAATCCACATACAGGCCGTAAATACTTCCCCCTGATGACTGTCTCTTAAAAATATAATCTGGTTTTACATTAAGGGAAAACCCTCAACGTACTTGTAATTTTCTCGGCCATTAGGTCGGACATCTTGCAGCAGGATGAGAGGAGCTTGGTGGTGAAAGGGTCCAAAATTAATATCTGCAAACATACATTTTTAGTGGTGAGTAACATAGATGTCACTTTTTCTTTCAGTTGCATAACAATTACAGCTCATTAGTCCCACCTTCCATACTTCCGATTTTCTACAGTCTGTGATAATGGTGTCCTTTATTCCTGTAAGAGAAACGAAGCACAATAAATGTCATCCAAAAGATTGTTTTAAAGTCTTCTACGTTAGGATGTTAAAGTAACTCTGTTGCTTAATTTATATACAGCTGGTATTATGTCTAAAATGTGTGACTTAGCTAAGCATAATGTATTGAACATAGTAGTGTCATTCACACCTACTTGGCCTCACCCTACCAGGTGAAAGCAGTTATTTGTAGCATGGTGGTGTCAGTAATTCATCTAATTCAGTGTTAGCATGAAGGAATGAGGTGGGGCAGCAGGCGACAACTGATGTGACAAACGTATGCTACAGAAGTCAGGGGAAGTAAACAACAAGTGTAGAGCATAGTTTTGTGTCGTTGTTTATTTTGCCACCTGATCCATAGTTGGGGAACTTCCGTTGAAAAAGAGCCGAAAACTAATCGTTAAGTGACATTCCCGGAGATGCAGCCACTAACTATGAAGTTTTGAATAACAGCACGTAAATCGTAACCCTGCATATTCAAAACGAACTTAAACTTAACACAGAAACTTAACAGTCTACTGAAGAAGTTAACTTACGTTTCCAAACTATTCTTTTCAGCCCGTGATCTGAACCTGCTGCCATTTTGTTGTCTTTTTTCCTCAGCGCCTCTTCCTCCTGTCGGTCCGGTGTCAGTGCTTTGTGACGTCATAAGCGTCAACAAGTGTGCGACGGGACATGTTTGTAGTTTTTTACGACTACAACACAAAGGAAACGCCGTTTTGTATACAATATGTACAATATAAGTACACAAATGGAAGAAGAATCTATCTGCCAGCGAAAAAGAATTCTTAACAAGGCAGAAATCTACTAACTCATGGTACGATACCGAGATTGTAAGATAGTTTTACTTTTTTATTATGACATACTAGTCAAAGAGGTGTGAATAACAGATGTTTGCGGTAAAGTGAATAATTGAGTTATTTGTATGGTAGTTTATTCATCAATTTAGCAATCAATATTACTTCTTACAATACAAAAGTTTAGAAAAAAAGGTTTTCTTATAAGTATTGAGTTTCTGCTGATTCTCTCCATATTTATTCCCATCTGAAAGGAACTTGAAACTCTAGTGAGAGGAAGTCCATCTGATTTGCCAGATTTGAGTAGTACATCCTTGAATATAATATATCATGCCCATACCTACAAAGAAATCCCTTCTCATACTAATGTACCTGTCCCAAGTGCATCTCTCTGCTTCTGTATGATTGGACATTTGAATGCAGTGGGAGGAGCCACATGCTAGTATTTCACCTTGCGCAGACATCATATATGCATAGAAAATAGGGGAAACCATCAGAGAGAAGTTTTATTAAGAATCAACAAGATAATAATCGGGGAGTGTTCCAGAGACAGTTCAGAAGAATGGGTTCTACAAAGTGGCTGGTGTATTTTGTCTTGTTAAACATATGCTCACAGGTACAGTATTGCTTTAATTTACGGAAACAATTAACCTTGCAAACAGTTAACAGTGTTAACAGAATGGAGTGAGTTGAAATTTGTATTTTAAATAATTATCACTCCGAAATTGCTAAGCCATACTGTCCTTTGTCTGAATTTACAGACTGCAGCTGAATCAGGTACTGTTCCTCCTTTTTAAAACCTTGAATCACACTGTATATGCAGATGGAAATAAATAAGGATAAACCATTGATTGCATACTATGTTTATGGGCTAAAGAATGCCTGCCTCAATTTGACAAATAGGTATTGCTTAAAATCTGCTCTTCTTGGACCACTGTCCTCAGGTATCCAGGTGTCCATCTTCTCTGCTACATCTAAGACAGTGATTCTCAAATGGACCGCATACCCAGGAGCTACATCATACAAGATCACTGCAGCCCTGACAAGCTCACCAAGTAACCCTATCGCTTTTGCCACATTTGGTCCAAACACCGTGATGGGCTCTGTTAGCTCCCTGTCTCAAGATGCCTCATACATTTTCACTGTGGAAGCTCTGGATGCTTCTCAAGCAACCCTGAGCTCTGCATCTATTGAAACATCAACAGGTGAGACATGCTTTAACCCTGTACCATTTAGCCTCTTAATAACATTCAGACTTTTTTACATTAATTCCTATTGACTTTTTTTTTACTTTTAAAAATGTTGTTGAGTATAATTTGGTTCGCAATTTGATGCAAATAAAAATAAAAATATAAAAAATTAGTAGGGATCCTGGGCCGCTAGCATTGCAATGAAAATGCAAATACATTTGACAAAAAGTTACATAACATGGGACAGAAGACTTCATAAGTGTCTACAGTCGTCAGGCTAATTAGTATAGGTATTTTCTTATATTTTTTTGATGTGATTGTAATTATATTTCATGAGTGTTCTTAAGGTTCTTAAGATTCTGAGAAAATATGCAAATTGAAACTTCTTGAAACAGGTGGATTGCAATCAGACTTGCACTATGTTTCCTCATATTTGATACAATCGTTGATATTAACTTTCATGGTGGTTGCAGCTCCTGATATGATGGATCCCATCACAACTGTCAAGCCGAAGGATAGCAGGACCTTGATAGCCGAATTTAACTTAAAATCTGGGGCTACTCAATACATTATACGAGTGCAAAACGCCAATGGCTTCTTCAGAGAGGACACAGTGTTGACCTCCCCTACTGAAATTAAGTTTCTCTCCCCGTACACTGAGTACTCGCTCAGCATCATGGCTGTGAACAGCATGGGCCGCAGCCAACCTTCAGCTCCCATTACTGCAAAGACAGGTATTCTTGTTTTTCATTATACACAATACCTCTATTCTTTTGAGGGATTTTTCTTCTTTCCATTCATTTTTGTTTCATGGGAAACAACAGAAGACCCTCAAGCGCATGTCTATGTGAGAAAGGAGTCATATTTATTAAAAAATCCTCAACCCTTTTCTTATTTGTCCACTTTGCCCTGCAGAGGTCACTTGATCTGTCATATTGCACCAGAGCAGGGGTACCGTGTGCAGTTTTGTATCCACACAAACATAGATATCTAGGTTTGTCTTACCAAATACATGCCTCATCACCCCTCAGGGGCTCTACCTGTATTAGTTGTAAATTTACCGGATTCTCTCTGTCCAAAAGATAAAGAGCTGACCTAATCCTTGCTACAGAGCTGCACACAGTTCATCTCAGCTTCCTCCCCAGGGGAAATATGACCCCCTACAATTCAACAAGCATAACCAAATCAGTGTAAAGTTTTGTTCTCACTGTATGACATCATAGATTTTTTGTTCCACAGATCTCAAATTAAATTTCATTGTGACTTCTGGCGCTGAAACTCAGATTTCAGTCGACCAAAGTCACTTTGACTATTTTAAAACGTTTTTTTTAAACTTGAGGTAATATTCTGAAGTCTTTGTATAGTTTGTAAGATTGTGTTAATTGCTGAACTTGTTTATTAGAATTAAGGTATCCCCTCCAACTCTCAATATTACAGCAATGTCTTTAAAAAAAAATCAAATTCAATTCAAGCAATTTCAAAGCATAAGAATCAAACCGTATGTGCCATTTAGCTCTGTGAAGTTCCACCTCATCTCATTTTTCCTCTTTTCTTCTCTTCTTAAAATGTGTCAAACTTTCTTTTCTTCCGCAGTTCTGCCTCCTCCTCAGCTCTCCACCTCCTCTCCCAGCAATGACAGCATTGTTGTAACCTGGGTCCCTGTTGCTCATGCTGTCCAGTACACTTTGTCCATATACAACTTTGACATCAACAATCAAGTCACATACAACACAACCAATACCACTCTGACCATCCCTGGTCTGGATGCCGGTTTAATCTTTGCCATCAAGGGTTTTGCCTGGGATCCTGAGGGCCGAAAGGGAGAGGGCAGTGTGTACATCAACCAGACAACACGTAAGGAGTGCATGGATTGGGCATTTCTGAACCAACATTAGCTTATTCCAAGATTTAAGTGTAAAAAAACATATCAGGAATATATTTAAATAACAGTAGAATTGTTTCACATGATGAAAATTGAAAAAAAAAAAAATCAGCAGTGTGAGAAAGGTGTTTTCCATTTTTGTCCCATATTGTGTTTACTTAAGATATATTTTTCGTTTTTTTTAACCAGGACCTCCAACCCCATATTCTGTGAATGTCTCTGTGGTGATGAGCAATAATGTGGCTGGACTCTCTGTGTCCTGGGAAATGGAAACAGAAGTTTATGGAACCATTGAGTATCATGTGACGAGTGACCGAGGTGCTACCTGTAACACCACTTCCAGCTCCTGCACTCTGCCTGCGGTGGGCTGTGGGGGAGTGCACGTCATCCAGGTCACTGCCTCAAATGATGCTGGGCCCAGCCACCCATCCTCCCCTTTGGCCTTCATCACCTGTGAGTAGCAGTGATGGGAATAAGTTGACCAGCAGACTATGAGTGTGACTGAACTCTGTTGTGCTGTGTCGTCAGTTCCCTGCCCCCCGGAGTCTCTTGCTCTTGTGGAGTCCTCAGAAGGAAACTGCACACTGACGTGGAACACGGTTCCCTATGCCGATAGTTACGTTGCCTTCATCAAGAAGGGGAATGGCAACGAGGAGACCTGCAACACCACCAGCAACAACTGCACCTACCACTGCTATTGTGGCTACACGTACCTGATGTCCGTGTTTGCGTACAATAATGCAGGGAGCAGTCCTCAAGGAGAGGTTCTCAACTATACCACTGGTATGTAGCGGCAAAGGTAAAGTCTAAATGAAACTTTGCGGTCACACCCATATGTTTTATTCTCTGTGTCGCAGTGCCTTGCTGTCCAGAGTCTGTGTCTGTGTCCGCGGTGAGTACTGATACCCTGGAGATCATGTGGATGGCTTCAAGGGGGGCCGACCTGTACGAGACTCGGGCCGCGGACACTTCAGAGGTCATCCTCTGTAATGATACGGCACCGGTGTGTGCCCTCTCTGATCTCAGCTGTGACAGTGTTTACAGCGTGGTAGTGACACCTTGCAATGAAATCAGTGGATGCAACCGTGCTTGCAAAGCTCACACCAAAGACACAGGTGGAACACTTTACACACTAATCATTTAACGCACTTTGCCATTTTGTTTTTGCCTGCCTCCGTTTCAGTTGCTTTTCCAATATTTTTTCCTTACCAAGATATTAGGTATAGTGGGACACATGTTAAGGACTTTTCCTTATTGTTCTCATCTTGTGAACTTTAGCACCGTGCATGCCGACAAATCTGCAACTGGACCCAGAAAACTCCCCTGCCATCAGTGTCAGCTGGACATCCAGCAACAGGAATGCTACTTACACTGTGAGCGCAGCCGGAGATCACAGCAAACACACTTGTACCACTACTGGAAGCAGCTGTGACATTACCAACCTTCCCTGTGGCTCAACATACGAATTCAGCGTGGTTGCCAGCAGCACTGCTGGCCAGAGTTTACCCAGCTACTCTGCCTCATTAGAAACAGGTGGGCTTTTGACTAATAAAGAACATTTTTTATTACGGTGGATATTTTTCTAATAATGTAAAAGATGCTTAAACAGTAATTGAGAAATCCCAAAGAGTGCATAGAGATTTTAGTCCCCAAAATCTATTTTTTTCCAACTAGTTCACAAATCATTATGTTGTTGTAGCCTGCTTTTAAATCGAAAGCACGAGTTAAGAATCTGCTCATGTTGATATACACATAAAATATAGAAACCACACTTCTATTTCAAGAAGCATAAAACCACACAATGGATTAATGAATGGAAAAGAGGAAAATTAACAGAAGAAAAACTCCCAGAAATAAGAATAACAAATTCTTGTTTAGTACTTTAGACCAAGCCTAGAACGGTGTCCTTGGTCATATCTATACTTTCCCTGATACCTTTTATCCCCTGATACATTGAAAATTTCTACACATTCAGTGATTTCAGGACTCATTAATATTCAATTTTGAAATGATAATTGTATATATATTCTGTTTCTTTCTAACTAACCAAAAGTATAAACGCTTGAATGCTAATAATTCCAGACCAGATGTGGACGTTTAAAGAAAAGAAACATTTAAAATGCTGTGGATGTACTATCTTCTTTCAGAGCCCTGTTGCCCGGCAAATCTAACAGTCGATCAGGTGACTCAGGCCATGACCAACGTTTCATGGTCTCACTCTAAAGGGGCACACTCATTCATCACCTCTCTCATGTCACCGCGCGGTTATGCCCGCTGCCACACTCAGGATTCCCACTGTCTCATGGGATGCATCACCTGCGGCACAAACTACACCGTCACCATGCAGGCCTTCAGCCACAGTGGGCGCATGTCTAACTGCACCTATCAGGGCTTCTCCTCCAGTGAGTGACCTTTTATGTTTTATGGCCAAAACTAGAATGCTTTGTTAGACAGCTTCTTGTATTCGTGTTTGGCTCATGAATTTGAGAATGCATGAATACAAGAAATAATAACTTGAAGTAATGAAATGGGGAAGTTTCAGGCGGACAATCATCACAGAAAACATTTTTCATTTGCAAATGTACATTATTATTTCTGTTTGAAAATTACAATTCAGAAAACTGCAGAAAAAAAAGCTGGGTAGAAAGGAATTGTCAGAAATAAACACTGAGGAATCTACGTCAGCACAATTTTTCACAGGTTGATGAAAATCAGTTTCATCATCTAAAAAGATGTTGGGTGAGGTTTTAATAGATTATTAATCAATTACTTTAAACTTAGAAATAACTTATATAGAACATTAACTGTTTACTGAAAACCTTTTCAATGAAAATTATTACATTTGTTTCCTTTGTTCATACCCAACCTTTATTGTGATTTTCATTTTAATCTATTAATTTGACCAGTCATTCCATGTATCAATTTCATACATTTTCCATGATCTTTTTACCGTGGCAAAACAAATTGAACCATGTGTCTGACAGCTCATTGCTATTCATTGTGAAGTAATTTCCCCAGGAAAATGTTTACAGATAAAATACTTTAAACATCATGTTATTTCCCCTATGAGGAGGATCATGGAACAAATCGGTCGACACAATGGTCGACACAATGAACTCTGTTGATGATAAATGAAAAAAAGAAAAAATAAAACACCATAATTTAATTGGAGTTTGTCTCCCGCAGGTGCCTGCTGCCCGTCGGGTATCAGGCTATACAAGATGGCTGAGAACTCCCTGCGGGTTTACTGGCGTAGCACAAGCAGCAGTCACAGCTCCATTATAGAGATGCTGGGCAGCAATAATAACTACACTTGCACTGCGTCTGCTGGGGAGAACAGCTGTGATGTGGACAACATCCAGTGTGGGGATGTCTATCATGTGACCGTGTCCCCGCTAACCACAGAGGGCAGCAAAGTCCTCTTCTGCTCCCAAAGGCTGTACTCAGGTAATACATGGCAGTCCAAAATATGTAAATGCTCCATTCTTTCGAAGTATGACTTCCTGGAAATCCAGAAACACATGCAGTCACTATTGTTGATGATAAATTAATTGCTCATATGAAATAATGACGGCATTTAACAAATTTTCCATGTTTCTTTCATTTAAGTCACTTGTTCCGGAAGCATCGTTGGCGCAGGTGAGTGTGGGATTTCTCATATTTTCAATCATATTTTATTTTAACATTCTTAAAAGTGATGCTTTTCCAAATTCCTACATCTTGCAATATATACAATGCACTTAATGATAATTAATTTTTTTATGTAATTTAAATTTTTGTTCTCCAGTGATTTACAGAGGGAAGAGAAGTGTGGACTAGCATATGGTAGGTTTTACCTGTTGAATGTAGTGATGCACCTTTTACAGCTACATACCTTTTATTTCAGCACACACATAAGAATAAATACAATGAATAATGATTATAAGTATTTATTTAATCACATTTGATAGTACAGATATAATTTGGGCACACAAAATCTTTTTTTCAGAAAAAATAGAAAATTCATTTGGACATTACTTTCAAGTACGTAAAAAAAGGATCATGCTCAGATTAGAACAATTTTCATGTTTTTTCTTTAATGTTTTTACAGATGCAACGTGGAATAAATCAAGATCTTCTTCATTCAGCTTTACCTATACTCCACTAGATTGAAAGTATGCTCACCACGAAACAAAAGGAATTATCCATGAAAAATGTACATGTTGTGGTACCATGACAGAAAGAAATGATCTTTTCATATTTTGACCAGTCCAAGATAAGTAAACACCTCCAAAGAGTTGAAGTTTAATTACGAACACTAAAATTATATGATGTTTTGGTTTGATAAAGATATACAATGACACTTTTGATATGCTATAAAGAGGACTTATGTAATTGGGATAATTCTCCCTCAGAAATTTGATTAAAAGTAATAAAACTAATTATGTATCTCAAAGAAAAATATTGGCTAAACAACAACCCTGTCCCAACAGAAAATTTGAAATGATACAAAACGTGTACAACAAATTAAAATAGAAAGCTTTCAGAATTTTTCTTTTTTCATTTTGTTGCTCCAGCCCCAAGTAGGAAGCCTCCTGTTGACGTAGCAATGACACTGATCTGTTCACCTTCATTGTGTTGTTTCTTGTTCTCAGGATGTATTTAAGTGCACTGAATATGTGTCAATCTTATGCATATTTCAGCCATTAAAGACTTAACAGCATCAAATTTTTGTTCCGTGTTTTGTTTCACATCTTAACATGTTGCCAATGATACAATATAGTAATTTTTAGGGCTTTGATTTGTTCATATCCGACTGATTTACTGGAAAATAAGGGTTACTATTTTTTTTATCTTTCAGAGTAGTGATTAAAGTACAGTCACATAGACTCATTTGTACAATTTTATCTGTATATGAATAGAATATGTATCGTGTTACTTTGTCTAAAAATCTTTACAGTGGCTATCTTAACATTGACTGCAATTCTGGACCTACATTTCACATATCCACTATTAATTGAAGACAAACAATTAAATATTTTCCAACGTTTGTGTCATCTGTCATGATCTTCACATATCCTAAATGATACCCTCCCTTTCCAGAAACAACGTTCAATTGTGGATGTCTGATAAAAGAATGTGGGCATTCGTTGGTTGTTGTATTTTGCATGTACCCATTTTAGTTTTAAAATGTTCCTTCTAGTTACCTCTGTATTAACAGATTAGGAAATGTATTTCCTGCCAGTTGTCAGTTTGATTTTCCTGTTGGATTGGACGGACTGGTGAGATTCTTTGTGGCATGTTCAAGCGTGTCTCCAGGTACCCACCTCTTCGTTTCTCTCCCTCTTGTGGAAGCACAAGGCCATCACAGGTATATAGTTAATTGTTCAATTTGAGGTGTTAAAAATGTTTAGTTCAATGAAGTACTGCAAGATAAAAGAGACTTATTTTATTAACATTCACCCACATTCTCCATTTTTATTTCACCTGTCTTCAGCAGTAAGGTGGAGTCATGTGGGTTCTAAAGGAAGACTTATCCTGAAAGAGTGATGAGAACAGAAACACAAGTGACATAAACCTGACAGGGAAAAAATAAATACATTTTAGATTATATTCCCTACAAGTCTGAATGCGCCATGATACAATGTGTTACGTTGAATTTGTTAATTTTACGTCATATTAGTTTGAGCTTGCAAAAGAGGTTTAACAGGATCCTTACAACACCATGGTGAAAGATGGAGGTAGTGGTAGCTCATTACTTAAAAGACATGGCTCCCATCCCAACAACGTGTGACCTCTCTTTACATATTCTGTACGATCCCTCCCTTGATTTACACCATTCAGGCGGTCTGTACACAAATGCTACAGCTAAAGTTCCTTTGAAACACATCCAGCTTCAAGGAACCTTTTTCATTGCACAGGTTTCAGTTGGCTGAGGTCCCTTAAAGTATAAAAGGGATTGTTCCTGGTATTATTTATGGTGAACATTGAACAGTTAGAGTCAGGGATAATGATACTCTCTGTAGGGAATAGCTGACATCGAAGGCTAATCCGCTTGAGATGAGCAAGCCAAAAAGATAACATTTCTCTGAGACACACAGAGTCTCTGAGATATTTTGGCAGCTTATGTAACTTAAGGGAAACAGAAATAACTGATAACCCATACGTATATATGAACTCACAACAAAACCCATCAAGAAAATTGAATTACTTTCCAAAACGATTCTCTGCCATTGTTCATTCACCACGTTTCTTTATTTATGACAAAAATCCAGATAATAGATTTTGTTTTATAAGGTAGTATAAAATAGTTACTATCATTATTACCAGTTTGTAACATAATAACCTTGTCCAAAATCAACATAAATCAAACACAAATATCTTACATGGTGCATATTCAATAATTTATTGTCATTGTCAAAAAAGGCAAATTGTGTTTGGGATACAACACTTAGTAGCAGCAAGTTACAAGTAAAGTGCACAAGAGGTAAAAGTGACACCAGTGCTTGATGTGTCACAGAGAATCAGAACCAGAAACTTTTATTGTTATTAAACCAGCGTCCTGGTCCAACGGAATTCATTTTAGTTAAATCCTTCCAAGATCGGGCAACAACAACAGACAACAACACAAACACACAGTGTTCGGGGAAGATTAAGGCTCAACCACTTAGGGAGCAGCCGTGTTCTACAGATACGTGATTAAAAGACAACATTGGTAGAGGAGCTGGTGGGAAAGGGACGAAAAAGGCATGCTGCCACACCCCCTACAGGGGATGTAGCAATGATAAAAAAATGTTTTAAAAACTCTTCTGTACAAATAAGGACAGATACAGGCAAATCACAAGATCATAAACAGATGTGGAGAGGTAGGATGGGGGCTTAGGAAGGAGGGGGGGAAGGTAACAGCAAGGCAGTGGGTCGAAGGGGGGTGCGTGAAGTCTGTACTTGTGTGTGTATAAGTGTAATTAAGCAGGGAGATCCCTACAGGGTGAAATGGTCTCCTGAAATCCAAACTGAGTTCTAAATTCTGGCTTGATAAAGTTCTAAAAAAAGATGAATCAATCACAGAAAACGGAAACAAGATAACTTTAAAACAGGAAGCCCAGAAATATATCTGAAAGTGTCCTATTCCAAGGCTCAAGCACATAAATCCCAGATTATTCCTTGAAATGAATATGTTTAATTTTATCTAAACTGATTATTGTTTTACGCAGGGATCAGATAAAAAAAAAAAAAAAAGACTTGGATAACAAGGAAAATGTGTGGGAAGTTGCATCACAAGATGCTCAATGCCTGTGACCTGTTACACAGTCAGGACAATAAAACATTTCCATGAAAATGAAAAAGAAAAGAAATATAAAGGTGTTCACATCGCTTGCCCTTATTCAGCCTGCTTCAAAATTGCTCTTTTGTTGACATGTGGCAGCTACAGTTTCCTGAAAGGTTTACTGCCCATATCTGTTTCACACTGACTTCCTTTTTTTCTAATACTCAATAAAGAACTAGGACCTTTATTCTTCTGTGATAAAAGATACATTTCAGCCCAGTATGTAGCCATTACAGTAATTGTATTATCTATAAGGGCATCAACCTTACTTTTCGTCTATATACATTAACAACCATCTTGCAAAACTTGAGAAATTTGTGACAATTTAGCAAGCTGTCTTTTGTTAGTCAAGAACATTTAGATGAAGTTCCAATTCCCAAGATTACATTCCTGACTACAGTTTCAGTTGCACTTGTTTTCTTTGCTTAGGCGGCTCCTCCCAAGCCTTTATCTACGTGACTCAGGTCAAAACACTGTGTTCTAATGTATTGTTACAAGGATGAAAAAAAAGACTGTATACCCATAAACATGTGTCACGGCATGCCCTAAGTCCCAGCATGCCAGAATAGTCCATATGTTTGTTGTAGGTTGGACTAGAAATTTTAGAAAATAAGCCAAGAACCTAATAATTAGAAAATAATCCATTAATACAGGGGCAGAATAATTAATGTACATGTACACATGTCGACAGTATACCCTTGTCGATATAGGTAGCATGTGATATAACCTAAGTGGGAAGGGTTATGTTAGTAGGTCAGTAAGTCATGCTAAATGTAAACTATGGCCTCTCAGGACTAAAGTCATGACATTACTTTGAGGAGAACCGTGTTGGTCAGTCTCCATCAATCAGATTTAACTGAGACACTGAGGTAGATCATTTTTTCTTTTATTCCTTATGTAACCATCATTACTATAATCAAACAATTCAACCCTGAATGGTTAGCCTAGACACAGGAAGACTTGAGCCCTGATTTTAATTGATGTGAGCTGATAGAGCTAACCACAAACCCTTCATGTAGCCTTAAATCCTTCAATGAGCTAGGACAAGTAATTATTTACATCTTGGGCACATCTATTTTTCATTATTCTTAACTCAAGGTAACTAACTGTTCAAGATGTAGTCTGTCTTTGAGACTGAACAGTTTAGGACTAGGATTCTTTTGTTTGGGGGTTGTGTATTCTGTTCTTTTTTTTCCTGACTTTTACAAGACTTCTGTAAGCATTCTCAGAATATGAAAGTTAAACTTTTAATTAGGGACTAATCCTCCCTATTTTCTGAATATAATTCTGTGAACTTTTTTTTAATAAGCATTCATGTAATCGACATGGTTAATTAACCTGATTTTATGTCTCTGTTACGGAAAAAGACCAACAAGAATATTATCATGCATAGAGATGCAAACTTTATTCTTTTTCTTAGAGTAGGATGTTTTTCAACTCAATATCAGAAATATCAGCAGATAACTGTGTGTGGGTTTAAATTGCTCAGGAAAATGAAAAATGTGTTACTTTAAATCATAACAAAGTTGTTGTGGGTTCTTCAGGACCTAAAACCCAAAGTGTATCATGACAGATCATAGAGAATACCACAACTTCTAAGTAAACAGTGAGATTTATCAGTTATGAAACAAACTACTTATCAGAGATTATGCAAACACGGGAATTCATCTTAGGTAAACTCATCAAACCTTCATCCATCCCTTCTTCCCGCCCATCCATCCCTTCTTCCCACCACCTGCTGTGCTCTCAGGACAGCTCTGGTGCCTGGAGCTGTTGGTAGGACCGCCTGTCCCCAATTTGAGAAATACTGATTGGTCCCCACACAAACTGAGCCGAAGCTCAAAAGAATCCAGCAGACCTTTTGAATTTGACTCCCTTGAATACTAAACTAATTTGAATTCCACTGCTGAAGTCAAAGATGGGATTATTGGGAGCTATAGGCTTTTCTCTAGCTTTAGTATTGCTCACACAGGTAAATTTAACTTTATTTGCTAATATTTGGAAAACGAATCAGCTACATGGCTGTAAGTAATTTCATAGATTATTTGAAGCATGTTATTGACTGCTTTGTTTTATTAACAGATTTCTAACTGCAGTGCACAAGGTAAGTCAGTTTTAAATATGTTCAGACATTTAGGATATATGCATTTAATTATAAATGTAAGATATTGGTGTGACGTAAGACATCAGACACAATTGGATAACTGTTCAGTCATTTCATTGCTTTTTTTTTATTGTGTCGATAACCTGTGATAACACGTCAGTGTCCAAAGGCTCAGCTCTGTATTTTGCCGTTGTCTCTTTCAGGATGCAGAATCTTGTCTGCAAATTCTTTAAGTGCCTCTTCTATTTTGGTAAAATGGCAACAATATCCAACAGCAACAAGTTATCTATTGGACATTAGAAAAAAGAATTCCACTGATTCTGCACCAATTATTGTTATTGTACCTGGGCAAGAGACAGAGAAGACTGTCCACGGTCTATCAGCAGGAACTGAGTACAATGTGACGCTCAAAGTAATTCGCTTTTACTTCATGGAGTGTGTGAATACAACTTTAACTCTCACAGGTAAAGCCAATCTTCATCTCACTGTAGTAGTAGTGATTAATAAAGATTTTGTTAATTTTTTGTTAGATCTCTCAGATGAATTTGTAAATCTTGCTATATACTCAGAAGAAAAGCTGCCACAACAGTTATTTTAACACACACGTCCATAATATCACAGTTAATTAATGCAGATCTACATTCAAATAAACGTGTGCTCTAAGCTCTGTTTTTTCTGTGTGCCTTTTCCTTCCTAGTTCCTGGAGCAGCAGAAATAATAAGAGCCTGGTCTTCATCAAGTTCTTCCTTCGCTATAGAATGGAGTAGGGTACCTTCTGCCCAGTACTACCTCCTGTTGGTAAACCCTCAGGCCACAGGGAACGCGTTCAACCTGACATCCACCAACACTACAGCTTTGCTAAAAAACCTGCAGCCCTCTTCTAAATATGACTGCTACGTTTTCACCGTCAATGAGGCCGGCATGGGAAGCGAAAGCAGAGTCAGGACCGTTTTGACATGTGAGTGATCACTTTCAGTTCAACAGTAAACAAGTGTTATATTCTATTCTGCTTTTCTATGAAGCCTGAATCACAGCCTCACAGTCTTGCTTGTTTTAGAAATTACCCAATGATTTTCTTTCACTCTTTGACATAAAAAGCCACAACTCAATATGTGAATAAACTTCACTTAACTATTAGTAACGATACTGTAAGAGTCTAATTGAGTCTGTAGCTACAAAGTATTGTTGTTCAAAGAAGTTATAAATTCACCCCTGCTACACCCCGGACAGACTGCGGGAACATCACAGGGTCAACATCTAAACAAAAATAAATAAGAACCTGGAGGTGTTTTTAGAGTAAATTTGATTGGCTCTGAAATATTTTGTCTTGTATGTTGACATCCAGTTTCTCATCCATCTCATAATAAAATAATGAAAAGAAATATAGCCAGAAAAAAACATGACAAATAAGATGTGCATAATTAACACCACAGCATTTCTGGCATGTTTTAATATTTCTTTGAATGGTCCATCTGTTTTTAGTGGTGAAGCCGCCAGCCAGTGTTGCAGCAACGCAAATTGACCAGGTAACGGCCAGGGTAACGTGGCAGCCTGTGGAGGGTGTCCTGCTGTACCAGGTCACCATTCGGGACAATGATAAACCCACTGAACAGCCCTATGTGTACAATGTGACGGGCACCAAGTTGGATGTTGGAGACGTCCGCCCATGTTCCAATTATCTGATATCCGTGTCCTCGTACAACAAGTTCCTGCTGCCGAGCGAGCCCACAAACTACACACACACCACCAACAGTGAGTCAGCAGAATCAAATCAACATCAATAACTTACGGATAAGGATCTAGGTCAGCTATTCTCTCTGAGGGCTCCCTTTCAGACATGAATAATATGATCCTCAGGGTAAACAGGATTCAGATGCTCTGACAACCTACTTATTGTTATGGCTCTCACGAAAACGTAGACCTCAGAAATATTAATCTGAGGGAGATTGTTTTAATCTTTTTATCACTTATTAAACCAAATCAGATTCCATTAGAACTTGGTCGTGTTTACGCATGTTAAATGAAACTTTAATGTAAAACAAAACTAATCTGATTTAATACAATGTGCTACTTTCAGAACTATCACCAGTTTCCTCGGTATCAGTGGACTACACGTGCACCACTAACTCTGTTAGGGTGTCTTGGTTGCCTGTTTTTGGGGCTGAGTCATACATGGCAACAGCCATTGACAAGAATGGTACGAAGATGGAGTGCACAAGTCAGAGCACCAGCTGTGAAATCTCTGGAGTGAGTTGTGGTCAGGACTACGAGGTGTATGTGGCACCCATATCAGACAACTGCAAGAACTTGGTCAACGCCACCTGGGCCACTTTTAAGACTGGTGAGACACAAAAAACTCACACATACCAAAAAATAGAAAAGAAAGACATCTGCAACCGTCCGGTTCGTTCAATGGCTTTTATTTGACTTAATTTTCCACAGAGTTAGGTTACTTCATACAGACACTTGTGTACGAAGAATGAATGAAAGTCAAGACAGCAGTGGCCCAACCAGCCAAAGAACATCCTCAATTAAATCTCCCTGATTGATAGATAATCCCATCTCTCAATTTCCACATACAAAAGTGGGTAGAAAGGTCCAGTCAGAGTAGATTATGTTTAACAAAAGAACAGTGCTACCAGTCCCATTTCCAGGAAAAGTTTAGCAATTATTTCATAGAGGGAGAATAAATCTGCCCCTCCAGGGATCATTATCAACACTCCACCCTGGTGTACTTATTATGAAGACCTAATTAATCCTTTTTAATTTATCCGTATCGTTCAGGTGTCTCTATCTTGTCTGAGGGCTTGGTTGAGACTTGCTGCCACACCTATGTTGGTCCTCATAAATCCATGATACACAGCCATTAAGTACGGAAACCTAAGATCATCAAATTGGTAGTGAGAGTACAAAGACAGAAGATCCTGTTTTGCAATAAAACCTCCGTTAAAAAGATTCTGTAGACTCCGATTGCAGCTGAGAACAATCTTGACTTCTGAATTTCATTCTGGACGTTGAGTTAGAATGAAAAAATGTTGAAACTTTAATGAGATATAAATCAGAGTTCCCTCTGTAATTGAAGGCTGCTGAGGATGTATTGACCTGGAGAGTACTTGTTAACAAGATTACATTTCAAAGTCTTGTTTGTTATCCAAGTTCACACGTCTCTTTGAATTGCCATTGTAAACTGGGTCTCCCATTGAGCTCTACTGTCTGTGTCATATTGTGTTGTGTTCAGTCTGCTAAGAATAGGGACCTGAATGCAGTGAAAAGTAACACTGGAGTGTTATCTTTATTATCAGGGTGTTTTAACCTGAAAAAGGATGTGAGACATTCATCTTCTATGGTGACATTTAACCTCTTTAAACTTTTTTTTTGCGTGACCTGTCATCCACTTATTCTTCTGTGTACTGTTCCATCTCAGATGACTTTAAATGACTGTGTGAATATTTCTTCCCTTCAGTCCCCTGTCCTCCAAGCAACTTGATGTTGTTGCGACAGTGTAGCAGTGACGTCATCATCTTCTCATGGAATCACACAAGTAACACAGACCACTACATGGCCAAAGCTGTCGACTCTAAGGTAAAACTCCAAGCTGGATAATGAAAAAACATACCCAAATAAAAAAAACTTAATTCTAAAACTATTCTTCCAGGTGGAAGAATTATTCCTAGAACACATGTAAATCTTTTCTTGTGTTGTGCCCAATTTCTTTTTGGACAATACACTATAACAGCAGCCATTTTACTTTTCTAAACTCAATCACTCAATCAGTGCCAAAATCTTAAATTAATCTCATCATCCCTGAATGACAATATCTTCATCCAACCTTTTGTGATTTCTCCATTACCAGGGAGTGGTTCAAAACTGCCTGACCCAAGACAACTCTTGTTATTTCACACACACAGTGTGTGGACGTCACTATCACTTCACGGTCTTCTCTATCTCAGGGGGCTGCAGAAGTGAAATTAGTTCAACTGTTGACATCCGAACAGGTAAGAAAACATTTGTGACTGGAAAAATTAATGTGTTCAAAAGGTTCTGTTTTAAAAATGACAAGTGGTTTTATCATCTGTTTGCAGCACCCTGCATGCCCAAAAATCTTCAAACATCCGCCAACTGTAGCACTGATGTTCTGCTTAGTAAGTGGGACCATGCTGAGGGAGCCCTGCGTTACACTGTGAAGGCAGAAGGAAACACCAACCACAGCAACTACAGCTGCAGCTCGCAGTCTAACAGCTGTGCTATCCCTGGAGTCCACTGTGGAGAGAGCCTGACCATCACCATCACTGCTTTTGACAATGAATGTGCCAGTCCACAGATGTTGGGACTTCCTGCTGAGACAGGTGAGAGAAACCGGTTGGGGCCTTTGAACGTGAGCACCAATAGGGGGAGGCAGTCACATGGTTTATTCACTCAGTGTGCTCATTGTGGAGAAGAGGATATAATTATGAAAGAGATTATTTTGATTGTACTGTAATGTGAATCTCCGCTTTTCTTCTAGTCCCATGCACCCCTCAGAATGTATCGGCTGTGAAGGAATGCGGAGCAGACTCCATCATGGTGACCTGGCAGAGAACCAGTGGTGCAATTTTCTACATCGCTATTGCCAAAGACAGTGAAGGCATCACGCATAGCTGCAACTCCTTTGATGTGTCCTGCAAGATTAGTGGTTTGAAGTGCAGCACAGACTACAGAGTCTATGTTATTGCTTCCAACTTCATGTGTAATAGCTCTGAAAGTGAGACAGTCACCACCGAAACAGGTATTGTGAGGCTTGAAATATTTTATCCAAAAGGTTTTATGCATTTTCGAAATGAAAGGGAAATTAAGAGATTAAAGAGTTTTGAAATATTTGAATGCCAATTTCTTGTCAATGCAAAAAAACCCCACAAACTGGACATGGTTATAGAATCCTGAAACTTGTGATTTCAGCTGCCTGCCCACCAGACAACCTCTCTGCTGCTCTGGATTGTGCCACCAATGAGGCTCTGATCTCATGGCGTGGTCAACCTTCAATGAACTCCTTCACTGCATCCATCACGGATGAAGGCCATGGACTTCTCAGCTGCAGTTCCACAGCCTCAAGCTGCAAAGTGCCCAACCTGAAATGTGGCCAGTTGTACACTGTCACAGTCAGCCACCATGATGGCATCTGCCCCAGCATGCCCTCCAAGCCCATATACATGGAGTCTGGTAGGAACTTTCTCAAATTGCATGTTTTATTACAATTTAACCTTAAGGAAATTTCTTAATTTCACACTGAAGCTTTCTAATGTTCTCAGAAGCTAATAGACAGCTCAACACATTCAGCTTTAAAAGCAAAATGCATTGTGCTGTAGGCTAAATTCCAATAAATCCAATAATCTCATACAACACTATTTGTAAGGGCTAATAATGCTCTTAAAATACTTGCTGTTGCAGTGGGATTGTAAATATAAAACTAATATGTTGTATGTACAGTGAACTACAAAAATAAGGCTAGGAACCACAAATGAGCATAACAAACAAATAGACAAATAAATGAAAAACAGACAGATTTCTGAGGTGCCTGCCTTTACTCAGTCCGGTTTTTCTCTGTTCAGTTCCTTGTGGACCCACCAATGTGTATGCCAATGTGGACTGTGCACGGGGCGGTGTGAACATCAGCTGGGATGCACACAGCAATGCAGAGGGCTACATCACTGTGATCTCAGACAGCAACATGCAGAAGACTCACTATAACACCACAGAGCCTAACTTGAGTGTGAAATCGAAGGAGTGTGGGCAGGAGTACTCAGTGACAGTGATGTCATTCCGTGACAGCTGTGTGAGTTTTCCCTCAGAGTTACAATTCAAAGAAGGTGAGAGAATAGGAAGACTTATTTTTTCTACTCACTTGTGTTAAGGAGACAGTTTATTTCTCTTGACGGGTTAATGGAAATGTACTGATCAGAGCTTTTCGCATCCCCAGGGCCATGTGTGCCCACCAATGTGGTGGTAAAGAGAAAGTGTGGACAGAGTTTTGTAGAGGTAACATGGCTAGCAAGCCGTGGTGCCAAAAACTACACTGTGGCTGCCCTGGATGGACATGGTAATCGCTTGGAGTGTGAATCCAATGAGACGTTGTGCAGACTGGAGGGCATAACATGTGGCCAGGTCTACAACATCACAGTGGTGGCTGTGGATGATACATGTACCAGCATGAAGAGCTCTGCAGTGAAAATGATGATAGGTAAAAATTGGCCGAAATAACTGATTTGATTATTTCAATGCAAAGATGTGCTCTGACTGTTGAAGTTGCACTTGTTCTGCAGAACCATGTCCTCCCTCCCAGCTGACCGTCTCAGTGAACTGCACCAGCAATTCTGCCAAGCTTATCTGGAACAGCAGCCCAAATGCCGTCTCCTACACGGGCAAAGCAGTGAGCACTAACGGGCATAATGTCACCTGTAAAACTGGCCTGGAACAGGGTTGTGAACTACAGGGTCTACATTGTGGCAAGGAGTACATGTTCACGGTGTCTGCATCAGACGGAAACTGTCAAACTTTAGACAGCAAACCAGTCATCCGCACAACTGGTGAGAAGCACCTCTGCTCTGCTTTCTTTCTCTTAACCTTTACAAATCCTCATCTGTCTCTCCCACTTAAAAAGTCTCTCCCAGTAAAAAAGTAACTAACAAGTCTCGCATAGATCCTGTGCTCACTGTTGCACCTCTATGACAACAGAGCAAAAATATTGTAGAAATGTAGTAACACACAAATAGCTCTAAAATCTTTAAAATGGTAATAGAAAAGAGTTATCTCTTTGCTAAGTGTGTCTCTGTTTTTTTGCGCCAGCCCCATGTGCTGTTCAGAGTGTGATGACCGCCCTAAATTGTAGCACAAACACGCTGAGCATCAGTTGGACACCAGGATCCATTCCTGTAAACTACAGTGCCATGGCTGTGCCTGGAAATGGCACTGCACTGCACTGCGTCACTGAGAATTCCAGCTGCACAGTGGATGGTTTGCAATGTGGACAGCAGTACTCTGTGTCAGTGAAACCTGTCAGCAGCACCTGTGAAGGCAACAGCAGCCTCCCACAGATGGTAAACTCAGGTATGTTCGTCATTTCATCCATCACAGATCACTTTTTCCTTCCTCTTGAAGCATCCTTTAATGCCGGCATATATGTTTTTTCTAGTTCCCTGTGTTCCCCACAATGTCCAAGCCATGGTAGAATGCTCCACCAACACACTGCAGGCTACCTGGGACGTGGCTGCTGGGGCTGTTTCCTACGTCTCCACTCTGAAGGGAGAAGGAGGTTTCTCTGCCTCTTGTCCCACAGCTAACAGAAGCTGCCGGTTCCCTGCTCTGCAGTGTGCTCAGACATACATGTTCAGTGTGGCGGCCCTCAATGACAGGTGTAAAAGCTCAGAGAGCACCATGGTCATAGCAGCAACTGGTAAGAACAAACAGCTGACACAGACATATTAAGATCTCTGGTCTCTTATCCATGGATCTGTCGGTGTTAGTCAATGTATTGAATTGGTATTGCTTGGTTTTCCTATTCTTTCCTACTATCAGACAACAAACTGCACTTTCAAACAAACACCATTAAAGCTATTACGTTTAGAAACTTATTTCAAGCTCTTTAATCCTGCAGTGTGATTCAGATGCAATAAAAAATTATTTTAACTAACACAGTAAAAACCAAACCGAAATCTTTCCATACAAAAAACCTGCTTATTTTGGTCGCTCTTGTGAAATTAAGTATGTCATTTGAATATAACATTCCATCTCTTAGAATGAAAAATAAATAATAAGAGATTTCTTTACCTTTTTTCCCATTCCATCATTTGATTTAAGTTGAAAAATGGCTCCATATAATTTATTAATTTGTTCTTGTTTCTTGTTTCATTCTTGTTCATTTCATCAACATCTAGCTCCCTGTGACCCCACAAATGTTTCTGCTTCTCTGAACTGCTTCTCTGGTGTGGTCGCGGTGACTTGGAGTGCCAGTGCTGGGGCTGACCATTACATGGTTTTCGCTGAGGCCAGTGGCCATGTTGACTCCTGCAACTCTTCTGACACTTCCTGTGAGCTGAGCCAGCTGCAGTGTGGGCGGCAGTACCGGGTGACTGTACTGGCCGGGGACACAAACTGCAACAGCTCCATATTGGCCCAAACCAATGTGACAACAGGTGAAAACTATTTCCAGGTCTACCTGAGTCAGACATGTGTGCAGAAGCACATTACAATATATTGTCTGAACTGATTCACTTAAGATCATGAATTTTAAATACCTCTAGAAAGACACAAGCTCTTATGAAGGGATTTGTTACACAGATGTATGATCATGTGTTGATAACTCATGTCTCACATGTCAAGACCCTTACTGATGACAACCTTTTCTATTTTATTCGGTTAAAAGTTAATTATAATGATAAAAAAATTTAAAAATTTGAGGGGTCTCAGTGAATGTTTTGTGTGTATGTGCTCTATCTTTACCTATTCAGTCCTTTACATGCTGCTTTTGCATTCTTTGTTATCCATTTAGCCCCATGCGCTCCAGTGATTGAGGACCACTCACACTACTGCATGCACAATCAAACCGTGATCAGTTGGGTTGGGGATAAGAATGCTGTGAGTGTGACCGTCAATGCGACGTCCAGCATGGGGCACTCGCTGTTCTGCAGCTCTTCTACCAACAACAGCTGTGTTCTGGACAACCTTCAGTGTGGACACACTTACACCGTCCAAGCTTTTGCACAAGGGGCCCATTGTCTGAGCAAACCCAGCTCTGCTTTTCAGATTGTCACAGGTATGTTATGAGGTCAAGAATATGCATACTCAAACAACATTCACAGATGTTGGGCATATTGTGCATGTGCATGTGTGTGTGTTTGAGTGTGTGTGTGTGGGGGGTTATTTTTGGTTGCAAAAATCCCTTAGAAATAAACAAAAAAGGCTGTTTTTCTATTGTTCAGACTACTTTGTCCTAATAGTAAAAAGAAGGATGAATGAAGATCAAACTATTATTCCCTATTTTGACGTTTCTTCTTGAGACATTTTAACGAATGGTTATAAAACTGTAATGACAACCAAGAAAAAACAGTGAAGAAGGCAATGATATGGTTCAGAGAATAATATTTTGATGCTAGTTATTTAGGTACTGACTGCCCTGTCTTTCATAGCACCGTGTACCCCTGCAAATGTGGAGTACCAATACTCCTGTGAGACCGGGATTGCCTTCGTGAGCTGGGATGACACTCTGGGCAGGAAAAGTTTCTACGTTCAGGCCTACTCTGGAAGCCACACAGCCTCGTGCAGCGCCAGCACTGGAACAGACTGCTCCCTGCTTTCACTGCAGTGCAGCCGCACATATACGGCTGAGGTCACTGCAGTGGCCGACAACTGCAACAGCAGTGTGCCGGGTGTAGCACACATCCACACAGGTAAGGGTGGAAGGGTCTATGAGTTGTGTTCGACATTTGTAGGTCATCAGAACCTTTAGTTATCTATGGCATTTTTAGATTTGATGATTTTTATCTTTGTGATGCCCTGAATTGAGTATGGTATGAAAAACTGACAGTTGAAACATAAATACAGTGCATACAACTAAGTTCTACACATGGCATTTTATGTCACCTTGCAATTTATCCCTCAATTTTTGATTGTTAGCATTTAAATGCTGTTAAATAGCAGGGTGAGAAGAAGAATATATTACATGCCATTTTATGTACTGCTGCGGGGAAAAACATCCCAAACCACATTTTAAATCCTTCAAAACTGCAAGTAAATATAATTCATAACACACAGTTAGGTGTTAATTGTAAACATTTATTAATTCATTTAGGTGTGTTTTTTTAAACATTCACACCTCTGTAAACTTGAACTTTAACTTGAATCTGAGAGACCTTAAAGCAAATCTTTCCTGAGAAGAGAATTGAAATACACTATGTATAACTTTATTTAGATACTTACTGGTGTTTCTCCTTTTGTCTGGCCTTCAGCCCCTTGTCCTCCCATGAATGTCTCCGCCTCCCTGTTGTGTGAGAACAACACAGCTCAGGTGAGCTGGGAACACAGTCCCACGGCGGTGTCATACAATGTGACTGCGGTGGGCAGAGATGGGGACCTGAAACAGTGCAACACAAACAGATCAAGTTGTCAGCTACCCAACATGCACTGTGGGCAGACCTACATTATCACTGTCACCCCCTTCTCAAACCGGTGCAGGGGCCATGACAGCCAACCTTACACTTACATTGCAGGTAAGGAGGACTCAAGAAATAGCTCAAGGAAAAAGCACATTAAATAAAATATATATGTCTGTCATTGAAAAAGGATACAAGTACTCGAAACACTTGATCCACCGTAGGTCATGCTTCTTGATAAATATTGATGCAGTTATTTTAGCCACCAGCAAAGATGCTCCTATCCTACCCCAAATGGGTTCACACTCAACCTGGGTCTCTAATATTGAGACCCGGGTTGATTTATTAGACACTCTTCAACTTTTCCTAAGAACGCTTCATATTTTTGTTTTTGTGATTGTTCTTGCAGGACCTTGTCCTCCCGAAAACGTCCACGCAACCCTTCAGTGTGTTGGTAACGTGGGACATTTGATCTGGGATGCTGTCCCACAGGCAGATCACTATGTAGCCACGACTCTGCCCTCTGTCATGGATGAACACATTCACAACTGCTCCTCTAATGGAACCGGCTGCTCCCTCACAGACCTGCACTGTGGCGAGACTCTGGCTGTCTCTGTGGTCACCGTAGAGAGAGGCTGCCAGAGCAAACCCAGTGAACCATTCACTTTGCAAACAGGTCAGTCAGATTGATGATAACTGTAACATTGTGACTTCTTTGTAAGTCGCTTTGAATATAAGCGTCTTCTAAATACATAAACAGTCAGCTGAACGTTGGATAAGTAAGGAATGGTACATCCAGCTAGTACTTCTGAGATACTGATTTATTGTAATTGGATGTAAATAACAGTCAGTGATAGTGAAACGTTTGCAAGCAAACTTCAAAACCATTCGTACTGGTTATTAATCTTTATCAAGGGTTAACTGGCTCACCTGATTACTAACAACAGCCAGGAAAAATCTCAGGGTTTACTGGAACTTTTAAACTGTTCAGTAAAACTATTTATTGCTCAGCATCTGAACCTCTGAAGACATTATGAAACTTCTTCAGATACCTTAGAATAAAAAAGGTAACAGCACACATATGAGAATAGCACTGCACTGTTTGTTTGCCATTAGATCACTAGAAAACATGACAGGATAGAAGTACCAACAAAAGATGCACATTTAAGATCTTTCTTTATTATTGCTCTGCTGACACAACCTGCATTTGTTAAATTAAATCATACCAACTATCTCCTCGTCTCTGTGCTGCTCTCAGTGATCTGCCCTCCGTCTGACGTGACTGGGGTGACAAATTGCAGCAACAATGACATCACAGTGAGCTGGACCCCGAATCCAAACGCTGGGGTTGAGTACTTCATCCACTCCCAAGACAACAGCAGAGCTGATGTAAACCTCACCACGACTCAGTCGCTCCAAGTGATGACCGGGCTGCAGTGTGGCGAGCAGCATTGGTTTAAAGTGGCCTCAAAGGATTCTGCTTGTACCAGCGTCTTCAGCAAGCAGATACAAACTAAAACGGGTAATTATCTTAATTTTTACAGTAAAAGAAGAAATTCTCACAGTGATTCATCTGAAAATCATGTTAAAGGCAAAACACCATCTAATGTGAATATGCTTTTTTGTTCAATGAACTGGTTAAAATCTAATACATCTCTTTAGTGATGATATCAAAAAGGGCTTAGAACAACATTGCATTTGAACCCATAAAGATGAACAGCTGTCATTCGTTCAAAAGGAATCAGAAATCTGCTAAACAGTTAGCTTGATTTTATAAAATGACTGATTGATTTCTGAAATACTTGTTTCCGATTTTTCAACACGTGATATTCCATGAATTAAGAAGCATTATATTCCTTTTTCATTTTGGTCATGTTCTGCTGTGACATGCACTGTATTTTCCTTCTTTCATCACATCAATATATCTATTTATTTATGCTCCCTCTTGGAAGGTTTCCCAGCTTCACCTGAACTGTTCATGGACTTTCCTTTCTTTTACAATTTCTGATGGGAATGTCTTGTTTATTTTGTTTCCCATAGCTCCGTGCCCTCCGACCAATCTGACCGTTAAACCCGAATGTGGCACCAACTTGGCAGTGTTGACCTGGGCTCCGAGTGCACATGCTGTCTCCTACACAACTACCCTCACCGGTACTCACGGCCATGTGGCTTCCTGCTCTGCCAACACAACATCCTGCTCCGTGAAGGTGGACTGTGGGCGCCAGTACTCAGCAGTTGTGGTTGCTTCTACTGCAACATGCAACAGTAGTGCATCAGCTGCCTTAACATTTAACTCAGGTAACTGACACCTGCTCTCAGTAGTTCTTTTTGGTTTATTACCTATTAATCAGTTGTCTTTCCCTCCAACAGCTCCCTGTCTGCCTGATCGGGTACAAGCAGAGTTGGACTGCAGTCTCAACTCCTTTTTGGTGCAGTGGAGGGGGAGCATTGGCGATGTCGGCTCTTACACTGCAATCGCCATCGGTAGCGACAGCACACGAGAAAGCTGTGACTCCACAAATACAGAATGCACCATTGAGAACCTAAAGTGTGGCCTCCTGTACAGCCTGGTAGTCACCACATCATCTGTTGACTGTGGCACCATTGAGGGTTCCGACTATCAGATGTACTCAGGTAAAAAAGCTTCCATCCTCACTATTTCACCCGCACCATATTCATTGGTTGTTTAGACTATCTTACACCATCTAGTATGTGTGTTTGCACTGTAAATATTATTTTGACACAGAGTTCTATAATTTACACTTTTCTTATTTGTTGGATATAAAGGTTGTTCTATTACTTTCAATTCTTTTCTGTTCTATAAATGGTTGAATACACAAAAATAGGAGCGATACCCTTTATTTAATCTTATCTAATCCTTGACAGACTCATGTCTCTTGTTTCTTACATCACTCATCTGTCCTCTTCATCACCAGCCCCCTGTGAGCCAGACAGTGTGTCGGTGAATTTGCAGTGCAGCTCCAACGTGGCATTAGTCACCTGGGGAAACTCTGGTCCAGACCAGAGTCAGGTGGTGACGGCGGTGGACAGCAGAGGTTTAACCACCACCTGCAACTCCAGCAGCTCAAACTGCACCTTCGACCAGCTGAGTTGCGGGAAGACGTACACCATCAGTGTGGTCGGCCACACCAACACATGCAGCAGTGATCCAGCTGTTGCCCAACAACTCACCACCGGTATGTTGTTTCTCGGTGAAGAGTTTTGTACAGGAAACTGCTTACTGTTCTGTTGTTCAATGAGACTATTGAATTGTAAATGGGTGAGGTAGTTCCACCTGACCCTGGGTAAAAGAAAATAGGGTATGGAATGAGCAGCTGATATGTAGCCAGCTATTTATTGTCACATCTGAGGAAAAAAGCTAACTTTTAACACTGTTTAGAGTGGGGATGTACAACAACATCTGATGTAGTAAATCACAGTAAAGTACTGGAGAATAGTAGAACAGATTAGTTCATTCTTTAGAAAGATTTTCACAGACATATCAAAACTGAACAGTTTCATATTGTGGTTGGTTAAGGAGAAGTTCAGCTTTGTTTTGACATCGTAAAGTAATTAAAAAAAAAGTCAGTTCCAACTTTGGAACAAAACATTTATACACTGTGTTGCCAACCTAAGGGATGCATTTTGGTAATAAAAAACTAACTTCTATCTGTTCTCCACCAGCTCCATGTGTTCCCACCCACCTCACAGCCCGAGTGGACTGTAAAACCGATATCACCGTGGTAACATGGGATGCTGCGCTTGGGGCCACGTCGTACACTGTCCACGCTCACGGAAACCTTGGCCACAACACTGAGTGCAACAGCACTGACACCTATTGTGACTTCCTCAATCTGGTATGCGGACAGGACTACAACATCACAGTTGTGGCTCGCCACGAAACCTGCGTCAGTTTGACCAGCGAAACCATCACTGCGACAACAGGTGGGCTTTTAACATCTGTTAAACATATGAGCTGCCTTACTTTCAGATAAGATAGGATAGGAAATATGAAATTCAATGTTTAAAACACCTTCATCATTAACAAAGTGAACATAATTAAGCTGATACGCTAACCGTTTTTATATGTTTGTCTATAACTTACCAAAGAATTACTTTTGACAAATAATACAGATTTATTATTTATTGTTCAAAAATTTGAAAATAATCTTACTCATGAGAGGCCGACTTTCCTTGGTTGCCACAGTTATAATTTATCAACAATTAGGGTTTTCACTGGGTCCTCCTCCCTAAACTGTGCTGATGGTTGGCTCTTAAGCAACAGGACCTGGTCGTATTTCTAACATTTCTATGACCCCCATATTTAGATAACTTGCATGTCTCTATGCATTTGTCTCCAGGGTCAAACTGAGTGATAGATGATTTGTTGAATTTCAGTGTGCAGATTCTGTGTAAAGTTATGCTGGAAGAAGGTGGTCCGAAATTCTCGTATTAGCTAACTACACTTGTGTTGAAGACTGTAGTTTAACTTTTTTCTGATAATGCCAATGTTAAGCAGTGTGTGTAAAATAATTTCCTTCTGTTTTATATGATGAGATCTATTTCTTTTTAACTTTCCGTCTAGGTCCTTGTCCCCACAGTGGTCTTAAGACAACACTGGACTGTGACACCAACACAGCAGTGGTGTCTTGGACTCCTGGCAGCGGCATCCTTTACTATAATGCCTCAGCTGATGCGTCTGGCATCACACACCAGCAAGGATGCTCTACCAATGTCTCCTCCTGTAATATCAGCTCTCTGCGCTGTGGGGAAAGTTACAAAGTCAGCGTCAGTGGACAGGGACAGAACTGCCCGAGTCCTGCTCAGGACTGGACTATGATCAACACAGGCAGGTTCCCTTTTATCAAAGTTTTAATAATATGAATAACTGTAATAAACTGAAGGTTCTGGTTCTTTAACTGGCCGTAATGTAGATGTTAAATTAGTCATAACTTCATAATCCAGTCCATTTCTTTCTTTAATTCACTAGAATTTAATTTCTGACCTTTTTTTCTTTTGTCTTTCCTTCAGTGCTAAGTGTATAATTGGTCATTAAAATTTTTCTTTATTTCAGGATATAAACTGTCAAACTAGCAGCTGTTACTTTATTAAATATTACCATTGTTCGCTTCAAAATTAAATTTTTCTCATATAACTTATTTCTTACACATTACCTCCCCAGCTCCCTGTGCTCCCACCCAGCTGAAAGTAGACTCCTCCTGTGAATCAAACAACATCTCTGTGTCATGGGAGGCCTCGCAGGGCTCAGTCTCCTACACTGCTGTGGCTGAAAATGCCCAGGGTCGACAGTGGTCTTGCAACACCAGCAGCACCGCCTGTCAGATACCCGGTCTACTGTGTGGACAGCAGTATAAAGTCTATGTTGCTGGTGTTGATGAGAACTGCATAGGAGCTAAGAGTGCTGAGAAAATAATTCACACAGGTGAGTAAATACACTCAGCTTTCATACTGCTTTACAATAATTAACTGACATGAGACTGCATTCTGTCACGCTCTCTTTGTGAATAAGCTAATCGTGAACCCAAAACTAATATTTGTCATATGATTTAATTTTAATAACTTTTACATATTTCTTTTGCTTTGGTTCGATCATGATACGACATTAGTGGTTCAATGACTACAGCAACAAGCCTTTTCTAACCTCTTCTTGCTCTTTCTCTGCAGCTCCATGTGTGCCAGCGACAGTACAGAACCACCTTGACTGTTCCTCTGGTGTCCTCAATGTTACTTGGCAGTCGTCAGGTCACTACTCACAGTTTCATGCTTTAGTGGTGAGCAGCAACGGTCACGTCAGTGTCTGCACAACAGATAAGCATCACTGCATAGTCCATGACATGCAGTGTGAGATGACCTACAATGTGACGGTGATGGCCCAAGATGAGGCCTGCAACAGCTCCATCAGCCCTATGAAGCAGGTTACCACAGGTAGGTGGAAGCCATGGTACATATGAATAAAGAAAATACTAATTTAGCTGTGTCTTTGTTTTCCCGTGTACTTAGAGTATGTTACTGGGGATTTAATGCTTTTTCTTAACTCCTCCTTGGTAACCATTTTAATCTCCAACTCATGATGTCTTCTGCTACCTTTCCACTTAGCTCCCTGCCCTCTGTCCTCCTTCCTTCCTGATGTGAACTGTGACACTGGAGTTGTGTCTGTAACCTGGAACAACAGCGTGTCAGGGGTTGTTTACACCGTTTCTGCAGTCAGTGCCGATGGTGGCAGACGTAACTGTAGTGGCACAAACACCGGCTGCAATCTCACCTCACTGGAGTGTGGGACAGAATACAACGTCACCATCACACCATCCAGGAACGGATGTGTGGGCAGAGACAGCCCAACAAAAATGATCAGGACAGGTGAGGCTAAACACGATTTAAAGAAAGATGCTGATTTGATGTTTTCAGATTTGCATGAGCTGTTTTGTAAGATTGACATGTGAGTTTCATCTTTTTGATTATTTTGTTCTACTAAATTTTTTCTTGGCTTTTTAAAGTAATTTTCTGTGCTTTGTTTCAGTGGTTGTAAACCTTTTTCATGCTGCTCATATTATTCTTTGTTTCTTTGCCAAACAGTAAGGGTTGTGCTTCCACAGGCTGTAGTTGGATACTAATTTTTTTTATCCTTAATCATTTCCAGAGCAGTTATGCACCCTTCAGAATATTGAAAAACTACAAGCATTTAGTATATTTATTCTAGTAATTGTAAATGTTTGTTATTTTATCATTTTATTTAAATTAAGTTGTTGAATAATTTCTTCTTGAAAACATAAGGAATCATACCTGGTGTATTTGTTTAACTTATTTATTTAAAAACAAAGGTGTTTGATATATAGCTACAGCATAAAGACTCTGGTAATTGTGTAATTTTACTCAGTAAGTAAAACGTGCATTACAAAAAGTTAAATCTGTGAATGTGTCTTATATTCTGATTGGTTCTGTTACCTTCAGTTCCCTGTGTACCTCACCTGTCGGACGTTGAGATCGACTGCCTGACAAACTCCGTGTGGCTGATGTTTGATGATTCAGCCGGAGCTGAGGACTATGTCGTCATGGCAACAAACAGCCAGGGTTACAACCAGACATTTGAGTGTAACTCCACTTCAGATGGGATGTGCTCTCTGCCGCCCATGATGTGCAGCCAGAATCTCACCTTTGACCTGAAGGCCCGAGACCAGCAGTGCAGCAGTGCACCCAGCAATGCTGTCGCCTCTGAAACAGGTAAAGGACCAATACATTAACTGCAAAAGCTCAGATATCAGAGATTTAAACACAAAACAAGAAGTTGGCAATAAAAAAACATGTATTTAATTCACTATTTATATATGCTTTGATTGGCCTTATTCCTTGAGACCGAAATTATAAAATCATATACCACAAAAAGGTTTGGTATTAAAGATTTAAGACTTTGATCAATCCCCTGACTCGGGTCTTTAATATCAAAGTCTTTGCATTGATCACAATTATAACTTTTCATACTCATATGTCCTCATTAAACTACATAATGACATACGGAACCCTCTCTTTATGTATCAAAATTCTACTTCTTTCCACAGCTCCTTGTCCTCCCAATGATGTGATGGAGTCAGTGGACTGCAACAATGGAACCATCACAGTCACCTGGGCCGCTGTTCCTGGGGCAGTAACTTACACTGCCACTCTGGAAGAGTTAACTGGGGGCACACCCAGCTGCTGCACCACATCTGGAACTGCTTGCAATGTTACAGACCTGCCATGTGGAGAAATGTACATTCTTCATGTCACAGCTGAGGGTCGGACCTGCAACAGCACAGAGAGCGAGGGGCACATTACCCGGACAGGTGAGGCGCACACAGGAAATGATACCTGTTCACAACAAAAAAGGACTGAAAACGAAAGCTCTGCAAATAGATAGAGAAGTATAGTAACATTTTTGTCCCTCTCAGTGGCATGCATCCCAGAAAACCTCCAATCCAGTCTGAGCTGCAGAGATAACGTGGCCTCCATGTCCTGGAGCCACAGCAAGGGAGGACAGCTGTACAGCGTGAAAGCTTTGGGTACCGATGGACACGTGGACGAATGCAGGTCACCTGACAACGAGTGTGATCTGACAAATCTGCACTGTGGACAGTACTACACAGCCACAGTGACCGCAGAGGATGTGGAGTGCAAAAGCAAACCAAGTGAAAGTGTGACCATCAAAACAGGTATGCTCTTTGCTGCTGAATCCAGCTCCAAATAAATAAAGATAAATACTGTGTCGATAAAAGATTTAGATTATCCCCAGAAGGAATCCCCAAGTAATTATTAAATCTATTAATAAAGAATTGAGTGCTTAATTAACACAATATTACCTCCACACTAATGGTCAGATTTTTTGCGGGATCCTCCTACATACTAATATCACACATTTATGACAGTGTGATCAATTTTGATCACACTATTGTGATCAAATGTTTGAATTGAAGACTAAAAGACTTATTTTAATTATCACCTCTTATTTTAACAGTGCCGTGCACTCCTGAAAACGCCTCCTCATTGATGGACTGTGGGGCCAATTCTCTGGTCGTTTCATGGTCTGAGAGCTCAGGAGCTGACTCCTATATCGCCACCTTGCATGACAGCTATGGTCAAAGCACAACGTGTCAGGGCACAACAGAGGGATCCTGCAATGTGACCGGACTGGGCTGTGGTCAGATCTACCATGTCTCTGTGGTCTCCTCTGATGGATACTGCAACAGCCCACCCACTCCTGTGGTTGACACACCTTCAGGTAGGACAGAGATTGTGTTAAAACGCAGATGGATACTTCAAAGCCTTTGTTAGCATTTCAAAAGTTTATGGAAGCATCCATTTTTATTTGAAAAAAAGTGTATTAGTTGAGATTGTTTTGCCTTAACTGCATTTCCTCTCTGTCTTTTAGGCCCCTGTAAACCAAGACATGTCCAGGCAGTTATGGACTGCTACACCACGACAGCCCAGGTGTCGTGGTACCCGAGCGATGGAGCGCTGTCTTATATAGTCATGGCTGTCACAGAGTCAGGGCTCAATGCTACCTGTGAGACCAACATGACCTCCTGTGAGCTAGAAGGACTGAGCAGTGGTCAGAGCTACTCTGTGTCAGTCCGATCTGTCGGAGAGACCTGCAGCAGCATCGCCGAAATGACGAGACAGTTGGTCACTGGTGAGCAAAACAAAACTTGATTAAGACCTTACCAAGAAATGTTCAGATATTTAACCACATTCTGCTTGTGCTGGAAGACTTTTTTTTTTTAAATGTGTGCAAGTTTCATTTGGCAGTGAAGTACAGGCATGCAGTACATTTGGTCTTAAACTTCCTAATATTAGAGATATCTCATGCCTGCATTTCTGCGTTCTGTATTCCAGCGCCTTCCATCCCAGAACACGTCACGTCTCAGTACAGCGTGACGATAGGCCAGGTGCAGTGGGACACGACAGCTGGAGCTGACTACTACACCGTCAGGGCAGAAACAGAACAGGGGGTCTCGGTTTCCTGTACCACCAACGACACCTACTGTGCTCTGTACAACATGGGCTGTGGACAGATGTACAACGTAACAGTCACAGCACACAACCACGTGTGCAAAGATGTGTCCTCCTCCACTGAACCAGTCATAATTACGACAGGTAAGGAATCACGTCGCGTTTTCATATTTTCCTGAACAGAGATCTGCCTTTACAGCGGCTTGGTGTATAAAACAGGAGGAGGAGGTTTGTGTTGTTGAAACTTAAATTATGCGGATTGAAGTGAAGCTTGAGAAAATTTGTTGAGCTGTTGTCAGCAGAACAGGATGGTTTTGGTGATCATTTGTTTTGTTCCTTGTTGCTTCTTTTTTTACCATTTGTAGTTTCTAGGTTTTCAAGGAACAATACAAGACATTTCCTAATCTAAACAATCATTTTAAGAGAACTAAACTAATAGGGATGCAATAGCTGCTTTGGTCATAGTCTTAGCTTCTTTTTGTTGTGTTTCACATTTAAGCATAATGCACATTAATGTTCTGCCCTCTTTTTGCACCTGTGTATGCAGAGCCTTGCCCGCCTAACAATGTGCAGACAAATGTGAACTGTCAGACGGACCAGGGCGTCGTGTCATGGGAGACCAGTTGGGGTGCAGTGAGCTATGAGGTGCAGCTCGCTGGGCGCGATGGCCACTCATTGACCTGTCACACAAACAACACATTCTGCAGTGTGGAAGGCCTGCACTGTGGGGTCATCTATCACACCTCCGTCATCGCTGTTGGAGAGACGGTCAACAGTAGCAGGTCCATCGCTGTCTTGCTGGTTTCAGGTACTGTACAATCACACTCTATTTTAGTCTTTGATAAAACTCCCTTTTACAACACCTGCCTGCAGGCTTCCACTTAACTCGTCTTAGTTATGAAATTAGAATCTATTATTATGCAAGTTTATTGGGACTAACTCATGTTTAATTACTTTAAAAATTAAATATAAACTTTTTGTCTTAAACTGATCATCAGTGACTAAGAGGAGAGATTCATTAAGATGAAGGAAAGTTTCACTGTTCATTTTGAGATGATCGTAATTATCTTGTGACATGAAAAATAAAGTGTAAGTGTAATGAATAATAACACTGATCGGAACACATGCATGATATCAATGAAGATCTATACGTGTTTGTCTTCTCTTATTTTTTTAGCTCCATGTGTGGCTTCAAATGTAGCAGCAAACCTGGATTGCTTAAACAATACAGTTGAAGTGTCCTGGAGCTTAGCCAGTGGAGCCAACTCATACATAGTGACTGCTGAGTCGGCGGATGGTAACAAGGCATCCTGTGAGACTGATGAGCTCCAGTGTGACTTGACTGACCTGGAGTGTGGTCAGATGTACAGCGTCAAACTCACGTCCATCAGCCAGCACTGCGAGACCGAGACACACACTAATGTCACCTTCAGCACTCGTGAGTGGAGCAACATTTCAGGAAACACGAATCAAAAGTAAAAATGAATGATATGTAAACTGAATGTGTTGTCCAGGACCCTGTAAACCACTGCGTGTCGGAGTAGACCTGCAGTGTGGAACGAGTACAGCCAACATGTTTTGGGAGGAGCGTGATGACGTGGAGCTTTACGTGGCCACTGCCACCTGCAACACGGGAATGAGTTCTCACTGCAACTCCACCAACTCCACCTGCCAGTTCTTTAACTTGAAATGTGGCGAAACCTACGTGTTCTCTGTGACTGCACACAGTGACATGTGCAGCAGTGAAACCAGCGGCACAGTGGAGATTCAGACAGGTGACTGATGATACAGTTTGAGATATTTTTGTGTTCTAGAAACTGATCTGTGCCAGTTATGTTATTTTTCTATCTCTGTTATTTGGCCAATTCATAAACATTGGTATATTTTCAAATAAAGATTCATTATTTTTTAAAATAAATCAATCGAATAACAAAATAAGTTAAATGATGTTAAAATAATTTAAATTTAATTACATTTAATCAACTTTATCAGTTAGTTTTTGTATTCTTTATATAGCCTATTAAAAAAAGTTTTTCTATTGGAAGAAAACTTTTTTGTTACATCACTCGTTATCTTGGCTCCGGAAATAATCATTTAGATCTTCAACAGAAATTGAATCTGTACTCAGAAAGAAATTGATGATGCTATGAGGAACTCTTCTTGTTTTAGAGCCCTGCCAACCTACTAGCCTGACAGCCACTGGACTGTGCAACAACGAGACGGTTGTGTTGGACTGGTCTGAGGCTGAGGGGGCTTTAGTTTATGTGGTGACAGCTACCGGAGACCTGGGACATGTCGCATCTTTCCAAACCAACGACACAACCATAGAGGCTGATTTGCCCTGTGGACAGTTGTTCACTTTTACTGTTATAGCTCAAGACCAACGATGCCAGAGTACTGTAAGCCTACCTGAAGAGTACAAGACAAGTAGGTGACTCACTGACTTTATAGTTTTGTATAATAAAGTATCTAATTCAAGGTGATTCACAAGTTGACTCTCTGCTTAGGTCCCTGCATCCCTGAGCACGTGCGGAGCTTCACACGCTGTGAGGACAGTCTGGGTTCAGTCAGCTGGGCCATGAATGCCGAAGCAGAGTCATATGTGGCTATTGCAACCGCACAGGACGGACACACCCACGAGTGCACCTCAAACACTACCACCTGCACCTGGAATGACCTACACTGTGGAGAACTGTACACCGTTCACGTCATTGCGCTGGACTACATCTGCACCAGTTTGCCGAGCAACAGCACCACGATTCAGATGGGTAAATACAGCTACGTTAAGTCTTAATAATAAATAACTAATATGCAGGCTTTGCCTTATCAAATAAAAAGGTTAGACTGATGTTTCCTGAGAAGTCAATAAATAAGAGGTCAGCTTTACTAAAAAGTGTTTTTGCTATTAGAAATATACATAAAGGTCCAACAAACCCTGTGGTACGTTTCCGATTGTTGTTGTATATTGTATAATTAAATATAGAATTAAGTAATAAGATAATAAACCCTTTAGGTGACTGTAATAACAAACCTTTGCCTTCTCCACTTAGCTCCGTGTGTACCCCAGAACTTGATGTCATCTCTGAACTGCTCCACAAAGGTAACCTTTTAAAAATAAATAATAATATCCATTTTGATATATGTTTCAGTAAAGTTAGAGACTAAACAACATTCCTGTGTTTTTTGTAAGGTTGGATCTCTGACCTGGAACGCTAGTGAAGCTGCAGAGTTTTACATTGTGACTGCCGAGACCAACAGTGGCCACAAAGTGCAGCTCAGCACCAATGAAACCTGGACTTTCATTTCCGAGTTCCTGTGTGGTCAGGAGTACTTCTTATCTGTTAAGGCGTCAGACTCAGTTTGCACAAGTGGTCCCAGTCAACCATCAAGGCTCATGTCAGGTAGATTTTCACTGCGCAAGCCAAACTACTTTTTGCTAAGAAACCTTGGAAAATTCATCATAAAGCACAATTGATTTAAGTTAGAGGGAAGAAAAGCATAAAAGGATATTTCTGTACACAATTGCAGGTATTTTAATCTGATTTATAAACTGCTATTGTGAATATTTGTTTCAGTGTTTTAGTTGTGTTTAAAATACCAAATTCTTACCAAAGAACTTTCAAATCAGAGTTTTAGATCTGAGACACCTGTCCTTACTTTGCTATTTGCCATAGTTATTTCACAGGGACTCTTTATTGGTCATATATTGTGCTCACGATCTCCTCGTCTTCTCTCAGATCCATGCCCGCCCTCCGGAGTCACCAGCCTTATGAACTGCTTCTCCAACATTGCGGTGGTGTCGTGGAGGGGCTCCGCTGGGGCAGAGTTCTACACCGCCACAGTAACGACAGAGGATGGCCAATCCAAGAGCTGCTGGTCCGACAGCGAGCAGTGTGCCATGCCCAATGTCCCCTGTGGACAGAACTACACTGTGACTGTCCTTGCTTCAAACAAAATATGTGATTCTTACCCCAGTGAAGTTGACATATTGCAGTCAGGTGAGTTCATTCAAAATCAACTTTCTGTGACTTTATCCTGGTTTCAACATTAAAGTGTTCTGATTTCTCATATTTTTATCTAGTTCCTTGTGTTCCTACTGATGTTGAGGTGGAAATGGACTGCTCCAAAAATCAGGCCGTGGTATCATGGAGTGCCAGCCAAGGGGCTCTGTCTTATAAAATAACTGCTATGAGCACCCAGGGAGCGGAGTCCTTCTGTGAGACTTCAGAACTGGTGTGCACTTTGACAAACCTCACTTGTGGACAACAATACTTTGTCCAAGTAGTGGCACAGGATGATATCTGCTCAAGTTTTCCCAGTCCAGCTGTAGACTTCCAATCAGGTAAGGCAACTGGTTCTGCATGAATCCTCTCTGGATTTCATGAATGCGTCTTAGACTTAATGTTTCCTTAACCTGTATCCCAGTTCCCTGCACACCTGACATGGGCTCAGTGATTTTGGACTGCTATACCAACTCAGCCCTCTTGGATTGGATGTTTGCCGAGGGTGCAGTCCATTACACAGCGACAGCTCAGTCCGCTGGTGGCCATGTTTCCAGTTGCAACTCCAACTTCACCAACTGTGAACTGCGGAACCTGCAGTGTGGAGAGTCCTATAATGTATTCGCTGTGGCCTCAAATGACCAGTGCAACAGCACCGCCAGCACCAGTCTTCAGATGGAGTCAGGTAAACAAAAGTTTCAAGAGAAAAGAATGCATTTCCACACATCACCAAGAAGCCTGTATACTTTGTTGAAAGAAACTTTACGTCCTGTTCCATCACTTAACCCTTATAAGATTAAAGAGGGTGATTTATAGTTATACCAATTCTACAACTTTCTTTACAAATGATTACTATATATTTAATTAAAAAAGATCCACATCCTAATTAATGACCTCATATTTTTTCATTTTTTCAGTGCCATGTCCCCCAGAGGATGTTGTTCCTGTGCTGGACTGTATTAGTAACACTGCACAGGTGGAGTGGCAGACTGGCAGGGGGGCTGACTCCTACATTGTCCAGGCCTTCGGCATGGAGCAGGACGAAACGGGCTGCGAGACAGACTCACAGTCCTGCATCCTCTCAGACCTCAAATGTGGTTTCGCCTACAACATCAGTGTGATTTCTGTCAACAGCGTGTGCAACGTGTCAAAGAGTGCTGTGAAACAGCTGCAAGCAGGTGAGAGACGGGGAGAGGTTTTGCTGACTGTGCGACAGTTCTGCTACAGATTAAGTTTACATGAAGCCTTCTTTTACATGTACAGTTGCAAAAAATATTAATACTGTTAAAGAGCAGAAATGCATACTTTCTTTGTCTTTTAGAAAATAACTTTTGTTCTCATTTTTGCTAAATTGGACAAATACTTTTGCGGTAATTATTGGATGTGAAACGATGGACTGATACTTATTCTCCTCTGTCCTTGTAGTACCCTGTGTGCCTGAACAGGTGGAGGCCCGGGTGGTTTGTGAGTCTGGTGCAGTGATGGTCTCTTGGGAGCCAAGCAAAGGAGCTTTGTCCTACACCACGGTGGCCCAGGGCAGCGCCGGCTACACTTCCACATGCAACAGCACCGAGACCACTTGCCTGCTGGACGACGTGCTGTGTGGCCTAAACTACTCGGTCACTGTTAGTGCTTTGGATGGCATGTGTGCCAGCGCTGAAAGCTCCGCTGTGGATATCGACACAGGTAAAATAGAGGTTCATCTTTATCAAAACAGGCCTTTGAATGGGCATTGTTTTTATAAGTATTTCCATATCAGTTACTATTTCAGAGCTCTATTAACCTCTGTTTTTTTATACCTGTCTCTGTAGTACCGTGTGTACCCCAGAATGTAAAAGCTGAGATGGTGTGCAGCAGTGATACAGGCGTGGTATCATGGGAGGAAGGAGAAGGTGTATCCTCCTACAAGGTCCAAGCTCTTGGACCTGATGGTCACAACGCTGAATGTCACAGCACAGAAACCACCTGCAGGCTTCCCAGCATGCATTGCGGCCAGCTCTACAACCTGACGGTTACAGCTCAGGATGGCCGCTGTGATAACAGCCACGCATACCTCAACCTGAAGTCTGGTAAATATCAACATTTGGGTTTTTATGAGCTGCCAAAAGGCCAATTACCTTTTGAAGGTGATAGATACTTAGAAATATATGGACTCAACATATGAATACAAAGCTAAAATGTCTGCATAGAAACTGTACAAAAATATTCACCTCTATTCACTCAGTGTTGAATGAAAATAAATTTAGCAAGAATCTAAAAAGATTCCAAGAAAAAAGTTTAGTAGAAGTTAAATCCCATTCCCTTTTTTTTTTAAAGAATTCCACATCAGTTCTTAATTACATCTGCTAATCACTCACCAAATTGAGGAACTATTTCAGATTCAAATTGTAGATTTTTAATCTAACAAAGTCAAGATACAGACAAATACTCCTTAAACAAAAATGAGTCACAGAAGAAACTTTCTCTCCCAGTTCCTTGCAGGCCGACCAGTGTCAAAGCTTCTCTTCACTGCCACTCAAACTCTGCTGCAGTCACGTGGGAACGAGCCAGCGGAGCGCTCTCTTATCTTGCAGTGGGTGTAACAGCAGACAGGAGTCACCGGGTTGAGTGCAATAACACTATGACCTTCTGTGATCTGAGTGAGCTCCAGTGTGGTCAAACCTACAACGTGAGCGTGTTCGGCCAGGATGAGAGCTGCTCCAGTGAGGAGAGTGACAGTGCTCGCGTGCAGACAGGTACTGTAAAAAAATGTGATATTTTGCTCCATGTCATGTGCTCATTAGTGCAACGGGTTTAACAATTACAAAATTCATTCTTCTCCGGTATTTCTCCTCTTCAATCCCTCAGCCCCTTGTCCTCCCCAGAATGTGGTAGTTGATGCACAATGTGATAAGGGTAACATGGTTGTCTCCTGGTCCCGAAACCCCGATGCCCAGTACTTCCATGTAGCGGCAGTGAGCAACACTGGAGCGAGACACTACTGTAACTCCACTGACACCACCTGCACCATTAACGGTCTGCCATGTGGACAGCACTACAATGTCACTGTGCTGTCTGTAAGAGATACCTGTGAGAGCCAACCAAGCACTGTGGCGCAGACGTCCTCAGGTAAATGGAAACAGTCAGCCAGCTCTTATGGATTTGGATAGCACACCATAAAGGCTGTCTTGGACTTTGATGTTTCCTCATGCTCATCTATCTGCCTGACACCCCCCACAGCTCCATGTGTGCCCACAAATCCAAGTGGCCGTCTGGACTGCATATCAAACAATGGTTGGGTGTCCTGGGAATACTCAGCCGGAGCAACCAGCTACTTTGTGCTCGCCCAAGCAGCCAGTGGGCACAACTCGAGCTGCACTTCTTCTACCTCGCCCTGTAGTGTCCCAGACCTGAAGTGTGGGACACTTTACACCTTCCATGTCACGGCCGTCAACAATCACTGCAGCAGTAATCACAGCACTACCTTTGAGATCGAAACAGGTATTCAGCAATGCTATAGAGAGGGACCACCTATTAAAAGACTCCTTGGCAGATTTTAGTTGATAGTAGCACCTTTTTAAAAACATTTTTCTGCATAGTATTTTCTGATACCTTTTATTGCCTTTTTTCTATACTCTAGGTCCTTGTGCTCTACAGTCCATCAACGCAACAACAGAGTGCAACAGTGACATAATCCTGGTTGAATGGGAGTCAACAGCGGACACCCCTCTGTACCTGGTTACAGCAGAGGCTGATGATCAAACGCAGATTTCCTGTAATAGCTCAACCACTTCATGTGTCCTCCAGGATGTCCGTTGTGGCACACACTATAGCATCATAGTGTCCGCTTCCTCTGATAAGTGCAGCAGCCTCAGAAGTCCTCCAAAAAAGATTAAAACAGGTATCTTAGTCGTGTGGTAGGACTTACACATGGAGTTTTTACTGGGTACATGTTATGACAAGCACTTTATTCCTGTCTTCTTTTAGCACCATGTGTTCCGAGCAATGTGACTGTGGTGCCACTATGTGAGGAGCAAGGAGCTACAGTGATGTGGGCCAACTCTGCTGTGGCCACATCCTACCATCTGAAAGCCACAGGACAGGATGGGCATGTCGCCACTTGCAATACCTCAGTGAACAACTGTTCCTTGGTTGGTCTTCATTGTGGTCAGACCTATGGCTTAAGCATCACTGCCAGAGGAGACAAATGCAGCAGCTCCCCCAGCACATCATCCCTCAAAACAGGTACACACCCTCACTTTGTCTGTGCCAACACTTACAGCAACATGTCAATATATTATGATTAATGATAGAAATACAACTGACCATGAAAAGAGATTAGTTATTAATTCATTTAAATGATAGAGAATATAATGAGAAAATTTCAGACTGGCCTCAGACTTGTTCCCTGACTGGAATGTGTGTTTCTTTCTCTCCTCTTAGTGCCCTGTGCGCCCTCTGGTCTCACAGTGGATATTGACTGTCACAGCAACTCTGCTGCCCTTTCATGGAACGCCACCAAGGGTGCTGTTGAGTATTTTGGACTCGCACAATCCAGGGATGGAGACGCTCTGTTCTGTGACAGCAGTAATTCTTCGTGCACGTTCAAAGCCCTGGAGTGTGGCGGCACTTACAATTTCACCGTCACAGCCTCCGATGCCATCTGCAACAGCTCATATAGTGTACCTCTGCAAGAAGGAGCAGGTATTTATTACTTTTAAAGACAAAATAACAGTAGAGCCGATAGTTTAACACAGTTCGTAAACTTTTTTTTTTTTTACACAATTTCAACTTGTTTTTGTTCAGTTTCCAAATATACCAACTAATCTTTCCATTTCAGTGCCATGTCCTCCGACTCATCTCAACGTCCACATGCGGATGATAAACCAAATGAGCTGGGCCATGATATCATGGGACACGGTCAACTGTTCAGATGTTGAGTACATGGCAGAAGTAAAGGGTCACATTGGAAACAACATAAAAACACAGATGGCCATCTCATCTTACTGGGTTCAGAGGCCATATTTTGAGTTACCCATGCCTTGTAGTACAGCTTATAATGTCACTGTACGCTCCAGAAACGTAGCTGGAATCAGCAAGCCATCCAGTGTCTTCACCGGAGTGACAGGTGGGCTTCTGTCTTTGTATAGATAGGTTATGATAACATTTACATATTTCTTTACATCTTCTACAAATATCATAAAGTCTGTTAATATATAAAATTCAGCGTGTTTTAAACTTGATATGAACTTATATGTAACCTGAAATTTGGCAAGTGGCTAATTTATGCTCAAAGCACGATTTGAATATCGAATCCCACCTGCCTTCTTAACGTTGTTGTCTTTGTGTCATAGCCCCCTGCGCTCCACAGAATGTGAGATACTCTGGTAACAGACAGTCCGCTGTGCTGTCCTGGAACTCATCTGTGCTTGCCACAACATACACAGTCTACAACGTGTCAGGTGCAAGTCGAGTGAAGCTCTGCAGCACCCCCGAGCTCTCCTGCCAGCTGAGCAACTTTGAACCCGATTCCACTCAAGTGACGGCTAGTAATGCAGCGGGGGAAAGCAACCTCAGCCAAAACATCACAGGTCAGACACAGAAATACATTCTCCTGCCCACAGAAATCTGTTGAAACTGTTTAGTTTCTGCTGTTGATGCCTGATTCTTTGACTTTTTTATTTTTAGTTAATACATTTCTATTCTGTAGTAATAAATCAAACTCCTATTAAATAAAGTACATTTTTGTTTGAAGTGTTGAATGGAGCAGACAAGTAGAGGGGCTACATGACACCATTAAAACTAAAATGAAAACCCATCTGTTTATGTCTCCTACAAAAGAAATATAATAAAAATGTGTAGATCCAAATGTAGGTTTGGTCGGTTATTTGTTCACAATGGTAATGAATGTGACCAAAAACTAAAAACATCTTGCTTGAAAGATTCAAGTTGTCACTAAAATGGCAGTTTAACATTTACTGTAGAAAACAATTTAACTCCTGACAGACTAAGAAAAGATAAATGCCTAACCGAAAAGTGAAACTTCTGCTTCAGGTCCGGTAGGAGCAAGGAGAAGAAGACATCTGAGGGCTACTAATGTCAATGCATATTTAGAGGAAGGTGAGCAAACTATTAGTGCTTTATCTGATGCCCTGCACGTAGTGTTACAGATATGATCATTTTGCTGTTTACTCACTTGTCTCTGCTAGATCTTGGAATCCCGGAAGTACTGAATGTCACAGTAAGCAGAAGTTCCTTGTATGTGAAATGGAGGAAAGTGAAAGAAGCGACAGAGTACATAGTCATCATTGAGGAGGAGCAGAGAGAGGGGCAGCTGAGCAGGCCACCGAGAGTGAGAAGTGTGGAAGGAGACTTTTACACAGAGACTGAGCTCAAACCCTGGACCACCTACTGTGTCAAGGTGGCAGCCAAGAACGCCATCAACCAAAGCAACCACTCCTGGCCACAGTGCAAAGACACTGGGGCCTCTTAAAGAAACACGTGGACACATCTTTAGCCAGTAGGCACTGGACTATAGAGAGATCCTTATTTGCTTTATGTATTCGTCTTCTCCACTCAGTAGCATGCATCACGTTGCTCCATCACAACCGACTTTAGGAGAATGATTGCAAAAAGATAATAATCATAAGAAAAAATACCATAACAACTTGCATGTGAGTCAGAAATTATGATCAAAACTGACAAGAACCTTTAGTTATGAATGCCTGTTAATTATAGTTTATCATAGTGGAATTATAGCCATCAGACACGGTACAAATTGTATTTATCAAATATGTCTTTCTTTCTTAGATAATTCATTAAATTCTAGGAATGATTGTCAAACCAAGAAAATGTGGTGTAAAAAAATAGAAAGATAATTTATCAAGCCATTTTTTTAAAACCATGCTGTATATTTTCTCTGTGATGTACAATGAATTTACATTTGAAGAATTACTTTTTTTTGTCTTCGTGACAAGAGAATTACATTAAAATGATTTAATTATCTCACCTCTGTCTTAAAATTACTTTTTCAAAATGCAAAGTTCGGGGACAAGATTTAAGGTCTAAGTATTTGTATAATTCTGCTAGACTATTCATCTTTAGGTCTGATTATCTCTAATAAAGGGAATTGCTGGTGGAACTGCAATTAAATACAATGAACAGTTTGATTGGAATGTAAAACAATAATTATAAGGTTTTAACTTAAAAAAAACAACTAAATATATATTCTACCTGATTTTGACTGTTCTTTCTTACCTCAAAGCTATATCATTTAAACCTTTAACAATACTTATAGGGAACTGTTTTAAGTAATTTAAAAAAAGTTTACATTTTGCTTTTGTATATTTCCCTACCAAAGCAAGAGTATAATTTCTGTTTTGAACTTCGAGAGGCGATGGATACAGAAATTCGAGCGGTTTAATGCACTACATCAGATGTCCACATGTTCGTGAACACAGCATGCGATGCACTTGAAAGCGTCATTAATTAGCGGCCCAGCGCCAACAGCTCATTAAAGCAGCGCCCCCTGGTGGCCGGCGGGACTCACAACGATGACGAGACCCGAAAATGAATCCCATATTCAGCCCGCCACTTTACCGGCAAAGGCACCAATTTGTAATCGATTTTGTCAAGAAGAACAAACCCAGAAAGGTAATGATGTCTTAAAGACTTTGAAATAAATGCACCCTTTGAACACTGAAAATTTCCAAGTTCCACATTGGCTGGAGCACGGTTTGTCCTCACGTTGCTCCACAGCTAAACGTTGTCTTCCCTCCAAGGTGATCGATTTGGGCTGTGGTGAGTGCAGCCTCATGAAAAAGCTCAGGTTTCACCGTGAAATTCAACACCTGGTTGGAGTGGACATCGACGTCCACAAAATCAAGAAAAATATGTATGGAAAGGAGTTGCCTTCATGACAATGTCCAACTCGTCCCATGTGTGTTTTAAAAGCCCAATAGCTAGCCTCTGTAGAGCCCCACCCCCTCCCACACGTCATTTGTGGGTACTACATTTTAAAGACAAGAGATGAATGAAACTATAAATAATCACCCTCCCATTTTCCATGATTTATTGAAAAATTATAGTTTTTTCTTGGATATTCATTGAGCTTTCTCTTCTATCCATCCAGGCATGATTTGGCTCCTATTTCCACAGACTACCTGCATCCCAGCCTTGATCAGCTGCGGGTGGAGATGTACCAGGGCTCCGTCACACAGAGAGACGCTCGCCTCAGAGGATTTGATCTGGTGACCAGCATTGAGCTGTAAGCGGCTGTTAAATCTTTTAGGCCTCCTCCTCTGTACGTTCTTCACTTGGTTAACCGTCATTCGGTATATTTCTGAGTGTTGTCCGTCTCTGAGCCGTGACCATTCATGATGTGCCTCTCCTTTGGCCGCCCTGCAGCATAGAGCACCTGACCCCTGCCGATGTGGAGCGGTTCTCCGCCGTGGTTTTCGGTTACATGACCCCGGCTTCTGTCATCGTCAGCACCCCGAACTCGGAGTACAATCCCCTTCTGCCCGGGCTGTCAGGTTTCAGGCACTGTGACCACAAGTTTGAGTGGAGCAGAGCGGAGTTCAGATCCTGGTACAGCACAAAGCTTGATCATTCACAGTGATTCTGCTATGTCTCCTCACCCACCTGCACCTCATTTCCACCAGCAGCAGTTGCAATGGAGGCAGATGCTTATAAATAACCAAACTTCTCTCTGACCATGTTGCTCTGTGATAGAAAGAATTTTTAAGAGTAATTAAATGCTTTTGCTGAATCAGCAACATCAACCTCAGATCTTGTGGCTCCTAACATTTTCTTTATTTTTTCGTGTCCCATCAGGGCTCTGAAGGTCTGTTTGGAGTATGGCTACGAGGTGGAGTTCACCGGTGTTGGACGGGCCCCGGAGGGCCAGCAGGACAGCTTCGGCTTCTGCTCCCAGATCGGCGTGTTTCGCCGGCCTGAGGGCAGAGATCGCTGCCCCCGTGCAGAGGAGGTGTTTTCCTACACGCTGGCGAGTACCTTTTTGTTGTTTCCCTCCGAGCGACGGCTGCTCTGCTTGTTAGATGGGTTCCGCGTGATGCTCGGTGTGTGTGTGTGTTTCTGTGTCAGCTGTACTGCATGAACTACCCCAGCCTGCAGGACAACAACACCTTGCGCAGAGTGGTAGTGAGTGAAGTGTTGTACCAGGCGGAACAAATCAAGAACAGATGGATGGAGGAGAGGATGGGGAAGGAAAAAGAGGCCTTTGGTTTTAGCCAGACTGAGGGAGAAATGGAGGATGAACGGACAGGTGGTGAAATAGATGAACGCCGGATCGTCTTGTGCTACGTTTAATGTGGTTGGAAATTGTGGCTGATGATCCTTTCTGCTGCTGCCCGGTGCAGAGGAGATGACCTGTCCGTCGCAGCCTGGCGGGCGAGCCCTGTCTGACCATGAGGGACTGGAGGAGAGTGAGGTCTGCTGGGTAACCAGCCCAGACCAACGGGAGCCTCCGGCCTTGAACAGGTGTTTCTTTAAGACTGATGGGAATGGTGCCATGTGAGGGGGAAGGGAGTCCCCACCTCTGTGTGATTAGGGAACTTTTTACTCAATCGCCCAGTAAACGTTACCTCAAGTCATGCTTTTTGTTTGTTTTCCTTCCTGGTAGATGCGTCTCGGTGCCCCTGGCTGTGCTGTGGGCCCTCTGTTCGAAAATCCGAGAGTTGAGCGGGTCTCTGTGTAATCTCCGGCTCCTGCTGCTGGATGAACCTGACGTTAAGCTGAGTCAGGACGGCTCGGCCCTGCTTGTAAAATACCAAGAAGGTACCGTTCGTCGGATGTAATGACTTTCTTATTAAAGAGAGTGAAGCGAAATGAAGGTGTGCATTTATTATGTTAGGATTAAGTGGCGGGATGGGAAGTGCGGTGGAGCTGACACGTGCACTGAGCGCTGGCCACACGCCCACAGCCCCCCCCACCACGAGCCACCGGACGGCTGCAGAGCCGCTCTGGCCGTGTGGTGTTTTATGCGTCCTCTTTCCCACATTCATCAGCTTTAATTGATTAAAAACCAACAGTAACAGAGACACTTTTGATAGGGATTCACTTTGTTAGCATTGCCTCACAGGTAGTCTGTCCACATGGAATACCAAAGCTTTCCCAGCAGAGGTCACTGTTTTCATTTATGGAAAATGAGGGAATCCGTGGGGGTGGGCTGGATCTGAAATCGGGGTGAGGCGTCTCTTCGTTGATGGACTCTGAATCTCACTTCAGATCAGTTAATTTATCACGCCAAGTTATGTCTCTTAAGGAAGCGCAGGTGAAAAACATTCAGCTCATTCTGCTCCCAGATTAGCCAGCAAAAAGAAAGGAAGTTACTTGGAAAAAGTGGCTTCAGAGAGTCATTTACAGAAAATTTTGGAACTCGCGACCTGGTAAGTGGTACTAAAAACAGACAAGCAAACCGCCACAGTACCCAAGTAAAATAAGTCCAAAAGGGCTGATGATTAAAAATCAAGGGCTGATCTCTTCTGTTCATCAGATGCTTCTGTGGTTGTGACGTTGTCCTTCATTTCTTATCTCAGACCAGGAAGAAGAGCTTGAGAGCAATTGTGAAGATGACAGTTATGCAGAGTCCAGTCAGTACAGTAATGGTGCTGAACAAGAGGAGGACTGGGAGACAGATGTCTGAACCTGGGGGTGCAATTTTGTTAGAAAGGTGAATCTAGCAAAGAGGATTTACGAGAATGGAGGCTATTTGAGTTGGTAACTGCTAGGCAGTAGGGTTTGAACAGGTGGTGCCTGTCCACTTAAAATTTTTTGATTTGATAGTTTCTGGCCGACATTTGAGGGTAGTTTAATAAATAAATAAAAAGCTATAGGTAGAAGACTGAGTAAAAATGACATAAAATCCCTCATGTAAATTACAATAAACTAAAGAATGCATATGAAGGTGTTTGCGTTGTTACTGTCGCATAGGTTGAAAAGAAAATTCAGACATACCGAGCATTTTAAACTATTTAATTCAACAGTGCCAGGTAGACATTGTAGGCATCAAGTACAGTTGTTAGGGAAGCAAATGTTGGTCAAAACAGGTCTGTAACAGAGAACACTGTCAGAACAGGACAGAACATCACTTTACAGGAGAATACAGTTTTATATAGACAACAGCTTCACAGAAGAGAAAAACAACCATGTTTGTAACAACATGTTAGGTACCAAGATGAACATACCTGCGTCACACAGGTAAAACAAGTTTTTTGTTTTTTTTATTACAAAAACAAACCAAAAAAAACGACACAGAAGACATTTGGTAACCAAAAATCATACACTAAATACTTGGTACGATTGTGTAGCGAAAAGACTATTTTTCCAATTACATTTATCAAAAATATGGCACAAGGTAAGCAACAAAAGATTCAAAACAAAGACATATCCTATAAATATGATTTTCGATGCAGGCCTTCCAACTGAAAACACTGATCTGTTGTTACATCGTTCGGCAACACTTGTGCACAGATCTGCTTTATATGAGAACAGGAAGAAACAAAATCATCCACAACAGGCAAGCAAATCTGAACTTTTGGTGGGTGTTTTTTTTTTTTAAAGAACAACAAAACCACAACATGTAAATAGGGAAAACTATTAAGTGTAACCATGAAGAAGTGTTTGTCTTTAGATGGGCACCACATTCATGCAGAAGATACAAACAGAAAGTGGAGTACTGACACACGCTGATGGAACATGTTTACAGGTTCTTGTTAAGGTATTTCATTCAACCTCTATTTTAACAGAAGATTTCAGGATGCTGTGCGGTCTGTTTCACCAGTTGATGTTTAATGTCAAATAACAGCCATCTGTGACTGTTTTGTTTTAAAATATTGCATCCTTTAAACACATACTATGCAAGAAAGGAAGGACACTGATGATTTCATAACTCTGGATTCCCTCTGAAGCACTAAATGCAAATGTATCTGCTGGCTTCTTTGGATAAAGGGCTTCCCTCAGCTCTAACCTTTAAAGTCAAGAACGTACATAAAGACATACATACAAAAAATACAGTATTACCATTTATAAATACAGGTTTGGATGAGTGTCCTCTTCATGGCAACGGATCAATTAGCTATTCTTTTTCTGTTCCAATTATAGAGCCAATGATCAAGAGTCTAACTGCCGACACAGCATCCAGGACCTTAGAGCTTAACAGGCCAGTTCACAGTGATGCAGCACAGCTGTTCACATAAATGCACAAAAGCTATACATCTTAAACGAGATGAGTTAAATTCCATTTGGTGAGAGTATCCGTCATAGTATCCATATTTGTTAGCCTTATTCTGCCCGATAGATGCAGAGCCTTGAGACAACAGGAAAACAAATGTCTAAACCAAACATAACAGAAAGATTCAAACAAATCCAAACAGAGGTCACAGCTTTCTATCCTTAGCTGTCCATCCTGATAGGATTCAGCATCTTTATCAGTTACTGTTGTGAAGTGAAAAATGAATGATCAAGAAGCCAATTAAGACATGGAACAACATAAATGAACTCCAAACTAAATGTAGTTGTCAGAGCTCCATTATCCATGAATCTAGCTTAAATTGTGGGAACTAAATATTAGCTACTTAAAAAAAAGAAAACATTTAGTACTTCTGTTTGTAAGATGAGGCAAAATGCCAAATACAATAGGATTTTCTTTTAGGATCCTCAGGAGTGTACCAAAGGAATAATAAAAGGCCTATGCGATTACATATAATCGAGTTTTCACAGCCATTTTTTCTATTTCCCATTATGAACATGACATCCTCTACCGATCATACCCCCTCACTAACCTAAGACAAAGAAATGTTGGTTACTGTTAATGAAAGTGGTCAAATCACTCCATAAACATAAGCACATACACTTAATCAGTTTCTGTTTTTGCACACCGAATGGCTTTAAAATAATGTATTTGTTTAAAAAATAGTCTTATCTTATAAACACAAACTCCTGTCAGAGTGCTGACAATCATAACCTTTTAGCAGCTTACAGGCAAATCTAAAACGGAACGTCCAATTTGAGGTCAAAATGAACAGACACAGGAATGTACGAAACACTTAGTTCAGTGCAGACTTCGGCTCATTATGACGGTGCACCCCCACAAGTCCTCCTGCCCTCAACAGAAGAGGCTGCTATCCTTTAACATCTGTTCAGCCGACAGGAGGCGGCGCAGAGTTTATCTACACAGAGACCCTTCCAGCAGAGGAAGCTGAGACTAATGCGTTTTCCAGTCTCACTGATTGAGCAGGTATTTCCCCCCGTTCTCAGGGTGGGATTCACTCTGAGGTGGTGTCTGTCCACTTCTCTCCACTGAGAACAGCAGAGCATTTACGGCTTCATAACAGATATGAACACAGGAGGGCACTGTTGGAGTGATCAGATACTCTTGTTATGTGGGAATAAAAATGAAAACAGACTTGTTTCCATTTTGTTTTGGACATATTCACCATCAGTCTGTCACTGAGAGGCTGCAGGTTTAACGCTTAATGACCACCTGCTCGTACGCTCCAGCACCAACCCTGAGAAGACATGACAGGATTTAATTCATCATCATACGCGGCCATAAAATCACATATTAGAAACTATGGATGAGATAAAACATGTAAACAATTATGTGATGCTGGTGTTCTCAGTCTAATGTAGCTTATTTTTTTATTCTGTTTTCAATAGCTTGTATATGTAGCAAGATTAAAAAGTATATATTAAAATATTTATTCCAATCAGAGAATGTAAATTTAAAAGGGAAAGAATATTTTCTGTTATTTATTCATTGATAAGTGTCAAGAACCAGCACAACCTCTGAAGGGAGAACATTACAAACCGTTGAGCATTCCCTTAAAGGAGAAGGACAGAAAAAAAAACTCTGACTCTGTATACACACCGCCTGGATTTGACTAAACAAATTATCCGCGGCTGTTTCGGTTGGTCAGTTCCATGTTCAACAACATAATGTGGCCATAAAAACGAGGTCACACGACTATCTGAATATACCGAATGACGGCGTTTTTCCACCACAACATTTTTTCACCGGCATATGAGGCGTGAAGGGTGGCCACAAAGTTATTTAATCACACACGTAATGGAATGCGTTCAAAGTCCCCGCGTGTAGGATTTAGGGGGATTTACGGGCACAAATGATATATAATCCCAATGTAAATGTTTTAATTAAAACAGAATTATACTAAAATAAAGTCTTTTAATTATCATGGAATGAGATATTTATATTTAGATGCTTCTGGTTAAATAGAGTGCAGAGTGGATGAGCCCAGTTTTCTTTTAAGTGCATCAGAACAATGGTTACAAAGAGGGCCTGTAGTATTTCTAGCAGCTACGGGAGTATTTAATACATAACTATGACGACCAAACTCGGTTGGGTGATGGGTGTAAGTAAAGCCTGCACACACTTTGTGGGAGAGTTCAAAACAATCAGAGGCTCTCTGAAGTGAGATAAAGCTGCTTCTAGAAAAACTCACTGCAGTTCATTTTCAGGTGACACAGCCTCTGTCACCATAGAAGTGTGTGTGTGTGTCCATGTGTGGAAATCAATAACTGTTTAAGCTTGATGCTCACCTGGTGGGAAGGTGATGGCTTCCAAGGGCTGTGCTTCCTCCGGGCCCAACAAATAGACGCAGGCCTTCCTCTGAAGCAGACAAGAGTTGCAGTTACACTGAGTCAGTCCACAAAGCTCTCACAGCTTTCTGTATAATTCTTGTCATGAGGAGCAGCCAGTTGCTAGGCAATCTAAAAATAATCATGTATTGACAGCAATTCTCTTTTCTTAGCTTTGAGCTGGAGGAGACCTTGGAAAGGAGCACAATGCCCTCCTCAAAATACACACACTGACTCATAAACTAACACAATAGTATCATCTTTATTACTGTGTTATGGAAATGAGCTGTGCACCAGCCACAGATGGTTGTGGACGGTGGGGTTTTCAGAAAATGGCTGCTTTTTTTTCTCCTAGTTTTGTTTTTGTATGTGGCAGTAAGATTCCCCTTAAAGAGGGAAAACATGCGGAAATAAGCCTGAGAAGCTTGAGGCTCAAACCTACACAAATGCCAGTTAAATACGTGTGGGATGTTTCGTACCTTCGGTGCTGGAGTCTAGAAGACTAGGCGTAAAATCTTGGCTCTGCAGGATTTTTTCCACAACATCGTCAGCATCAACCCTCGTGTCATCCATTCGCTTTAGCTGAGACTCCATGGAGTCCTGTTTCACAGGGTGTCTGAGGGGAAGGAGCCCAGGAGTTTACTGTCAACTGAAATGCTGCTCCATTTATGCCATTCAAAAATTCATCAGCCATTGAGCTTAAGTCTTCATTTCAGTTAGACAGCAGATTTTTTACACGCTTTGGGAAAAATGTATGCACCTGTAATGCCGGAATGTGTTTGATGGGCGCCATATTCCTTACAATATGTCTTTAGTGACCTGCTTAGTGAGCGGCTTTGCAGGGAAATATATGTCACGCTTCAAGGTTACCCAACTTCCTTGAAATTATCTTTGCCTTCAACTTCAAATGATGCCACACTCAAAAGGTAGGGCGACAAAACTCTTGTGCACCTACTGTTTGCTTTGCTTTTAACATCAAATGTAATTTGTTTGTCATTCAGCATGTCGGAAATAAACTAAATAAATAAATATATTCTTCAGTTAACTGAAGAAACAAGTGAACTAATGATGATCTCACAGTACTTTGGTGTTTTAATCATAACAAGGAAACCTGACTTCTATTTTGCCCTGAAAAAAAACAAGATGCAGTTCTTTATGCCGGCAGAGCAAGAAAGGAGTTTATCTCGTTAAAAGGAAAAGTGTTAGTGACATTTCATCCTCACCTCAGGTCCCCTTTTTAAATTGTGAAAAGGGGACATGTAGTATGTCATTTTAAGTTTCTCCTTTCACTTTTGTGGGTTTCAGTTTACTTATTCTGCATAGGTAGGCAAAGCCCTTTATGGGGGTTTTAAACCGGTACCAACTCAGCACGGCTCGGATCAGCAGGGTTTGGTGACTCCTAACAGTTCCCATAATAGAACCAACTGGACCCTGGATTCAAGCGTAAAAGTGACGGCAGGTGCCGTTAGCCGTGAAACTCACCTGTTCAGACGTTCAAAGGACGAAGCGCTCCGCACCGGCGTCCCTGGTGGGTCTCTAGCGGCTGTGGGCAGTGGGTGTTCGGGCAGAGCTGGGCAGGGCCTGGACTCCCGATCCTCACTGGGCTCAGGTAAGCTTCCAATGCCTGTGGAGGCGCTCCCCACAGAATGATTCCTCCGGTGGCTGAACTCTGAGATGCTGGATGAACGGGAGTGACCTGTACTGTAGCCTGAGAAAGGGGGGGGGGAGTGATGTAATTACCACTTTTTCAGATGAAATGTTATTCCCCGTTTTAAAAAGCAGCCATGGATATTTAGCTTTTTGGCTAATTCTGCTGATATGTCAGTGGCTATTGCCACAGATTTGATGGCAGTCACGTGATTTCTGCAACTAAGATAAAAGCGTTACACCCTTAAAATATAGATTTATTACAACAGGTTTTATGAAGTGGCAAATAGATATACTTCTTTCCCATTAAAATATAGATATATGTCCACCCCTGCACACTGTCATGTGATTACTAATTCAGCAATTTTGCAGCCACAGCAACAAAATCATGCTCCAGTCATTTATGCAGGAAGCCAGTTAAAGCAAAAGACATGGGAGCATTGGGTTACTGCTGGAGGAGGAAACCTCCCATAAACTAATGTGAGGTTAGAATAAATCTCATAAAGAGGTGCACAAGGCAGGAAATACATTTTTAAAGTCTACATGAGAGGACCATTAGAGCAGACAGACTCGGTGCATTTCTCCATTTCCTCCGCTCTTTTATTACTGTCATCCGATCGGCCTGTAATGGAAACTCAAGCCCCCAGTTTGAACTGCATTGGTGTCACTGCAAAAAGAATGATCCCTTCCTCCTCTTCAGTCAAAAGCCTTTTTTCATTTTAATTTCGACCTTGAGGATTATTTCTTGCTAAATGTTTAATTCATGAGGGCAAAGAATAATCTTTGTGTAGCTTGGCCATCGGTTTCCATACCCATTATCTGCATCCCTGTTCTGATGGGGACGAGCACAATATTTAACACTTTCTAAAACATGTGAAACTTTTACCTGAGAGCTTGGACTGCTGGCTGGCATAGCTTGATGTTCGGGAGTGGCCGCAGCCCCCCAGCTCGTCTGACACAACAGGACACTTCCCTTCTCGATTCTCTCCTGCATCAGAAAGGATGGAGGAGGTGACTAAAACTTAAAAGCTTTGTAAAAATCGACAGTGGTGATGGATCATGTCAACATCTGAACATAGAGTCTTGTTGAGCTTTAATAAAATCTCATTGAGCTGGCAGAAACACAAGCAAAACCATGTTGTTGTTTTATTCTCAGATGTATTCAATCCAACCAGAGTTGTGTCACTGGCTGCTGAATTCTGCCATATTCTTGTTACGGCTCCCACACAGTGGGTCTCAATTTAGCATCTGAGTTAACAAGCAGGTGACCTCTGCTGGAAAATACAGCACCCAAATAAATAAAACAAAAATTACTTTGAATGACTTGACCCTGTTGAAATGATTCCATAGTAACCAAAGTTAAGGAAGAGCAGTGGGTATGGGTCACTTAAATTTGAACCCATAGTAAGAAGAACACAGGATGTCCTGTTTCAGTGTCAAATAAAACAACTCAGATAAGACAGATATGCCAAAAAGGAAAACATTTTAAGGCAGAGGCTTCTGTAGGAAATGAGTCAGCGGCTCAACAAAAAAGAGACAACAAAGCAAGAGGTGTTAGAAAACCTTAGCTATGTACTATTTTCCAGCTTTTCTAAATACCATCTCGGATTGAACGGAAAATTACCCCTTAATATAACTATCATACTGTAGTATAGAGTATGGTATTCTGTACTTCTCTTGTAACTTGTCTCTGAAATGACAAATCGACATTTAAAGGTCAAAACAGTAACACGAGCAGCAAAGTATTGATTCAAACATGGCTCTTCTTTTACCAGCTCAAAGAGGAGGATGTGTTCGCACGCATTTTAACAGATCATTTGAAGACATCTTAACAAAATCCCTGTATAAAATAGCCACATCTGTGCTTACAAAAGACCAACCATTCCATCTGAATGTGTTCTGCACGTGAACAAATATTTACCTGCAGAAACAGAAAGAAGTGCAGGTGACAGCAGGAAAAACTGTCGTCGCACTAGCACACTTACACACATATCAGCCCCCACGGTCCTATTTTTAACCACCAGAAAGCCCACCACTCAGAAAAGGTTGTAGTTAATTTAAAAGAGAGCTACCTTAAATTATACATGGAAGAGCTCTTCTACAATGAAACTAGAGGGACGAACAACCGTTGAACATTGTGATGTGTTCAAACATGAGCACACAAGCTGAACAAGAAGAGAGGAAACAAGATGATGGGAGAAGAAGCTAAAAACTTCCAAAAGATATTTATGCGTTGACACATATCTATTCATGTAAAACCTAATATTTCTTAATATACATCTCTTCATATTTAGTTTGTTAAAGTACTGAAATAATTTTAGTACTGCGATGACTGATATCAAACCCTGTTGTGTATTTAGACAGAATAGTACATTTTGACTTTAATTCAACGAAATGGACCCTTAATCAGTTTGTATGAATCATCAGGATTTTTAGATGAGGCAATACTTCTGAGCCTTTTTAAACAGCACACAGTGCAAATGAACCTGCCTCGTCAGACGGTTTGTTACAGAATCCAACCACTGTGATAACATGCTTTGTCACTGAGGGCTCTGAAGGGACTATGACATTTTTGCATACTTATCTAATCAAGCAACTTTGAACCGACTTGGCTGTGTAGCTGGTGTCTCAATGACTTGATCCCATTGCTTCTACTGACTGAAAATGCTATTTATTTTTTACTTGATCTATTTTTAGATGCATGGAGATATTTGGATGAGCCTGATAGGCAACAAGGGCAGAGCTGGCCGGTGTGATGTGAAGTGATTGGACTCACCAGAGCAGCTTTTCTGCGAGTCGCCTCCTCTCCTCTCCTCAAGCAGACCCTCTCCATCACCCTGGATCCCAATCACTGTGGCTGTGGAGGGAGGCCTGGTGACAGAGGTTATACGTTTGGCATCAGTTCAATACTACTGAAATGATTGGAAAATGTGGAGAAAAGGTTACAGGAAAAAACGTACAAGGCAAATAAGGTTAAACTATAATTCAATACTGCTGGAGGTTTAGAAATGATATTGACTCAAGAAAAGACAAGTCAGGTGACAAACTATCAAAATGAATAGCTTAGAATCCCTTTATTCTTAAACACACTGAAGAGAAACAGTGCAGTATTAAACATAGAGTTTTATTTAGGTCAAATTGTATCCTTGGGTAATGAAATGCTCTCCTACACACACACACACACACACACACACACAAGTCTGTCAAGCATTAATCTTTTACCAACCAGGCAGTTGCAGCTGCTGCTTTTAATGTGAAGATGTGATTGGCAAACAGTTACGTGGCCTTTCAAAGCTCACTGAGGTAACTGTTGATATCTTGCGGAAGCACGGCTAGAGCTGAAGATTTACAAAATGACCTACATCTTCAGTTTTTGGCACATAATTCTGTTTAAAGCAGGAAAATATAACTTAGACTAATCAACACACTGTACTTATAATGAGGCTCTCCGTTTTTAAATTTTGATCACAGTTCAATAAAGGCTGGTCGACTGACTTTGATAACTGTTTGAAATACCCAGATATCTCAGTTTTAAAGGTCTTGATTTTAGTCTAAAGATGGTAGCACTAGAATACTTTATGTTCACTCAATAACACCCTAGTTCACATATCAGGCATATCATTAAAGAGAGGTCGGAAAACTTTCATTAAAACTTACGTTTTGAAACAGGGATCTCCTGACATGAGCTGTGTACTGATGATGACCTGTTGAAATAAACAAGAAATGTTTATTAAGTTGGTTTATTTGCAGTCAGTGTTCCGATTAGCTTTTATTTATGCTTCCATCAGAAGTGGTTCCATTAATTCGTGAATAAAAGGTTATGAGCAAGTTTCTGGTCAGACAGCAGGTGAGTTTTCTTATTTTAATCTTTATCAGGTCAGATGAGATTATACAAATTGACTGTATTCTGTAGTTATCTAACTTAAATAGAATATACATGGTTAATGGCTAAGGTGAGCACCAGATCAGCATTCTCTTTTTATATTTCACTGCCTGTTTGATTAAGTCACCCAAACTCACTCAGAGGTCATCGAAGCAGCACTATTATATCCAGCTGAGTTGCACGAACTGACCTCTAGAATGGAGCTCTAGCAAGAGACTATATTTAGGTGCTTAGGTTCTTTCCAACTCTGAGCAGTTTCTTGTAAAAAGAGTGCAGATGGAATCAGAACCGTGATCATATCCCCAAGAGTACGGTGACAAATTATCCCAGCAATCAGCATTTTTATAGGGTAATAAACAAAAAGGCTCTTCTAACCAGGCAGTGGACTTTTTGTCACTGTTGTAAATGGATCTCGTCCGGGCACTAAAGTGCTAAACAAAAAGCTTTCCATCGAACGATAAGACAGTTATACAACCCAGATAGAAGTAAACTAGCTTTGTGATGCTAAAAATCCCGAGCTGGACCTGAAGTTACCTCAATAAGCCTCTAATCCTCATTTTTACAAAAGTCCCCTGGACAGCTGGCAATTGTGGTTTTGAACAATGCTAAAAAACCTTTATGCAAAAAAAAAAAAAAAAAAAAAAGATACACACTTCCAAGCTGATGGAAAAAGCACGGGCTTGTATTCACAGGGCCAGGATGTCTTTAACGAACCTTGGCTGTTGTGGGTGTCGGATATTACCTTGAGAATGGAGTTATCCTGCCGAGTATTTTTGGTATCATAGCCTTCAAGGAGACATCTGCGGGTAGTATTCCCTGAGCCCGCGAACTCTGCTAAATTCAGATCTGCAAAACCAAGCTGAAGGAGAAAAAATGACACAGGGTGAAACTTTTTTTCCTGTCAGCAATGTGATGAAATCTGGATGCAAAGAAGACAGCATTCAGGGACAGGAGAAGAATTCCAAATATTTTGAACAAAGTTAACTAAATTTAAAGCTATTTTTTCCAATATAATGATAAGTGTAGTTTTATCTGTATTGCTCCGAATCCCCACAGACACTCCAAAGATATAGTCTAATTCAAGCAATTTAGAATTAAACTCATTCTAATAAAATCATAATCCAATTAAATCTCATTTAATGTCAAGAAAAAAAGTATTTTAGCAAGTCTAGAATGTACACGAGGAGAGCTTCGCTGTGCTTTGTAAATAATTACTTTGATTCAGTGTAAGCAAAAACATGAAACCCACAGGCACTGGGAGCCATCTGTTTGCCGCCGGCTCCCAAAGCTAACAGCGTCAATATGGCCAATTACTGTAAGTCACAGAGAGTTGGAGACTTTCTTTGGAGCAGACTGGGCTGATAACATAAAGATGTGAGGAATTACCTTTGCATATGCCTTTCCACCCTTCAGCTCCTGAAGAAAAGAAACATTTAAATGTTAATGATTATGTTACACCTGACTTGTTAATAAGATTAGAATAGACAAAAAAAACTTTTATGTATATGCAACACTGAACTGTTTTTTTTTTCCTTCAGAACCCAGTTCTGTGACCACAGGCCGTACCTTTCTGACAGACACACGACACACACAGGGGTCCAGTACGCCCGTTCCTGCATTGGCGCTCATTTTGCAGGGGAAAGAAAACCGTTTCCTCCATCGCACACAGTTGGCCTGAACTGCCTCCCTGCGAGGGGAGATCACAAAGAATTAGAACACCTTTAAGCACCATGTAAGGTCAGACACAATTTATGAGCAGGGGCTGCCCGCTGGAGTCTTAAAGGCCAAATCCCAATTAAATGCTGGGGGAGACTTAAATCACATTAAATTCTGATAAAAATAATGTCTTCAACATCTTCAACCATATTTCTTTATACTATGACACACAAAAAGTCTGTGGCAAAGTTCTTTGGTCAGAGTTCTGAATCTAAAAATTAGTATTTGTTTCCAGAACTAAAATACAGCAACCACCAGGCTTTCTTTTAACAAGAATGATTACTTTCTTATTTTAGTTTGTCCATTGTTATTTTTTTGCTGCTATGATTTTATTTGCAGGAGAACTTCATTAATATACATTTCTTAGTGTCTTATTACACAACAAATGAAACCTCTTTCATAGCCGAGGGCAATGATTCCAGCTGCCAATACAAGCTTATGAGATAATCCACCAATTTTCTGGGTGTGTAATACACAAACTAATTAATTGCTCTCTCGTTCTTTCCCACTGACTCTTGTAACTGATGGACTCGTGGCTTACAGGGCAGGCGTGCCATGCATCAGCATGAGAGTACTAGAAAACCAACATCCTCCATCTTGCGCGTAAAATGGATGCGAGTCGCAACCTACTCTCAGTAAAAGGATGAGATGAAGTGAAAGAGAAAGCTTCTGCGTGGGGAGAATTACGATACCACAGATGGCCTCTCTTTCACTGGCATCCACTCCTCTCCCACTCACCTCACCAACTCCCATCTGTTTATGGAGCCTACACGTTTTGCAGCACTTTGTCGGATTTAAGCACAAACCGTGTTGAGGGTTTTTGGGTTAAATGCAGCACAAAAGTAAATGATGCAACGATGACATCAAATAACACAAAGGGTTGCAAGAGAAGGTACGTTGAGGACATGAGAGCGAAAGGATTCACCGGGTGAGCAGATCCTCGCTAACACTGTTAAGACCGACTGGATGTACAGGCTTTGTGCTTTGAACCGGATCATTGCCTATAAATAAAAAGCAGATGATGTGTGAAAAATGTTTTAGAAATGCTGACATCGTTTGAAGGTTGATGAATTTCAGAACGTGAACTCCCAGAGTCAGAGAAGGCACTCCCAGCCAGCTGGACACTGTGTGCTTTGGAAACTCTGGCTTTAGTTCATGTGCTGAGGCTCACAACACTTCTCTGTGCAGCTAAATCCTATTAGTCAGTGTGAGTAAGTCTGGTTTAAAGCACAACCACAGGCCATCTCCCGCACGCTTCCAGTATCTTATAAAACTACAGCTGATCCAAACTGGAAGGCAGCTGCAGTTAAACTTAAAAAAATTACAGTACAGTAGTAGAGTAAATATGCACAAGTTTTGAGAAACCAAACTTAAGATTCAAAACTTATTTTAAGTACAAAATTAATCTAGTCTAAGTGGCTGTTCAAAACAGGACAAGCTCACAAACAAACCGGAACAAAATGTCCAGCGTGGACCCGAAGTTTTTAGTCTGACGACAAACACAGTTTTTTTTTTTTTATTTAACCAGGATGAAGCCATCCAATCTCCATAGCCTCACTCCTAAAACAATGCTTTATTTTGATCCAGTGTTAGAAACCAGTCTCATTAACAAGTGATAGATCAAACTCAACAGCAGAGCAGAAAGACTGTGCTTTTGTCTTCTCATCAGTAACACCAGCAACATGAATCAATCCATTCAGGGTTACACTGAATAATTAGAAATGCTCATTTCCTCTCATGCCTAATTCCACGTGACAAACTTTAGTCTCACAAGCAATAATTTCACGCTCTAAGTTTGAGCTTCAGTTTCCTTGATTCAATGTTACTAAACCTTTTGGTATCAGCTGTTTCCCTTCACAGACTTACACCTCCACTTTTTATACTTCCTGTTTTACAAATATGTCAGTTTGACTCACCTTCAGCACAGGAGTTTAGAGTAAGAAGGAGTTATAATGTTGAAGATTAATTATATCAAACACGATAGACATCTGTATAATATGAGGAAGACACTGATACTCAGATGATAGCTGAGAGTTGTTTTAATGGTAACTCTATAGTTAAAGGAAATCATCTGCCTACAAATCTGTTAGAAAATGATCAAGCTTCAGCCTTTACTTTCATTTCTCTTATTTGAGATTGTGAACCACAGAAGACATTGAACTGTTTCCTCTAGTAAAAAATGGGTCACAGATATGAAACTACCAATATGACTGGTACATTTGGAAAAGCAAAGAATGTACATTAAGTGTTCCTGATGGGAAACTGTTCGCTGTCCTCTCATCAGTAGGATTATAAATTTTACTTAAAATCATATTGAATTTTATAGCATTGCTTTACCAGAAGCTTTTATCCAAAGTGTTTTACAAGCCAGTGACAGTCAGGAGCACAATGACCACCTTTCCTGCTGAGATCCAGTCTTCTAGGTCTCTGTTTGTGTGAATAGGCTTTGCTTCCATGAACATTTATAATAAGCATTACCCAGCGGCTGGTTTCTAACTATAAAAACTGCAATCAATCCCAGTAATATGTCAATTTGGAAATGCACTAATAACATTTGGATGGTATATCTGGAATGGCTGTATATTACTTGGTGAACTAATGGATGGTTAAATCCAGATGACACTTCTCGTGCATAACAAAAATCGTTGACAACACAAACACTTTCCTGATTATAGGTTAGTAACTTTAAGACCAAACATGGACAAATATCGATTCAAGTCTCAACTTATCTGTTACTGAAAGCCCCATACAGGAAAATCTGTATTTTTCTTTTTCTTTACCCCTATGGCCGTCAATAAGCAAGTAGCAAGTAGCAGGTAGCTCATTTCAAAGTAACCTTTGAACACAAATTAATTTGAGTAGCCATTTAAAACTTGTTTACTAAAGCAAACAGAACTACAGACTTTAAATTAGTATAGACTTAAAGTAAAACAAGGGTTACCATTACACTGATGATGTTACAACTGACAAAACTAGCTTCTTTTTTTACGTTAGTCGTTTAGCATTCTTGCTAGCTGCCGTTTATCGTTTCTGAAGAAGTTCGGATTTAAAAAGCTGTTCAAGATGCCAGTTTAACAGCAGAGCACAGGTTATTACGGCTTCAAGCAGCATTTGAGCTAAACATCCTCACCGAGAAGACTCCTCGGAAAACCCGCCGTCCAGAAGCCTGACTTTACAGAAGAGGACACCGTTGACGAAAGGGACGGACGACAGCTCATCCAGAACAAAATCCACCCTGAACTTGAATTTTTTCTTTTTCATCATCATTAGATCCATGCACAGTTTCGCCTCTGTCGAGAAAATGCTACGATGTCGAGCCCCGCTGACATTACCGCCCCATTGTGTTGTGCATCGGATTCAATCTAGTGTTGTGTTGTTGTGGGAGGATGGTGATCCGACGGATGACAACAAACCGTCAATCGCGAAATTACCTGAAAGGCTAAGCAGCATCACTTCCTGTTTGTTCTTCCAAAAAAAAAAAAAAACTTAAACCCACTGATTTCCGTTGATGAACATAAACAAACACATTGCCTCAATGGCTCATTCTTCCCACATAGTAGTTTAAGGATCTTTAGACTTTCCTCTTGTCTGATGGACATCAAATCAACACCTTATCAAAAAATGTTCCATTGTTTATTTGAGACTTATAAATATTACGAATTAGACAGAGTTAGTCTTTCCACACATATTACTGTGGCAAAGCACCATGACACAAAAAGGTCTTGATTGTAAAATACCCAGCTCGTTTGAATATTGATTTAGATTTTTCTAATTTCAGTTGTGATATCCATTCATTCAACTTTCATCACCAACTTTAAAGAGTAAAGGGTCACTAGGGGGTTGAGCCTGTTCTAATGCTGGATGAGGATTTTGTAACAATCAACATGCTTCTATTAAAATAATTAGAAAATAACATTGCAGATTTTTAAAAATCTATTTATTACACAGGGATATCATGCAGTGAATAAGAAGCAAAGGAAATGGAGAAAATGAATATTTCAGAAACTATCAGCAGTTGGTTCACAGCTGTATATTATTTTCAAAAGTCTATTTTTCCAAATGCAAATTAAGCTTAGCCAGGCATTAAGATGTAATGATGAACATATTTTGTTTTATCACTTCAATTCAAAGTTTTGCTTACTGTATTGAGGTTTTTCTTGATTACCGAATGTAGAGATCACTTGAAATTGCCTTGCAAACAAGCAACACAATCTATTGCTCTCTTTTTTATTTACTTTCAAAATTAAGATTGTACGCAACATACCCGCTGTGGGTAACTGTTTTCATTCAAATGTATAACATTTTAATCTAGTTATACTGGATACTTTACTATCTAGTCTTACTTTGAAGTAAGGCTGATCAAACGGATGTAGAGTGATGACAACTTTCATCAAAATGAACCCTGAATAAAGCCCGCCTCTTCTCTTCATCGCCCCCTGGCGGCCACTCTGGTGCAGCAGCACTGATTTAAAAGACTCATGGTGCAGATGTGTGATGTGTGCCGCCCTCTGGTGGGTTAAAGTGAGTACTGCAAAGTCATCTCGCTCGACCAGTCTCAGTTTACTAGCAATAAGACAATAAATAATTTACAACTTTATCAGTCGTTGGTTGGTTCATTATCTAATCATATACATTACCCTGTCAAATGTCACCGTGTGGTAGTTTATCGTTTTGAGGGGCACTTCCTATTTGTTTAATGTATCTATTTATATGTTTCTTGCAGTTTAGGCGAAAGAGTAGTATTGTAAATTGGGCGTGCAGAGGCTATATTTTGTGAAAGTGTTTCACTAAACTAATTATATTTTCTCTAATAACCTATTTCCGGTTAGATTTTTTGGGAGGGACAGCTAGTTTGGATTCCTTTGAATATGAGTCACTGATCTAAAACAGATTACACATACTTTGTACCACAGAGCAGACTATGGGGCAGAATGGTATTGCACAAAAAGCATTTTTTACACCACTGTCCTGTGGTTTAGAGCTGTGTTTCCACACCCCACTTATCCACGAAGTTAGAAAAAAGAACACACGCCCAGATAATAAGGAGACCGTTTGGAGAAAAGGGGCTAAAACGCGTTGTTATTCCTCTCACCTGAGAAGTCCGTGAGGGAAAATGGGCCGTGACACACACACACACACGGACACACATACACAGCAGTGCGTGATGTGGTGGAAGGGTGTGTCTCTGAAATGTGTACGCAGTAAAAAAGAAGGAGGTCTTCACGGGCCCAGCCGAGCCCAGTTTCTCCACCCTCTCTTCTCCGTCCCGGCCTTGCCTACCTCATCTCTACACGGTCCAGTGTAACCTTTCTGGAAACGTCCATAACTTTGTGTTCCGGATTTTTCTCACGCGACCGACTCACGCGCGCCGGTCGGGACTATTTTCTTTAAGCTGCACTGCGGAAATCCTCGTGCAGTTATTGTTCAGCTGAAACCAGAAGTGCCCACCGCAGGAGTCCTCAGCGGTGTCTGTGCGGAGCTCTGCGGGCCCTTTTCGTTGTTTTTTGTTTTTGTTTCAGCTTAATAATGTATGCCGTCATACGCCAGCTGTTTTTGACGGAATGTCGGTGCGCGGGAGAGGCGCCCACCCCGTACGAGGAGCTGTTCGCCAAGCTGGACACCAACAAGGATGGGAAAGTGGATGTGTCCGAGCTTAGGGCGGGCCTGGCCTCCATGGGCATCAAAGCTGGGAAAGGGGCTGCTCAGGTAGATCAGCACGTACAGTAAACATGAATATAGTTCACACTCAGGGTCAGACGGGCATGACTAGGCATTGATAATGTGCAGAAGTTATGGGGATTTATCAGTATGAATGAAAAAATAAAATCAAGTTTAGGCCTCCAGTGGAAGGAAGGTAGCACATCTAGTTCACTGTTGCCTTTATGAGAGAAATGTGACACAAAGACCTCATCTAAACCCTCTAGGGCCTTCCCTAGAGGGTTTACATGAGGTCTTCAAAGTACTTTCTCCTAAAATAACTTTCTATAAAACTTTATTAAAAGAGAAAAACAGCTAATTATGGAATTAGAGAGGCTGGAGACAGTAGATATTCTGTACTCCTGATGAATGACTTCACTGAACTGTCAACAAGAATGTTTTAGATCCACTCCAGTTTTTAAGAGTTATGCAGTTTATTTCTTGGCTATATTCTACAAAGATGCACATTCCTAGTTTAATCACATTTCAAAGTGACTGTGAGCGTCTTTCATTTAAATGCTTCCTGAAATCCTAAAGAGAAGTGAAACAATGAGAGAAAATATTTTTCTGTGGACGTCCATGTGGAGCTTTCTGACAGTTATCGTTACCCGGGTTATCGTGTTTCGGTGCTCCTTAAAGACTGGTTTGTAAGTCAACAAATGGCCCTGAAGCTTTCCACCTCTCTCCACACGAGCCCTGGAGCCAGAGTCATTCTCAAACTGCTCCAACGTGCCAGATCAGAATCCAGAATGCTTCCCGTCAGACAGCTAGTAAACAAAGCTAAACATGATACAGTCCTTTAGTTGTTTTAATGGGCCTTAATTTAAAATAAACTCATGAGTTGCAGCCCTCATTTCTGTTTATTTTCTTTTTAATGTGTTATACAAATCCTACGAAAGTGCACATCTCTACAAAGTGGAAACATTGTTTATGGTTGTGAAGGCTGTGGGATTTTCAGGCATTTTTAAAACTGTAACAAAGTTCAAGCTGCAGGTGAGATTTTACCGGAGTCCTCAAAAGGAAGGTTTCACCTTTGCTCATCAAATAACGTGGCACTCCTCATGCTCATCAGTGAGGCTGATAACTTACATATTTGGAGTCTGAAGAAAAGGAAGGGCAGGCCACTGTTGATAGGGGCTTTAAAAGCCGAGCTTTCGCTTTGCATGCACTCTACATTTAAATCCAGGGCAGTGTGTAGAAGGGACAGATGACCAATCCAAACACAAGAGGGCTAAGCTGGCAAAGTAAAGCAGCTGCTGGTGGAGGAAAGATGGCGGAGTCCAAACCTCTGCCTCCACCAAGTCAGGAGGTCAGACACAGCAGCACACCAGACACTGCAGCCTGACGAAAATGGACTGCTCATTTCTTGTTTGGTTGTTTTCAGAAAATCATTGCCTCAGGAGACCAAGATCAAGATGACAGGCTGGACTTCAGTGAGTTCACAAAGTACCTGAAGGAGCAGGAGAAGAAATTGCGACTAACCTTCAAGAGCCTGGATAAAAACAACGATGGTACGGAGCAGCATTGTGAATTCCAGTTTACCCAAAAAGTACAACAGATGCAGTGAGTCTCATTTTAGCTGGACCCCCCTTTTTTTTAACCTGTTTGTTTGTTTTGTACAAACAGGTCGAATAGACTTCATAGAAATAAAGCAGTCACTTGCTGATCTGGGACTAGAAATCAGCAAAGAGGATGCCAAGAAAATCCTTCAAAGGTATTTCAGCTCATTTTGTCATTTTTTCCCCCTCTCTGTCACATCCATTTCTGTGTTCAAGGCTAAAAGTACTTTAGATAAAAGTGAAACAAAGCTGCTGTTATTGGGTTGAATGATACTCCAGTAATATTAAAAAAGACACAACTTCTGCAGCATCCAGCAGAAGTAGTCCAACGTCTGTCGTAGGTTTTAATAAGTAAAAGTGAAAGCTGCAGAAATAAAAGGTGGGCGCCAGTGTGAGGGACTGATAACTGGGAGCGGTTTGGGGGGTCGGCACAAGATAAAGAGACACATGAAGGAACATTTGTGTATCATCTGAGGGAGTTTTCTTGTACGGTTGGGGGAGACTTGTAGACCAAACCATGTCAATTTGTTACAATTGTTCAAGTGCGGAGTTTTAAAAGAAAAAAGGAAAGAAATACAAAAATACAATGACAGAAATAAGAACTACATTCATGACTTGATACTTGTTTCTTTTGGGTGTCGTGGTGGTGTTGAGTGATTTAAGACAGACATTTGTAGGTAAAAATGACTTATGGAATGACTGATTGGAGCTAATGTAGACGGATCCTGGTAGATGATTATTATCCTGCTTTTTTTGGCCACACCTTGACAGGATTTTTTTGTTTGCTGCAGGATATCTGACAGCACCTATTTTAAAAATAATTTGCAGCACTTATGTTTGACAGGTCATTAGTTTGCCGGAGATGCTTAAATAGTTGGTTTTACAGGGAGCTTCAGTTGGCACTTAATCTGTTTGCTAAAAAGAAGATGAAAATGAAAGAATTCCGATTTAACTCAAGACAGGAACATGTCTTTTAAGTATTATTCAGGAAAATCTATATCTATCTAACTTGACTCAATGTCCAGAACGCCAGAAAAATAGAACTATTCCTCCCCAATACACCAATATGTTTTTATTTAACCTCCATTCTGACCTTATAAAGTCCTCTGTGCACGTTTGTCCGTCTAAAGGCTTTCATGATATCATAGTTTGTGTTGATAAGTAACTGGGTCTAATAGAGTCTATGTTATCCAGATTTTAGGTGATATTCCTCCTAAAGTAGCTAATAAGTGTTTCAAGGTGACATGTCTTCTGTTACAGTATTGATGTGGATGGCACAATGACTGTGGACTGGAATGAATGGAGAGAGCATTTCCTGTTAAACCCAGCCGCCAACCTGCAGGAGATTATCCGCTACTGGAAGCACACCACGGTAAGGGGGGTCAGGGCCACAATCTTTACCCGTATCCATCCAAATCTGCATCAATTCTTGCAGCATTTGTTGCTAAAAGATTTTAAAGAAGCAGAAGAATAATGAGCATCATAAATCCTTTTTTAACTTGGCTTACCTTGATATGTTTTCTATTTAAGCAAAAAGAAAAACTAATGATACAATCTAAAATCTGAGATGCGCTGAGGACCAAACACAGATCACCATCTAAAATCTTAGTTTTAATGAATATTTTTACATTCACTGTCCAATCAAAGCAAGGATGAAGTCATGACTGACCGTCAGTTGGCAGCAGGTCAGCTCCTGTACGGTGACAAATGAGACTAATTAATTTGAGAAAGAGGATAGAAGAGCTGGAGGGAGTAGGAAGAGAAGAGGAGAGGAGACTGACACAACTGTCAATACTTAGTATGTTCAAACATGTTTGATAAATACGTCTGACATTGGAATAGAAGCTGGATATCATGGTCTTTTTCAAAATTTGCGCTCAAATACTATCTTTCCTATTCTAAAATGTGATGACTGTTCACAACAGAGCCAGTCAATGACTAAACTCTGACGTATGCTGCCTCTGCTCACTGGCTCAGCCTCAGAGGTTGTATTAACCCGTGGGTTCTAAACTCAGCGGAGATGAGCCAATTTTAGTCTGATCTGCGTGCAGATTAGCCTGTCAGTGGGATTTGGACAGGACGAGGTAAAAGGAAATGAGTCTAGACCGGTTCAGGACAAGATCCAGGGCGCTGAGAGGATGCACCAGTAGCTTCTCTCAGCTCCGGGGTTCGGACCTGGGATTTTTTTGCAACGCGGGACACAGCATTTGCATGTCTGGTTAGGCTGGTGAGGCCGTTCAGGATCCTCATCGGTGTGTGGAGTGCAGTTAGGGAGGGAGATTCCGCCACACTGGGACTGTTTTGTTCTCTGGCTTGGGAGGGCCATGGCTCTGCTGCAGCCTCAGCTGCAAAAGCAGCACACAAACTGGTTTTTCATCGACTTTGAGGACGATGGGGGAGTCTATGAGGTGGAGGTGGAAATGGTAGGTTCATATAGAGCAGCTGGTGAAAAAACTGTCTTCCAAAGGAAGCAGAGAGAAAGATATGGTTAATTTAATCTGGATGGCATGAGTTATCAAACTTGGAGCCCTAAAAGTATGCTTGTCACTTTAATGCAAATAGTCAGTGACTACTTTGTATAGATTCTATTACATCATGTAACTGAATTTGGGAGTAAGCCATCTCCAGCTTTCTAAAGAGCAAAAACTATCATTGGGTTCATTATACACTGCTTCAGGGGGATATTAAGGGCAATAAGGTTTTCCCTCCACCTCTGTTTTGCACTTTTCTACAAAGAATACCAGCGGACAAAAAGCAAAATCCTAACAAAAGTAATTTTTGTCATTTTTTTGTGTGAATGAAAGGATGCATTACCCTTCAGGAGCTATTTTAAAATGTGCTGAAACTGATTATATAATTTCAAACAGGACTGATTTTTATTTTCTTCAGATTTAAACAGATAAGCTCCTCGTTTCTGTCTTTAAACCCCATCGTCAGTGTCGTGACTGATCTCACAGTATTGGCCTGGAGTTATGCAAGGTTTTGGCAGGCATTAAGTTCAAGGGGAAGCAGGGTTTATGTTGGTGTGTAAAGCTCTGTCAAATACAAGTTGATCTAATACCAAAAGCATTGTTTTCAGTTGTTTAGTGTGAGAGAAAGCTTACACCAAAAAGCCTAAGCCAAGCTGGCATTTCTGTAAGTCGCCCTTTAGAAATTGGCCCTTGTAGCTTTCACAGTATGCAGGGCTCTTTTGATTGTTAGAGGTATGGTATGACTGCACTATACTCTTTCTAGGTTCTGGATATTGGTGACAGCCTCGCCATCCCAGATGAGTTCACGGAGGAGGAGAAAACGACTGGCGTGTGGTGGAGGCAGCTTGCAGCTGGCGCAGTGGCAGGCGCAGTGTCCCGCACAGGAACTGCCCCCCTGGACAGGATGAAGGTCTTCATGCAGGTGGGCCAACATTTATTAGCCAGTTTGTCTTTACTTTTAGACATCTGTTGTACAGCTGCTGCACATCCTCAGGTATTTTTATTGAAATGTTGAAAGTGGCTCTAGCATCTGTCCGAAGTGCAAGATGGGCTTTTTATGTGGGTCCTTTGTATTAGAAATCAAAATAAACTATCAGAATTTTGATGAGACCTCTCTGAAGGATAGATTGAGACTAAAACTACTCACTTCAGCTTGCGAACACCAGCAGGTGCCCTTGTGAGAGCTGCAATCGAAATTCTGTTTTTGTCATTTGCAGGTGCATTCCTCCAAGAGCAATAAAATCAGCCTGGTAGGTGGTTTTAAGCAAATGTTGAAAGAAGGAGGAGTGGCATCTCTGTGGAGAGGGAACGGAGTTAATGTGCTGAAGATTGCTCCTGAAACAGCCATTAAGTTCATGGCTTATGAGCAGGTAAAAGCGTCCCCCATCAGGCAACAGACTCAGCATTCTGCTCAGTGATTTTCTTTTCTTTTTTAAATAAAATGTATCTGATTTTCTCTCAGTATAAGAAGCTGCTGTCCAGTGAACCAGGGAAGATCCAGACCCATGAGAGGTTCATGGCAGGATCTCTGGCTGGAGCCACAGCACAAACTGCCATCTACCCCATGGAGGTGAGCAGAGACACAGCCTTAACAGTGGAAAGACTAATAGTTAAAAGGATCCACAGAATTTCTAAAGAAGATGAATCATTCATTTTGTACTGCTAACTTGGTTTGGGTCATGTGGAAGTATTTTTAAAGAGATTATTAAGGAAATTGAAACTAGTTACTTCTGGTAAAGTGTTAAAGAAACAACAGTCCAGTGACTTTCTGCTTTTTGGCCAAAAACACAGGTTTACAGTTTCATATTTTTTTAATTAACAAAAGTCCATGTAATCTTTTTTAACGACCTTTAGGAAAATACGTTTATTCAGAACTATGTATGAGTTTGGAGAAGTTGGAAGTTTCTAAATTAATATGGATATACTTTTTAGTATGAGAAATTAAGTTGGGGGAAAGTTACGATAAAAGGCTTATTGTGATTTTGATCTGTGCAGGTGATGAAAACTCGACTGACACTGAGGAAAACTGGACAGTACTCAGGAATGTTTGACTGTGGCAAGAAAATCCTGAAGAACGAGGGAGTCAAGGCTTTCTATAAGGGCTACATTCCCAATATTCTGGGCATCATCCCGTATGCAGGGATAGACCTGGCAGTGTATGAGGTTTGTGATGGTGAATCATGCTCATCTGGACGAAGTTGCTGTAGATTTAAACAAGTCTTAAATCTTCATTTTTTAAATACTCACATGGACATTGACTTGGCCAAATGTGAAGCTACTACAATAACTCTTTTTGCCATCACGTGTATCTTCAGAGCTTGAAGAACTTCTGGTTGTCCAAATATGCCAAAGACAGTGCAAACCCAGGTATTCTGGTGCTGCTGGGCTGTGGTACCATCTCTAGCACCTGTGGCCAGCTGGCCAGCTACCCACTGGCTCTCATCCGCACCCGAATGCAGGCACAAGGTAAGAGGAGCAAAGCCTGTTTGCTCCACCTACGTGTGATTTTTGTGTGATCATGTTCACACAAATTGTATTGAAACTATACTAAGTAATGGAAAGTTTAGACATGGTATTGTATGTAAGTTTACCGAAACTAATCCTCATAACAATGATTATTATTAAAAAGGATTTAACATAAAGTTGTAAGTGCTTAACAAAAAGTTGAATATATGAAAAATAAATTAATATTTTTTTATTTCTGTTCAACTTTGTATTTTCATCTGACATGAACTCTGTGTTTTCAGCGTCTGTCGAGGGCTCGGAACAGCTTCCGATGAACAAGATGGTGAAGAAGATCCTCGAAAAGGAGGGCTTCTTTGGACTTTATCGTGGTATCCTGCCTAATTTCATGAAAGTCATACCAGCTGTGAGCATCAGCTATGTTGTATATGAGTACATGCGATCGGGCCTTGGTATCCAGTAGGCAGCCAATCGGTTTCCATGAAGAAAAGAAGTGCACCATCCTTTTTGTTTCAGTTTTTTTTTTTTATCCATGATTATTGAAGCCGTTTACCCGAAAGTCACCAAATCCTGCCCTCAAACAGCTGCAAATAAAGTCACTGGAGAGGGTTTAAAGTGACAGCAGCTGCTGGATAAACTTCTGGGCCTCTATAAGGTTAAGAGGGATTTGAAAAACCATGAAGCTTTTATGCTGGGTTTCCAAATATTTGTTTCTATCCAGACTGAGTTTACAATGCACCCACAAGCTTTAAGTACACTGTTTCACTTTGGGTCAACTGGCTTTAAATTTCTAAAAACACTTAAAGAGTATAATTTGTAATTGGTTTGAGTAGAAATATCACTGGCTTGCGTCAGAACGACTTTTTGTAACACAATGTGTCTTGTGTTGACGTTTACCCAAAAAGCACCTTATTGTACCAGTTTTGATCCTGATATGAGATCTAGGCCATCAGCTGCTTTCATTATCAGACCAAATATTGAGAAGTCACATAGTTTCACAGCTTTAAGCGAGCACCCCTGCATGTTATGCAAGATGTCATCTGAGAGTTGGGAGGTTGGCCACTCAGAAATCCGAGGAAACCCAAGTGCTTACACATGTATTAATGCATATTGGAAATAGATTTCACTTGTGAACTCTTGTCATTTTCAAAGGTCATTGCACCTGTTAGGTTAGTCTTTCAAAGAAGAAAAGTGCCTTTTATATGTTTTTGTTTCCTCAGATATGAGGAGTTCTGTACCATCCTCTTTTTTCTTGCCTTCCTCCCCAATGTTTTGTTCAAAGATGCTGGTGTTTACATTGATTAAAACATATTTTAACAAAAGTTAAAGGAAACTGTGCATATATTTATTTGATATGAATTGAATTATATATTTAGTTTTCATTTCAGTGGCACAACTCAAATTCTAACACATGTATTCTAAACAGTGGAGACTATGAGTGTGTGATGGTTTGCAGTCAACCTGAGGCTGTAAGCACAGATTACTCTAGTTTGTGTTACGTAATATCCTCTTACCCCAGTAAAAAGGTCCTCTTTGACTTTAGCTGCCTTATTCCTACGACGTAACAGGGCTCAATTACAATGGACCTGCTAATTCGTCGAGCAAACGCCAAATCATTGCCTCATGGCAGCACACATCACGTATCACTGTTCAAATCCAGTGGTTTGGGCCAATACCTGTTTTCTAATTAAGAAAAACATATTGGTTATAGTTTATCAAGTGGGTTCTCTTTAGTCCTTCCTTAAACCATTCCACTTGAATCAAACAAACAAAAATGCAGTCACATAAAAAACAACTTGTCAATCTCCATAAATGCACTTTTCTGGATAAACACCATTCATTATTAAAGTACCAAGCAGAGAAAAAAAAGCCACTATGGTTAGGATGGCGCGCAGGGCTTTGAACCAGCTTGGGTAAGTTGGAAGCAGGGACAGATCATAATGCAGAGAGATCCCCAGTCCCATGGTGACCATAGTGGTAGCAGGGACAATGCTGTCGCTCATCAGCATGGTCACAAATGCTAACAGGGAGGGAACCACACTGTTGGCTAGGTTTATCCAGTCGGGTTTGGCTGGGCTGCTCTCTGGAAGTGCAAATCCCCACCGAGCACCACCCAAGAAAGAAATGATGGAAGCAGCATAGGCTAACTGTGCATAAGCCAGCTGTGGGTAATAGGTCTCTGTTACAGCCATGAGCACAGTGGGGAAGACAAAGGGGATCAGACCTGCCGCCCCTAAATAAAGGGCAGGTTTGGGACTTTTCCACAAGTCTTTCATATCATAGCGCAGCAGATCAAGTTCTCTGGGTGGAGGTTCAGGCTTTGGCCGCTTCTTCAGCCTCACTGTTGAAAAGTGGAGGGATCTATTTGTCATCACAAACAGGGCACGATGAGTCTCGGGTCTCTGGAGGAGTCCAATTGTGCAACCACAGAGAGCAGGAGTTTTAACCTGCTCCGTGTATCGTTCGGAGAATGGGGGCCTGATCGAAGAGATCCAGCTGAGAGAAGCTCCATTCTCTATAAGGGGTGATGTCCAAGTTCTTTGATGAGGTCCTGCCCATTGCAAAACCTAGAGAGGAAATTCAAGGTTAAAACTTATTGTTAGCATAACAAACTATTATAACATGTTAAAAAAAACATTTGCGACCTTCCAAGCTGCAATGGTGCTTCTTCTGAATACACCAAACAGCATCTGAGGGAAAATGTAGTAAATCATAGCAGAGCAGAAACAGAATCATAGTGAATGCCAATTTCAAAGTAATACAGTTTTTTTAATGGAACCAATTACCGGTACCCTTTCAATTCACACAATTCATTGTATTCCAAAATATTACTTTTAACAGCTTTCAATATGATACAGCTATTAAAAACAAACAATGAAAATACCCAAATGCATTTGATCAAACAAACTATCAATGTGTCCCTTTATTTCTGAGAGTAATCCTGTAGACATATACCAGTAAATGCGCTGCAAAATGCAGCAATGAGCTACGAACGACAGACTGCGGAAACACCGACGCTTTAAAAACATCATCACTCACATTCAGACACTTGGCACAACCTTGTTTGAATAAAAAAAAAATCTTTCAGTTGTGATTCCTTTACAGGGTCAGTCAGCCAGGATTAACCTCCTGTTTGGCCAGTGACACATTAGCGCGCGAGTTATTTCTTCCGTGGTTAAAAAACGACAGATTATTAGTTCCGCTGAAGCCAAAAACTTACTAACAATAAAAAAACAACAGTAAATAGCTGGGATAACGAAGTAAAATTATACAGAATTAAGATAACTTAAGAGAAGGCTGGTAAGATGATTAAATGTACCAGAAGATGATAGAGATATTGGAAAAAGATTTGCGCCTTTCCTGGTTATTGCTTCAACTGAAGTTCCTTATATGTTCATATCCATTTGATAGTTAATCAAAATCACTGTCGTTTCAGTAATTCGACTGACCTACAGTCTCTTCACAAATAGCTCTGTAATAAAGAGGAGAATTATTCTAAGAAAATTGTCAGCACCCACTTTTGCCTGAGCGAGGGCGCCCTCTGTTGCTCCTATAGAGAAGTGGAACAGGTTTTAACAGCCAGTCTTAGCTTTATATTATGAATCGGGAGGTTGGTTCTGTCATTTGTTGTAAGACTATAATAGTAGAATGCAGTGGCGGGCCGTGCATTTTACACCTAGGCCTTCAGTGGTGCTCCGTCTGAATCAATTCACCCCTCAATAACTATTTTATGGTTATAGAAATCATCTTAATATGTAGAAATACAGTAGGGATGTCCCGATCCAGCTTTTTGTATTAAAGTTGATTTTTTTTTGCTACTTACTTAGTTGTCAGACTCATGTTGAACAGGGATTTACTCTTATAACAACTAAAGTTTACACAGACCTGTGGGTTAGGAGATGCTAATGCTAATGCTAATGCTCGGGTGGGATCGGACTTTAAAAAAAAAAGTATCTGGAGTCTCGATTGGCATTTTCTCATGCCGGCCGATACGATCCAAATATCGGATCAGGACAATCCTAAAATACAGTCTAAAGATCAGGGGTGCACAAGTCTTCTACTCCTGCAGCTGCAGCTGCGATCCCCCCCCCCCCAAAAAAAACAAAACAAAACAAAAACATCAATAATGTCCTCATAAACTCGCAATACCATTTAGGGAAAAAACAACATTTTACTCACTTACTTTTCTTGAAAAGTCCGTTTTGAAAATGGTCTTGACAGTAAATCCACCACGAAATAATAAAATAGCTATTACACTAACACAACTATATTTCGGTTTGTTTGCTAGCTTTGCCCTGATTGGATATCTAACTATCCAATCAGCGGGTGTGGGTACGGTGGCATTTCCGGGGCCTTCGCGCAGGCCCTGGCATCACAGATCTAACATCTGATTGGTTGAAGCAACAATGTACTCGACATGTATTTTCTGTGGGGGGGGGCCTGCAGAACGGATTGTGAAGGCCTCCAGGCAGACATCTTTGACTTTGACCCTGCCTAGCGACAAAGGATGTCTGAAATGTGATTGGTTAAATGCTTTTATATGAAAATACATGTCTGGAAGCAGCGCAACCAGGGGAGAAGCTATGAAAGGAAGCTGACAGACTATTTAGAGATATTTAATACCTTTTTTATGGACAAAATATCATTAACATCAGTCTGTGATTCAGATATTTTCTTAGGCCTTCAGAGAAGGCCTTGCAGGCCCTGACGGCCCACCACTGGTAGAATGACACTTCCTCAAGGGCCTCAAACCACCACGATGACCCTCTGTTCTAAAAAGGAAAGTTATGGAAGCAGACTGTATGCATGTTTACTACATATATCAGATGTTTACATTGTATTGGTTTTACATGCTATAAATGATATGATCCATGTTGCAACAAGGGTCTTGTAATCACAAATGAAAGATTTCTTCAACACAGAAGATGAACACCTATTTGAAATTAGAAAGAAATCAGTTAACACGAGGTTGCTCCTCTTTCAGAGAAAATAGCTCAGGCTGAAAGAGAGAGGTCTACTCAAAAGGGATGGATTGATTTTCATACCTTGACAGCTACAGGTTGAGATCTTTTCCAGATATGTTCCCGAGGCAATGCTTCATGTCGGAGGACTTTAAAAGTGAAACATCCAAAGGGAAGAAATGAATGTAATCAGAAAGTCCACCAGAAGAGGCTCAGAAGGTTGGGAAATTGCTTGATATTTTAAAGGAGTGTGGAGAAAATGTATTCTCAACATGGCTGCCTTATGGGAGAACATACCTGAATAACACTTACCATAAGAGCTCAAACCCTCTCATCTAATTAATGAAGATTTTCTAATATAAAGTGCATTCACACTTGACCTAAGTAAATAACCCCCTTTACAGGGATTGTTGAGCATAGTGATTGACATTTTTTCTTGCTGCACTGTTCAAAATAACTTGAGAGAAACTTAAATGACTGTTCCAAATTCCATGACAGTCCATACAACCTTTTTATAGTTATTTCACTAGAACTGTGAATAAAAAGACAGAAGACTTATTGGTTGATCTCTCTCTCTCTCTCTCTCTCTCTCTCCCTCTCTCTCTCTCTATATATATATATATATTGCTTTAGGTGGTTTGCTGTAGTAATGTAAAGTAGTACAGGCATTCAGTGGTTTGTGAGATGGTCTCCATTTTCCTTTCGCATTAAATCTAATTCAGCTATGCACAGGCAGGTTAAGTGCTTCCGAGGACAGCATATCTCACTAATGTGAGGAAACTATAGCTAATAGGATAAGCTGATAAGTGTAAGGAAAACACATGCACTCGCTGTGTGTGAGTGCAGGCTAAAAGCTTGCTGGAATAGGTCTGACATCTTCTCCATTCCTTTTTTTCCTTCACTATACTTTTCTCTGTTGGGCCTACAAAAACAAGATTTTTTTTGTTGGATTTTTATTTTATTCATCATGATGCCAATCTCTTTGCAGACCACTGAGGACTGGGTATGTAGTGTTTCTGTAGTCTTTTGTGCTTCAGCCTAATCTGAACTCAGATGTTTTTACTCAACCTTTCGCTCCTCCCATCTGTGATTGCATACACTTCATCATAACACAACTCTAACCTCAACAAAGTACTTTACTTTAACACTGCAATATTAATCAAAAGAAAGGTCACATGTATTCAAATACAGCAATTAATCATCACAGAACAATCAAGAGAAAATGGACCATAATGCTTTATCATATAACAAAGGTATATTTAACGAGGGTTTAAAGTTTTGAACAGATGTTTAGTCCAAAATTGATGGTATGGTATGAGCACTCCCCTCATCTCTTTGTATTTCATGGTGGAGAAATATGTCAGTGTATGGAATAGAAAAATATATAGAGAGAATTCTATATATTTTCTCTAAAGAAAATGGATGGATGGATGGACTAATTTGCCAGGGACTCTGCTGACCCCGCAGTATTTATCCATCATCTTCCCACTGCTTCCCTCTTATCTGTGTTGGCTGGTGTACATCAGTGCCACTACATGCGTGTGCATACAGTAAATCTCTATATTTCTAATCAGTCATCCTTTCGTTTCATTCAACGCGCATGTAGCTCCCATTTTGAATTGTGTCAGCACATGTATTATAACAATCAATGGGTCTACACGCTGGTCTGAGCTGAGTGTTGAGCAACAGATGGGCATCTTAATCTTCTCATGATCCCTGGCTCTATCAGCACTTCTGCCATATTCCTATGCTGTCTGTTCATCTTAGCAGAAACAGCAGGCTGACGCAGACATTCAGTTCTGATAACGTCAATAACAAAATGAGTTGATCAAACCTGTCTGAACAGGTTTAAAACTTGTTTGATGACACACAATCAAATGTACATATTTAAACAGGCTGCACTCTACTACAGGGTTACAATACTGTGCAGCTTCAGTTGTACTTCTTTCAGCGATCTCTGTGTGAGTTCTGCCTCACAAAATTGAAGATTGAAAATTGTGTATAGCCAAAAGAGGAACTCTTGGTAAATTGTGTATTCATACAATATTCCCTACAAAATGTTTCTCTCCGACAGGAGACGAGGAGGGAGCAATAAAAGAGTCGGGCAGTGTTTCAAGGCAGTAAAACATAAACACATTGAATCTGATTCATTATGAGATTCTTTTTTTTATAGCAGACTAGAGGGAAACTTGTAGCTTTTGTTCTTAAGATTAAAGGGACAGGGGGAGGCTCTTTTTCATTACCAGGAGAGATCTGATATCAAAGAGCCAATTTTTCTGTAAGCCTTGAAGCATTTGCGGGACTACACTGGTATTATATTGGCTATTATATCCAAATTAATCAGATGTAGCAGATAAAACCCTCCATTGATTTATGCTCTACCTTTTTTGTCTTTACATTTTATGACTTTATGCCACTGAAAGTCTTTTATGTTTCCCTTCTGCATCTTCCACCACTGATTGTGTCACTGTTATTCATTTGTTACATCCTCCTCAGCCAATATCCGCCATGCTCTCTTAGGTTCTGTTCCAAACCGTTGTCTTTTTAAAAAAAATTTTTTTAATACAAGTTGTGATGTCTGTGTTTTGTGGTAAGTCA